AATTCTAGTTTTTTGCGCAATCTGCATCGAATTTTAAGAGGTCTCCGATAGTTTTTAACGGTTTCTTTTAATTATTTTTCCGAAATCTTGAAAGTATTATTGATGTCACAAAGAAACATGAGGGGTTAGCAAACTTTTCAAATTTAAATAAATATAAAAGGTATGAAATTTCATACGTAGCCCATATTTCCAGATGATTTGAATACTTTTGAAACGAATTTTTCAGCAAGTTCATCGATATCTTGATATGTTGAGAACAATGGTGGCTTTTCCTGAACGAACAAGATCATTAATCATAGTATCATTTCAATTCCAACTATACATTTACAATAAACTCGGTAGTCGACACAGGAATCAACATCAATAGAGAATACAAAAGAAGCATTTTCGGATTTTTTCGGCGCAGATCCACTGAAGCAGATCGACGATGTTGCCTTATATATCCGTAAGATTGGTATGGAAACGGGACCAAAAAAAGCGACGCCATTGTCGGATATTCGATCGAGCATATTTTGTCAGCGTGAGACAAAAAGAACAAGTGAAAAATGGTAAAAACTAAAATAAAACTGGCGTCTTTTTGTTTTGGCTACTCGGTTATTGTAGCAGTAGTTTACGTGTGCGCGGCGGCTCGACTGGGGGCGATTTACGCTGCCCATTAATGGCAATATTCGAGAGATTTTTAACACGTAATATTGTAACATTAACTGAATTATTAACGAAATTCTTAGCAACCATTTGATTTCGACACCGATAGAAGCTGATCAGCAGTGATATTCAATCTTGGTGGATTAAATGACGGGGTGATGGTTTCACAAGAAATCTGAAAAAATATGACGATTTAACAAGCTTTCGGACTCTATTTATTACCGATGTTTCGTTTTGCCATATAACAACCAATTTATGATTCCGATCTGCACAGTTCTTGAAGCAGTATACATACCAATCCTGTGGCAACATTTCTCCTTCTCTTTTTTGATAGACTATTGGCGGCTGAAAAAATAATAAAGATGTTTGAATAAAGAATTATAGAACTAGAACTCTCGAAACTCAATTTTCCATTAAAACTGTTTAGATAGATGGCGTTTACATATTATGGGTTCAATATTAGTATGGACCTAGATGTGAAACTAACATTTGTGAATATAATGCGCAAGTGTCAAGGCATCATCCTTACTCGAACAAACTGTTCAACAAATATAGAAAATTCCTTACATAGCCTTCGTTTCCGTAATACGGAAACACCTTAGAAACGTATTTCTCTGCATTTTCATCTATACTCTGATCTGTTAGGAACAGTGGTGGTTTTTCCTGAACGAACAAGATCATTAATCATAGTATCATTTCAATTCCAACTATACATTTACAATAAACTCAGTAGTCGACACAGGAACCAACATCAATAGAGAATACAAAAGAAGCATTTTCGGATTTTTTCCACTGAAGCAGATCGAGGATGTTGCCTTATATATCCGTAAGATTGGTATGGAAACGGGACCAAAAAAACTACGTCATTGTCGGAAGAGATATTAGAATATTTCTGCACAAGTGTTAAAATTTCGAATCGCTTCCTTACCAAATATGCGCTGAATCCATCCATCATATACCGAGTCTGTGAATTGAAAAAAAAAACTGTTTTAATTTAGAATTTTGAGTAATTGTGAACCATATTATTTTTTCGAGGCGCTAATTCGAATTTGAATTTAAGCAGCGCGAATTCGTGTGCGCATTTTTTGCGATTGGAATATTTTTTGCAATTTAGGTCTGATTGGTTTTGAGTTACCAGAGTTAAACGAAGAATTTTGTGACTATGTCAAGATTTTCCTTATAAATTTTTACCTGGAGTTTTTCAACAAAAAGCTAAACAATTTTTTTGGAAATCAAAAACAAATATGGATTTTTCAGGAAATCTTGAATTTATAAAAAATGGCAAATAAAACAAACGATTGACGTGATTGCGAACATTTTCCGTTCAACGTTTTCGGTTTCAATTCGAAGTTTTCAAACAAGATAATTCAATTCGATACTTAAAATGTTTGTCCGAGAGGCCAACAATATTTGTCTGTCTGTTGATCTTTTTTTCGAATTTTCTCACGAACATCTTTAACCGCCACGTGCGACAATGAAAGCAGAGTACGCTCAATCGCGCCACCAGTATGTATACCTGACGGCACAAAACTTCTCCTTATTTCTCTCATTTGTTCGCGAAAAATGGGCGCCTTTTGTTTTAAACTCTCTTCACTTTTTAAAAAATTTCATTAATTAATTGAAATTTAAGATTTGACAACATCAACATCAGCGAATATCAAATATTCAAGATTAACGAAATGTTCGCAACTAGTGAGTTTATTCATTTTCCATCATTTACCAAGGTTTGATGTTTGCCCTTCGCCGACTGTTTTCGTTTATTCGATGATATTCATCAATATGTCGTTGACAAATGTTTTTGGTGGCGGCGACAAAGTGGCGATTGGCGAAAAATATTGCGCATTTATGGATTACGGTTGACAGTGTGCAAACACCGACCAACACACGTTGAATCGCCTGTTTTAATTTTCAATTCCATAATCTCCTATTTTTGTCATTTTTATTAATTTTAAGGGTTCCGTGTTGGAGATTTTAATTGAATGTTATAAAAATAGGCGTTATAATATCGTTTCTGTTATTTTTAGCCCATAAATACAGTTTTAATAGCGCATTTGAGAGATATTTAAGGCGATATATCGAAAACCGTGTAACGTCGCCCGTTAATCTATCCCTGAGCATTATTCGTCGGATGCCGTACATATTTGTATGTGATAGTGTTATTAATATTGCCTAGTTCTTTTTTTGGCTCCAACCGGCTGTCTCGTAAAATCAAGGCACTCAGAACGAATCAGAAGAAATTTTTAAAATTTTGTTGGATTCAATCAATTTTACACAACGTGGAAAAGGGTCGACGTCTATTTTATTGAATTTCTCGTTCTTTTTTCGTATTATCCGCCAATCTCTCAGCGCATCGATTCAAAAAATTAGTATAGTTTTCTATTATGCACGCATAGCTTTACAACCATGAGAACTCGGTGATTTAGTGATAATATATCGCTGACATCAGCATGTGCTCGGTGATCTTTTTTGACATATCAGTTCTTTCGGACAAACAATGTACTTAAAGTATTAGAATAACATTTCTTCTAACAAAATTTGCACTCGATCATGTGATTCAAGGGCATGGGCCGACAAATGCGCGTAGATATTTCTTCAGGGAAATTTGATATTCATTCTGACTATGTTTTTTTGTTGTTGTTTCGAATGCTTTTTCATTGTATTCATATGCGCGCCGATGACTTGTTTAATTTGCTCGAGACGATTGTAGAACATTCGAGAATCTCCGTTACGCTTCCCTATTTATAGGCAACCGTCTCTCGGGCCGCACTATCGTCTAATTGTAATATTCTAATGACGTCAGGATAATATGAGAAATAGCATTTGTGACCGAAGAGGTCCACCAGCTGACCTACTGCAGCTCTTGCAGTTGATTGAAGGGTTCCGAGTTAAGGTCGAACCCGAACGCATTTTGGTTTTTTGCACGTGTTTGATCGAAGTCGACATACTTTCCCAATCGTTTTTGCCCTGTACCCACTTGCCCTCCATATCATATTATAAATTGGCACGGACAGACAATTTACCTGATGTTTGATTCGACGCGTAACGTTCCGAATTGCATGTTTCATTTGAAAATTTGCAATCGCTGATGAAACGTGAGCTTTTCAGTCTTACGAAACCTTTCGACAGGTTTTGATGGATCACTCGCATTCTATACAATAAAATTTTTTCATACTGAGAAATTTGAGAAGAATGTGCGGCTCCTAATCAAGAACGACAAATTTATTTTTTTTTTGCACACGGGTCAACAATCTCATGTGTTTTGAAGAATTAGTTTCTTTATCACAGCTCGCAAATATTGTTGCAAGAATTTGATGAAAGATGTCGCAACGCACATGATTCTTGAGATTCTTGTTTTCTCAAATGTTTGTAGCCCCCAATTGTTTGTGCGAACTTGTCAGCATATAATTCCCCCATTTTGCCGCAACATTTTGGTTATCATCTTAAATTTTTGACCAATCACGTGTCCGATATGTCTTATTAATGAATGAGTTTAAGTCACGTCCTTTTTTTTTGTTAGGGGCAATCGCCCAAATGCACTTGTTGTTTTTCGAACCAAAGATGATGCCGAAACGAATAACAACAAGGCATGGAACATCAACTTCGGATGGCGCCGAATATTTATGTTTTTCGTACTTTACGCTTAAAATAGATATGTGTGAAATAGTATCTACAGGGAAGAAATCGTTTTTCATGTGAACCCCGATAAGTATTATCTCTAATGTTTGCTTATTGACAAACGCGCTTCACGTGACCAAAAGCATGCATTTGAGGTTCTTTTAGAATGGGTTGGAAGATAATCTTTATAAGCAAGTTTTTATCTACGGACATTGTTCAAAGTAGAATTGACCGAACTTCTCCGCCTAAAATCTTTGCGGTCCAACAAAAATTCAAAAATTAAATTGTGTTGGCCTACTTTTTTCGACGCCCGTTGTCAATAGGCGAACAACAAAAAGTGCTTGTGCCATTTTTTCGATTTGTTCTCTTTTTTTCATGCCGCAATATTATTTATTGTAAACAATCGCGATGAACCGTCGTCATCATTGTCGACGATGTCGCGCCCGCCGTGTCGCTTCGTTTTTTTGTTGCGTTTTCCACAAAAAGCGAGCACGACAAACGGGGGACCCTCTCGCTGTGTGCAGCGCTATTTCTCGGCGCGACATCGTGTCGGCGTCTCTGACCATTCAAAGCGTCGGAGCACGTGCCCTATTCGCCCGCGTTCGCCAACACTTTTGGCACACTGGGAGGGGTCCGTCGTGGGCCAGCGGTTTTTCGACGTCCATCTTTTGTTCGATCCGCATTTTTTTGTTTAGTCGCGTTTTGCGTTTTTTTTTTGTGCGAATCGTTTCGTTGATCAAATGACCTCGGAGTGGGCGGGATCTTCCAGCGAAACAATGGTATATAAAGATGGTGGGTGCTGGGTTCGGGAATGAATAGTTTCCTTCGTCACCCGCATGCTTGTCTGTTGATATGATAGGGGAGAACGGGGGGGGGGTTGGGGCATTTGTTGTTTACTCGCACCCTGATGCAACGTGGGAATCAAAAATAAGTGTAATTTTAGTGTACCTGTTATTTGTTCGTCTGTTTTAGATTATCAATTTATTTCAAGTTATAAAAATGTTTTCTCAACTTTCTTGCTATTCACGTGATTGATTAGGCGATCAAACATCATTACCATCATTTTATTATTACCCATCTGAAATACCGTACCGAATTGATAAGACACGTGTTGTATATATGTAATTAAAAAAACAAGTGTAAAATTTCAGGACTGTTTGGCAGCCCAGCTTCAGCACCAGTTGCACGCGAAATAACCGCGAAGGATATTAAAACGATGCCTCTCGAACCGATGGATGTAATGTGGTACGTTATCAATGAGCGAGGTTCTTTTTTTGGCTGTTTTGTTTTTGCACCCGCGGTGCCCAATTTTTGATCGAGTGAGTGACGCGTAGCGGGGACGCCGTAAACAAGGCTATTTATGTACATTCATACACACAAGAAAGGAGCGAGTTGCGAGTAAGATGAAGAAAAATTCTTTAATAAATGGAAATTATTTGAATTGCGAGTATATCCTCTTAGAAATTGTTTAGTTTCAAAAAACTGGGATAAAATTCTATAGCGAATTAGTGAATTTTTCATCAGAGCGCTATGCTTCTACAATTTGCAGAAATTAGCTTTAATTTAAAATGCTTTCAATGCTAGTTCCTCGAATTTTACTGCATGGTACGCTGATTATCGTGCTCTTTGAATTTTAACGAATATTTAAACATTGGAAGACGTTTTTCATAAACAATCTTGAGAGTTCATCGATAATATTTTTTATATTGCCGAAATTGTGCGTTTGTGCGACTTCGAAAAATTGGCTAAATACTTAAAAAAAAGTAGAGGAGAGGTCTTAGTGGTGTTCGTTTTTGACCTATCATTATGAATAGCTCGTAAATCTACAATTTTATTTTTGTGCCAAGACCACAGCCGCCATCGCTTTTTGGCATTTATCCAATTTTCCGCAGTTGGGCGACACCGACAATACAAATTTTGATATACAAGCTAATTTTTTTAATAGTTTTGTTTTTTTTTTTTCGAAAGATTGGTTCTTTTTTATTTGCTTTTTATGGAATATAATGTTGTTGACAGTTTTGCTGATGATGCCCTAATGGCATATTCGGAAACATCATGAGATATGTTTTTTTTTTAAATCACGATCATTTTTATTCACATTTCGGACACATGGATCTTTATGTCCTCAATTCATTTCAAGGCCGAATTTGATGGGCTTGTTTATGAATAAAATCAGCGATCAGAAATTGAAATTACGGTACCGCTTATTTTCAAAATGAAAAACGAGAAGTCCTCAAACTTTTGATCTAACTTGGAAATTTGATGACGGATCGGATAGATTTTGACCGAACTAGTTTGGCGATTTTTAGTCGATTCGATCAATCACGAACCGTATTTGTTGTTATCAATCTCTGTCAAAAAGTTTCCACGTGTTCGAAAACATCTTCGCGATGATATGATTCTGCAGCAGAATGAAAAGGGACAGAGAGAAACGATTAAAGACCATCCATCCGCATTTTGTTTTCGTCCTGCGGAATTTCACGTGGCCACTGCGCTGCAGCGGAATATTAAGGGATGCACTATTGTTAATGCGCGGCGCCATAGACGCAGTCATGGTGTTTACTTGAATGTGAGTTTTGTGAGGCGCTCACGGGATGTATGTGTGCAACAGGCGGAGAGAAAGGGCACATGGTGTGCGCGCAAAAAGAAGTGTATAAAAGCGGCCCATAGGACCAGATTGAAAACAGCATATTCAACTATTCTTACAGGATGTCGAAAGCACCACAAGTAAGTGATTTGGTTGTTCAACCCGACGTCAAGTTCAAGTCGGTGGCGGGAATCGGCTCTGGAGCCGTGAGCCCAAGCCTTCCGATTGGAATTGGCGCTGATGATTCAGTAAGTGTTGAAGAAATCTTTTCACCGAAATCATCGATATCCTGCACGATTTTTTTGAATTGACATTTAAAATATTGCATGTCTCTTGTAAACATACGATAATCTTATTTTTCTAGATCCGCCCGGACTACGATACTGATGTCCTCTGGAAAGGACCAGGCCGTATTCATAAGGAACGCACTGTTTCGATTGAATCGACTGACTCGGAACTTGGAACGCGCAAATTCTCGGTCTCGGAAGCAATGACTGGGTAAGACAAGCTTATTTTTTATTTTGATTCCTGACGTTGCCAATTTCAGCCCTACTTCGCCAGTCGACATCACTCCACGTTCACGTCGCATTTCGATTTCAGAGATGTTGTTCGGCTCATCGCCATCTTCCTTCTCATGGGGAATGGGCTCATCGCCAACGAACAACAACATTTCTGATGGAATGGACGAGCGCAAGATGTCAATTTCTGACGTAAGTGCACTTATCGAAAATGAGTTCAAAATGTGATGGAATTATCTAAAAAGAGCACAGTTTTGAGGTAATTAAATTACCTGATCAAACAGAAGCTAATGAACTAACACTTTCCAGAACTAATGTTTTTAAATAAATTTCAATGTGATATACCAATTTTTTCTAAAATTCTAGTATATTTCAATTGATTTTATGAAATGTAGAAAATTTATCATCTTAATTGGGGCAAAGAGCATAGCGATAAGAAATGTTTACGCTTTGTTTGTTATCAAGTATCAGCTGTTTGTCAATAGTATCAAGTTGTTGATTTGCAGGACCCGCGTTTCAAGGATTTCCTGAAGCATCAGAGCAAGATAATCGGCGACGATGGAGTTTTGTCAAGTGGCTTTAAACGCAGCAATTACCAAAAAGAATAAATTAAACACTACGGATAGCAAAAAACTCAAGAATGTCTTTAAAAAAATTGCAAAATTCCCACCTTCCCCCCAAAAAAAAAGAAATGTCATTGTTAATAATGTATTATTATTATTATTTGTAACATGCGTTGTATAACTATTTGTTTGTTTCTGTTCGTTTCCTTTCCCCCCACCAATCAACCCGACGATGCAATGTGAAAATTGCCATATATGGCCCTACACCCACAATGTACATAGATTTATTTGTTTGAAACCCGTTCGATTATATCAATCCGTCAAAATTCACGTGTAAATAAATTGCGAGACGGTCAAATTCAATGTGTTGAGATCGTTTTGTTGTTATTGAGCAGTCGAAAAAATGAAAGAAGTGAAGGACTCGTATTGGACCATGTTAGCGATGTTTGTCGACATCTGCAATAGCTGTGGTTGAATACAAAGTCAAAAATCGGACCACATTTACCAAAATAAAGTTCGCTTCGCTGCTCGTAAGACGCCGGTACAAACGCAGCACGTCATTCCAGTCGCCGTCATCATGCATGTCATCTCGTCGGTTTCGTAATCGCTACAATCAACGAGATCGATGTGATCGCATTGGCCTGAAAATCGGAAGCAATTGTGGACGAGTCGAATCGCTTACCGGATTCGACGACGACGTTGCTGATGTGACGACGAGCGCGCAGTTTGCCGAGTGTCTTTAGCTTCGGCGGTCGATCCAATGGATCATCGCTGGGCATTGTGGTCACTTCGGGCGCCGGCAAATGCCATGTGCTTTGATCGCGATGATGGGTGCTGTAATTCATTGGGCTTCATTTCAAATTAACAATTTCGCGGCCATCCTACAGTACTCCGTTTTGGCGCCGCGAAATTTGAATATTTAAAAGTAGAACAAAATTAAGTGGCAATTTGCCAAGTTTTTCAAAAAATTTGCCCGACGATTTTTTTACGCCACGCCCCCTTTTTATTAATTTTAACAAAACGATAATAGAAAATTTGAAGAATCGAACGTTTCCATCTACAATTATGGACAATCGGATTTACAGTAACTTAATTTTGGGTCTTGAAGCAATTGAATATGTTCAATATTCCATAAATTTCATTTAAAACCTTATTTGTCAACGCATAATAAACAATTATTGATGGAAAATGCAAAAATCGTAGAAAATTTTCATCAAAACTAGACCATCGTTTTCAGCTTCATTGTGTGTGTTTTTTAATTTTCATGTGACTCGTCTAATTAAGCTACTACATCCCTAATTAACAAGGTAAAATTGAGCGGGACCCGCGTGCAAAATAATCCGCACTAGGCCTATTGAAATCACCCGCGAGGGACCATCTGACTCGCCGAACCGACACCAGCGATTGAGCATAAACAATTTGGGCCAGCGGCAGATCCCGTTCAGTTTTACAGAGTAAGTAAAACTCTAATTTTTGTTAGGTGATTATTTAACTCCTTATTGAGTTATTCGCTACGAGACCTACCAAATTTTCGGCGCTGTGAGCCTTTAACAAATTATATATATTTTTTTTAATTTGGCATTTGATTTGGGTTTCTTTTTTCACAATTTTTGAAATTCGAAAACCCGAATTGAGTCATTATTAGAAATTTTGTAAATTTTTTAATATCGCAAACGGTCTTCAACACGGTAATTAAAGGAGCACGCAGCTTAAACCGATTCTGATGAGTCGATTTCATTTTTTAAACTGATGTTCTCGAATTTGAATTTTAAAAGCAATATTTAAATTACATCTACAGTAATCGGGTGTCATGAAAAAGGAACGAACAATTTGCTCAAATCGCTGGGAGACCCATTCGATCAATTCAAATGATTTTGAGAATAAGAAAATGGTTGGAAAAATTCAATATTCAAAAAAAAGCACACACACAAACCAACATTTTAGCAGATTTCATAACAATGTTGCGAAGCGTCTTGATTGTGTCGGCATGTCCCTGGACGAGCATCGTTCCGATGGCGTCAGCGAACGCGGCGCAAGTCGCGAATATGATTAGAAGCGGCGCGCGCATGACGATCACTGCAAATGCAAATGGTGATGGTGATGATGATGTTGTCAGGAATAAATGACGTGTCGAACACGGGTTTTCCGGACGCCGGGGTTGCGCGTCGTCGTGTTTGCGCGCGCCACGAAAAACTCGTCGCTCTCGCCGAACATGGTGGCGATCATGTGATAGACAGCTGATTGGCGAGCTGCCAGACCGAGCAAATATCGACGAGCCATATACGGGGGATCAACAGTGGGCGGGGCAATCAAGTTGAAAATGGTAATCTAGAATTTTTTTCTCGAATCAACTCGTTCTCAGTTTGGAAATTTGCCATTTTTTTTTCAAGAGTTTGACAGCGAAATTTAAATTTCAAAAAAAAATGTTCAATTTCCTTCGAGACATTGGTAGAATGGAGATCATGCGCCTTTAAATGAGGTCTCAAAGTGTCATGATTTTTCAGCATCGATTTTCAACGCAAAAATATTTATAGTAGGGAGGTTTAAAGGTGCATAGCTTTTCAAGCATTCATTCTGAACGAAATAATTGCACGTGAAAAAGATGTCGGCAATTATTTTAAGATCAAACATTGCACTATTACTGTAGCAATTGTTTACATGTGCGTGATGCAAAACATACAGTAGGCCGATAATAAGAGATCAGATGGAAACAAATGAAACTAGAACGGAAGGAGAAGCTGAAAATCGAAGAGAAACGTGCTCGGATCAAAAATTGATAAAAATTTCAATTAAAAGAAAACACTGAGAAGACGAGAATCAGGGTTGGATGTGATACTTCTAAAAATAGAAGTACTCATTCGTGTTATCATACCACTACAGCCCACTAATTCATGGTTGTTCACAAAAAGACGAAAAAGAAAACGAATCGCTAAAACAAATATTAAATGAATATCTATTTTTAATCGGCAAGGAAAAGACTGGTTGCCACAATTTACACAATTATATATATGATATATAGTTACGAGTTACTCAAGATAACGAGCCATGAGCCAGTGCGACGATGGCAATTAAAAAAAATTGAGTCGGCGATTTCTGTTTGTTTTCGGGTTTGCATTTCCTTATTTGGTTTGGAGGGGACAAGCATAAGCGCAAAAAAAATCACAGATGGTTCTGAAATGACGAGAGAGAGAAAAAGAAACAAAAAATTTTTTGGCCAACGAGATCTTCTATCGAAATTGTGCCGTTTTATATACAGGAGGTGGGTTCGGTTCGGTTTGGTTTTTGTTTCCACTGTGCAAACATTCACGTTTTCACGTAGAACACGTTTTGCATGATGATGAGTGTTTCTGGTGCTCATCTTTATTGTGACGAGCGAATGGTTTCCGCTTGCGTCGTCGAAAGACCTTGGTTACGGTAACAATAGTTATTCGAGGTCAATTTCAGAATCGAAGCTTCTAGCAATTTCCATCTAAATAAAAAAAAAGTGCCTTGATCAGTCATCCGAAGGGCGCTGTTTCAAATTTCGATTGGAATTCCCGGTGCCCGAGAATCATTTTCATAGACTTTGTTAGGTTACGATAATCGTTTTTAATTTTAATTTAATTTTAATATTAACATTTTCGCTTCGAGAACCTGAGGAGATGATCATTTAATTTGCGATATTAGGCGCAATTTTTGGATATTTCAGATTGAAATTTGACCCAAAATTGCAGACAATTTAAAATGAAAAAAATGTATCAGCAGATTTCAATTAGAAAATCGCCCAAAAACATTTTTTGATCTACTCTACTCGAAAATTAATTGTTGATCGATCACAATAAGAAATAAAAACATTAATTTTATAATTGAAAATCAAATTTTATCGGCTTCCCAGCCGCTTGATGAAGGTCTTGTTGCGAATAATTGGTTCGGTGCAAGTTTCGTTGAAACCCTGGCATCCCTACCAATTTTCGCTTCGAGACCCAAACCATTTCTTGGAATGATAGCATGACACTGTTGGTTTGAAGTTTTTCAGCGAATAAATATAGAATGAGCAAACGCGAAAGGTCACCGATTCAAATTGGTCACAAAAAAACCAGTTTGAGTTTGCAAATGCGATGAGACTGAAGACGAGCGGCTTTCCGCATGGTTTTATTAGTAATGTGTAAAACGGGTGTCCCAAAACAATACTGATAATTTGTTGCGCTAATAATCTTCAGATTCTGTTTGTATTACCACGTGCGGCAAACACACACATCGTATTGCACTTTTTGTTTGATGCCCGTCCGTCCTATCTTCTGATCGTTTCCCAAATAGAAACAGTGGACTTTAAGTTCAGAAATCGAGCCACCAAATATGGTTGAAATTGATTGGCAGCAGAGATCAGTCGATTCCAGAAAATGACGTGGTGTTTCGCAGGAAAAAAAAAACCAAACACGCGAACAAATAATCAAACCGTTCGAGACGAGAAGCCGCGCGCGCGCGCCGATCACGAGACAACGTTCGAGATGGTCAGACGCAGGCGTCGACATCGAAGAGTCGTCCGGAAGATGCGCGCGTGTGTGTTTATCAATTCGTTTCCGGAGCACAAAACAGATTTTGAGGGAAAATGACGAATCTTGCGTGTGCTTGATGGGCACATGTGAGGGATCCGAGGTCTATGTGATCTACAGTGATCGCTTTACCATTTGGGCACATCGCCTAGGGGAAGAACAATTCTAAAAAATATTTGAATCAATAGGTATTCGTTGTGGTCTTGTCAGGCTTGTTGAGCCAGGCAGGTCTTAGAAGCCAATGTTATTGAACAGTTTGGAAATGGACACGATTTTTATATTTGGTGGAACTTGATTTATTTATTTCTGATTGCTCTACCGATTACGAGAAAATTGCTTGGCACGGCTTCGATCAGCCGGTGTTTCTATGTAGGCACGAAAATGTCTGAGAACTGATATTTTTGATTTTCATTATTGGCGTCGTCAAACGACTGAAAGGAGGCGGGGCATTCAAATTCGCGAAATCAGTGAAGATTTAAATTAATCGTTGACTGAATATAAAATGCGCGTACATTATTATGCAATGTACGCAGTCTCGCGTATTTCTCGCTGCCTTAAGACTCATAGCCAAAAATTTTTTAAAATTCGTCCACTCGTTTGACTCCGACAATACTTTCTTACTTTGAAGTCCATTGTACACAGCTGCGGACAAAATCAATCTATGTAATTTGGCATTCTCGGACCATTTTCGACCACGTCTTTTCGGCGAAGTAGAATTCCTTCTTTTCGTCTTCGCCTTGATCAAAAAAATCTTTTCAGAGCTTCATTGATGTCACATAATGTTTTAGCGTTCTAAGTACCGATCCACAGGAATCAAATTTAATGTCAGGGGAACGGGGTTACTATGGTTCCTAATAGCAACTCACAGTCCCGCTTTCACTATCTTCTCGTAAAGCCCATCTTGGTTGCGCCGTCGATGGGCGGAGTCTATCGGTCCGCATCTACATTACAATGGTTAGTTTCATCTCACATCAGAGACAATACAGGGTGTCATTTAAGTTCCCGCACAACTTTGAAGACGTATATTTCTGAAACTAAAAGTCCAAATCAAACGAGACTCAAAATATTATTTATCTATAGTACAACAAATAATTATCTATTAACTCTTTTCGATTCGGCCTCCTTTCGCAGCTATGACTTCACGGAAACGCTTCGGGTAGGATGCGACTGTGGTACGCAGGTATTCGATGGAAAGATTGTCCCATTCCGCCAGTAATGTCTTCTTCAGAGCCTCTACACTTGAATGGGGTTTTGCGTTGACCTTCTCCTGCAAGACCCCATCACGGGAAAGTCAAGCGGGTTCAGGTCTGGGGAGCAATCAGGCCATTCGGATGACTTGATGAAGTCGGGAAAATGGGTCTGGCACCACTCCTGAGTAGTTTTGGCAGTGTGGGCGGCTGCTCCGTCATGTTGAAAGACCCATTTCTGCCCACCGAAATGCGTTTGGGTCCAGGGCATCACATGCTTCTCCAAAATGTCCCGAACGTAGACTTCTTTGTTCATTTTCACTCCCTGATCCACGAAATCCTGGGGGCACATCCCGGTTGAGCAGATGGCACCGAAAACCATCACACTGGCAGGATGTGAGGCTCGATTAATTGTTTTTCCTTTCTCAGAAGCTTGCTGGGATGTCTGGGCAAGTACTCAATGGTTTTGTGAGTAGAATGCCGTCTCCACAGTGAATAGCTTCTCGTCGGAGAAGACAGTGACGAGATCTTGTCCAGACCGCGTGCGAGCAAGAAGTCGTTTTGCTTTTTCGAAGCGTCTCTGCTTGCTGACGGCCGATAGAATTGCCGCTTTTTGGACACGATATGGGGTCAGTCCAAGCATCGTTTTGACAATTTGTTCCATAGCGAAGATGCTCATTCCCATGTCTAACGCCATCTTTCTCATGCTCCTGTGGGGGTTTCGCCTGATCCTCGATTTGACGGCGTTGATCTTCTGAGGAGTGGTTACTGAGACGAGTCTTCCTTGTCTGGGACGGTGACTGGTCGTATTTAGCTCCTTGAAACGTTTGATGGTGTCGCAAACCGTTCTACGAGGCACACCGACCCGTTGAATGATGTCTCTCGAGCTCACATTTTGCTTATGAAGTTCGATAATGGAAGCGCAATGGATGTTAGCCTTCGCCATTTCTCGGAAACACATCCGAATGAGGTGAAACATGGAAAGTAAGTAAAATATACCTTATTTAACAAAAATAAATTGTATTGGTGCACGAAAAGTGCGACAGCCAAGCTCTTCATGGCGTCAAGCGTACGCGCATTAAATATTCAGTCAACGGTTAATTTCAGTCTAGAGTCGGCGTCTGTTTTCACGTGAACTGCTTCAATTGTCTTGATGAGTTTCACATTTCCTTGAATTTCCAACGTCATTCGATTAAAAAATTATCGAACCAAAATTTGAAAGAACTTGTTAGTCCTTGCGAGACCATTTCGAAAGACGTATCCCCGTAAATCTACCCGCGTACAGGAGTCGCCGGACTATACAAAAGCTACAAAATAATTTGAACGAATAGTCTAATCGAGCTGTAATTTTTAGCACATATTTTTCATAGATTTAAATGTTTAAAAGCAAGTTCATATTAGGGAATTTTTTGTTTTTTTTTCAAAACGAAATTTTTTACCAATAATGTCGTTTTCTCCCACATTAATATTCATAATTGAATTGGTAAAACACGGGATGTCTCAAACTTATTTCCCGCCGAACCTGTGGACAAATTTTTTGATTATTTCCACTTTCTTTTTGCCATCTTTTTATCAATATTTTTTTCAATTGTATTATGCTGTTTCAAGTAATAATGATTTTTTAATTAATATTTTGTAGATGTCTCTAGCTGGTCACATTCTACTTATAATATTCGACAATCTATGTATATATAGTAGCTTACAAGGTGTAAGTGAGTCATGAAGGAGATTCGTATATATTTAATCAACCCTCCGACCGGAAGCAATAAGCCAAGACCCTTATCAATGCCACCAGCTCACCCCCTATTTAAGCGATGCTCGGGAAACGAACGAAGAGGTAGGAAGCTGGGAGACACGCTGTAAGTCCACACTATTTCGTTACTCATTCCATCGTTCATAAATAAACTCTTAGTTGTTTATTGTTTGTTTCCAACACAAAGCCATGAACATGAAAAGAGCCTCCCGTTTTTTTGTAACTTTGCACACATAAACTAGAAGGTCTTCTGAGTGTGTTCACAAAATTCCAGCTTGCACTGGGGGTTTTCAGACGAGTAATGGCTATCTGAAAATTCGAGGTGATTTTCCAATGCCAGCAACCATTTGGGCTGGATGTCGCGCGATTGTCTTAAAATGTTCAGGAGATATCTCGGTGTGCGCCTTTAACCTACACTTATACATAGGCAGGCAAATTTAAGCTTTTTGTTTTGCTCCAAGACCACTGACCTTGTTTTTTTGGACAATTTGCCGTATTCGTGAGACGTCGAAAAACTGCATGCGCCTTTAACGCAATGAGACCGTGTTAATAATCGATAATTGTGGTTCATATTCAAACCAAACCTTTCAGAGAAATTGATATACATAGAAAAGTTTCTGCTCGCTCAAGAAAAAAATTCAGAAAATCGAGTTTCAGGTGAAAAAGTTCATACATACTCACGTAAAATTGCACATATTTCATTATTTTGAAATTAATTTTTTTTGAGGTAAATTTTTTTTGTAATTTTTGCCGAACAAAAAAATTGAAATCAATCTGTGCAATTTTATTGTATAATTAGAATTTCAAAAATTAGTGGCGGAATTCAACAAAAAAAATTCCCCCTTGCATCAAAAATTTTTGGTTGAAGAACGTTTCTGTTCGAGACCCCCCCCCCGAGACCAATGAAACACACAATCAATAAATATCAATGTTAACAATCTTGTCGGCAAACGAGCGAGCTCAAAAACCATGCAAGTTGAAGCATGTGCGAATCAAGTGGTCGTCAAGAGGGACAAGTTGCGTGCGGCGAACACATCAGCGCCCCCTTCATCGCAACTCGGCCGTCGGTCGTCCAATTAGCGAGTAATAAAACATTATCGAATTTCAAACCATTCATTTACCAACAACAACACCAATTCGTTTTGTTTGGCTACTGTTGTTCACCTCGCGCGAACCCACTTCCGTTTCGTCATTCGTTGCTCGATCATGCTCATCGTGCTCGTGCTCGTCGCCGCCGCTGCTCTAGCTCGCGAGGAGTGCATCGATAAGAGTCCCTACTGTAACTCGAATGATTGTACAGTGCGACCCGGATATTCATTGGTGTATTGCCGAAAAACATGCGGCAATTGTACAGGTGATTTTTTCAATTTGTTTTTGTTTTTCGAATTTCGCGCCAGTTCAATTTTAAAAGCTACCGTAACCGCAATAGCCTATTTAAAGGCGCAGTGACTCAACGAAATTTCGATTCACAAATTTTCATGTTGAATCAAACGGCAACTTGAAATATTTCCAGAATTTTGCGAGAACTCGAAATTCATAACATGCAGCGACGAGCGGAAAAAAGACTGCGACGAAATGCTATCAGACTACTGTCCGAAACTATGCGGCAAATGTGTTGCGACGCCGACGAAACGAATAAGTGCGATTCTAGATTGTGCGATTTTTTTGACTGACTAATCCGAATTGTTCTAGAAACGGTTCCCGTCGCGAGACCATTCGGCGAAATGACGAGCGGCACACCGAAATCGCCGACGGTGAGTCCACACGTTGTATCGGGTTACGGTAGAAAATAAACAAAACGCGCCGGCGGTTTTGAAGTGGACTACGGTAGAATTCGATTTTCAGGTTCGGTTTAAGCCATCAACACCGCGAATGCTTCCGAACGGCACTTTTATCAATCCGCCGGTTCCCAGGTGCCTCATCGAATTCGGGTTTCATCATCGCGTTTTCAATATTTAGATACGAGAAGGTTCGAACGAATGATGCTTATGAGTACTATCCACAAGCGAAAATGGAGGAAATCCTTCCGGAGCCGCAACGAATCTGGCCGGAACCTGAGCCGATCCGCCTCATTCCCTATCAATTGATGCAGCCCTACTCAACGCCATTCTATGGAAGTTCGTGGCCGATCGATGCGTCGGGCATCTCCTCATCGATCGATGTGCCGAGACGGAGCTACCAGACGCGATTGTTTCCGGAGATGGGTTTTCTGCAATCGAGTCGACTCACCACGCCCGCTGCTGACGTTCAAGGCCTCTATTATGCATTGATGCAACAAACCACGCCGAATCCCTATTTGTTATATCCGGAGCAGATGAATGCGATTGATCCGGACGGCGTGAAGCTGATTGAGCCGTTCTCATCGCCGACGAGTATTGATTCGGATCCGCAGGCGATTAAAAATTTGATTACCTTGCTGGGTGGGTCTCGCCGCGAAATAAAAATGAAAGCGTTGATTTTCAGGATGCAAAGACAAGGATGAGGTGATATGTCGGCAAATCACCACCGAAACCTGCCTCGCGCGACCCGGATACTATCTCAAACTGTGTCCGGTCAAATGCAAAAACTGCGCCGGCTATCAGTGCATCGACTCGATCAAAATCGATTGCGCCGAAGTGAAAGCGCAAGGCGCTTGTAAGCTCGCCGTCGCTCCCGAATATTGTCCGCGCACGTGCGGAATGTGTCAGCCGCCGAAAGAACTGACCGAGAATGTGTCGGATTGCAAGGACGAGTTGGACACGTGCGAGCAGCTGGCGGAAAGCGGCGCGTGCGACCAAGAATTCAGGTAGAAACCGCATTCCGATTGGTCCTCAAATATTTTCAATGAGATCAGATTATCAGGGGAAAAAACGAAGAATGAAGCAAGTCTGATAAATGAAAATTAATAGGATTCGAAACAAATTTATTTTTTTTTTCAATCGAAATCGAACATAGTGCGTTGCAGAATTATTAGACCACCCCCGAATTTGAGCGCCGCGCAATGATTTCGATATTTTGAGACCAACCAGTGTGAAAATCGTGTTCAGCATGAAAAATAACCTATATGTACCTATTTTTATGTTAGTATTTTCAAAAGTAACCGCGCAGTGGACCAAAACCAAAACCGTTTTTCGAACGGTGTAGAATTATATAGCCACCCTAAGAAACAAGTTTTAAACTCAAAGATAACAACTTTCTAATTATGATGGCACTTTCATTCGAGATATAATCGGCGTCCTCCGACTGCTGTACGCGGGTAGATTTACGCGCATGCGCCTTGAAAAAGGTCTCGCCACGCGTGAACGCTTATTTTGCTGTTTTCACGTGAACTCCTTCATTGTTCTTGATGAGTTTCGCATTTTTTGGAATTTTTAACGTCGTTTGAACCGACGCATAAAATGTGAAATAACCTGTTAGTCCATGCGAGACCAAGAGAAAGACGCATCCCCGTAAATCTACCCACGTACCGCCGGACGCCGACTATAATTCGAGATCTCAATCTCCCCGAAATTCCTTCCTTGGCCATAGAGTCCCCGTTCATGCTGAACACGATTTTAACACTGGTTCGTATCAAAATGGCGAAATAATTGCGCGTGGGTGGCCTCTTATAATTCTGCAACGCACTGTATAAATTAATCTGTTTCGAATTATTCCAAAATTTCAATCGAATTCGATTTCAAAAGTGAAAAATTAATCGATTTCGAAGATTTTTTTAAAGAACTTTCTCGAAAGAATTTCAATTATTTTTCAATCGAAAAAGTTTATATTTCAATTTTCTTCGAATTCGATTGATTTACCTGACAATTGGCAGATATGAGGAGAAGCAAAAAACATTTTAAAATTTAAAATTAATTTTTAAAAAGTTTCAGTTTACAAAAAAAACATAGTTTTTAAAAACGCTCGATTTTCAAAAAAGCAAAAATTTTTTTCCAAAATTTCAAATATCAATTAGTTCGATGGAGCGCACTTGCTTTTCAAATTGCCGAAAAAACTCGTAAATGCACACAGACGGATATTTAAGTTTCAAAATCGATTTTAAAATAATTCTCAACTAGTTAAAGGCGCACACCGAGACCTCTCCTCCAATTTTCACATCGACACTATAATTCTCAAATTTCAGTCGTCCGGCTCTTCGAATCTATTGCGCCAAAACATGCGGCTTCTGCAAACCACCGCAATTCTACTTTTCCGATTCGCCCCTTATGTCTCAGCTGGTCTTGAAGCGAAATAAGAATTCGATGAATCGACGTGAACGATTTTTGGGATGAGCGTTCATTAAAATACTGTAATGCTTCTTTTCTCTATTTTATTTGATCTCTATTTATTAATTTTTTCTTCATTTTTTTGGTGCGGTGTCTTGTTTAGGAAGAGGAGGAGAGGGGTGGCATGAAAAATGTGATGCTCGAAAATCGATTATCAGTCAAAGGACAGCAAGCATCCGACCCCTGAATTGATAACTCGTCTCCCTATAAAATGTTATTCATTCTTTCCCCCCCCCATTCAATTATGTATTTATTTATTTAAATAATCGAATAAAATTATTGCGCATTTCAAATATTAACCGTTTCTGGAATGAAATTAATATTTTAAAGGAGCATTTGTCTAGAAAAAAACACAGCATTAATGAAACCCCGAAAATTGTCCGCAGTTGAAAAACTATATTCAATTAAAATGGGCGACACGATTTGATTTGAAGATGTGAATAATAGATAAAAGCAAATTTTTTTCCGAAAATTAATTCTTCTCATTTCGAATAGTTAATTTGGTTTGCACCGATTATCTCCTAAGCAAATATAATAAAAATTTAAAGGAGCATGTCAACAAATTTGAACAATAATTGAGTTATTCCAATTATTTTTTGCTATGTCTCATTGATGCATTCCGACAGGAGAAAAAAAATACCATTTGATAATTGATTTTTGAATTGAAAAATTTGAATTCCAATCCAATTATTGCCGATCTGTAATTGGTTATGTTGAAAATAGGCCACGCCCTTTGGAAATGTCGCGAAAACGGAATTGGGCATTAAATGACGACTAACTTTTTTTCATCGCCATTCGCATTTATTCGAATATCCTGTTTCGTTTTGAAATTAAATATTTCGGAATGATTCTTCAATGATTTTTGTAGAACACGTCACCAAAATGCCGGAACCCATGAATCCCCCAAATATCGACCATCGTCATCAACAAATGTTAAGGTAATTTGGGCGTTTTATCAAAAAAATCACATTTAAGCAGCTCAAAAAAATGATTCAGATGGTTGAACGGCTCATTTCACAATCATCAGCATCAATTCAGCGAGAATTCATGCGAATCATCGAGCAGTCTTGAGTTCAGGTACGGTATTTTGAAAAGCGTGCAATGCGCGGTGACGGTGCTTGCGGACTTGCAATTTTCAAAATTTGCCTATCCGATTTTTCGCGTATTTCCTTGCTTTTTTGCCATTTCCTTTTTCAGCAATTTTAGGAAAACGTTAGAAATTGAAAGAAAACTCAATGCTCTCTCGAAAACGTTAAAAATTCGATTATATGTGAAAATTTTTCAATTCCCGTTTTTTATTGTCAGAGATCACAGTTTCATGACGTAGCCGCTTCTGATAATTGAGTTTGCTAGTTGTATTTATATGACAATTTCCTGATGATTTCAACCCGGCCGTTTCTCAAATTTCTCCAGTCGTTTCTTATCAGTCGCCTTTTTACACCCACATCCCAAAAAATTCTCAAACACCGAAATGGAATGCGAACAATCACACGCGTTATCATCAAGCGTCTCAATAAGCATTGCGGACGTTTTTTTTTTTGTTAAACGCATCTGATTTGCGGAATTCGCCAGATGCTCCTCTCTGAATCTCGCGATTCAATTGGTCATTGATTTTCTTTTGCCGTTGTCAGAAGAGATGTATGTTGACGAAACTCGGAATCATAATTGGACACCAATAAACATTTGTCATGCCGCAGCCAATTTAGAGTTGTTTCGTGATAGAAGGGATTCGAGGAAAAACGAATGAAATCGTTGTAGATGAAGGAATTGGGAGAAATATATTGTAGAATGCGGTTTGAAGAAGCTTGAACACTAAATTGGAGTTTTGCAAAAAATTGGAATGGTTGAATAAAAAGCGATTGGGTGATTTCTATTGCAAATCGAACTTTTTAAAGTTTTCCAGTGACGAGAATATTTTTTAACGGATTTCACAATTGTTAAAAATACCCAAAAAAAAGATGCTACAAGAATTTTTCGCTGCAAGACCTTGTAGTTCACATTTATGTTAACCGTCTAGAATAATTACGGTAGTCATTTATAAAAAAATCAAATAGGGCATTTATAAATCACAGTGAAAATGGTGTTCTCTTTTTTGAAAATGAAATTTATTTCAACAATTAATGAAGCTTAGCTTGATGCCTGGTCATGCGCCTTTAAAATAGCCTCTCATTCGGAACTCTTCAATTTCCCTTTCAAAAACTTTGAAAATTATTGAAAAATTGCTTATTTAAATAATTTTTTTCGCCTGATAACTGGCTCGTGAAACTAGTGAAGTTCGGTTTTCAACTAACCCGAATTCGATGTCGACGTGCAATCGGCGAGAATCGCCATCTTCAGCAATCGCTAAAATTTGTCATCATTTCTCATTTGGTATTTAACTGTCCCGATCTGAAGTTGTAACACAACATTCATTTGCATCCAACAGTTTCGTGTCTCGGCCTCCTCCGCGTTCAGCACACTCTTTCTCCATCCGACCCAATTCGACGTTCGCAGCTTCTCCTTCTTCCATTCTTCCGATTCGTAGGCTTCTGCCCCAATTCCACGCATCATGGGCCTTCTTGGCTTCGTGCTCATGTGCCAATACAGCGGCAATCTGTTCGTCCAGCTCACCTTCTATATTCTCAGCGAATACGTGCTCGAGAAGTTCGATACGCCACTTCCACAGGATGAATTATTGGGCCATTGATTGACGTTTGTTCGATGTTGTAAATACGCTAATAAATGCCTATTTTTATTTTTCTTTCCTCTCAACTCGGTTACGGTAACATTTGTTCTAGTTGAAAAGCGGCATTTTCTTCCAATTTTATTGACCATAAACTTGCTGATATAATCGAGGACGAATTGATGAAATTTCTCACATGACTTTGACGAAGAAAAAAAAAAGACAAATAGTATAACTCACGAGGGTCTTGACGCGAAAAAAAGAGCGGAAACTGGAATTGTTGAATTCCATTCGACACCTACACCACAAAAATACCGAAAAGAGTCCATAAATCAATTTTTCTGGGCTTCTGGTCGAGGCTCCGAACAAACACACACGGAGAGTTCAAAACATGTGTCGCCTGGCCGAGATCCCTTCAATAAGTGTTCGGCCGGCCGCCGCCGCCGCAAAAAAATAGCGCCAAGTCATCGGAGAGAGAGAGAGAGAGACGCGTCGCCGAAGAATGCAAGCGATGCGAGGAATTTGGCGGCGCCTCAACACATCCATTCCGACCCCATCGTTCAGTCATTCGCTTCCGCCGCCGCCGCCGTCGTCGTCGTCGTCGACCAACTCGACCGCTGCTCCGCAATGAGCACCATTTGTCAATTGCTAACCATTCCAGCGACTATTTATGATGGCTATTCGATTCAAGATGTCGAATGGTAAGAGTGGTGCTGCTGTCTAATGGAATCGCGAGCGCTGTCGGCGAGCAGCCGCTCCGCTCATCCCCCCAATTGTGTTGTTTGTCTCAATCCAAAAATGGAGCCTCATAATCGATTTTTTTTTCAAAATTTTTGGTCCTATCTATTATGGTATAGCAAAAAAATGAAAAATCCAAAAATGGGTCTTGTCGCAAAAAAACAATTTTCGATTTACGGGCTTGTAAGCATAAGGTTCACACCTCCATTGAGACCATTTTCTAATAGAAAAATGCAAATGTATTTTTAAACATTTAAAAAAATGTGAAAACCCAAAATTTTGGCGGCAAATTTGAATTTGTGAAATTTCGCGCGACAAAAATTGAAAGCCGATTAATAGTTTCCACTATGCGCCTTTAAAGAATCCCAATATCGCGTTTTCTTCAAAATGCAATTGTTGTCCTTTTTTTTTCATTTCCGGCGCTCGTTTTATCACCCAAAAAAAACGCGCACACATTTTCGAAAACCGGCGCCGATTTGTGTCGGCACTCACCGAAAAAATGCACTTTGTTTCGTCCAATCATCCGACATCAAAGGGCAACACCACAGCCATTTTTTTGTATGTGAGTGTCGATTTGCTGAGAGAGAGAGAGAGAGAGAGAAGAAGAATGAAATTCCTGAAAAATCGCATTAATTGCGCGCGTCGCCGCCGCCAACAACATTCCAAATCCGTATATTTATATCATTTAATATCATAAAATGATTCGCGAAATTCCTTTTTGCCGTTTTTCATCGTCGACGCGCGCGTGCGATCATTGTTCGAATTTTCCGCATTTTCTCGCTCGCTCGTCGTCTTCATGGAATTCCTGTTTCCATCGGGGTCTGCTTCGTCGTTGTGTACATCTGTTTATATATTTGTCTATGTCTGTGTGTGTGTTTTTTTTTCGACTGTATCATCAAGTTCCTTACTTTTAGTCGTCTCTGTTTGTGTGTGTGTGTTTTCTGCTTCTCTGCCCCCGCTCGTCATCCATCCATTTTGTTCTTCGTATTTGTCCGTCGGCGGCCAAAATTTTGAAACATCCAAATACAAAAGTGCGGCGTCTCCATGTGTGCATTGATTGATTGCCGTCGCTTCCCGCCGCCCGCGCGGATCGCACTTGTATCGAGGTCTCGCCGCGCCAACGGCGACCCCCCCCCCTTCACCTCACAGTATTTTTTTGTTGTTAAATGCTCGATTGTTGCGCGGCTCCATAAACAAAAGGCCTATAATTTGGCATCCCATCGAGAAAACGGGCCTCGGAATAGGAAAAAAAAACCAACCGCAATTGTGAAAACGCATAAAATCAAACAACGGGGCGCGCGCGCGCTCGCGCGCAACCACATCGATGTGCATTTATGGAAAGTGTAACGCATTTTCTCATTTCTTTCAGCATCGACATGTCGCGATCGGTCGACTCGAGCACTTCACGCATCATTTCGTCGCCAATGTCGAGTTTTGTGACGCCGTCGACGTCGTTCGCCGCCAATCAGATGCATGGTGAGTTTTTTTTTTGGGGTTTCTTCGTACATTTGATTTTTAATGGGATTAAATAAAAATTCTAAGAAAAAAATTTCATTTTGAACCGCAAAATTGTCCGCAGCTCAATTTTCATTTTTAGACATCTACTCATTGGCAATGCTGACTCCTCCGCCGCCATACTCGGCGCCATCATTCCCGCACGCCGTCCATCATGCCTCTCAGCTTCTTCTTCTTCATAAAATGACTGTCCCGCAGGTAGATCAAACATTCCATCATTCGCGTTACCGTAGTTTTGTTTTGAGACCACAGAAGACTCGGATATCGATGTTGTCGGCTTGTCGGAAACGACGAAAGAGGTCTCGCTGAATGATAAAGATGAGGATATTGTGGATGATACGGTAGGCGTTGGTAGAGTGCCCTTCATACTGTAGGCGTTTTTTTAGCAGCCACTCGATTTGACTAACAAACCCCATCGACCGACGGTAATTGTGGATCATCACGCAGCCCCGAATCCGAGTAGGCCGTCGTTACAATGACGGGAATTCTGAATGCACTCGTTTTAGGACCTCACGCATCCGTTCGTCGATCGGTGTCATCGGTGTCGTCGACGTCGACCAACGACGACATCGCCGCGCATTTTCGACGATCGCTTTCCGGAAAATGGCCGAAACGCAACAAAACCGACGAGGTTCGAATTTTCTGGATTTCAAATTACCGCTGACAATTGTAGGCGCGCAATTCGCCGCTTCGCCGACGGACCTCGTTCAACACCTCGTCGCTGTCGATCTCGCCAACGCCACCGCCGACGGCTGCAACGACGCCGACGCAAACCATCATCGTCAATAATTATACAGGTCAGCATTATTGCTCATATTAGGCCACTTTGAAACTTGACACTCATTTTTTGGTGCATTCGCTCAGAAGAATCTTCTCCAACCATCGAAAATTCATTGAGAATCCTTATCAGAGGTGTCTAACGGGTTGTGCGATTTTTGAGCCGTTTCCGTTTCGTCGTTATTGCCCTTCGCCGTCGGCAGTTTTGAGGAGGGCAAAAAGAAGGCAAAGAAGACCGATCGTCGGAAATGTTCAGACATCGTCGATCTGCCCATTAAATTTTATTTTGCTATGATGCCCCCCGTAAATCAATCGAGTGATGTTCTAAGAATCGAACAACAATCTTGAAGGGGGGGTCACAAATGTGTTTGGAATAAGAGAACAACCATCTGCGGACATGACACCTTTGAAAAATGATTGGGTCTTGACGCAATAAAAAAAAACAATTGATGTGTGCGCCTTTGATGTTTATTACCTTTAACACCCATCATGGGCTCATCTTTTGAAATCGCATTTATTTTGTTGTTCAAACAATCGTAGATCAAAATTTGGCAACCCAAGAGATGTAATATTTTTGCAGACACATCCCTCTCGGTCGCCGATCATTTCCGACGCGCCTTGTACGGCAAACGAGGCGGCGAATCGGCAAAGAAATCGAACGTCGTCGACGCGGCGCGTCATTAAACACATACATACATAGTAAAGTATATTCTTAACAGGTTGAGACCATCTAACGCATTCTTTACAAACTCTTTAAATGTCTCATTCGCCCAGCCGAATCATTCCATGACCAGTGATCAGCCAGTCGATCAGCCATCAGTCATATAATCACCCCAACCCTCTTCCTTTTATCCAGACCTTCCCGGTTTCTTCTTATTATTATTTGAATATAGTCAGACATGTACACACCAACTTCCCGAAACTTGAACAATATGTATTCTTAGTAAATTGCTTGAACTTGTATTTATTTAAAATTATGAATAAATTTTGTCGTCTCGATTTATTAGCATGGGTTGACCGATGGGCGTGGAGTTGCCAATGGCACGTTGTCTGAAATGTCACCAATTTCAGAGAGGGGTTCATCGAAAAAGAATTACCGAGGTTTTCTGGCTCGCCGACGGTGCCTACGTATGGATATCCATGGGCCAATGTTGCGAGGATTGTGGAAATCAGAAGGAAAAGTAGAAAGAAGGCGCGCATCTAGAACGATATTGAGCACATTCGGTTTTTTAAGCAGACGGTCAAGAATGAGGAAAATTCCTATTTTGTTCATAAGACATTTTTTTATTATACGGTTTTCTTTCACCACTTGAACGTTGATACTTCGAATCGCAAAAAAAACGAGCACCCTGAATATTAATTTTCGAGGCGGTAATTCAAATTTGATTTTCAATGAATCAATTAAAATCCACTTAGGGTGTTCATTTTTTGCAATTCTACATCAGCTTTTTTTTCTTCATTCATCTGATTGTGAGTTGAACTTTTTAAAGTTAGAAAAAATCAAAAACGACTAAAGGGAGGCAGAGCCTTCAAATTCGCGAAATCAGTGTAGATTTAAATTAATCGTTGACTGAATATTAAATGCGCGTACGATATAATGCAATGTACGCAATCTAGCGTACTGCCTCAAGATGCATCAGCCAATAATTTTTTGAATTTCGTCAAATCGTTTCTGTTTGTGAAAAAACGAGCAGAATCGGTCATTCCGAAAAAAAAAACTGCACGCGCCTTTAAATTATTGTGCTCCAAGAAAATCCACCGTTTTTGGGCATTTTGTGTTCAATTTTTTATAGCCGGCTTTCGATGCGACTGCTATAAGTGGGGAGATTTACGGGTACGCCTTTCGAAATGGGTCTCATCACGTGTGAAAGTTTAAATAGAAATTTTTGGTTTTTTTTGTTCTTGATGAGTATATGTTTTCATTGAATACTTAATATCACTGAAATTAATAATTAACGGAATGACATCTAAAATGCAAATTATCCAGTTAGTTCGTGCTAGACCATTTCGAACTCTGATAACTCAAAATCAATCGGATCCGAGAAAATTCGACTCCGGAATCAACCTTATCTGATTGGAAATTCTACGGATAAGATTGGAAAATTGTCGTATCCGATTCGAATTGAAATATTAAAATAAACCGGATTCGAATAATTACCAATCGGATCCGAAGAAAATCTAATCGGATCCGACAATTTTACAATCTAATCCGTAGAATTTCCAATCGAATAAGGTTGATTCCGGAGTCGAATTTTGTCGGATCCGATTGGTTTTGAGTTACCAGAGAAAGGAATTCACGTAAATACACGCGCGTACAGCAGACGCCAACAATAATATTCGAAAAAAATTATGGGCCTGCATGCATAATAATGTAAAGAGAACGACACTTCATTTTAATCCCGAGTTTAAAAAAATATATATTTAAAATAATTTTTACATTTTTTGTAGTAAAAAAATTATTTAATGAATAGATACATTTAAAATTTCTATTGTGAATAAACTAAATTTAATCACAAAATTAAAAAAATAAAATGAGCTGGGTCTTGTAGCGACTGATTCCGATAGCTGATTCTTCTAGAAACAGACTTTACATAAGCCAACACTTATTTGTTAGTATAGTGTAGTTCTGAGATGTCGTCCTCAAATTTTCTGCCGATTTCTGAAGACATTGACGTGCAGCGGAATGTTCTAGATGTCGCTGACATTTTCGATAATAAACATGTGACACGTGGAATCTTCAGGATTTGAAAAAAAAATATGTAGAAAAAAATCAATTTAGGCTCAACGTCTTCTCATTGAATTTGCAACTCCTTATTTGATAATTAAAGAGTTGTGCTAAATTTGAAGCTTGAGCTGAGCACAGCTTAGGTGGTTCAACGCTGATCAGACATTCTAAATTCGAACGCTTTACAGAAAAAAAAATAAATTGACAAAAATCTATTCAAAACGAGATAAAAATTCAAGAACATGAGAAGAAGCACAAAAAAATGAAGCACACGAGATGTGAAAATTTTGCGGCTAACACGAGTCGGATGACGGAGTGTCGCCAAAAAAACGCGATCGACCAACTGTCGTGTATGAATCATTCGAGAGTGAGAGAGAGAGAGAGAGAGCTGGTGCAACAAATAACAACAACAACAAAAATTATAACAAAAATAATCAAAATTGTACAATTTAAATGCCAAATCGGCCCGAGAATCCTGAATAACATCCGAATTCTGCATACGGATTGTCGTTGGTCGATGCAGAAGGAGCTGGAGCAGCAGGAGCTGGTGTTGGAGCAACAACAGGCGCTGGAGAAGAAACTGTTTGAGTTTGAGGATTTCTGCTGCTCGGATGCTGCCATGCAAATGGATGAGGTCTATAAGAATTATCGATATTATACTATTATCAGGAATGATACTACCTATCCGGCCTTCCTCCTCTCTGTCCATTTCCCCTTCGATCCGAGAACTGTACCCTTCCACCCCTTCTATCTCTCTTTCGATTCCCGCCTGCTCCACCGCCTCGTCCATGCTGCGCTCGACCTTCTTGAAGCTTCAGATTTGTCCGAAACGCTTTCTCAGCTTCATCATCGCTGAATTCCACGTCGCTATCGACACCATCAATATGCTTCTTTTCTTTAACCCGCTGAATAGCATCATCCTGATCAAGCTTCTTGTTCAGCTTTTCGAGAGTTTCGCGATTCGCCGCTGCCAAATTCAAACTAAAGGGAAGAATTTTTGAAAAATTGGTATCATTTCGAGAACAATTACCCTTTGAATGGAGTTTTTGAGAATTCCTCCTCATTCGGCGCATAGTAAACCTTCATGCCAATAGGAAACAATGAAGCCTAAATTTTCAGTTAAAATTTCTAACATTTTTTCTTGAAATAACCTCTTCTCGTGTGTTGAATCGAACAGCATAGTTTGGTGATTTGACTTGACCGAAAATATCATAAATTTGACCAATTACATCAGCTTTCTGAAATTTTTCTTCTCAAAACATTTCAAAATGAATAATGATGAAATGTTACCTCATCGAAGAGATAGGAATCAAAATCCAAAATAACATTGCTTGTTGACTCGATGACCACTATAAATTCAAAATGTTTCTTTCAAATGTTTCAATAATTTCTCACCAATACAATCGACGGTTTTTGATATATATCCGAATTCGATTAAACTACTATCACATTTGATGGTGAGCTTTTCGATCGGCGGCAAATTATCATATTCATTCATAATATTGGCTTTCGCTGCATTTTTCGCACCTCGTCGACTCTTTTTCCCGTTTTCGGAATATTCGACTTGATGGATTTTTTTGATCAGGCGCGACGAATAATGAACAAGTCTGAAAACCAAAAAATTTTTAATTTTAAAACTTTCAATACTTGTCGAATTCATCGTCAGAATCCAAAGCTTCGCTTGTGATTTTCTTAAAATCGTCTCCAAATTCGCTTCCGTCATCGCTGAATTCGTATTCGCTTTCGGTATCACAGCCATAACTTTTAACTGATGGCGCATTTCGAACTTCAGATGCATTTCCAAGCTGAAAATTGAAATTAATTCACTACAAAAGTGACATATAATTCATACATTTGTGTAATTTTCAGCAATTTGGTCAAAAATTTGCGAAATCGACTGTTTTTTGATTGCATCGACATCTGCTTGTGTTTCTCTTTAAAAATACCACCATTATTAAAAATTGTTACAAACATTACTCTTCAATTTTGGGTTTCACGTAAGTTTCGGAGACTGTTGGTGTTCTATCAATCTGGAAAATTTGGATTAAAATCAATCGAAAAAATTCACATACAATGATATCATCTTCACCAATCGGTTCTTCTTTGATTTCCTTTTCTTCTATATGTGTTGCATTTGGAGATGTGTTTACCATCTGAAAATATCCTTTGAAATCATTGAAATATTACAAAAATTAATTTTTTAGGAAAAAATCTTTGAAAAAATTTGAAACCGCATTTTCGCGACACAGTGTTTGCGTACGTGTCTTCGCTAATTCCTCTCGCATCAGTCAACACTATCCGTTTTCTCCAGAATTTCCGTTAAAATTAAAATTTTCAATTAAAAAGTGTTTTTTTAATAACTTTTTCCTCAAAATAGGTTCTGAAATAATTTAATGGATCTGTTATTAATTTTCAGTGTTGTGATTTTAATGAATTTTTCTCTCATTATTCAATTTCTAGGAACAATGACTTCTACGGAAGAAAAATGTGACAAAACAGAGGTAGAAACCAAGAAAGATCCCTCGGGTAATATGAAGTATTGAAAATCACATACAAAATATGCTTTTAGAACCATCAGACCATGATTCCTCTTCTAAAATGGAATGCGATGCTGAAAAGATTGAGGGTAATAATTTTAATAATATTGCGGAAATATAATATTTATTTTACTTTTAGAAGCCTCTTCTGAAAATAATTCTCCTGGAGAGGAATCTGCCGACAAAAATGAAACAGGCAATTGAAATATTAATGATTTTGTTTTTAAATGTTTGAAAGTGTTTAGAAGGCGACGATAATCAAGAAAAACCACTCTCGAAAAAGCAGCAGAATCGTCTGAAATGGAAACAACGCTATTTGGAAAAACGATTAGTGAAAAGAGTTGAAGAACGCGAACGAAAAAAGGCGAAACGAGCTGCGATGAGAGAAGCCGGCGAGTTTGAAAAACTGAAAAGGAAGCGCGGAAAGAAAATGGCTGATTCGAATAGCAAAGTAAATCTATAGAAATTTTTTTTTAGATATTGGTGTATTTATTGCAGCAAAGAGTAATTATCGATATGTCATTTGATGATCTAATGAGCGAAAAAGATCAAAAACGGACTGTTCAACAGATCAATTGGTGTTATGCGGCGAATCGGCATTGTCCTGAGCCTTTTCAGTTCCACGTTGTTGGTTTCGATGGTCCCTCGCGCAAGGTTACAAATTATGAGTTAATTAAAAAAAAAGAGATATTTTGAAGATGTATGATGGGATTGAGGCGAATTGGAACCAAGACATCCATTTGCACACCGAGAAGCTCGAACAAGTGTTTCCGAAAGAAGACATTGTGTATTTGACAGCAGAATCGGAGAACCTTCTAACGGAACTTGATGATACAAAAGCCTATGTAATCGGAGGAATTGTGGATCACAATTCTCAGAAGGGATTGTGCCATCGTATAGCAGAAGAAAAAGGATACGGTCATGCACGGCTACCCATCGATGAATATGTTCATTTGAAAACTAGAAGGGTATGTTTTTTTTCTTAGAGCTTCAAATTGAATTTAAATTCAATTAAAAATGGATCATGAATATTCGATGTTGCCTCTATTTTAGTTGATGATTTTTATTTTACAATTTTCCGTTGACAATTGACTTTTGATATGGGCATATTTTTGAAACAAAAAAAAATCCAGATTATTTTCGTCTCAAACACCTCTAAAAAATCACAAAATTCTCTTAATTCTACCGCGGCTTCGCTCTGAGATGATCAAAGTAACTGCCTGTTTCGGTTGCCGAGGTCCATCTCATTTGCGTTTTTCAATTATGCCATTTCATTCCTAATTTACTAAAAAAAATTAGTCGGTTGGTTTCAAGTAATTCTTCAAAGTTCGAAAGTAGATATTCGTAGTTCGGATTATTCCAACTTTTACGTTCAATCTGCCTTGAGACGCGTTGCTTATTTCAGGTGCTCACTATCAATCAAGTCTACGAGATTCTTGTCCATTTTTCGGTTCACAAAGACTGGGAGCAAGCGTTTCTTTCGATTGTGCCTGAACGGAAGGGTCTTAAGAAGAAGGAGAAGACGCCCGACGATCCCGAAGCGACAACCGACTAGATCACATTTTGTATTTGTTTTTGATACGCTCAAAATCATTTGTTATTATTGTTTTTCTTGTTGTTGTTGTTGTTAATTTTATTGCATTCATTCGATTAAACGATTCATCCGAATGCGACAACTGACGCCGAATCTCAGCGTCGTTGTTTTTGTCGTCGCATTCGCGCTAAAAAAAGTGCAATGCGACTCTAGAATATGTGTGGGGTTTGTTTTTTCCAGAACGCCAAATTTGCAATAAATCACGATCGTCGAGAGAACACGTCATTTCTCATTTGTTTCGATTTTTCGCTGCGAGACCCCAATTTGGAAAACAATTACTGTCACTTTCAATGCCATTTTAGTCATGCAGAACTAGTCGACCGGATTGCCATTCAATCCATATTCCTTTATCCGTTATAGAAAACAAAAATTGCTACAATGCGGCGGGTTGCGAGATGCCAAAGTGCGTTTTGATGATGATGATAATGGTCCGCGCCTAGATTACACACCACGTTTGGCTCCGCCCACCGACTTCCGGCTCGCATGCATATATTGCGGAGCAATTGTTGCAAAAACATTTGTGCATGCCGATCATCATCCAATTTTTGTGTAATTCTTTTTTGTGCCGGCCGCCGCCGAGTGCCAATCGCTACAACCTTCTTTTTTTTTTGGCTGATCCACTGAGCACAGCACACGCACTTTTCGGGTCGTGACCTCATCGCCTAGTACCGGCTGGTACGAGTCTTGACGCGAAATGCTCTACCGTAGTCCGTGACTGCCGTCAAGACGATGACGAAAAATGGAATGCGGAGAATTAAAATAACTTCCTACCACCTAAAAAAATGGTTTTTTTTTTGCAATTTTTTTCGTTCACCATCTACCGCCAAAAATTATCCGCCCCAAATTTTTCCTCCGGCGTCAATCATAAATCGTCGCCTTCAAGACTTCTCCTCCTCCCCGACAGTTGTGTGTGTGTGTGAGTATCAGTTGTCCGCGTACGCCGATCTCGCCTCTTTTTGCCGCCACCACCATCACCACTTTTTGCAGTTGGTCAACTCGGCGGTGCTTCGGCGCTTTTTATTTTTGTTCGGCCGTCCATCGAACAGCAAAACATCGCGAATCAATGAATCTATTGAAGCGATTGCTAGCTCCTTCTAAAAAAAACTATTTTTTTTGACACACCTTCAACATATTTGTCTTCTTCGATTTTTTTTTCCGAATTTTCCTGGAATTCGTCAAACGTTGCACTTAACAACTGCACCCACATTCGAGTTCTCGTGCCAGCGATGTTTTGCTTCCAAAATTTCAGCATCATCATGCGTACAACAGTATTATTAGCAGCAATTTGCGTGGTTGTTGCTTTCGGTGCGCCACAGGTATCTCGAAGCAAACGCAGCGCAGACGTCGAAGCCGTCGGTAGGTTCATTTCCTTTTTTTGAATTCGTCACTCATTCATACCGGCGATTCATTTTCTCAAAATCGTTTGCCGTGTGTGTACTAACCGTATTCAGTGCATAAACTCGAGCCGGTCAAGACGTACGTGTACACGGCGACGGGACAATTCGTCACGCAGTTTGGTAATCGATTCGCATTCTGAGGTTGACGACAATTTGCGTGGTGTGCGAGATTCACCCTGAAAACCAACATTGTTTGCGACGTTAACCATAGTATTAGTTGATTTCAGCTGATAAGACTTTCCGAGTAGCGGCTAGACTAGAGATCCAGAATGATAGACTCAAACGGCAAGAGTATGAGCAGCAGCAGCAGCAGCAAGAGCAGCAGGAGCGTGCTCGCGCGGAAGCCGATGCACGTCGCCGCGAGCGGTGTCGCAATCGTCGCCCGCCGCAGCCAACGTCGGCGCCGCCGCCGCCGCGCAACAACTGCCTGCCGCCGCCAGGCCCGCCACCATGCCAGCCGGCGCCATGCCAGCAACAGTACCCGTGCCAGCAGCAACAGTATCCGCAGCGCGGATGCGGGCAGACGCCGTACCCGCCGCCAACCTATCCGCCACGCCCGCCCACCAATCCACCACCACCGCAGCCGGTGCGCACTGGCGGATGTTTGCCGTCGCCGAGAGGCTACGAGCAGCAACCACAACCGCAGCGACCCAGCGGCGGATGCGGCGGTTATCGGCCGCAGCCGTCACCGTGCGAACAGCAGCGACCACAGCCACCAGCGCCGAGCGGCGGCGGCTGCCTTCCCGGACCATACTACCCGCCGACCCTTCCGCCACCACCCGGCTACCAACCGCGCGGCGGCTGCGCTCCCCAACAGCCGAACTACCCGCAGCCACGACAGCCATATCCCGATCCGCGACGCACCAACGAGTTCCGCGCCGCGTCGACCGAATGCGCCGGTCTCGGTCCGGCGCCGTGCCAGAACTTTCCAACGCCGCCGCCCGGCGAGGATCCGTGCGTCGGCAAAGTGAACATTGTTTCAGTTGACTCGTCCGGCAACGTTGAGCACTATTTGTATGAGACGAAAAAGAAGGCTGGCGAAGTGTTGGGTATGTCGAGCTGCGCAAAAAAATAATTGGCGCATAAAGAGGAAAAAAACCAACATTTTTGATTAGACGCCATTTTTTTGAGCAGTTGCGTGTGATGTGTGATGTGTGTGTGTGTCCTAGTATACTCGTGTGATGTCGTCTTGGATAGAGGTTTAGGGAATGGATTTTTGAGCCAGAAAACTGCTTGCGAAATAGCTAGTGCATCCGATTATGTTTAAATAAGTCTAAAACAAAAATTCAATAAAAGTGAAAATTTGGCGACCGCGAAATTTCTCGTCCGCAAAAACTAGTCCGTATCGATAAAAACATTTATCAAATGACAAATTTGGTTCGAAATAACTTAATTTTCTGTGTTGAACCATTTGAACGAATTATAAAAAATTATATTGGCTAAAAATTCGAGTTTAATAATTTTAACGATTCAAACTTCGATCAAAGCTACGCGCGGGCGTGTCCTGACACAAAAGTTAGGCCATTTTGATCAGTCAATAAATTTGTGCGGGAATCGAATTTCCGAAAATGACATATTAAAAAAAAATACTCAATATTTGTATTTCAAGCACCATTGAATGCTATGCAGTCCCTTGTTCACGCACCGAATGCCACATAGGTTAGAACGGTTTGCAATAGAGTCTTGTCGTTCTAGAATAGGTCCGGAACACGTATTCCGCAAGAAAAACCCGTTCAATTTTTTAGAAAACTTGTCAAACGAGGAGCAAAAGGCATTTGAAGCGGCTCGCAACCAGTGTGTCTACCCGGGACGAAGTTTCCCGGGAATTTCCGGGTTCCCGGGAAATTCCCGGGAAAATTTTCCCGGGACCCGGGACTCATTGAAACTTAATTTCCCGGGATCCCGGGATCCCGGGAAATTCGTTTCCCGGGAAACGCGGGATCCCGGGATCCCGGGAAATTCATTTCCCGGGTTTCCCGGGAAATTCCCGGGACACCCGGGACAATCCCGGGACAATCCCGGGAAAGTCTGCAAACACCGCGCGCGCAAACGCACACTCTTCGAATATTGCGTATTGTCGTTTTTTTTTTCGAAATTTTATGAGTTTTCTTATTTTCTTTGTCATTCTGATTCGCGACATATTCAAATCGAATCTTTTCAGTCAGTCTTTTCAGATCGAATCAGCGATATTATTTATTATTATAATTTATTGTTTACTTGATCGATCTTCAATAAGATTTTTCGTTGAAAAAAGTATATTGAAAAAAGTTTAAAACCATTATTTCGTATAAAATTCTTGCTAATTTGGAAAAATCGTTATTTGCACATTTCAATTGTACTCATTTTTCTGCCAAATTTTAAAAATTCCAAATAGGGACTTCCTACGCCATTTTCTAAGCATTGGAATCTTTTTAAAATAAGAAAATTCATTAAAATGAAACGAGAATACGCAATATTCGAAGAGTGTGCGTTTGCGCGCGCGGTGTTTGCAGACTTTCCCGGGATTGTCCCGGGATTGTCCCGGGTTTCCCGGGAATTTCCCGGGAAACCCGGGAATTTCCCGGATTTCCCGGGAACCCGCTCATCCCGGGAAATGAATTTCCCGGGATCCCGGGATCCCGAGATACCGGGATCCCGGGTAGTTGCGGGACGAAACCGGGACGAGACCCGGGATTGGAGACCCGGGATTTCCCGGATAAACCCGGGAAACGAAATTCCCGGGATCCCGGGAAATCCTGTCCCGGGTAGATACACTGCTCGCAACGCAATCAGTTAGTCCCGTCTATGTGCATTTTGTCGTCAATCTCTGTGCAATCATTGCGGACTTTTTCTGATTTTTGTGATTTCAGGCGAAGCCGGACAAGCTGCCAACGACGCGGTCCATTGGGCTGGTGATAGAGCACGTAAGAATTGCAATAAATAATTTGAATTGTTTGGCGATTCAGGTGAAGCTCAAGAGGGTGCTGCAGACATGAGAGATCGCGCTTATCAACATGGACAAGGTATTTATTAATTGAACGAGTATTCGATATTGAGCGGAAGTTTAGAAATCGCTGACGACGCGAACGCTGCTGCAGCCCGTTAGTTGCATTCTAATTTATTTTTATGCACCCAATTGCACATACATCCCACGTTTATTTTGTTTTCGGTCTGCATGTTAGCCTAGCCATCCACCCACCACCACCACCATCACCCATTGTTGATTTTTTTTGATCTGCTGCACTTTAGAATATGATGTTTTCCGGTTTCTTTTTTTCTGCGTTCTTCTTTATTTTTGCATGAAGTTGGTGCAGGAATGAAATGTTTCGTGTTTTTTTTTTCGTTTCTTTTTTTTTCTACCAATTATGATTTTTGTGTGTAGGTGGCGCGCAAGCCGTCAAGGATGGAGCGTCGTATGTCGCCGGCGGAGTCGAGAGCGCCGCAGGTAATTGAATTTCGTTGCGAGACTCACCGGCGGCGAGCTTCAGGTCAAATTGGAGAAGCTGCAGCTCATGGGTATGAAGCGGGACATCGTGCTGTCGACAAGGGTATTGACGCCATTGGAGACGGCGCCGGTAGGCGAAAGATTCTTCTCAATTCAATTACAGAGTTTAGAATGGACGGCGCGGAAGGCTCAGGAAGGAGCCGGCGCTGTTGTTGAAGGAGCCAAAGATGGAGCTCACGCTGTCGCCACTGGTGTCAAGGATGGCGTTGAATGGACGGCGGACAAGGCTAAAGAAGCTGGAGAAGCTGTTGTCGACGGAGTCAAAGGCGCTGGAAGTGCGGTAGCCGATGGAGCTAGTAATCAGAAGCTTACGCTTAATGGCACATTTGTATGGTTCAGGCTGGACTGCTGACAAAGCGAAAGAGGCTGGAGGAGCTGTTGTAGAGGGAGCCGCAGCGGCAGGAGGTGCTGTCGTTGATGGAGCCAAGAGTGCTGGAAATGCGGTGGCCGACGGTGCTAGTAAGTCAACGCAACAAATTGAAAAGCTTATGGAATCGTATAGATTGGACAGCTGATAAGGCGAAGCAAGCGGGAGAAGCTGTTGTCGACGGGGCCAAAAATCTCGGGAATGCGGTGGCAGATGGAGCCAGTAAGTGCTCAACTATCGCAATTTCACATTTCTGTTCGAGCTTGCACCATTTATGTTTTGCTTGTGATTCAGGCTGGACTGCTGAAAAGACAGCCGAAGGAGCTGGAGCAGTTGCTGGCGGAGCTGCGGCCGCCGGTGGTGCCGTCGTCGATGGCGCAAAAGCTGCCGGTCGGACGATTGGTGACGCGGCCTCGTCTGCCGGCGACGCTGTCGTCGACGGAGCGAAAACGGTTGGTGACGCGGCCTCCTCGGCCGGAAGCGCGGTCGTCGACGGCGCCAAAACCGCCGGGGAAGCTGTAGTTGACGGAGCCGCGTGGACAGCCGACAAGGCTAAAGAAGCTGGAGAAGCTGTCGTCGAAGGAGCCAAAGATGTCGGAAATGCGGCCGCCAGTGGAGCTTCTGCCGTCGGCGAAGCAATTGCTGATGGTGCTTCGTGGACTGCGGACAAGGCAAAGGGAGCTGGACAAGCTGTAGCTGGAGCAGTATCGGATGGAGCCAGTGCGAATTTTCTATCGTTTTTCTTATTTCAGCAGAACTCGCACTTTGCTAATGTGACAATGAATATGTTTCAAAAATTCGACCTTTTCAGGCGCCGTGATTGATGGAGCCAAGTCGGCAGGAAAGGCAGTCGCTGATGGAGCGGAATGGACCGCAGAGAAGGCTGCTGAGGGAGCGGCGGCAGCCGGTGAAGCCGTCGTCGACGGCGCAAAGAGCGCCGGGCATGCCGTTGAAGAGGTGTTGGGTGGAGCGGTTGACGCGGTTCGCAACACTGTTGGTAAGCACTATCGCTTGAGAGGCAATCATAGAGAGATGATTACAGGCGAAGGATTGAAGTCAGCCGGCGAAACTGTCAAAGCCGATTAATTTAGACTCACATGTACAAAAGCGAAAAGAGAAACTCAAAGAATTGCCTCAATAAAATTTCAAACAAATCGTGTAGCTGGTTTTCGATGGTCCCTCGGCGCTGCGCACAAAAACGGCAACATTTTTGAGAACAAAAGGCGCATAGTGGTGGTTTCGATGCCCATTAATGGACGGCTGGTTAATAGTCAATTGTTGCGCGACGTTGGTCGGGTTGTTGTTGCCAAACCTACCGTATAACCGACTTCATTAATATTTGATGTAAATGGGCATTATACCAGTTCACAGGTGCCAAAACCGATATTCGAAAAGAATATTTGATGTCAATTATTGCCAATTACGGAGAATATTGATTCAAGAAGGAATAACGATTGTCAAAAAAATCGCCAAATTAAAATCATCTATTTTTTAATTGTTGGCTGCAAAGGAGCATGGATTTTCTGAAAACTGGACACGGAATTTCGTGCAATTCAAGTGTCCTTCTGCTCAGAAACAAAAAAAAAATAGAAAATCAAAAAATCTGTTCATTATTGCGTAATATTGATTGCGGACTTCTATACTACCGTAACGAACAGAATAATTGAACAAATGTTGTACCACGGAACGCGGAACAAAAAAGAAGCCGGAATTCCGTACAGAAATGATAAGAATTTAATAAATGATAATAATAATAATTTTTTACAATTTTGAGATTCAAATGATTGGCTTCGCTAAATTCCTCAAGATTTTAAAGCATTCGGAATTTTTTTTTAAATTATAGGGGCGCAAAAACCCTAATTCTGTTTTTCGGGGTGGATTTTTTTATTTTTAATCTCGAAGCGACTGATTCTGGTCGCCACTTTTTTTTCACATTATGCGCCTTTAATTTCATTAATTTGAATTTTGCATTCGAATTGAGTTTATTCACAATTTTCATGGCAACTTCTTGATATTCGAAAATCGAAAAATAATTGAAAATTAAGAAGAAAAAACCGAAATCAGTGGGTTTTAAAACAATACGAGAAATTTTTTGCTACGGTAATGAAAATCGCGTTTGCCTTGAGTCGTGTTGAGCCAATTCCAGAAGCCCTAATTTTTTTTAAAGAAATAGAGTTTGATTGTGCATTGTACGGTAAATAAATTAAATTCAAATTTGAATTGCCGCCCCGAAAATTACAATGGTCCACAAATCCAAAAAGCATAGGCGCTCGCTTTTTTTTTTTAGAAAAACAATCTTCTATGTCCAGCTGATTTTCCAACATCACTCGAGTATTCAACATTCATGTGCTGCGGACAATTAACCGGGTGAAGAGAGAGACTAATGGTTTCGGTCACCTACTTGGTTTAAAATCACGCAACTCGGTCGGCTCGTCCTTCAACTGTTTTACGATCGCGAAAAAAAGTTATAAAAGTCGGTCGACGGCAAATATTCCGAAACTCGCATAGATAATCATCTCGAGACCAAAATACGACGGTCCCTCAACCAGATTTGAAAAACTTTCCTCTTTCTCATCTTTCTTTCCAATGATTTTTTCGACATATTCCGTTTTCCTTTTTTTTTTTATTGTTGTGATGTGTTGTTGACCATATGACTCGGACTTTCGAGCTTCTTCTTTCGGCCCGATTCGTCGGAATCTCCGCGATCGCCCGGTTATTTCGTCGACGCTTCGATTATGTGTTCGTCTTTTAACTATGTTTTTTTTTTCGTCGTCGTCGTCTTCCACTTCGGCTCGGTGCGCGCTGTGCTCAATTGCGCAGTAAAGTCGTTACTCGAATCGAAAACGGTGAAAAATTGTCGAGCGATGCGCACGCCGCCGAGATGAGAATGATGAGCGAAGGTGCTGCCAGATTTTTGAGCACCAATAGCTGCGGACAAATGAAATAATTTGAAATAGTGGAATTTTTATTTGAAAATTTTCACATTCTAAATAGCTATTCTTCTTTTTAATGATATACGATATCAATTATATCAGCTGCGGACAATTTCAAAAGGTCCCCTCGTCGAATTGAGTGGTGCAAAAAAAAAATTCGAAATTGACCTCGAAACGCGAACACGGAAGATGTTCTCATTTTCTGATGACCTACAAAATGCTCGGATGATAATAGGCGCCTCGTTGAATCGAACACCTGCGTCAACTCATTAGCGGTGGTGGCACCAAACAAGGAATGACACCGAATTACAAAAACCATTTTTGCGGCCGAATCGCTTCCCGTTCGGGTTCCTGTCGCGCTCATTGAAGCATGACAAGTCGACGGACTTCGGTATCCAAGCAAAAAGGTGCCTGTGCGAAACCGGTCCCACCATCACCGTTGCTTAATGAGCATTGTTCGATTGGTGTATGTCACCAACAAGTATCGCTAGTAGGTCAACGTGTGGGTGTGTGGGTGTACATTTTTTTTTCTTCTTCTTCTTCATGTTGGCAATGTGATATATGGCGGTGGGCCTCAAACAACAACCAAGAAAAAAAACTAACGACGAAAGGTGCGAAGAAGCATAGGTCGCGTTGTTCTCATGTCAGGAATGCACCACAAAGAGACATTAGCGAAACTGGATGGTGCGGATTCCGTTATAAATGGGTGCCGATGACCTGGGCATCAGATTCATAAGGGCTGGGAAAAAAATTTTCGAATTAATGGGACGGGCAAGCTTCAAGGTTACTCCGGACGAACTCACTCGCTACCGTAACCCAGAAGCTGCTCACACAATATTCTCGACGCATTAACAAACGCGAAAAATGAATTTGTTCGAAACATTTGACCACCGACACGCCCGGATTAGTTTTATTAGTGGCTCGGATCTCGATCCCGTCCCGCATGATAATCCGCTTCCGCCGCCGGCCGACGGTGTTCCCGACCCAATTCGTGCTTACTGTCCAGTAGTCGTCGACAATCGTCTCGTCCGGTGGCGCGCTATTTCCGGTCGATCTCTCTCGACCGGAAACTCGGCGCGCGCTGTTTGCTGGGGGGGCTGGTGATGATGCACTTCTGTGGTTGAAATTTATGCATCCATCGCGTTTTTCCCTCTCTTCTTATTCTGCTTCGAAACCATACTTTTTGTTCAACCATCGATATATGCAACATCGTTTCGAGACGCGATGATCCTTGAAGCTCGCTTCACGCCATCCGCTGCCAATTTGCGGCACTTCATTAAATTGTATTCAATTCGACAATCGGGAAACGTGTTTTTTTGTGTCATTCAATGGCCCCCCCCCTCTCCTCCCTCATAGGAAAAAAAAAGCAAAATAGAAAAACGTCAGCAGCCATTTTTAGAATCCCGTTGAATAATCTCGAAAAACTCGTTCCTGGCGCCCATCGAATTTGCAACAATTTTTGCCGCCTACCGTAACACGGGCCAGCCGGCCGGCCGGCCGCGCGCATCTCGTCGCGATTTCTCTTCTCGCCAATTAGCCCCCCTCGCGCACGCATGAATATTATTATTATTATAAATTTTGACGAGAAAAGTGACCGATCGCGTCGGAGGGACGCTCCGATCCGCCAAATGAAAACAGTGTTTATGTAGTTGTGTTGCGGGATAGACGACGACGATGATGATGATGATGATGATGCGCAAATGCACATTCAAACCAATTATCGTGTTCATATAGGCGTGTTGCGGACGAGAAAAATGGACATTGAGGTCGGAAAATGTCGAATGTTTCGCAGCCGAGCGACACACCGTGTTTCTCGAGCATTTTTGATGCATTAATTACCCCCATCGCCTCAGGTTTTCTCCGGTTTACCTCATCTTCCACAATCGTTGTGTCCTAATCGTAGCCTCCCAAATTTGATCTACCTTGATCCTCAAAATGTTTCGATTCCTTTTCAACAATTCGAAGACAATTTTTGATTGACCAGAGTCGGGTCTTGAGTGGAAGATGAATATTACGAGCCCATTTTTTTTGAGAATGCGCATGATTAGAGAGAAGAGCCGTCAAGTCTTTGCGCAATTTCAGAATTACTAGTAGAAGAATTTGATCTACTCATAAATTGAGGCATTTTGGTCTAATCAATAAGCATTGATCATCCTATTCTCTTATAGTCAGCGACTGACGCGGGTAGATTTACGAGTGCTCCTTTCAAAATGGGTCTCGTCACACGTGAAAGCTTAAATTGAAATTTTCTGCTTTTTTTCTTGATGAGAATATGATTTCCTTGACTTCTTAATATCACTGAAATGAAAAAAATAAGCGGATTGACCGCTGAATACTTGGTTGGTCCATGCGAGACCATTTCGAAACGGGCAATCTACTCGCGTGGAGCAGTCGTCGACCAAATGCTCTTTTAAAATTCGGATATTATCGAATCTCGGCTACAATAATTTCTGATATTACACGTTTTTTAATTGCGCGATGCCGAAACCCGAATCTCGCCAGACTTCCGGATATTTCATCTCAATTTTTGATCTCGAATCATCTTGATAGACCCCTCTCCCCGTGTGGGTGTGTTGCCAATGGCAATGGATTTCGGATTCCGTCCCTCCATCATCACCATCACAAGCATCGCAATTCAACAAAGATCTTGATGTTCGCTTGTGATTGTTGTTATTGCCAATCGGCCCCTCCAAACATCTTCTTCAACTTCATTCGTATCTTCTTCTTCTTCTTCTCTTTTTATGCTTTTGTGTTGCTTAAAGCCAATGGGGGGGGGGATATTGCGCAATCCTACCTCGTCAGTTTCGAACAATATCCAGTTCCGACGTTTCTCCCTCTCTCCCTCGTTCTCCAAACACTTCTCAGCTTCTGCTTTCGGATGATCGCGCGGCCGAGATGTCGTCGTCGTAATACAGGGAGCGAGAGAAGGGGGGGGGGAGGCTTCCGTCCGTCCAGCTTCGATGTCCCGTCGGAAAGGACAGCAAAAAAAAATTATTGGCGAATGAAACAAACACAAACTGATAAGGTGATCGTAAAGGTCGTTCCGGGGAGTTTGAGTCATATAGGCGCTCCGGCCTCATCGTCGATGAGAGAGCCTCTTCTTGAGGTGTGCCGCGCACCCTAGAAATGTCGCAACTGCCATCCTCCTGTGTGCGTCACCATCGCTCTATACCGGCGGGCGCACTAATTTGCGGGAATTTGTCGAGTTCACCAGAAAACAAAAAATCCCAGCTTCATGTTTTTTTGGCATAATCGTCGTCGTTGAAATTCTCTTGAAACACATTCCATCCGACTTGTGGCGCAATCAAGGTGTCGGTCGGTCGCGCGTTTTACGACACACGCCGCCGATTCGATATTCAAGTTTTTGGGCATGGCGCGAATGAATGGCGCTTTGGCTGGTGGCCGCCGGTGTTCGGGATATGAGTGACTGCCAGCCGTCGTCGCGACAATTTCAAACAAAAACGCCTCGTAATTGCGCAATACGAAAAAGCCCGGTTTTTGGTACATAATAATTGATGATTCCTCGACGCGCCGGATTGCCGCTGGATCTTCTCAGCCATCTCAAGCATCGTCCATGTCTGCCCGTCTGTCTATTATTGTTGTCGTTGTCCTTTTTTGCGCACGTTGAGGTCGAACTTGATACCGGGGGGGCTGCAAAAAGAAAACCAAAAAAAAATAATTGAGAGTTTCTGCCTTCTGGATAACAGATCTACTATCGCTTTGCTGTAACATTGTTGATTTGTTGACCTGTGACGTCAAAATCTCCTTCAGGGACCTCCTCATCCGGCGATGAAGCTGGTTCGTGATATCATCTCTTTGGGATTATTGTAAACCATTCAAGGTGCTAACATATCCATCAAAATCATTCCGATCCCCTCCCCGTCCTAACAGTTCTTCCAGCTTCTACTTCAGCTTCTGCTTCTTCTCATCGTCCACTCATCTAATTTATTACTTGCTTTATGCAATCACGTTCCGCTGCCCGACCAATATGCAGTCGTGTTCGGTGTATTACATATATTCTTCGCGTATACTGTTGTGTTGCCATCGGGACACTCGTTCAGAAGACGAAGCAGAAGAAGCTAAAGCATGATGATGATGATGATGATGGCTGGCTGGCTGGCTGCCCATCCATTCGAGTGACCCAAAGCCAAAGGCGCGCACCGACCGGTTTCTGAATCGCGTAATATGCCGTCCGCGCGTCCGACCGTCCGAGGCAGAAGCGCTGCCTGCTGGCGTGAGGCAAACGATGAAGGAGGAGGAGGAGGACCTCAAAATGTGGGCGGAGTCGGGAGACACCAGCGTCCACCACATACACAACACGCGCGCGCGACATCGCAGTCCAAAAGTTTTTCCGATGGATCTGGCTGATGGCGGCGATGTGGGGGGATGGAGGGGAGGGAAGGGGGGCTCACATAGGCATCCGCCCAATCTGTTTTTTTTTTCGAATTGTTGTTGTTTTCGTTTTTGTTGATCTGTTGAACTTGACCATTTTCCTTCTTCTTTTGGTTTATCCATTTTGGGCTTGTGCTCTTACAGTAGGCTCATCCGAGAGGCATCAGCTCTCTTCCGCCGCCTCTGCCAACCCCCTTCTCTCACTCACACGCTCGCGCCTCATTTCCATCTCGGCCCCGCCCACTTCCTATTGCACCCGCTTGTGTGTGTGTGCGCGCGCGCCTCGACACCCATTTACCATTCCGCCGCCATTCGCCCACCCCTCACCAAGCCCACCCGATTGGAAGATTTCAGTAATGCAGACGCAATCGCCATTTGCGCCGCTACTCGGCTTGCCGCCACAGATGATGTCGAGCCCGAACGCGGCTCCGCCGCCCTCATCAACGCCCGTCTCGCTGACCGCCTTCCCGTCGGCGTTCGCCGCATTCGCCTCGCAAATCCGAAGCACACAACTCCAATCGCTGCTGCAATCGCAAATCGCCGCGCTGAACAACGCGGCGGCGGCGGCGGCAGTGGCGTCGTCGACGTCAACATCGACGCCGACCCATCGTCAATCCTACACACAATCCGGCAAAGTTCGCGGGGTATATTTAAACAAATCGATTCCAGATGATCTTGTTCGTATCAATCGACGTTTTGCAGACGACCGAGTATCCGATTCGGAAGCGCGTCGGCGGCTCGACAGTGAAAACCGCAAAAGTTTGGAGGTACTTCGACGAGCTGCCGACAATCGAGCAGGCCGCCGAATGTCGAATTTGCCGCAAGAAAATCAAGGCGACGAATTCCAGGTGTGTTATTGTTTTTCGAGCCTCCACCTCATCAGGCTCATTGTGCATTCAATAGTCTTGTTCATTCGAGCGTCGCCCATAATTCCTTATTTATCTATTTCCTTCTTTTTTGCTGCCGTCGCCACCATTCATTCTTTCGTTCCGAATTGTGCATAGCTAACAAGGCGACGACGCGGTGTTCGAAATTTCCTTTCTTTCCTTTATCTAGCTTGTTGTCATCATTCGTCAATTGTTTCAGCACGACTGGAATGATTCGACACCTTCGGAGTTGCCATGTGCAAGAATACCAAGTGGTGCAGGAGGCGAGACAGAGCAGTATGATTGTCAAAATGGGTTCGTCTTTTTTATGGGACCCGAGTGTGTGGGTATATTTGGGGTAGAAGCTAACCGATGTCCAATGTTAAGATCAATCGCTTCAACTAAACAAGAATCTCTCGTATAGTTAGCATAGTTATAACCAACCCATCCTTCTTGGTTCGCTTTCATTGGTGTTTTTTTTTTTTCTTTTGATAATTCACACTAACTTCAACGATTGAATTTCCATCAAAATTTTGAAGGGGTGGCGAGATTCAAAATTTTTTTTTGTCAATTCGAAATTGAACACCTGTCATCCCGATAATCAGAACGAACGGTACATCTGGCGCCAAGCAGCAACAGCCAACCGGCTGGTTGTTTGACCAGATAACGGAAGCCTAATTAACTGACACCCAAGGCCAAGCAGGGTGGTGGGGGACCTCACCGATGGTATTCAAATCATCGCGAGAGAGAGAGAGAGAGTGAGCGCGCGCGTGCCGAGCGAGCTTGCTGGGCCGAGAGGTGACAATGAGCGAAATATTTGGAACGTGTCGTTGTAGAGGAGAAGGCGAGGGCGAAACTGCTCCGCGAGATGAACGAGAAGGTCACGAATGGCATCGCCTCGCAGATCAAGAAGGAGCCGAGCGATAGTCAGAAGAGCCCGTCGGCATCATCGTCGGCGTCGGATACGGCTTCATCGGCGTCGTCGTCGCACTACCCGATGCCACCAACTGGGCTGCCGGCGCCGAAGCCGATCAAGGCGATGATCTCGATCAAATCCGAATGCACCGAAGTCGAGGAGGAGCAGAAGCCGACGGATCTCAGCGTCAAAGCTTCCGAGATGTCGGCGTTCTCGAACGTCGCCACACCGGAATTCAAAGAGCAACAGAAGAAGCTCGAGGAAGACCATAAGATTCATATGCAGATTGCGTTGATGCTCCTGCTGGATCAGCAACCGCCGCAGCTCATCGATCGGCCGGGATTTCGATCATTGTTCAGGTTTGTCTTTCCTGGAATAAATTTTGAGCTGAAAATGTTCAATGAGCGTCATTTCAGATTCCTTCTTCCCGAATACCAATTGCCGTCGGGCGACATCTTCCAATCAATGATCGTGCCGCAACTTCTGAATCACATGAAACAACAAATTGGGGCGATTGTCAGCAACACGGCGAGGTAATGTTTTCGAAAATTGCGCCACCATCTCCACCACCACCACCACCACCATCGCTTGTTGATGATGATGATAAATGGGTTCCTGAGGAAAAAGGGCAAGAGGCTCGTCGTCGCCACCATCGGGTCGGGTCGTAATTTGCCGCACTGTAGGGGGTCGTCTCGAAATTAATGAGTCGCCTTCGTTCTTGTTGAAAAATTGACCGATTTTTGAATTTCAAGCTTAAATTCGAAATTTGTTTCCACCAAATAACAGGTTTACCGGTGCCCACCCTGTGTTTCAAACAAGAAAAAAAAAAGACGAGAGAGAGAGAACGATGAAGACCTGCCTTTCTTTAAATGGCCAACCGTCGTGCACTTTTGTGTTGAAATTGATGGTGTCGTTGTGTGTGCGGGCGCGCGCGTGCGTCTCATTTCGACTCGATCTTGTTTCGAATCGAACGCCTTGCCAAAGATTATCTATGTTCTTTGTGTGCGCGTATGCGTTGTGTCGTTCTCGGTCGACGGAGGGCCACCGGCGCGCGCCACCACCGCGCCATTAACATTCATTTTGTTTCGCAATTTTGCGACCGGACAAAGAACTCATTTTGGTGCGGGGTGGTTGGCGGTGACGGCGAATCGAAAACAAATTGGCACCTCTTGTTGCGAATCAATGCTTGATTACAGTTTCCACCAACAGCAACAGCAACAACAGAAATATGAGGAGAACTCGTCGATGAATGAAACGACTCAACTCACCAAAGAGAATTATGAGGAGGAAGAGGAGGATGAGAATGTTGAGGTTGAGGATGACACCTCGTCAGCTTCATCTTCAATGGATGCTGACACTTGCGACGCGATGGCGTCGTTTATCAATTATATCGGAAACGACGTTTTTCCGCAGGTAAACGCTCGAATTTTTTCAAGCGATGATCCGCAATGCGACACACGACACTTTGCGGACTACGCACTCGTCTCGCACTCTCTCAATTCGCCTCAGTGTTTCACCGGGAGGATAATGATTTTTTTTCGAATTGCAGGACGAGCTGATATCGCTGCTCGCCGTCGTCTCGAACATCTTCGCCTACTTCACATCGCGTCCAGTACTTCTGAATCATCTCGACATGACGCAATGCCCGCCAACCACACCGCCATTAATTCAGCAGATCCAGTTCGTCTCGCAGAATTTGACGGCGATTTCCAGCTATATCCGCCACACGCCCGACATGCAACTTCTACCACTCTCGGTGAACCAGGAAACGATGCTCCAAACGCTTGTAGATCATATTGAAAAGCTTCAATGATTCTTTTTTATCTCTGTTATCTCTCTCCGTTTCCCAGTGTCTCGATAACCGCCCCACACTTGTTTGCCTTTAACATTAGTATACCTCACTTAATTATTGATCCGTTTTAAATATTATGTGTGTGTTCAGAACCCTTCGTCACCGTGTGAATATTACGGAGGTGATAATTTTCGTTTTGTGTATAGCTTGGTGAGCAAAAGGCTTTAACTTTTTAAATTAACTTATTTTTTTATTTATTTTATATGCACCATCTGAAGCGTTCTTTCAACAACAACAACAACAACAAAAAACTCCAATGGTCTCCGCGCTTTATAGATCCTCTGTTTCGCACTTTCTCAGCATGTCTCCAATTCATAGGCTTTTCTTTTCTGTGAGCATTACTGAAATTTTCTTTTGTAGGGTATGGATGCAATATCCCTAGATTGCCATTTTTTTTCAACGAATAAAATCAATTAACTGCAGCAACCTGACGAGATGAACAGAAAAAAAAGGGTCGGACATTGTCCATATAGGGTATAATTAAAATGTTGGTATTGTGTATGCAATTCGAAAAGATTGACAAATGTATGTGTTGTTTGTTGCAACAACCCGAAACAATCGCGCGAACTTGTTCGTCTTGGTTATGGTCCATTGGGCGCCCGACGCCGACGGGGCCCCAAACGTCCCCCCCCCCGGCCGGATACGAGATTTTCGCCTTGAATATTTGCATAGCGAAATAGATCATTTTCGCGGCCAACGGTGAAAAACCGCGCCGTGTTCGACTCCGAGTTGTGATGTAAACATTCATACATGTACGGAAATTGGATCATCCATCCGTTATCGGTTCAAGCCGTCTCGGTTAGGGACCGTTAACTTTGAATTACCGCGGGATTCCCGTCGAATACTGGTTTACACAACGACTCGACGTCAAGAGATGCATTTTGATGGAAAAGATCTGATATCGCTGTCGAAACTAGGGAACATTTCAAAAAATAAATCGGACTACTGTAGAATAATTAAAGGCGCATGCCAATTATGGCGTAGGTTTCGCAACGAATATTACTGTAAATTCCAAAAAATTGAATTAATTTAAAAATTGTGCAATTTTCTTTCAAAAATGAATCAACTTTTTCAGAGAAACATTTTTTCAAATATAAAAAGAAATAAAAATTTCTCTGCCAATTGTTGATGTACGATCGAGCGAATTCAACCAAATTTAGATAAGCTTATTTTCAAAAAATAACATTTGCATTGAGGATTTTCTTTTGTTTCGAGCCTTCCTTTGTGTCATTCATTTACCAGAGCCGCTCGTTTCCCACATGTCGCCACTAACTTTTTTGTTGTTTTTTTTTCACTCGTCCCCCGACCCTCGTGCCGCCATTTTTCACCCGACGCACCGACTTCTTGACTTTCGACGTGACATATGTAGTGCGAATCGGTCGTCGAACTAAACGAATGAGTTTTGAAACAGACAAGGCAACACCTTGACAATGTTCATTCGAATTGCGAGACGATGTTTCAACAATGCCATTAAATTCTCAATAATTGGATAAAAGGGGAAATATTCTTTTTTTCGTCGCAAGATCCTTCCGTTGACGGAACTCCTTTGATTAGATGCTCCCACACTCAATCACCTGATAATGAGCAATCCAGAAGCTTCCTGTAACGACTTCCTTCTAAAGGCGGCGTTCGCGTCTGCTCTCACGCGCGCCGGCTTCCTTATATGTATAACGCAACATCGAGTTAACGATCCAGACTAATGCACTAACTAATAAGCGTTGAATGGGATGTGTTGGTGGTGGGCAGCCGCCAAACGCGGCCGCCAGCTCGCTGCCGATTAATCACCTTTTGGGCGAATACGATTATTAATGTTGTGCACACTTGTTTCGGCAACATAATCTTGTTGCTTCACGGGATGTACCAACTGTCTGAAATATGACGGAGAAAAAGTCTTTTCGCACTGTCGTAAAGTATATCGGATTCTGTGCTCGCGTTTTTTTTTTTCAGAATGGAATAATAATTATGGTAATAGAATTATTAATTGATAATTAATAATTAATTGTCGAATAAGATGGGACCAATATCAATTTACGTATAACTCTCTAGAAATTGTGGAAATCGAATTAGAAAAACACTATTTTCTACTTTCCTAAGACTTCAATTTGTAAATATTTTTAAGATTAAGTCCAACATCGAGTAAATGGAAAATTTGAATTTTTTTCGAGAATTCTAGAAAAACTTTATTCTGCATTATTTTTGTATCATATTTTGTTGTTGTTTTTTTTTACCTGAATAAATCATTTCGACTGTTTCACATTTATCATGCAGTCAAATGTTAAAATTTCAATAAAAAAGAAAAGACAATTGCATTAATCGGGAAACACTATAGTATATGACACAAACTGAAAAAAACTTAAGCAAAAATATTAAAACTACTGATCATAATCGTCAGTGTCGGAAAGAAAAAGGTCACTAATAGAACAATCCGTAAAATATGGCCTATTCGGATAAAGTGAATCGACATCTAAAGGCTCGAGTGGGATTATTTTGTGCAAATTTGAAGTTTTGGAATCATCTGAAATGTCAACGTTAATTTGAAACTCAAAAATCACAATTCTCTAAACCCATTTCTTCTTCCATTATAATTATTTTTTCATTAGTAGAATTATTCATAAAAAGGCAGGCATCAATCTTCCTATTTGTTTGGCTTTTGACCGCCATCTGGTATTTTTTAGTGATTGCTGGATCGCAGACATGGATCTACAAGCTTCCACAGATACCATTTAAAAATTTAAATTTTCATAAATTTACCTGAATATTCTTCGGATTTCTATCGCGTGCCTTAATTGCTATCAATTTCTCGTTGAGATTCGCTTTATTATCTTTGAAATCATCTGGCTTAGTGTATCTGAAATACATATTTCAAAATAGAAAAAATATTCAATTATAATTCACATGAAATCCTCGTCGTTTCTCGAACTTTGAAAAATTGTTTTGTTTTTCACAAATATTGGTATATTGCTCAAAACTAGTATTATAATTAATTTTCAAGTATAATATAAAATAATAGTTGTTTAACCAAATTTGAGGTATAATAAATATTCGGCAAATCGTATCGTAGAAACAGCTGTGAAAAGGATTCTTGAGAGACTGAGATTTATTTTTTATCTCTACTTCGACTTGAACCACGTGTTATTATTGAAAGTTTAAGTTAAAAAGAAAAATGTTACTATTTTAATGATGATAATCGGAAAAATGGGAAACAACTCACAAGTAACCATTGTTTATTGGATCGATGAGAAGGAGGCGTGTAAGCGATTGAATATCCTTTATAACACCATCAAGGAATGCTTCACGCCGTTTAAGAATATCGTTTTCTCGTTTCCTGGCTTTTATTTCTTTCGGATTCGCCTCTTCCCTTAAAAATGGGGCACCTGCCGAGAAAAACGCGCAAAATCGAGCTTACGTCCATCGAAACTGATTTGTGCTAGTTTTATAGATATAGTTGATTCCAGCCATCACACTCGTTATATCGTATAATTTTCGCTTCGGCACCCCTAACATTTCGGCGGCGTCGTTCAGATTCACAACCTTAATTCGATTTTCTTTCATAATGATTTCAAACTAAATTTCAAACCATATTAATTGTCAACCCCTTGAGAAGCATGAACTTCTTGGTTGCATTATACAGAGAATTCTCGATTCGACGCGTTTTTACTCCTGAATTTCGATTTTTTATTTTGCGAATGTAACATTTATTTTATGGTGCTAGGCAAACTTTGGAATGGAAACTCGAAATGCTAAAAAAAATCAGTTTTTTGCGCAAAATGGATTTTAGAGTTAAAAACTAGTTCTTGCCGTCTTTTTTTGCGAAATCTGCATAACACCATAACTAAGGTTCAAAAAATAGCGTCAATTTTTTTTTCAAATACGTCCGTCCACAACAAAAATTTTACCCCATTTTGGAGGCGAGCCTTTAGCAGAAGATTTTGAGCGACTTTTCTTTTTTGGTTCATTGCTGGTAATCGGAGTCAATGAATGGTTGGAACATGGTTTAACTGCAATTCAGAAAATTAAATTTAAAAATATCATCTAAATTATTTTAAATTAGATTCAACGAATTGGAATTGTTTTTTTTTAAACATCATACTTTTTTTTTACATTTAAGCCTGCAATTTTTAAAACTTATTTTTTAAGCTTTACCGTTGTTGTAACTACAGAAACCCTGAATCTAAAATGGGAAATTTCAAAACCTTCTCGTAACTCATCATTGATCGCGTCTTGAAGCGTGGTCTTTTCCTTTTTCGCGCATGCTGCTAACTCCATTCGGCATTTAAAAAGAGCAGGCCACCTGAAAAATTAAAGAGATTTCAAAAGCAAAAATCACAAGAAAAAAATTTGTAGAAAAAAAACGAAACGCTGTGGACTATTTTCGCGCGTTCACACCCCAAGATATTTGCCGCGAAAAAATCTGTGCGCCTTCAATTCTCTGGCAGTCTGCCACTCTCCTCATCTAATTTCTTTCATTTTTGACTTCTAGAAATTTATCGAAAACCGTAACGTGTTCCTTTAAAAATCGAAACAATTAGTGTATAAACCGATGTTGAGTAAGTAATAATCGAAACGGTTATTTTTCTTTTCTTCATTTTTTTAAACAATTTTTTATTCATTGAGAACCATTGATCTCCTGCCGACAAGACTGTTCGTGAATTTTTTCCACATTCTCATTGCTGTATTATTTTCGAAATTCGGTTTCGAAAATAATTTCAATTTAATTTTTGACTGTTAAAAAAAGAACCAGTCGAAATTTGGCTATATTTTTCTACACAAGGGGAAGCTTCTAGCAAAAGCTGTAAACGCTGTTTTTCTTCAATTCAATGGGCGGAGAATGTGATAAGAAATTCGACATTGGTAGCGGGCAGACAGGCGGGCATTCGGTATTGTTATTGTTACAATTCGCCTCGTCCTTTGTCCTGCCTTATACGGCAAATTCGTCATGACCCGACAGCCCGTCAATTACTATCAGTATCGATTCGTCTTCGACTTCATCGGCATCGGCGTTTTGTGCTTCTGCACAATCCTCACCGTCGTCGCCATTTATTTGATCGTTGACCTAGTCGATGAGACGAATGAGGTCCGAGACGTGTTCATGCACAAAAAATCGCAATTTGAGGTGGGAATTTCTAATTCTTTCAATTTTTGATAGGTCTTTAAGCGAAACAACAATTATTTTCTAACAAGCTGTTTTGTAGTCTGTTTTCTAAAGGAAAAACGAATAACTGATAATCACTCGCCGCAAGACCCAACTCGTTCTAGGCATTTTTTTATTTATTTCAATTTCGCGATTGAATTGAGTTTAGATACAATTTTCATGGGAATTCCTTGATATTCGAATAACAAAAAATAATTGAAAATTGAGCAAAAAAAATCGATAATAAAATACTTGAGGAGTTTCCGAACTTTGAAAATATTTTGTTTGAATACAGTAAAAAAAATTAAAGGCACAGGCGGTTTTTCTACAGTCTTGTAGGGTTCGTATTCGCTATTTTTTCGGAAACACATTATACTCCTTTCGAAATGATCTCGCCGCACGGGAAGGCTTATTTTGAAATTTTTCACTTGAACTTTTTAATTTTTCTTGATGAGTATATCATTTTCTTGAATAATTAATATCACTGAAATTAAAAATTAACGAAATGATCTCTAAAACGCAAAACACTCGGTTAGTCCGTACAGGACCATAGCGAAGGTGCATGCAAATCACCGAAAGCAAAAACAACATGCACCTTTAAAGCATACTGTAATTTTTGAAAAAAAAATGTCTGATTCAAACTTTTCTCATACGAATGAAATTTCTGTGATTTACTACAAATACTTTCGTGCGTATTCGTCTACTTAAAAATTATTCTCGAATAATTGACTGCAAAAAACAAATGAAAATAGTCAAACCGGTTTTTTCTAAACATATGTATGGTTAGCGAATTCGATCAGCATGAGACCAAATGATCATTTGGTGAATAAAAAACAATGTTTGGTAGAAGGCTCGAGGGATTTCTTCGTTGCAGTTCAGTAAAAATGCAAACAAAATGAAAGTGAAAAAAAACTAAAAATTGCAAAAATGATCTACAAAACCTGAAAATTTTTCCCAATATTTCTTCTTAAAATCAAATCCCGAAGAATATCGAAATTTACAGAACTACGCGAATGACGCATTGCACATTATCAAGTACGGTCGACACTATGACGGATTCGATTCCATGTTCGGCACTTTGGTCCGAACAAATCGCAAAACTCATTGTTGTACATAATTGTCACATCAATAATTTATAATGTATTATACATTTACACGTTTCGTTGAAGTTGAAAATTGAAACGACGCCAAAACTCGGGGGAGAATAAAACAAACCGGAAGTAGAGCTTCGGAAGAAAACGAACTAAGGGAGAGGAGATGGGGGGGGGAGGCTATGAGGAGGAGACGAGCGTAGAAATAGAAATTAAAATAAATAAAGACGAAGTAATCAAGGCGTAAAGGTGACAACGAATAATTTATTTCTTTGATGAAACAACCACCGGCTCATACTCTGGATTCTTTTTCAAAATCACAAGTCCTTCCAAGTAAGGCGTCATCGAGATGTCTGCAAGAATTGAATACAACTTTTTCCATGTTTTCATTTTTGGCAAATTTCAAAACAGCTTAACACTCACATTCTTCATTCGCCAATTCCGCGCGTTCACCATGCGCCAGTAACACAGGTGTCGTGTGCGTTTGGAATCCAGTAATCGTTTTCGGTTTTCCTGCTTGCGCGACAACGTCGACCGCCTGTCCGACGCGCACCGACACTCCGACCTGCTTGAGGCATCCCGGTTTGAGATCATCTTCAACAAGGGTCACCAGCATTCTTGGCTGCATTGCAAGTACCAAAGTATACAACAGATAATGTTGACGGTTATTGAGAACCTAAAGAGAACAAATAATTAAATTAAAAAAAAATGAAAATATCAATATTACCGAATTGTTAGCATCAAGGAACGAAAAGCAGACGGTAAGAAGACCAGCCATCGCACTTGGCGACAAAAGCTGACGGTCCGAATGCCATGGGTTCAAAGTCATAGTTCCTAGAATTATCTAGTAAAAAATATCTCAGTGAAACCAAAAATCATACCTTTTCCAAGATGCGTCAATCCTTGCGAAATGCGCACCAACATCAACGACACCTGATCTTTGTAGTGATAGCTGGCCAATTGGCGCAACATGGCGACAAGTCGAGCGTTGTTAGTGCCCGCGCCAACAAGTCCCAAAGCGAAAATCGCATTATGTGCGGTATCAGCATCAGCGTCGTGCGAGAATTTGCTCAATGTCTCGAGAATGTTCAATTGTGGGTTCGAGACCGAGAGAAGAGCAAGAGCCAATGGAACAGCTCGTCGAATGACTGGCTCACCATATCGGATCAAGTGTCCGAACGTACGAAGCGCCATCTGAGAACCGATGTCCTCTCCCATTGCAATCAAACCAATTCCAAGAACGGCGACTGCCTGCATCGATGACAAATCAGACTTGGTTGTATTCTCCGAAGACGTCGACGTGCTAGCTGGTCCTCCCGGGGCCAGATTAGCGGCAGGACGACGCGGAGCTCCTGGGGCATCAGTTGGAGCTGCAGAAGCAGCTGGTGTCGCCGAGCCGTCGGCAGGAATCACAGTTGGAGCGGTTTTCGAGTCTGTCTTTGGAGTCCCTGCTTAAATCACATTTAGGTGGACAATCGGGAAAAAGGGAAAACATACGGTGATTTGAGGACGATTTCGACGAGCTACTCTTCTTCTTCTGATCGGTCTCGTAGTGTTCCGAGCACAGGTGGAGAAGCTTTTGGATCTTGAGCACATTTCCGGTTCCGGCATAAGCGCAAACATCAACGAGTGTCGAGACCTGAAGAACAAATTATATCAAAATAAAGCTAAAATTTAATTCGTACCATTGGCCCGAATGGCTCAGGAAGAGATCTCAAAGACTCGACGAAAACTTCACTCTTGTCTTGAGTTCCGAGGAAAATCAACGCAATTCCCAACGCCAAGAAGCGCATGTTTGGATCGGCCAATTCGGATTCGGTCTTCTCCATAAGAGTCTGAAGCATTTCCATGGCAGCATCTGAGTCGGCAGTTCCAACAAGGATCAATCCAAGAGAAAGTCCAGCCAATCCCTTCACTTCTGGTGTCGCCGACGGCCGAGCATCAGTGAGAACTTTCTTCAGCTCATAAATCACACCGCGCTCCTCGTTCTTCACAACAGCGTCGCGTTTCGAATTAGCGTAGGCAAGTCCGAGTCCGAACACGGAACCAACCCGCATAATCGCGCGATCTGATTGAACGTGATCCATGAGAAGAGCCCAAGCTGGATCGCAAGGATCTTGAATTCCCGACGAGATGATTCCAATGGCGAGAAGAGTTCCAGCTTTGAGGAAATCGTCGTTGAGATAAAGGAAGTTATCGCAAATTCCTAATCCGGTGTCGATATCCCATCTCCAGACGAGACCAGTGGAAGCGGCGGCGGTCAACATACCGTAATCCTTGTTCTTGTAGAACCATCTTGTGGCTTCCTCGTTGACGGTGAGAATCTTGTCAACACTAAATCCGCAATTGACGAATCCATTGACAAGAGCAGCAGCAATGTTCATTCGTGTCGAATCTGGTTGAGCGGTATTTCCGAATGGTCCTGAACGGAATTGATTTGAATTATGGAAAAATTCAAACAAAGAGCTTACGGCTATGCTCAAGATGGGTTTTGTAGATTCCTTCTGGTGTTTTCGGCTCCATAATGTCAAGCTCACGAGCCAAAGAATGGAAATACTCATAAAGATGAGTGTTGGAGTTGAGTTCAGCCAAACGCTTGCCATCAGAAGATTCCTCATCGTAATCAAGGAAAATTTGGTGCCGTCCGAGGAGCATTGCCATCTGTTGGCGGAGAAGTCTAAAAAAAACACCCCCATTTAGCATAAATAAATAAGTAACGAACGGATCTGTCGCTTTCTGGAAAATTGTGCGCACTTGAGCAACATCGTTAAGCATGATTGCACAGCGAACGGCTTCAAGGAACTTGTTAAACTTGAGGTAAAGTCCCATGGCAGTTCGGATAAGGATGAGATTATCCGGATCCGGGGTTAGAGGAGCACAACTCAAGAGATAAAGGCAGACTCTCTGATGATCGACTTCTTGCACATAATCGGTCAATAAATCAAGTTTCTCGATTTCGATGAGAAGATCACACGCTTCAACTTCGGCGTTGTATTTGATGTGATGGGCAACGATTTGTTTAGCGAGAGTCAAAAGCTCACTTTTTCTTTAAAAAAATATTGTAAGTGTTTCTGAAATATTTAAATACCTTTGATCATTTGCATTCTGCTCGGTCGATTTTTTCCATTCCTCAGCCATTTCCATAGCCAAATGACGAACATACTCATGTCCCCAATCTCCAATTGGTTCGTGGGATCCCTGAGGATAATCATTTTTATTAATAAATAAATATTTCTCTTACAAGAATTCTGTAGTTGATTGTGTCTGTTCTTTCATCGGAAGTCATTGCCAGCACCGAAATAATGTCAGCCATAAGTTTCTGGAATTAGTAATTCTAATAAAAAATTTTGATAAGAATTTTCAAAACCTTTACATCTCCTGGTGCCATTTTCTCGTAAATTTCCTTCATTTTTGCGTAATGTGGTCTCATAAATTTCAACGGCTTTGGGACCGACGTCATTGAAGTTGTGGAAGCGCGGATAAGAGTCCGCATAGTTTCCAAAGCCGGCATATGCAGAGATGTGTCTGGCTCCTATAACAAATACAAATAACAATTAAAATATAATTGAATTTCAATAATACCGAAAGTCTTTGAACGAGGAGATTGAGGTCATCCTCGAGTTTCTGATCCTCTTCGGTCTGAAATTTCGCAAGTTTTTATTTTTATATAATCTTTTATTTACCATTTCCTCCTTTTTTTGTTCTCCTTTTCCAGGAAGTTTCTTTTCATTTTTATGTTTTTCCTCGAGTTTCGGTCTTTCTTGAGTTGCGGTAACCATACTTCTGTAATGTTTCAATTGTAATGTTTGACGATAATTTAACTATTTATGGGAAGTATTTATGCTTTTCAAGTACCACAAGATCTCAAAAACATATTTATAACAATAAAAATCACGAAAAATAAAGGAAATCCAAAACGAATCCATCGCAAACGGGCAATGTTCGAAAAAATAAAGGCAAATTTGAAAGGGGTTTAAAGGCGCAGTCATCAGTCGGCCAGCCGGACTCTCGCCACGATTGGCACAAATTCAAACGACGTGGTTTGAAATGGCTCTTTTTGCAACGAGTTTACCCGGTTTTTCTTTAAAAAAAAAGCACGCGTGTTGTGATTTATCGGTTAAAAATTCTTTTAAAATAGAAATTTTGCAACTAAATCGACACAAATATTTAACGTTAATCCAAAAAAATTGAATATTTGCGCGATGAGATGCGTTTTCTTTTTTTTTTTCGGTGATTATGTTAACATTATACACAAAATCTCTGTAGAAAATTCTTCAAAAAATTATAAATTGTTTAAATTTTAGCTATGCGACAAAATGGCGTGTCGAATGTGCTAACGCCGCTGTGTTGTAGTAAATCTTGTACTCACTTTTATATTGTTCCAACTTGTCTTTCACCCTAATTTGTTGATTAAGAAATGGAATTATCATTTGAAATCTTCACGTTCGAATCGACATATTGAGCAAATAAAAAATTCGAAATTTTCAGATGAGGTTTTTGCACCTTCTCACACTTGTCGGAGTTGTTGCCGCTTCATGGCGAACGTCGGAGATTGAACGCGTTGTGGATCTTTCTTCGCAAATCGTCAAAATCGACACGCTCTATATCTTTGAGAACACCGGGGCTGTTTCCGAAAAGACCGTCAAGGTGATGAGGATCCCCATTATCAATGGAAATTTAATGTATTGTTTAGATTATTCTGACAGCCGAGGAAAGTGAAAAGCTTGCTTACATTTCCGCTGGAATCGATGGAATCAAAGGAAAGCTTAAGATTGGAAGTCCCGAAAAAGCAGAAAAGCCTGGTTTCTTCGTAAGTTTCATTCGAAGTTGTAATTAAAATATTTTTCGTTTCATTTTCAGTCCTACTCAATCGATTTGCGATCACCAGTTCCTAAGGGACAGCAGGTGAAAATCCGTGTTGCTCAACGATTAACTGCTTCTCTCGAACCGCTCCCAGCTAGAATTACTCAAGCCGAGAGCCAGTAAGATTGAAGAGATAGCCTTTTGATAGTAATTGGAATTTACAGATTTGTCGTTTACCAGGGAAGCGCCTACACCCCATCACCTTACGAGGTGTTAACCCAAAAAACCGTTATCAAAACTCAATCAGGCAAAAAAATAATAATTTATCCAAGCAATAACTAGTTATTATTTAGGTGGAAAGATCATCTCTTCCACTGCTGTGACCCCACACAAACAAGAACAGGATAGAATTCTCTATGGGCCGTATCCGAATATTAAGGCATTCGAATTGAAGCCAGTCAAGATTCACTATGAGAACAACTTCCCATTCGTTGTCGCAACTCTTGTCGAGAGAGTCATTGAGGTTTCCCATTGGGGAAATATCGCCGTCGAGGAGTACATTGAACTCGAAAATAAGGGAGCCCAGCTTGAGGTATTTTAGGATTTTTTTTTACTGAAGAAATAATTAATTCGTAATTGCAGGGAAGCTTCTCTCGTCTTGACCATCAAATGGACCGTCGTGGACGTCGTTTGCCGGCTCTTCAACAATTCACGACTATTCTTCCAGCAACTGCCCGCGATATTTATTATCGCGATGAGATTGGAAACATCTCGACATCCGCAGTTCGCATCCGCGCTAAATCCGTTGAATTGGATATTCGACCAAGATATCCGCTTTTCGGCGGATGGAAAACCTCTTACGTTATCGGGTACAACGTTCCAGCTCATGACTATCTTTACACAAACGAGAATCAATATGCGTTGAAATTCAAACTTTTCGATCATGTGTTCGAAAATGTCGCGGTTGAGAAGCTTGTAACCAAGATAATTCTTCCAGAGCGCGTCAGGTAAATTGCAAAAGCACGAAATACGAGGAATTGACAATTAAATTTCAGAAAGATTAAAATCGCCACTCCTTATAAGGTTGAGCGCAGACCAGATGAAATCAAGCCAACATACCTCGATACCACTGGACGTCTCGTTGTCGTTTTGCATAAGAATAATGTTGTTGACGAGCATGGCCAAGTCTTCACGGTAATTTTTATATAATTATCGAAAAGAACCGTTAATAATTGGGGACAATCTCACGTTTTTGATGTGTTAATTTCAATTTCAATTTGAACAGTGGTAATCAAGATACTGTACTACGTATAACATTTGCATCACATCCCCTTAATCTTGACAAAGTGCTCGTTTTTTTTCGAATGTAATATATTGATATGAGGTTTTATGTCAAATTTTCAGCTAACATATGAATTCGACTACATCGATATGTTCCGTGAACCGCTTATGGTCACCGCTTTCTTCTTCTCGTTGTTCTTGGTCGCTATTGTGTATTCGAGATTCGATTTCACATTGGTATCGGTGAGTAATTGAATTATAAATTGGCTCATTCGTATTGCCAATTTTCGGTTTTTTTAGAGCAAACAACAAGAAGCTGAGGCGAGATTACAAATGAAAATTGAAGCACTTCATCAATTTGTTGAAAGCAAAAATGAAGCCTATGAAAGCCTTGTTGCTGCTGCGCTTGACTACAAAGGGACTCGTGATGAGGAAGTTTTGAACACCGCCAGAAAACGTCTCGCTGAGATTCGTAATGAAATGAACGAGAAACTTAATGAGACGATCAAGGTGCTTAAAACTGACGCTTCGAAAAGTGCTGAAAAGGTGGGAATTCTGATTTTATGCGGAAAGTTGGATGGAAATATTTCAGGCTGCCGAGCTAATCAAGTACGATAAGGCTGTTTTCGAGCTCACTGACAAATATTTGACCGCGGTTGAAAAGAACACCTCGAAATCTGGATGTGAGGAAGAACGCATGTATGCGAAGAAGCTCAAGGAATGCCGCTCCCGTGCCGATGCTCTCCTTGCTGGTTTATAAAATGTGATAAGTTATGTGTTAATTAAATAATTTAATTCAACTGGGAGAAGAAAAAGATTAATAATGTAAATTTACTTGGTTTAAAGCTTCACTGCGTACCACTTGCTTTGTCCTTTCCTTTTCTGTTTATTGTTAGATGCCAAAATGCCAAGATTGGAGTGTTTACAAAAATACCAAATTTCTATTGTTTATGGGTGTTTAGATGTTTTTATTTTGTTTTGTGTAATTCAAGTTCGACATCTGCGCATTTCTTTCTGGTTTTGTTTTAATAAATTATTTTTGTTTCAGAATTTGAGCAAGGTTGTGTTTTACGACGTTCGTCTCGGTCATTTTATTTAGTTTTTTGAATGGCGATTCAAATATTGATATTGTAAATAGACTCGAGCTCATTTTTGAAAAAAAAATTTCTAACTTTTAAAATCCAAAGAACATTCATATTCGCTGGATCTGAGCATCTCTTTCATCCTTCTCCTCAAAAATGATGCAATTCATTTTATGGCCACATTCCCTCATTCGAACATCAATGGAAATTTGTAATTCGCTCAACAAATTTTGTGTTCTTAAAAGAAAAATGCACTTTTGAGTACAATCGCGGGCGCGATGTATTCAATAACAGATCGCCTTCGAAATTTTTCTGCAGCTGCCGCCAGCGACGACAATGTTTTTTATTTGCACACCGACATGTATTTTTCTTCTTCTTTTTTTTTAATTATCAATTCGTGCCCTCGCACAGTTGAAATTTAATAAATAGATCAGTCGGTTCATTTTTTGTCGGCGGTGAAATCTTTTGATCTGAAAATGATGTTTTTCTGTGAACAGTTTTTCTTTTCCGTCGAATTCAGATAAATTTCGGTTGAAGTATTGCTCAAAACGGAATATTATTTGTTGTCAATGAATAATATTAAAGGTCTTTTTTCTGTCCGAGTTAAATTTTTTTTATTTTTTGAATACAGATTTTTTTATTTTTTGAATACAGATGGACCTTCAGAGTTTTAGCCGCTCCCCATGTGAATTTCGGGACAGCAAGAAGACCTCCCATGTAAGCCAATTCGAGTTTTCAATGTCAGAAACTGATTCTTCGATTTTTTTTTGGATATTTACAATTCCAGCCGTCTCTACTTTAAAAATTTTCTAACTTTTGAAAATGACACATTTCCACAGAAATCTTCAATCTTTAATTTTTTTAAGCTCAACTTTTGTTTTGAAGCAATATTTACTTTTCATTCCGATCAAAATCAACAAATAAATTTGTTGTTTGGAGCAATATTTCATTAAAGAAATAATATTAAACGTGAAAGTGTTTCATTTTTTAAAATTCTCGAATAAAAATGTCAAAATCGAAATCTAGAAGCTCGAAAATATGTCCGTGCAATTTTTCGACGTATTTGTAAGCAATTTTCAAATTCAAAAAAAAAATGAAAGCAAAACCGCCCCCGAAGAGTTTTTGTTGTTTTGATGTTGCATTAGGCGAGCAAAAGAAGGAAATGAGGAAACGACTTGCCTGAATCACCATGGAAACGGATATTTTATCATCTTGCGCGAATACATTAAGCCGACTGCCTTGTAAAATGCGATTATAGCGCCATTTTTTCATGCGAGTCCTATTTTATACGTTTTCCTTTTTCTTGTTTCATACAATTTTTTAAGAATTCTTGAAACGGGGATTATTTTTTTAATTGGTATTTAGAAATTTGCTTTATGGGGAAAGGGGGTGGGTCTGCTCTTAATGAGCTCATTCATATTGTTTCCTTGCGAGACCCAACTGTGCAAATATGTTTCGATGATCTCGTCGACAGGGAAATTGAATTTTTTGACCTAGATTGCATCTTTTATTGAGGTCGCCTATGCTTTTTCTATGCGCTTCCTATGTTAGCGTTATATCTTTAGAAGCGCGAAACTCCGCCCACAATTGAGCAGCCGATTGTTCTGGCTTCATTCGAAAATTGTCAACCGCCAAAAATTGTATTTAGCTAACCGGCTATGGACATTTTTTGTCTTTTAGAAGATTTATTAATTTATTAATTTTTAATTATATAATTGAATTACCCTTCGTAATTTATTGTTTTTCGCTAATTATGGTCGAAGAGATTTAGAAAACAAAATAGAGGAAGTGGTGCAATTTGATGAAATTTCCCATTCATTTTTCTTGGATTCAAAAAAATCTAATTATTTTGCGGAAAGAAATTTGAGTGAAAAAATCTTGTTGTTTTGCAGATCTCAACTCATGTCGAATAAGGTGAATAGTATGACGTCGTCGAGGCCGGAGCTGATATTTCTAGATGAGTCGCTCGCCGATGGCGAGACGATTCATGAAATGATGGCGCATAAGGGCGGAATCACATATAAGTAGAAACGGCGAATTTTCAAGGTGTCTACCGAGCAGTTTTTCAGCGACTTCAACATTCTACCGGGATATATCAATTTTTCTGTTCACGACGTTTCTTTGGAAACGAAGCTCACGAAAGATTTGACGATCAAAGCACCACTTGTATCATCTCCAATGGATACTGTAACTGAAAGCGGAATGGCGATTGTGATGGCGGTTGGTGATGTCTTTAGCGATTCTTCGAATGGAAATGTCGGTTTTGCAGCTTTATGGTGGAATTGGAATTATTCATGGCAATTTTCCGAAGCCTGAAGATCAAGCTGCTGAAGTCCTGAAAGTCAAGGTAATTAAATAATTATAGCCAATTCGATTGTAATTATATTGTTTTTTAGAGATTCAAACAAGGGTATGTTATGCAGCCGCATTGCCTTCGTCATGATTCAACGGCTTTCGACATGATACAGATTAAGAAGAATTATGGATATACTGGAGCGCCGGTAACCGAAGATGGACGAGTTGGATCGAAGCTGATTGGTAAGATATTTGTTAGTGATTGGACTATGTACTGCTATTTTTAACGCTACATGGGATACTGTAACAGTTGTGATTAACTGTGGTATTTCTTTGATGTTTCAGGAATGGTGACATCTCGAGACTTCGATTTTATCACAATGGATGTGACGGGGCAGAAGCAGACGCCGATTTCCGATGTGAGCTTCATTTTTATTGAATATCAAATTCAATGGTTTGATCTACCATCCTTTGTGAGCAAAAGCATGAGAATTTTTTGGAGTGGAATTTAACTGAGAAACCCTCGACTTCCCCCATCTTCCTCTCTCCTAAAACAGCCGTTTTCTTTTAATATTGTTTTTTTTAATGACATTTTCCAATAATTTTGTGCTAATTGACCGACTAATTGCGTGTAATTGTTCAGACCGACGTCACACCGGACACGCCGATCACGAAAGTAAGCGAGTGAATATTGTGTATGTCTGAGCATTAATGTTGTCGAATTGCACACATTCAACACAACCAACCAACAACACATATGTACATACACAGATCACACGCGCGATTCCCATTCATGAACTACCCGATTGTCGAAACGCGCATGATTTCAAAGTGTCCATGATTTTCAGATTATGGTCCCTGTTGATCAACTCATTCTGGGCCATATCAACGATCCGCCGGAGGCCGCGCAGAAAAAATTGAAGGAGCATCGACTTGGTAAGAATTTGATTTATTGTCTTTTTGAAAATGAAATTCCATTTTCAATTCAGAGGAACTGATTCTTTTCGAATTTAAGTGTTTTATCTACGTTATGAAAAACAATTATTAAAATATTTTTGCCATCTTTTTTTTTGGTTTTTTTTTTCACAATTGAAACCCCCTTAATTCTAAAATTCATATCCTAAACGATTTTTGAAAAATGTTCCTCTTTTTCTTTGATTTTCATTTGACATCTGCAATTTTTGCGATGATGGCCTAGAATTGTTTTAGCTGAATTTAGGCCACGCATTTTGAATTTGCCGTCCACACGGTTACCTTTAAATTTCGAATTGTTCTTGAATCCTAATATTTTCAATTTTTCTTAAAATTTCACCAAAATTCTTTAGGTAAATTGCCAATAGTCAATGATAATGGCGAATTGTGCGCTCTCTTGTGTCGCTCTGATCTACTTAAGGTAATTTCAGACGAAATTAAAATCCATAATTAATCATTTTTAGGCCAGAGACTACCCGATGGCGTCATACGACTCAAAGGGACAGCTTTTGTGTGGAGCCGCCGTGAATACACGAGAATCCTCGAGAGCTACTGTTGATCTTCTTGTTGAAGCTGGAGTTGATCTCATCGTTATTGTATGAATGATGAAATGTTTGGAAAAAGCAGATAATTGTAACTAATTCAGGATTCTTCAAATGGAACATCGACATATCAGATTGATATGTTGCAATGGATCAAAAAGACGCATCCACATATTCAGGTGATCGCTGGAAACGTCGTCACCAGAATGCAGGCGAAATGTCTGATTGATGCTGGAGCAGACGGGCTTCGTGTCGGTATGGGAAGCGGCTCGATTTGTATCACGCAAGATAGTAATAATTTCGTGAATTTAGATTTATTATTCCATTTTGTTTAGTTATGGCTGTTGGTCGTGCTCAGGGAACGGCGGTTTACGATGTTGCACGTTATGCCAACCAATTCGGAGTTCCCGTCATCGCTGATGGCGGTATTAAGGATGTTGGATATATCACCAAGGCAATTTCACTTGGCGCATCGGTTGTGATGATGGGAGGGCTTCTCGCGGCGACGACAGAAGCTCCAGGAGAATACTTCTGGGGGCCCGGAGGTGTTAGAGTCAAGAAATATCGCGGAATGGGTTCTCTTGATGCGATGGAAGCACATGCTTCCAGTCAGGATCGATATTTCACAGCGTAGGGGGTGACATCAAGAATATTGTCCAATTCGATGAATCATTTTCAGAGAAACTGATCAGATCAAGGTTGCTCAGGGCGTCTCGGCGACTATGAAGGATCGCGGATCATGCCACAAGTTCATTCCATATTTGATTCGCGGTGTTCAACACGGAATGCAAGATATTGGAGTTAAATCGATCAAGGAGCTCAGGTATTGAAGGCGTTGATAATAAAATTTGTGAACGTTTTTATAGGGAGAAGGTTGATAATGGAATTATTCGATTTGAGAGAAGATCGACAAATGCGCAACTCGAAGGAGGAGTTCATTCGCTTCACTCGTAAGTCGAACATTATTTTCTTTTTTCAGTTTATAGAGGAAAACTAGTTTTTTGGAAGAGGATTGGTTTTTGTTGTTTTTTTTTCGAGGGGGGATCGATGCGAAACACATTTCAGAATCGAGTCGAATCCTCGAGTTTATCAATTTGCCCAACAGAAATTTGATAGTATTGGTGAGGGTAAACAGCCACACGACGTTTTTGTGAATTCGCACCCCGTACAGTATTTCTAACCCATTTTTATGGAGCCTCTATCAGTTTCTTCTCTATCTCACACAATTTTCGTTAAAATTTTTTGTTAGGAACTTTTAGGATAGCAGAAATCAACTGAATTTGGCTATATGGAAAGATTTTTGGCTTATAATGGGTTATGAATGATTTAAAGATTATCTGGAACTTTTACTTGAACTAATTGGGAATTTTTGAAGTATTAGCGTTAGAAAATGGCTAGTTGTTTTTTGTATCTCAAAAAATTTTAGCGCGAGAAATAATTTCAGAAAGAAAAAAATGTAGGACCACATTTTTCTGTAATTTTTGTAGTCATTTATCACCATTTTCGTCAGTTTCTCGTATTTTAAAAAGAAATTTAATGTTTTCAGATTCGAAAAACGTCTTTACTGATCGATGACACGTCGAACATCGCTGATTGTTGCAGAAATGCCTAGATTTTCTTTTTTTTTCTTGTCCGTTTTTTTGCATTTTGTTCTTCACTCTTCACACCAATGTTTTTATTCTTTTTTTTTTCGTCTGATGAATTTGTTGTTGCAATTGACTGTGTTTTTTAAATTTTTGGTAAAAATTCCAAAATGTACTTGAAAACGACTAGAATATGACCGAAAAATTGGAGAAATATGTTGTAGATGGCGACAATTGACGGTGTTGTAATCAAGGATTCAATTAAGGTTTGTTTTGATTTTTGAAAATTTTACTATACATAGAATGAAGAAAATTGCACTTTTTGCATTAGTTGATGAATGAAATATGCGTTTCAATTGAATTTTTGGTCATTATCAAAATTTTTCTCAAATAATCACAATTTTTTTTAATATTGGAAGAAAAATGGCATTGACAATCCTCAGAACTTCTTAAGCTTGAGCGAATGTAATATTTGATATATATTCCATCTTTTTAAATTCAAAACTGCAATTAAAAAAATTTATTTATTTGATTTTAAAAATCATTCGTATGTTCTCGTTATTTGTGATTTTGAGAAATAAAAAATATAGTTACTTACATACTTAGTTACTTAATCGGTTCGTCCTTCGTCTGTTGAGGCGCGAACCACAGCTTTCCAAGCTTTTCGGTCCTTGGCTTGGGTGGACCAGGGGGTGATAACGGCCCCTTCAGCTGTTCTTGTAGTGATCTCCTTCCGAAGCGAGTCCGACCATCTCATGGGAGGCCTTCCTCTTGGCCGGGTCCAATTCTTGGACTTCAAACAGTAGAATTGAGGTTTATTTTAAATTTTATTCAAAAAAAAAACTACTGGGAAAGATAAATGGAAGTTTTTGGCTCCTTCACGTGTCTGAAACTTTGAATTATTTAATAGGCTTAGAAAAAGTTCAACAGTAAACTAAAATATGTTTCTTTCATAGTCATTTTTGAGTTCTATAACGTAATTATTTTTTTTTTCTCAACGAGACCCGATGAATTACCAACGGAAATATTTATTATTTCTATTATTATTAAAAGTTAATCGATTATTTTTCTCAGGTCGAGCGTATTGGTGTTCATTCGCACATTCGCGGTCTGGGGCTCAATGAGCGTCTCGAAGCGACGCCAGTTGCTGATGGAATGGTCGGACAGGTTGCAGCACGACAGGCGGCTGGATTCATTCTCAGAATGATCCAGGTATTGCATTGCTTCCACAATTTTCTTTCAAATTATCTGTTTAGGAAGGAAAAATCGCGGGACGAGCTCTTTTGATCACTGGAGAGCCGGGATCTGGTAAAACAGCGATCGCTATCGGAATCTCGAAGGCGCTTGGAGATGATACGCCGTTTGTCTCGATCAGTGCTTCAGAAGTCTACTCAACAGAAATCAACAAGACCGAAGCTCTCACACAGGCATTCCGAAGAGCAATCGGAATTCAGATCAAAGAGGAGACGGAGGTTCTCGAAGGCGAGGTGATCGCATTGGAAGTTGATCGATCGGCGTCTGGTGTGGGACCGAAAGTTGGAAAACTGACAATGCGGACGACGGATATGGAAACGATTTATGATTTGGGATCGAAAATGGTTGACGCTTGTCTGAAGGAGAAGATTACGCCGGGAGACGTTGTGCAAGTCGACAAGGCTTCTGGTAGGATGACTCGTCTCGGAAGATCCTTCAATAGGTCGCATGACTATGATGCCATGGGTCCAAAGGTCAAGCTTGTTCAGTGTCCGGATGGAGAGATTCAGAAGAGACGGTGAGAAGAAGCAGAAAATTTTTCTGAAATTGTGAATTTCAGTGAAACTGTCCATACCGTTTGTCTTCATGATATCGATGTGATCAACTCGCGGACCCAAGGATACGTTGCTCTGTTCTCTGGAGACACTGGCGAGATCAAATCGGAGGTTCGGGATCAGATCAACAAGAAGGTTCTCGAATGGCGCGAGGAAGGAAAAGCGAAGTTCGTGCCTGGTGTCTTGTTTATCGACGAGGCGCATATGCTTGACATCGAATGCTTCTCGTTCTTGAATCGTGCTATTGAAGGAGAGCTGAGTCCGCTGCTCATTATGGCTACTAACAGGTTGACTCTCACACCCGGTTATGCAAAAAACTTTCGGTTTTGTTTTAGACTAATTGAAAAGGTTCGAGGAACTGATATCGAATCGGCTCATGGAATCCCGTCGGATTTCCTTGATCGCATGTTAATCATTAATGCGGAGCCGTATCAAACTCAGGATATTGAGAAGATCTTGAAAATTAGAGCGGATGAGGAAGGAGTCAAGTAGGAATTTTGAAGCTTTTAGATTTTTATTTTTGAAAATTTTGATTTAGAATGGAGCAGAAAGCTATTGAGCTTCTCGTCAAACTTCAAACAGCGTCGAGTCTTCGCTACTGCATTCAGTTGATTTCTGTCTCCGAGGTTTTGCGATCAAGAAGCAAAGAGGAAGTGGTATGATCAAGCGAGATATTAAGAAAAACCAAAAATTTGAAAATTTCTAGATCAAACTTGAGCATATTATGCAGGCTTATCGCATGTTCTACGATTCGAAGAGGAGTGAAAAGCTTCTTGCAACGGCTACTGGCTTCTTGGTAAGACAATTTAAGAGAATTTTTGGCTTTAACTTTGATTTCAGGAATAACTTGCTTTTGAATGATACCCTTTTTTGGTTTCCAATGGTCTCGACACGAAACTCCCTATCTCATTACTTTGTTAACTTTTTTGTCTACATACAATTGTTGATTTATTTTTTAAATATTGTCTTTTCAAACAAAAAGAAGTTGTCTGTTTTATCAATTTTTCCATCAATTTGTGAAATTCCGACGTGACTTCGAAATGAATTTTGCCGCTCTTCCGCATTTCAACACCTTCTAATTCGATGCGATATCTATTCATTGCGTTTCTTAGCTTTTCGGCGGTGTTCGCCAATGACGAACGTTCGTTTCATTCCGCGTTTGATTGTGGATATAAGCCTATTTTCAGCGGAACAATGCCCGTTAGGGTTCACGTATTACCCAAAAGCGCCGCTGAAATGCATGGGCGTGTTCGAACAGGTCGTCACCGACAATCGATATGCGGAGACGATTTGCTGGAGAAATGAGCAGTCGCAATTGGCGAGAACTGAAAATCTTGAATCGCGAAAAGCGATTGTCGGTATGTCGCTTTTAAACGTTGGGGTGGGGGGGGGTGGTCTTGAAGCGATGAAGAAAGCATGTTTAAAGGCGCGCTGTTTCAAAACGCGTTTCTACCAGAATTTTGATTTTCGGCGAAAAAAATTGATCCCGAAAAACCGTCATGAAGTAAAAATGCAAATTTTTAAATTGGAGTCACGTTTTCATATTCTTTTTTTTTAATTTTTCGAATCGATTAAAGGCGCACGCGTTTTTGGCATTTTTTTTTTCATTTTTACCCATCGTAATGAGCATACTCTTTTTTCTGAATTTTAAATATTTTAGCTCTAACCAAACATATCAAATGTTTTTCCGAAAATTCCACCCATTGCGATATTTAAATAAAAAATATTCATATAATGGACCTATTCATGCAATGCTATTTATTTTTAAAGGCGCATGCGAAAAGTTGGTCGGGACGTCGGGAAGTCGGTACTGTAATTTTTAATGGCTGTTTTTTTTTCGATTTTTTTTGTTTTTTGAGCGTTTAAAACGTTTTTTTTTTTGGAAATCTGTAGAAGTATTTTATTTTATAAACGCTAAAAATTTATCAAAAGCGTCATCGAGCGAAGTCTGCATCAAATTAACACAAATATCACGATTTTTCATAATAATTTTCATCTAAATGACAACAAGTAGACAAATATTGTCGAATTAGGAGTAATTATACCAACAATAATTGTATTTACTCGTTCTTAAATCCGTTACTCATTTTCTCTCCGAAGTTTTTGAAAAATACGGAAAACTAGCACCCAAAATGAAAAATAAAAAATACAGAACCGACTTCGCGACGTGACCCGCGCAACTTTTCGCATGCACCTTTAAAAATAAATAGCGGAGAATTACGATATATCGCGTCAATTTTTTGTAATTTTTGACGTGCGTGCATAGGGAATTCAAATGACAAAAAATTGATTTTTTTTAAATTTTTTTCATTGCATGAATAGGTCCATAAAATATAGTTGTAGTTTGCTTTCTAAAAAAATGCTGCTATCAGAATTGACAGCTTCAAGACGTCGTTCCGAAAAATATTTTTTTTGATTTCAACATTGCAGAATTATTCAATAGCAAGTGTCTTGAGCCGATATGCCGACGAGCTTGCGTTGTTGATGAGCTTCTGCCTCCAATAGCGGGATTCGAAGTTTCCTCGCCAATTTTTGTGTTCGCACTCGAATAATTGCGTTGCAGCAAATCCCCTATTATGTTGAGCGTCTGAATCGTTTTCCGAATGGATTCGAGCCGGTTCGAATGTCGTTGACGGAGCCCGTTCAACACGGCGACACTCTTCACATTCTGATGCGCGTCTATCCAGGATCGTTGATTGAACTTCAACTAGCCGTCATGAAATTAACAATGCTTTAGAATCGAACAATTTGAACTCGCCGATGGTCTGCTAATTCGAAAACGCGACTCACTCAAGATGACGAGAATCCAGCAGCCGATCCATTTGATATTCTATTATAAATATCCCGAGGAGCCGAAAAAGGAGCCGCGCACAAAACTTATCATCAAACACGGAACTTTTGAAGCGTCGCTGGAAGACAAGATTACGGTTCCATGGAAGAAATCAATGAATGGATCACAGTTATTCGATAATCTAAATGTGAATATTGAAGGGAAACTCGAAATGAGCATCCAGTAGGGATTTGTTATTAAAATCAAAATTTTTACATTGGATTAATTTTTTTAAGGGCTTGCGCCTTTAAAAAATAGTTTCCACGAGAGACTTTTGAAATTCGCATTTTATATGTAGAAGAACATTTTGAATCATTTTTCAGTTTGGGTGAGAAAGAGATAACTGTGAATATTCCGAATGTTCTTGAAAAAGAATACAAGTATAACTATGAATTCCGAGCCACACGATTCTATTTTATTCGGCATGTTCAACAAAATGAAATAATGGACATTTATTTTACTCGAGGGTTGGTTGATATAAAATAAGCCGAATTCTTTTCATTTTTTTTTTGAAGAAACTGCAAAAAAGCGGTAAAGGGCATTGAGCCGGTGGTGAATTGCAATTGGATGCCGGCGCCGGTAACCAGAAATCAAATTCGGAATAGATAATCTCGTATTTTGAGGTTTCGATTCCGGTTCTACGATGCTCGTTCAAAAAATTGGTGATGTGTGCTCGTCGATCGTCGGAAGAGATTAAAGCCGACTCGGATAAATTCGCTTATGAGAAAGAGGAAGGCATGTGGGATATTATTGAAGGTTGGATTTATTTTATTTTATTTTTTTCACAAATTCAACGTCGCGCGAAAATTGGCAAAATGCCAAAAAAAATTTTTTTGAAGAGGTCTCGATGCGCGGTGTGCTCCTTTAACCTATTCTTACACATTGCCCGTAAATCAACATGTTTTGTTTTGCGCCCAGATCTCTGTCATAATTTTTTGGCATTTAGCCAATTTTCTGAAATGCCGACAATACAAAAAAACGAGCGATCCGATCCGATTTGCAGTGTGATCCATGAATTCCCACAGTTTAAATTCAAAATTCCCGCCACGAAAATGTGCGACGGTCCACAATTATTTAACGCACTCGGTTTTTTTTTTCGGGAAAATTTTCTTTATGTTCCAAATTTTGGGTTTCATTTGGAAAATTGAATATTTACAAGAGACCAAGTAATTAATTCATGTTTTGAAAATTCCTTTGGGGTCTTAAAGGCGCATACGCTCTAAATATATATGCTAGATATTTTAAATTGATAATTTAAGGAAAATGAATTTTTTTTGTCTTAACCGTCGAGCACTATTTTTAAACATTGCATTTTTTACTTTCTAATTTTTGCATTTATTTTTTTGCAGTCCACTCGCGCACACTTACCCCGATATTTCTCGGCGTCGCCACCGTCGTCATGGTTTCCAACATCGGCACCCTTGTCTTCTTTTTTTTCGTCAAAAGATAAATAAATGATTCAAGCCGTTTCGACACCTTTTTTGTTTCGTTTCGTTGGCATTTCGCGCGTTTCTCAACATGGCTGAAGGTCTTCGAAGAAGAAAAGATTCGCTTTCGGTGAGTTTTTGGGAAAATTATTTGAAATTCAACAAATGAATTTGGTAATTAGGACGAATTCGATTCGGAAATTGATGATAACGATGTGAAGGCGATAGTGCACGACATTGAACAGGACATGATTTCTGACGAAAAGCCGGACACTCGTTGGAGGTTGCAAAACATAATTTTATATGTTCTCTGAAACACATTCCTCATTGGTTTCAGTCGTGTCAAGTCGACAGTCAAGGAGTGGGGAGAGTCGGCGACATTCCACGGAATTCCGCACATCGTGCAGGCAACCACGTTCATCGCTGTCGTCGTCTGGTCGATCATCTTGATCATCTGCGCCTTCGTGTTCGTCTACATGTTCTCGACGACGGTTCGACAATATCTGAAGTTCAACTACGTCGTGAATCTGAATGCAAGTGGTCCGATAATTGAAGTCGTCGCTAATCTTGAATTGCAGGCCGCCATCGAGTCGGCGCCATTCCCATCGATCACGTTCTGCAATACGAATCCATACAAATTGAGCAAAATGAGCGATGTGCCCGAATTGGCCGCGTTGCTCTCGGTGTATCAGTCATCCGGAACTGGCAACTTGAACGGATAAATGCACATTCATTCAAGCAATATAAATATATAAATGTATATCATAAATTGTGCAACTTGTTAACTGTTCAAAGGCACACAGACTATCTATGGTATAGCAAGCAAGTTAAATGTATCACAATAAGTAGACAGAGAAAAATGCAGAAAACTGAAAAGAAATTGTGGCGGAAAACCGATAGAATCGCAATCTATTCCTCTTTCTTCGTGAAATTCTCCGGGAACACACCGCGTTTGCCGTCTTCGAGCTCGCCGAGGCACCAGCCTTCGTCTAGTTGATCGGCATCGCGAGATTCGAGAACCTAATATTGTCAAATGAAATCCAAAACATTTTCTATCGGCACCTTTATCAAAACTCCAGGCTCAAAACTCAACTCATCGGTGTCGACTGCCTTATAAGTATGAGTAGAACGAACAAGATAAATCGTCTGGAAATGTGATTTTTTTTCTTCAAATTTCCATCAAACTCTGAAACCTTTCTCTTTTCTTTTGTTATTCCTTCAAGAGGTTTCACATCGCTCTCCTGATTCTCTTCATCCTCATCATCCTCGAATGGATTTCCAGTGTCCTGAAAATAAAAAATTCTCCCTCCAATAATTTTCCCAAATTTCGGCATCTACCTTTTTCTCAGCGCGTTTCGCCGCTTTGATCGCCACATCGGCAGCTTTTTCTTGTTGAGCATTTAATTTCTAAAAAACGCCTTCTCAATTATGCTTTAATTTGATGTTTTGCTCACCGGGTACACTTTTGCTTCAATCTTCTCCTCGACAACTTCATTCTGCGGTTCATCGTCGTCATCGTCGAATGGATTCGTCGAATTCGCCTTAAAATTCATGCAATTAATACATTCATTTTTCGAATTTGAATAAAAATGGTTGTAATTGCGCATTTTTGAAAGAATTTAATAGAAAATTTAAAAATTATAATTATTTTATTAATTTTATTTTGAAAAATATCAGCTCTCTCCGAAATTAGACATTTTTACACAAAAATTTTTCGTTGAAAATTTAAACTTACAATCGATTCAGCGATGCTTTCGCGCGGTTTCTTGAGCGAATGAGCTGGCGAGGCAGCGGATGGAATCGATGGCAACGGGGTGGAGGCGATCTGGAAAAAGGTAAAGGGTGCTCATATCAAGTTACTCGATGGGTACCTGACTAACAGGACGCTCAGCATCTCCGGAAACCATTGAGGAAGTGTCAAGAGGCGTTTGAGCTCTAGGCTCAGGCCGCGCAACTCTAAATGAATTTCCAGATAGAAATTGAAAAAAAAAAACAATTAAAAAAACCTTAAGTAGTCCATAGATTCTCCCAACTTGTCCAATTTTGTTACAATTTGCTTATGGAACTAAAAATTGCAATTTTTAAAGGAAACATGCAAAATCAGGTACCTTGCTGGCTTCAGTTTGGTATATACTATTAGCATTGAACAATGTTTGAAGAGTGTCGACGAAAAATGTGATTCGGCTGTCATAAAGGGCAGGGAGAATCTGGAATTCAGCGATTTCGACATTCAAACCCATTCAGACATACCTCAAGAAGCTCATTGTTGATCTCTTGATACATCGCTTCAGCCGATTGGAGTTCGTTAGTGGCTTTTGCCAATTTTAGATCATTATCCTACAGTAAAAATTTTAAAAAATCCTTATCCTATAGATGATCATATAGAAATTTCGAAAAAAAAACCTTTTTGCTAGCAGCTTTCACACTATTAAACGAATTTTTCGCACTATCATAATCGACCAATTTTCGTCCGCGCTTCTCGACTTTTTTCTTCATCTCGCCGAATTGGCTCACATAATTCGTCACCGTTTGCGGCAAATCATCGCAAACCGTCTTCTCGAGCTCATCGGATTGAATATCGAGGTTCTAAACATTCAAATAAGACAAATTTGATAGTAAACAGCAAAATTTACATCAAAAATCGCCGTTAAATGCTCACGATCGGGCCATTCCGGCTCATAAGCATCGCGAATTGTGTCGCGAAGCTGTTTTTCGGCATGAATCAATGTTTTCAGCGCGGTGCAGTATGTCTGAAAATCAGAATTTGTTTTGAAAATGAAAAAATTTAAACCTTGATATCTTTATGCAATTTTTCGCAAGATTTGCTTTGTTTTATCAAATTTGCCGCGTGCTGATCGAAAACCTCATCTTGAGTGGCCTTGGCTTTTCCGATTCCTTCGAGAAGCTAAAATTTAAAAGAAAAATTCCGTGTTGTGAAATTCTCTAAAAACGTTTTTGGCTAAAACCTTGCTGTTATAAATAGAAAATTTGTTTTTGACAAGAGTATTTTTAGAAAAAAAATGAACATTTTGAATGGAACAGAACCGGTTTTTACCAAAAAAGCAATCCCAAATTCAAAAATGATACCTTTTCCTTAGTTCTCGCGGTGGCCTTTTTGAGATGTTTGTTGAAAAGATCCGTCATACCTATAAAAAAAAGGAAAAATGCAATAAAAATTATGGTGGTTCTCCTTTTTTAATATTAAAAAGAAAAAAACGATGACTAACACCGACATGTATAGAGCTTATTGATTTATTTAAAAATGTATGATGAAGGGAATTGTCAATACAATGAGAAGGAAAAAAGAAGCATTGAACGGATAGAGCAAAAGAAATCGCACACGCACAATGAAAAACATCAAAAAATTGAAAGAAACGAAAAACCAAAAGTTGACAGACGAGAGACGAGGTCGTCGCCGCCGCGGCGACGAGATGATGATGATCGGGAGTGTTCGTGGAACTCAGCGCGTGGCCGTGGCCGTCGGCGACTTGTTTTTAGTGCAAAATACCAACCATCATCAACACAAAAACCCTATTTTCGAATACAATAATTACTCGTTGTATTTTAAAGTTTTTTTTTGGTATTTGCAATCAGTTGTTAGTCATAAATGAGTACGTCATTTCACAATGTTTATTTAGAATATATCAAATAGAAACAATGAGGAAAACTGGTTGTCTCGGCTATTTTTTATATTATTAAGCTCAAAAGTGTACAAAAGTAATTTTTTCATCAAAATGGGGACAAATGTCATAAATTGATGGAACTAAGGAATTTAATAAACGTTTCCGCCATTGTACTTGTAACTAATTAAATATTTTCACGCTTAGTTGCGTTTTGAAAAGAATACGATTCGCGAAATAAAAAGATGACAAATCTCGAAAGAAATATATTGGAAAAATCAAGCATTATGGTACTGTAGGGCGATTCTGTGCAGTTTTGCGTATAGCTAGATGCACAGTAATCCATAAAATCTCGGAAACTCGTTGGGTTGAGCAGTGGGGATTTCGGCAAAACAGTGACTAATTTTGAGAATTTTTTGGAACAGTGAAGAAAAATACAACGAATTAATTGTTCTCATCGAAGTGACTAAACAGCGTGTTTCTCCAAAACCGAGCAAAATCACCATTTCGTCCAATGAGTTTGACAAGATCAGAATATTCGGATAGCGCCGACGGGCAGACGGAAAAGGAAAATTCGTCTAAATGTTTACATTGCGTCGAATTTGCCAGAAATCATGCATGATCGTTAGTTCCAAATACGTAAATGTGAAGTTTGCATCGAACAACAAACAAAACAATACAGAACGAGCCGCGATTTTTCAACACTAAAATTGGAATTGCTATTCATCATATTTATAAACAAATTCTGTTATATATACATATATTATTGGTTTCAAACGACTGATCAAAAAAGATTTTTTTTAACTGCCATGACGTATCGAAGCAATGAGACGTACGCGTGTCTGCGTACTTTGCATTTAAGCGTACGCGCATTTAATATTCAACCAGCGCGTAAGTTTACAAATTTGTAGATCATTACCGATTTTGTGAAATTGAATTTTTCATTTGACACCGAACAATATATTTATTGAAGCGATTTTAACCAATTTTTATTCTTTGGCCCGCAATTCTACACTTTTTGATTCGCGCCAAGACCAATTTTTTAAAACTTCATTTAGCAATCGTGAAATAGCAACCATATTTGGTCACGATTACGGTTCTTTTCTCATATAATCAAAAGGAAGTAATTCGAAATGTTCAAATTTGTGGGTCCACGACAATCCATTGATATACCGTTTGGTTACGGCACGCTTTATGGTTCTCTTTGCATATTCCCCCGCTGTGAATCTGCCTTGATTTTTCTGTGTCCGCTTGTCATGCGGATTTCCATTTTATACTCATTTACGAATTGCTATCAACATTTCTTAATCGAGTTCATATTTTTGAATCATTTCATCTCTTTCGAAATTAAATTTGAAGCATGGACATATAAATATAAAGCGAATCAACTGACCAAAATCGGCGTAGAGACGAGGCTTGAAAAATTAAAAAAAAATCACAATTGAGAAACAATGGGGACATCAGAAGTCACTGCTGGCAAAACTACTCGGCAAAACTGATTTCTGTCATATTTTTAACTCGCTCGCTCCTACGACAGAGTTTTTCCGACGCGGCAATTCAAATCATAAATCAATCGCATCCCAATTTCGTCCGTACGCGACTTTTTAAATCTGTAGGGTCGTCTGCAGCTGAATAAATAAGTAAGAAAAAGACGATATATGATCGTTCAGACTCTTGCAAAAGCAAAAAACACGTTTTTATTGAAAGCTTCAAACAATTTGCCTAGTTAAATATTCTTATAGACATGTCGGACCCGATTGACAGTGTTATCAACAAGCTTCTTCGAATAACTCGGCTCCAAACTCGTCACTGAAAACTCGCCGAGTTTTTCAACTTGCGAAAGACGGAATTTTGTGAAGTTATTGGTTTTCACATAGCGATAGTGTCTGAGAAGACATTATTTTTAAGTGGCCATCAATTCAGACTTGATTACTTCACATAACCCTCTTCCGGTGTCAGTTGATGGTCCGTGTAGTAGCCGTAATACCGAAGAACTTTGTGAATTGAGAGAACGGCGACCTTCAAAAGTTCGATGGGTGTTCTGTTATTAATACGGACCACACACCTTGTCCATTTGAACAATGGATTTTGTGACGAACATTGGCGGCCCGAAACTCGAAGAATTGTGATATCTCTGGGTTGGCATGAATTCTTCCGTTTGCCGATCGTCGATATAATATTCAGGAGACGATTCGGTTTTTATAATGTATTGCTGTCGGAATATGAGCGTCGCGATGTCGGGACGATAGAGATGGCTAAAATTGATGCGAAATTAAATGGAACTATTTTTTTTTCTGAACAAAACTGGCTAATGTTAGCTTTTTTCAAGTTGTGTTGAGCGTAATTGCTCTTATAGCACTTTCGCATACTCATGTACCCGATTTTCAGACCAATAGACCATCGACGCCGCAATACGCCGAAGACCGGAAATACTATTCCATTTCGCTATAAGGGTAGTTCGCATGTCTCACTTATATTCAAATAAGGTATTCTATGGTTTGATGTGCACATCGTGGAAGCGCGTGGCCGCGAGTTCTGTTTTCAAGCCATCATAGCCCTCTCGCTCATCAATACGCTATTTTCTCACATGTTGAATTGGCAAAATTTGTTGAGCTTACACTTCTACCGAAAAAAGAAAAATGTGCTTACGTTAATTACTTAGAGAGCCCTCTTTGAAATCGTCTCGCCACATGAATTCATTTCGTCTTAAATAATTATTTTCACATGAAATTTTTAATTTTTCTAATGAATCTCACATTTCCTTTAACTTCTCACATCAAAAAAAAAACATTATCGAAATTAATTCGTGACTCTGCGAGAAGTAAAAAGGATAGCCATTGGATCTCAGCCATTTAAATCCTGCGGTTACGGTAGACATCAGGGCTGTGCGGCAATGGAATTGCCGATTGCCGAATTGCCAGATTGCCGCACAGCCCTGGTACACATCACGGTACACACTAGGGTTGACGAGCATTCATACTAGGTTAACCATTTGATTGTCTGACAGGCCCGAAAACCCTCTTGCTTTGTCCTCTGGCAGGAATTTCCATTAGGATTGTTATTCTAAACTAATCTATTCTCACAGTCGTGGTTGATTGTTGTCTAATTGAGATTTGAGATAAATATCATTGTAACGAATTCGACTTTACAACACTAGAGCAGCTAGAATGGATCATTTTCAAAAATTGTTCGACCTCAAAAACTCTATAATATATGTAGTATCATAGACGTTCGAAACGATTTTTGAAAAAAAAATATTGTCAACGACGGACGATTTTAGGGGACCGTTGCTTATTATTCAAATTTTGGCGGCATTGACTTTTATAATCATTTTCGATTTGGCCTAGTATGAAATGCATTGAAAATTACAGTAGATATTAAAGGCGCATGCGAAAATTTGTTAATTTCGCGCAATGATCAAAAATGGCTAAAGCACCTATTCATGCAATGAAAAAAAAACAAAAAATAAATCAATTTTTTTTCATTTAAATTCCCTATGAACAAAAAAATTACAAAAAAATGACGCGATATATCGTAATTCTCCGCTATTTATTTTCAAAGGCGCACGCGAAAAGTTGTGCGGGTCACGCCGCGAAGTCGGTAATGTAATTTTTTATGTCTGTTTTTTTTTCGAATGTTTTATCTTCTTGAAGCATTTTTAATGGAAATCTGTAAAATTGTTTTGTTTAATCACCGCTAAATGTTCATTAAAAGCGTCGTCAAGCAAAGTCTGCGTCACAAATATCACAATTTTTCATATTAATTGGTATTTAAATGGCGAAAATAGACTTATATTGTCGAATTAGGAGTAATTATACCAACAATAATTGTATTTACTCGTTCTTCAATCCGTTACTCAATTCCTCTTCAAAGTTTTCGAAAAATACGGAAAAATGACACACAGAGTGAACAATAAAAAATTACAGTACCGACTTCGCGTCGAGACCCACGCAACTTTTCGCGTGCGCCTTTAAAAATAAATAGCGGAGAATTACGATATATCGCGTCAATTTTTTGTAATATTTTTTCATAGGGGAATTCAAATGGAAAAAATTGATTTTTTAAATTTTTTTCCATTGCATGAATAGGTCCATGCAATTAATTAATCATTCAAATTTGTCCGTTTTCGATAATAATTCCAATTGAAAAAAATTTCGTCTCGCCAATGCTTACTTCATGTAACCGATAAGTGGCCTCGTGTGGTCCGCCAAAATCAATCTCTCGTCCAAATCGACGACTGCAGTCCACTTCGAGATTCGTTTCGTGTGCAAGAAGCATCCCTAAAGGAAACATTGCCTTTTTTGGAAATTATGGTTTTTGACGGCAATTGTGAGCTATTAGCAAAAAAACACGAGCACCCACCTCTGGGTATTTTCGAATCTTGTTTTAATTTTTTTATTTCAAATTTTTTTTTCAACAATCATCCTATCGGATACGAAAATCCCCAAAAAACCAATCGGATCCAATAATTTTACAATTTTTTCCGGAGAATTTCCAATCGGATAACTCAGGCAAATCAAATTAAATATTTTGAGAATCAAATATTCAAGGATAAACTCTAAATTATTTTGAGAAATTCTAAAGTTTATCGATATTTTCTAAAATTTATTGAGCAAATTCTAAATTATCTCAATAAATTAAAATCTAATAATAATTTCTAAAGTTGATTGAGAAAATTCTAAAATATTATAGAGACACGTTAGTTTCTCAAATGAATCTCAAAATATTTTATTTGATTTGTCTGAGAAGGTCGATTTAAGAGCCGAATTTTGTCGGATCCGATTGGTTTTGAGTTACCAGAGTCATTACTGTAATTTATAAAAACCTGATTACCAGGTTTTCTGTAGTTCTATAAACTAATTCAACGCAGAAAAATTAAAAAAAGAAAAGAAAAATGTGATTCAGAAAAGAATAATCGAAGATACGCATTTTTTTGTTGGATTCGCATCGAGACCCATCGCATCAGTAAACGGCATGCGTCTTAAACTACCGTATCTCTGCATCATTCGGTTTTATTTATTTTTTTTTAGGAATTTTTCTTATTTTTCATAAATATATAGAAATGTTTCGTTTACGGTTTTTTTAAGACGCATGGCATTTATTTTTGCGATGGGTCTTGATGCGAATCCAACGAACGCGTATATTCGATTCTTTTTTTTATTTTTAAAACATTTTTTCTGCATTGCTCCCTCACCTGTTAATTTTGCGAAGAAGAAATTCGAATTAAAAACAAAAAAACTCTACCTGAATTTCAACATTATGCCAATAGTAGTCATTTTTCGGATATTGATCGTAAAGCCAGAATATCTCCGCTTCTCCGCGCTTCTCATAATCCTCAAGGATTCGTTTGGTGTAGTCCTCCACCCATCCCACCCAAATATACACCATCGTTGCACCCTGTAGTTTGTAATGTTCCATGAATTCAGCAATTTGCAGCCACTTCGGCTCATCGCCGTACAACGGAGCCATGCAGACGGTGAAGTTGTGGTGCGGATCTTCAAATTATGAATATCATAGTTTTTTTTTTTTTTAATTTGTATTGTTCTCAAAATCTCAAAACAACTTACTCGCCATCTTTCTGTCAATGATTTTGACCGGCGGCTGCGGAATCTCGTCTTCCGTTAATGTCAGCGACATGTATTTGGCTCGGAATCGTCTCGAGCAGTACGCAATCGTGTCCGGAAATATTTGCGTCTCAAACGGTGCTCCAATTTCGTGGCGGGACCCGTTGAAATAGCGGCAATACACCGTAACCCTAGAACATTGCTCGATCATTTCAAACCAAAATGTGTCCAATTTTGGAAACCCGTATAGATTCAAACTTGAAATCTGCACGGCAATCTGGTCCGGATAATCATAAGCGGTCAGCACGTATAAATTCGATTCTCCAATTTTCTTAAATTTGATTTATTAAAAATTGACTTTTCAATTATGTAGTGTGATTACAAATGATCCAACATCATGCTTCATCCATTTTTGATGGTACGAATTGAACGGCAAATCCCGATAGCTTTCCAATTCGATCGGTTTCACATTATATGAAACTGAATAGGAATAAGACAGGATTGAAGCTGAAAAAAAGGCAACATCTTCTATTTTGACGATTTCCGTTGAAAATCGAACAGAAGTTCGTCTTCTGGCCCTTGTTTAGGTCTGGGTGCCATAAGAAAGAAAATAAAATTCGTAGAATCAATTTGTAAGTTTAAAAAAAGTTTTTAGTTATTCATATGAATTGTCCAGGTGGCGGAAAATTGACTAAATTACAAAAAATTGTAGATTTACAAAACTATGCATAAGAATATGTTAAAGGCGCACACCGCGCGTTAAGACCTCTCCTCTTTTTTGGCATTTAGCCTATTTTCTGAAGACTTCGATCATATTACCACTTATCCAAATTATGCACATATTCAAAAAATTTTTTTTTAATCAATTTTTTGTCATTTGAATTCCCTATGCACGCACGTCGAAAATCACAAAAAATTGACGCGATATATCGTTATTCTCAGGATATTTATTTTCAAAGGCGCACGCGAAAAGTTGCGTGGGTCTCGTCGCGAAGTCGGTACTGTATTTTTTATTTTTCATTTTGTGTGCTAGTTTTCCGTATTTTTCAAAAACTTCGGAGAGAAAATGAGTAACGGATTTAAGAACGAGTAAATACAATTATTGTTGGTATAATTACTCCTAATTCGACATAAGTCTATTTTTCTTCATTTAAATACCAATTAATATGAAAAATTGTGTTTTGTTAGTTGTGGAGCGACTTGTTTTGAGTGCATCGTGTGGATTATTGTTAAGTAGATGATAGGACCCTTTTAATTGTCTTGCACATTGTTTAAATGTTTTTATCCGACATTTCGATCTTTAGATCATCATCCTTTTATTAAACGTTTATTATCAAGAAGATCTCTTTAATGAAAAATTGTGATATTTGGTACTGTAATTTTTTGTTTTTAATTCTGTATAGAAAACGACTGGTCGGAGCTCTTCGAATGATTCGAGTGTCATCGCAAATCTCTTGCGATTAGAGCCGCACGACATTTCGCCAAATCGTCACTTTTTACCGTTCCGCTTTCAGACAATTCAGGTTCGGTTGGGGTCTGCTCGCAATCCCTTGGCGAGACAAAACGACCTCGGTAAATCACATCGGACGACGGACGAGCAGTAGCGTCGGAGCAGCGGACGCCGATGTGATTTACCGAGGAAATGACTCCGTTTAAAAATTCTTCTTTCGATTAAGTCTCATCTTTAAAATATTTCGAATTCCCGCGTAAATCTCTCCAATTTACACTCCAAAATAGAAATAAATTTAAGCTTGGAGTACTGTAACTACCGTAATCCAAATGCAATCTCTTATATCTCTTCACTAACATTTAGGAATTATATATACCAAGTTTGGACCTGATCGGCTCATTCCGAAAATGTTCAAATTTTTTGTTGTTCGCTAGGTACCGTAATCCTACCGTAATTCGCCTAGACAATGTTAGAAATTTCATAGCAAAAAAAAAATACGTCCGAATACTTATTTTAAAAATTGTATTTTAGTAAATTCGCAATTTTTGATCTTAGCGCAAAATCAACAAATTTTCGCATGCGCCTTTAATATCTACTGTAATTTTCAATGCAATTTGTAGTAGATCAAATCGAAAATGATTATAAGACAATGACGCCAAAATTCGAATTATGTGCAGCGTCCCCTTCCTAAATTGGTCCGTCCTTGACAATTAAAGAAAAATAAGGAAATGAAATTTAGCAATGTAATTTTTTTCAATTGATATATTTTTTTTAATTTTCAAATAAGTTTTGAAAAAAAAGCGACTACCACAATTTTTTTGATGTAAGACCCTTTAGTTCAGTTTTTTGTAATAAATGATTGAAAACAAAGAAAAAAGAAAGCAGAAACGGGAACGCACGCGAAACGCAACGCGTCCGACAACATTCCGTAATTACGGTTACCGTTTCAACCGGGAAATTTGAGAGGAAACCAGTTATAATTTTTTTTTGAAAATTTTTAGGTGTTAAAGGAAATTTGCGAGAAATTGGGTGGGTGTGAAGAGAGACTAATTATTATGGTAATTAATGAAAAAAATATAATAATTTGAAACAATCCGATTTGCGCAAGCCGATTTTAATGACACAAAATTCTATAGTTTTAAAATTTTTTTAAAAATATTCTTAGAAACTTTATAAGTTCATTTTTTTCGTTAAAAATAATATATACGAGAACGAATTTCACCAAAAAAGTGACGCTGTTCGATGTGATTTGATTGTAATTAAATTAAATGAGAAATTTTTCTTAACAATATAATTTTCGACTAATTGAATTGTTTTCCCCCTGTTGGGACCGAAATGTTCCGCCGGTTATTCAAAACCAAAAAGTGTCCCGATCGAATCGCTGATTCATTTATCGAATTCGCATAAAAAAGGGCACCCTGCGCCGATCTACATTGAGTTTGATTCGCAGGTTAGTCAGAGTACGGTATCAAAATTCCCACACACTTTAAAAAAAGGTCCACAATTTTGCAAGGTGCTTGTTGTTTTTTTTACACGCCAAATGTTGTTACCGTATTCTTGTCTATCGGCGCAGGGCGTGTAATACATCACACTTACTACACTCTTCCTTTAAACCGTTATTGCTCGAAACGTGTTTGAACACGGATTTTTATTTATTGACGTTATAATAATAACATAGAATCTTCCGGCTTTTAGTCCGAAAAAGGATAGATCATTTGGACAGATTGGAATCGGATAAGAAAACTTGAATAATTGCCGATGGCATTAGTGGTTGACGATGCAGGCAAATATCGATGCCGATGATCATTGGGTGACGGTATTGTGAAATAAAAATGAGAAAATTTCAAGAATTATTTAAATTATTTAATTATTTATTTAAAAATTTATTTTATTTTTCTCAGGTGAATGAAAATCAATCGGATTCGAAGAAAAATTAAATATAAATTATTAACCTGTTTCGATTGGAAAATAATTCAAATTCGATTAAGAAAACGCTTAAACTCGATTGAAATCTTGGTTTTGAGTTTAAAATCTTCGAAATCGATTGATTTATTTCTCATTCTCAATTTTGAAATTGTATTCGATTGAAATTTTGGAATAATTCGAAACAGATTAATTTACATTCGATTTAGATTTTAAAAAAATTACTTTGGAATCCGATTGATTTTTATTTACCTGAGACGGAATTGTTTTTTATGCTTTCGCGTCGAAATCTTGTCAAAATTTAGAATTCGGACGCCATCGAAGCTTTTTCATTTTCGGCAAACTACCAATTTTGTTTTAGTCACATTTTTTGGAAAATTTTCTAAGGGTCCCTTAACCCAAAAGAGTGTAATTATTCTAGGGTCCCAATGTTTCAAAAATTATTATTTTTTGAACAAGTGAATTGCGAAAAAATCAATAAAAATCAAGAATTTTTATTGAAAAAATTATTAATTTAATTAGCTTAAATGAAAAATGATTGTTTTTTTTTTCAAAAACTAGGCTTTAGTAGAAATGGTTTATAATGTTGTCAAATTTTAAAACTTGTCATTTTGCTTTTATAAGACATCCCACTATTTCATTTCACACATTTGTATACGAAATTCACGGAGGGGCTAAAAATTTGAAGGTCCGTATCTCGCTAGCAAGAAGTTTGCGCTGGGTGGGACTTAGTTCATTCGATTGGAAATTTTCTAAAAAAACAAAAAACAAAAACAAATACAAAAAATTTAAAAAATTTTAACGACCTCTATTGTTAGTTGCGACAATTCGTTTTATATTCTTACTCTCTGTAATATTTTTTGGAATATATCTATTGATTCGATTCGACGATTTATTGATCTGAGCAAAAAAGGGAAAATGAAATCAGTATATTAATGCCCAATTTTATTCGATTTTTATCTAAGCCTAATTTTTTGAGAACATACCGAAATTACAACCTCTCAATTAAAAATACTGTTTGAAAAAAAATTAAAAGAATTTTTTGGAGGCAAAAAACGTGGAGTGAAAAAATCATTGGCGGTTTTTTTTTCATGAAAAAACCAACAATTCATTTTTTTAAAAAATTTTCAGCCAATTCCAGTTTATTGAATTCAAATTAATCTCGAATTGAACTAATCCGACGATTTTTTGTAAGTTTTTTTTCCATGGACCAATGAAAAATGAATTTTAGTTGGATTTTTAAATAAAAAATATGTAATCCGGAAGAAACTCACAAAAATTGTGTCGAAACCACGTGTTGTAATTGAATTTCACATTGAGCACATGGATGAGGAAACAAACGAATACGGTTCGCACAGCTGTCGACATTGGCAGACTGAGATACTCATCTAGGCAGAAGCACTCGAAGGCGTCACCACGGCGAAAAGTCGTCGGGGACGAGATATTCAAACAAATTGAATCTTGCGGCATGTCATTCGATTGGTCTCGCAAAAAAATTGGAGAATTCCATATCAAATAGTGGCAATGGTCTTGGCACGAAACAGCGAGAATATATATTTTTGAAGGGGAAGGGGGTTGCCTTTAAAAGTAAAAAAAAATATTATTGAATATAGAAAAAAAAGAAAATTCTACGTGAATTTGCGAGAAATCGATCGCGAAATAAACACCATGTGTAAATGACCGTCAAATTGAATGCACAAGTCCGCAATGATTTCAATGTCGCCTTTTTTTCCGATATCCCTGACCAAATTTCCCTTGGTACTTATTTCTGAGACATCGAAACACCAATAGCATAAATGCCCAATTACGTGAAAATTGCACTTTTAAATATTGTCTTCTTCTGTTACTGAGCCTCTTCGTGGCGAAGAAGATAAACTGTTCATGCTCCTCTACATAACTGGGGATTTCGTCACCCCAGTGGAACATGCTCAGGCTAATCAGTACACTGTCCCACGCAGGCCCAGGGTAGAGTCGAATACTCCTCATCCGGGCGGCTTCGATTCGGCCTAGCAAGCCGGAAGAAGTAAACAGGGACCCAGTCCGCTAAAAACAGTATAAAGCAAAGAAATGTCCCGGACCCGAGCTCTGCCCCTGGATTGACAGTTACAGGACAAGCAGAACGGGAGCAATCCGGGCCTGATGGCAACTGTCTGGTCTCGGTTAATGGAAAATCGCCCCCAAAAACACGAAAAGTTCACTTCAGAATTGGCCCTTTCAACTGTAGATCGCTCGCCACAGAAACCAGACTCTCTGAGCTCCTCATTGAACTCAATCGAATCAAATTCGATATCATTGGACTCAGCGAGACGAAAAGGCCAACTGAAGAGCATATGAAACACGTTGATGGGACAGCGATTTTCCTAGGCAAACGTCATGACACTTCTGTTGTTGGAGGGGTCGGCTTTGTAGTTCATAGCACCCTCGCTCCCCGTATAGAAGAAGTAAGATTTCTTAGCCACAGGATCGGCATGCTAACATTCAAGGTCGGAAATAATCTTAAATGCACAGTCATGCAAGTTTATGCCCCAACCGCCGACGCCGATCCTGAAGAAATTGAACAATTCTATGACGCTGTGGAAGAAGCTTACCGTTCTTGTAGGAGCGACTACAAGCTAGTCATCGGTGACTTCAACGCACGCGTAGGGGCCAGAAGTAATGAGAATGAGCGGTTCATCGGAGTCAATTCGATGGAACCGCGCAATGACGCTGGTGAACTCCTCGCGACCTTCTGTGAAACAAACCGCTTATGGCACACAAACTCGCTTTTCCAAAAGCCAGCCCATAAGCGTTGGACCTTCATAAGTCCAGATGGCCTCTTCAAGCACGAAATCGATCACATCCTCGCCAACGGGAGGTTTGTAACAGATACTTCGGTGCTGCCATCATTCACAGTAGGAAGCGACCACCGCCTTCTCCGTGCGAACATCCACTTCAACATAAATTGGCTGAAGTACGATAAAAGCAGAAAGAGAAAGGGGCCGAAGAAAGTATTGGACCCGGAGATGGCTAAAACAATAAGCTCGATTGTTAGTCTTCCAGTAGCCAACAGCGTTGACGAAGATTACTCTAATCTAACAACGCTACTCAGGAAACTACAAGACCAAGCCATTGTTAAACCATCAAACCACCGGACCAATAGGATCTCTGTCGAAACACAACAATTGCTCTCGCGCAGACGAAACATGAGCAGGTCCGATCCCAATTTCAAGAACCTCTCAAAACAGTGCCGAGAAGCAATCGAACGAGATCACAAGGAGTTCACCAATTCCCGGTTACTAGGAGCAGCCGATCAACGCAAAAGCTTGAAGAGAGTAGCTCGAGACATGAACGAATACAAGTCACTGATTCCATGCCTCAAATGCTCTACTACAGGCAGAACTCTCACCTCTAGAACAGAAATGGAGAAGGAAGTGGAATCGTTTTACACGAAGCTCTTTGCGAGTAGAGCCCCACAAGCGCCTACGCCTACGACAACGCAAGTCAAGGATAGGCCCCTTCCATTTCTACGAGAGGAGATCGTTTCGGCACTTCGGTCCTTCCCAAATGGGAAATCAGCTGGTAGTGATAAAATAAGCGCAGACTTCCTCAAATGCTGCCACGAAAACACTATCGCGCTGATAACGGACCGATTTAACCGCTACCTAGAAACCGGATCAATACCGAGACTGTGGACCAAGTCAGAGACAACTATCATCTTCAAGAAAGGTGATAGATACTCTATGGAGAACTACAGGCCAATCACGGTACTCCCTGTTCTATACAAGGCTTTCACAAAATGCATCTTGAATAGAATCAGGAGTAAACTAGAAGCCAATCAACCTGTAGAACAAGCTGGGTTCCGCAAGGGCTTCTCAACAGTGGATCACATCCACTCTGTCCAAAGACTGCTAGAAGTGGGACGAGAATATCAAATCCCACTCACACTTGTCTTCGTTGATTTCAAGAAGGCGTTCGACAGTGTTGAGCATTCAGCAGTGTGGCAGAGCCTAAGAGACCAAGGCGTTGAAGAAGCGTATATCCAGCTACTCCAAAGTTGTTACTCTGACTGTTCCACAAGCATCACGCCATTCCATCGACAGGTAGAGATACCTGTTCGAAGAGGAGTAAGGCAAGGTGACCCAATCTCGCCGAACCTTTTCTCCGCGTGCCTGGAGCAAGTTTTCCGCGAATTGTCTTGGAGTCAATTCAAAAACGACTCAGAAGACAATACGAACACTCCAGGATTACGAGTGAATGGCCGCAACCTCACACACCTGCGGTTTGCAGACGACGTCGTGCTCATAGCGCACAGTCCGCAAGCGGCATCCGAGATGCTAAGTGAGATGGTTGCGAGATGCGAACAAGTAGGGCTCCAGATTAACGCTGGAAAGACCAAAGTCCTACGTAACCCCTTCGCAGACTCCGCCAAGGTTACCCTAACGCACCAGAATTCGGTCAGTATCATTGACGATGTTGACGAATACGTGTACCTTGGAAGACTACTCACCCCCAAAAACGAGCTAGTCAAGGAGATCTTCCGAAGGAGAAGAGCAGCTTGGGCAGCGTTTAATGGAATCAAGAACACCACCGATTTGATTTCCTGTAACAAAACCCGCGCACAGCTCTTCGATTCCATCGTTCTCCCAGCGCTGACTTACGGATCAGAGACTTGGACCTTCACCAAAATTCTTGCCGAGAGAGTCCGAATTAGTCACGCTGCGCATGAGCGAAGATTGGTTGGCCTCACGTTATCACAACAACGTGAACAAGATCTTCATCGAGAGGACATCCGCATCATGTCTAAAGTTCGGGACCCCCTACACCACATCACGAAGAGGAAGATGACCTGGGCTGGACACGTTGCTAGAAGAACAGATGGAAGATGGACTACTCTTCTAACGGAGTGGCGGCCGTGGAATTGGACCCGGCCAAGAGGAAGGCCTCCCATGAGATGGTCGGACTCGCTTCGGAAGGAGATCACTACAAGAACAGCTGAAGGAGCCGTTATCACCCCCTGGTCCACCCAAGCCAAGGACCGAAAAGCTTGGAAAGCTGTGGTTCGCGCCTCAACAGGCGAAGGACGAACCGACTAAGTGACTAAGTGAAGTAAGTAAACACGCGACATGCTTATTTACGAAAATTTCTATTTAAATTACTAATTTTTTTGAAAGAACGACACACAAAAGAAACTTTAAATTTCGGAAATGAGCGAAATTGAAATCATTGCGGACTTGTGCATTTTATTTGACGACAATGCACGCATGTTGTTTCGATTTTCTCCGCAAAAAATTGACGTACTTTTTTTTCTTAATTTTATTTTTTCGATTTCTTTTCTATTCTCTATCATATTTTTCGCTTTTAAAGGTTACTCCCACTATTTCATTTTTAAATATTCAAGACTCTCGAAGATTTTCTTTTAATTTCAAAAATTTTTTATAGTATATTTCTCGAGAAATCCTCGATGATTTGAAACTCTCACTCTTTCGAAGAAATTTTTTTGCGAATATTTCTTCGAGAACTACACGAGAGCACAGACTGCTCGGGATTCCCGAAATGATTTAATGTCAAATAATTTATTCAAACACAATCTAAACACATACTAATTGTAAAGCCAAAAAAAAAGAAAAAATGAATTGATACTTCGTCACTTTGTTTTCAGTTTGGTCATTAATTAAGTGAATTCAGAAACGGGGGCAAATATTCAACAAAAAAAATCAAAAAAGAGAGACAAGCACTCGGATTGACAAAAAAGAAGAGATTAAAAGGGGTTTTTGCATATCACAGTCAGATTGGGAAAACCAAATAAAATAATGAAGAAACAGGTGAAACATGCCTAAAAATAAATACAAAACAATGAAAAAAAAACGATAGAAATTCTTAATCATAATCGGTTCGCTTGTTGAACAACTTCTCAAGCTGAATTCTCTCAATATCATCGGCACCGCGGCGCTGAACAGTTGATTGGTACTGGAAAAATTAATGAAGAATTTTTCGTCTGGCTCACTTCAAATAATTTTTATGTAAAACTTTTGTGTAATATTTTGATGAGTTTTTTCAATCTCCTTAGAAAATTCCGTTAAATATCAAATAGAATGGACAATTGAAAGAATTTTCGAAAATCAAAAATTCGCGCCAAAAATATTTGCGAGAGGTCTTGGCGCGCGCTATTCACCTTTATATTCTCATGCTTAGCCCGTAAATCTACACCGTTAGCTGTACGCCGACAATCTAGATTCGCAATCTACTCTAACCGACAGTATTGAATTTCAAGAGAAAATTAAAACATTCAAAAAGTCAAAGCAGAAAAAAAAAATATTTTTTTTAAATTTCTTCTAAAAATGACAAACCTCCTCATCCTCGTCATTCATAAGACTGCTCTGTGCGTCGACACTTCCACGAATCGTGTCATTCTGGTGCATTCCTCGCATCAGCTCGCTTCTGAAATAACGAGAAACTCATTATTGCGATGATTATTTTCAGATCATCAAGCACAGCACCGCAGATCGTCGAAAACGCTTCAAACACAAGAAGGAAGAGCGATAAGGAGAGATGGAGAAGTGGGAAACAACCAGTGCAAAAAAAAAGAACAACGCCATGCTGTTGTGTTCGTTTTTTTCTTTCTGTTTGAAAATTCAAGCGCCTCACCTACTCATTCTACGGTATTTCGACGTATTTCGATACGTCGACCGATTCAAACCGCTGAAAATTCGATTTCGAAAAAGCAAAATACACAGAAAATGGCCAAGAAAAAGCGAAAAAGAAAATGCGAATAAGCTCACAGTGAGCTCCAAAAGCCGAAAACTCAAAATGATCGGGAAAAAATGGGCTACGAGGATATAAATCATTACGGGACCATCCCGTTTAGCGAAAAAGAAAAAAGTTCTCCTACCTTCCATTGCTCTCATACCGAATCAGATCCGCCTGATTCGGCGATCCGCTGCTCCGCTCATCCAGCAGATTCTCTTTGCTGTCGTATCGCGATTTTGTGCTGTCCGCGTCAGAAGCCTCACGCTCCAAATCATTGACGTGATCATCAAATCTGAAATCGATAACATGCGGGATTCGGACGCGCAAACGCATCGATTTAAAGCGTTAGCTGAGAAAAATAACGAGTTAACTGGAGAAATTGATTTTTCTGCCAATCGTTAAGAATCGGAATCCTGCGATAAGCTTCACATTTCTAGAATCGTTATTTAAGCGTTAAAATTCGATATATAGCTACTACGTTACTAATTATGCTTACAAGAGCTACTAGAAGCGTTTCGCTTACCTAACCGATGGTGCTGCGGACACCGATGCCGGCGTCAAACGATCAGCTCCAGGAGATTGCGCATCCGACGACGAGAAGTGCGAATAATGCATTCCGTTGACGTCGCCTTCCGTTTCCGCTGAAAATTTGCAAATCCACAAAAGATCTCCCAATAATCGCCCCCTACTCAAATCCATTCCCGACAAGCTTTCCATGAGCCATTTATGGTCCATCGTCAGCTCTGTCGCGTTCTGCACTATCGTGCTCCGTCGTCGCTGCTCGGCCTTCACCGAACCCAACAAAGGCGCTCGTTCGGTATCGGCGTTGACTGCCGCTTCCGCAGCTTCGTCCATATCATCCTCCTCGTCTTCCTCGCGGAGTGTCAACACCTTTCGCTTGTCCACCCGCAATCCCGGCGGCGTGCTTCCAAACACCTTAAGGGTCTCGATGAGAAGTTTCATCATTGTCCAGTCTCCGAGAGGAAGCTGCATTGATTCTTTGAGTTCTGCAATCGGACACGTCGCTAGCACCAATCCGCAAAGATTGAGCGAATAAATCTTCTCGACGATTTTTTCTAGACGCGCATGCGGTATGTCCAATTTCTTGACAAGATTCGCAACTGCGTCGAGCTTCATCTCAACCAACGGGCAGTTCACCGTCATCCACGTGAGCTCATCATTGAACAGAAGGCGGGCATTCGGTGGAACCGCCATACCGGCACTTCCCACTTGCGCCTCAATATCGACAAGTCCTTTGCTTCGCTCGCGAATCAATTTTCGTAGGTACGGATCCAAGTTGCTTGTGCACGGCACAAACTTCTTGACATGCCCGACGGTGAGCCGCTCCGCCGGCGGAATGCTCGTCGAATTCAAAAACGCCTCGAAATTGTCGGGATTGCGGTCGAGCGCAATCAGCTCGTCATTCACCGGAATATGGTCTTTGAGCTGATGGTAGACATCGGCAAGAAGAAGCTGATTGTTGTGCACTTCCAATGCCCTATCAATCAGCCAACACATTCGGCTCGGCCATTGCTCGAGCAAAGAGACCCAATGGCCCAACGACATCCACGAGAAATCGATTTCGAAAGCTCTCATCAATCTACCAGTCAGTGTCAGCGCATTCATTATTCTTTTGAGAGCTCGCGGATTCATATTCGAGAAATAGTCGTCGCCAAGAACGCCGTCGGGAAGGCCACTTTTCACAACACTCTGGACGGGAACCGTCGATTTCTGCTGAAATTTTCGTGAACTTCTCTTTTAAACTAGCAAAACCTCGTCGCTTACCTTTCTGCTCTGCCTTCCATCGGCCTCTCTTAAAGATAAAACCGAACCATGGAACGTGTCTTGCCGTTTGAATCGCTCTTTCCATTCCGCCATCGACTCACGCTTTTCCTTCAGCTTCGTCTGGAGTTGGCGAAGGGCAGAATTGTGCAGATAGAATGGCATACTGATGATATTCTTCAAATAATCATGACCGGTGAGCTCCGTGCCAAGAAGCGCCGAATGCATGTTGTGATTGATGGCGGACACGATGACATGCGGATCGACGGCGATGATCGTGATGAAGGGACGATGTTTGCGTGCTGAGAACAACAGCTCGAGAGCATCCAGCGTTTGGACCATTCGCTCCTGAAAAAAATAAGGTGATGCACAGAAGCACCGGTGATGAGTCATCCTACTTGTTCGCAATTATCCAATCCGTCGACGACGACGACAAGGCGCGTATGACTCCTGGTAAACGCATCCAATGATCGGATGAGATCAGCAAGAAGGTCGACCTGGAAAAAAATAGGCAATATAATGTGAAAAATAAAAGTCCCCGAACAACTCTGTTTTTTGGTTTTTATTACCTAATATAGCTAACTATTATAATTATAAGATACCCCTTCCCCTCAACGAAAATAGGCATCTCTGCGACGTGTTAAGCACTGTAATTCATCAAGACCGTCAATATCTTGGTGATTTACAATGCTCAACGCGTCGCATCGAGCTAGAAAAATATAACGACAAAGAAGAAGAACAAGAAGAATAAGACTAATGACTCATTTTTGGTTTCTATGAGCTCTTTTTATACGTCGCTCGGGAGAATCATCTAGAATTGTTGTTGGCGCTGGGGCGCACTTCTTACAAGACCAACAAAAAAAAAAACACCGAATATTGTCGACATCGACTCCGCCCATTTTGCCGGTTCGCTCACCTCGGTTTGCAATTTCTGCATCAGACCTTCGAAACGCAATTTGTGCGAGTTTCTTGCCGCCGCGTTCACTCGCCGCCTCGGCACGTTGGTCCACGCGAATCTGTCGACGAAATGATTGGAATTCGGCGAAATTCATTCGACATTCCTACCGTAGCATCAAGAACAGCGGATAGGTGGCGATCATGACGAATCCGGTGAAAAACGCGATGGCTAAATACAAGTGCGGATTGGTGGGCTCTCGATTCGAAAACAGCCAAAGTGTCATGAAGATCTCGCCGCCGATGAGAAGGCCAAGCGATAGGATGATGAGGAATAGGTGGGGAACACCGCAATGACGTCGGAGGGACCCTTGAATTCCAGCTGAAATCGATGAAAAATTAAAGGCCTATTTTTGAAAGAAATAATAACAAATCTAATACTAATAAGTAATACATAATCGTGCACCAACTTCACATCTAAACTCGAACAACGTCCGCAGCAGCATGATTACTGTTATATGACATTGAAGGACAACAAAACAAACAACAAACACCAAAATGAGAAATGAATGCGAACGAAACCTTGGTCGGAATTTGAACCGCGCTGATATGCTGATTTGCTGATCACCGATGTATAGCCGAATCCCGTATCAACGTATTCTAAATTGGGACGCGATTTTGTCCGCAAATCGGAACCCCCCCCTCTCTTTTTCCCATTTTGTTGGTCCAAAGTTACGATAGGTGTACTTCACACCCAAACTGGAGAGAATCTCGACAATCGAATGACTCACGATAGGGCGGTTTCATCGAGCAGAAGAGTCGAACCGGCAACACTCCGAAATGTGTCTCGGCGGCTTCGAATAACGTTGAGACGATTTTCGCAAGTGCTTGCTCACCGCCAATCGACGATAATCGATGATAGTCGGCGAAGAGAAAACTAGAAAATTTTCCATTTTAAAGGCGCATTCAAAATAATGAATTTTTCATTTCAAATCAGATAAAAATCTAATTGTATGCTGCTAGAAATGGATTTTCTCTGGGTTATTTCACTAATACAGTGCGTTGCAGAATTATAAGGCCACCCCCAAACTTAAGCGCCGCGCAATGATTTCGATATTTTGAGACCAACCCGTGTGAAAATCGTGTTCAGCATGAAAAATAACCTATATGTACCAATTTTTATGTTAGTATCTTCAAAAGTAACCGCGCAATGGTCCAAAACCGTTTTTTCGAGCGGTGCAGAATTATAAAGCCACCCCCATACAACAAGTTATAAACTCAAAAATAACGGCAGTTTAATGTTTAGTGGCACCTCCATTCGAGGTAACTATGTCATAAACACGGTCTGGCATAGATTTGAGAAGGTTTTAAACATATTGGGTCGATTTAGATTTGAATTTCTGCTCTAACGTCTTCCATTCGACTACGATTTCGATTTTGAGCTCTCCAACTCCCCGAATTTCCTTCCTTGGCCATAGAGACGCCGTACTAACTCTCCCCAGACGTTCTACATGGGACTCCAAAAAGGAGAACATGCTGGCCAGTCGAGAACGTCCACACTGTGAGACTGAAGCCAGTCCAAAGTAGACCGACATACATGAATGACCGCATTGTCCTGTTGAAAAAGGACAATAATGACGTCGGAATGGAAGAAGATGGCTCTCAAGAACATTCTGATAATCCGAAGAGTCCACCCTACTCGTCAAAAAAGCCAATTCCAGAAATCCGGCCTCCGAAAACGCTTCCCCCATAATATCACGCTTCCTTCTCTAAAATTGAGTTTTGAAAGCAGGAGGCGATTCTTTCATAACTCGGGCCAGCAACTGTTATAGCCGTCTGGGCCATCCAAATTATTTTTTTCATCGGAAAAAATAACCTATTGAAGTTTGAATGGTTATTATTCCCAACATTCTCGAATGTGAACACCTTGTTCCAATCGGTATTCATGTTTTTGAATTCGAACTCAAGGCGTCGAATTTTATGGTCCTCTGTTGGTCGCGGGGCCGGCTTCATTTTTTCTCTAGCGATGTTGGGGTTATTCTTGATGGTTCCCCAAACTGTCCACTTGCTTTTGTCGAAGTTTAGCTTCTTCTTGATGTCATTTGTAGACTTCATACTGCTCGAAGCTGCTCGAATGCTTGCTCGATTAGCGAGATAGTCCAGTTTTCCTCTGCCGCCTGCCTTTTGCGACATGTTGACACGAGTTGAATCCTTCAGAAAGAAGTCTACGAATGTTTTCGGACCATTTAAATTCTTCGCAACCCGACGGTTCGACCATCCTGCCGTTTTGAATGCGGTAATCGAGATTTGTTCAGAAACACTAAGACAGCGACCACGTGGCATTTCGAAATGATTCAAAAAGTGAAAAATAAGGACCACTGTAGGTTCTCAAAGCCAAACAACAATTTTTATGCACACTGGTCCCGCCAAAGTTTCAAAAAAATGCGAAAAAGTCCGTTGTATGGGGGTGTTTTTATAATTCTGCACCGCTCGAAAAAACGGTTTTGAACCACTGCGCGGTTACTTTTGAAGATACTAACATAAAAATTGGTACATATAGGTTATTTTTCATGCTGAACACGATTTTCACACTGGTTGGTCTCAAAATATCGAAATCATTGCGCGGCGCTCAAATTTGGGGTGGCCTTATAATTCTGCAACGCACTGTAAATATCATTTTTTCAATTATATACCACCATTTTTAATTAAAAAAACGTGGTTTAAGTGATTTTTTAACAAAGACCTACCTAACAGGCATACTCGCGTTGTCATTATCGCTATTAATTGGCGCATATAGTGTGAGAACATTGAATATCAAACGAACACGATTGAATGTTCGCGCAAGGTACTGAGCCAACTGAAATTTGAAACATAATTAAAATTTTATACAAAACTGCTCATTTCAAACTCACATCCATACTCGTATTCCATCCCTGTTTATCACCGTAATAAACGACAACTGAAACAGATTGATTATGTTTCGTTTCGATGGCGTTTTTCTCAATTTGTGTTCAATACAAAAACTCACGAATAAAAATGACAAGAAACGCGAATATCGCAGCAGCGACACACCAGAATGTGATATAAACGTGCAGTGATTTGAATATCGATATGAACATTGATAATGTGAGTGTGAACATTGTGATCGAGATGAGAATCGCGAAGAACACCGTAAATGTGAGCCTAAACATCACGGTATAATAAGCGGAAAAAAGATCGAAGAAAGCTCACGTCAAATTGGCGCCGTCGAGCCAATCACGAGAAAACGAATGCATCGCTTCTTTGAGCTTCGTGAGAAGTGTCGATTTGCCGGAACCCCATTTCGCGTACAATCCAATCGTTAGCGGAAGTGATAGCGAAGGCTCACAAACTAAACGAACAATTTATGGTCCAACGAAATATTTGAGAAAAAAATCTCACTGATTTAATGTAGGTTTTGCACTCACTATATAGAAATTTCATAGTTTTAAACGGTATTTTGAGTGTCGCATAATTAATACAATAGATTTTCGATAATCTCTCTCGTCTAAACCAGAATTAACCACATCTTCCTATTTGAATAAATTAAATCAATGAATTAATAATTTAATTTAATAAAAAAGACTCTTTGGATTTCAAAAGTATTTTTTTCGTAATTTTGAAGCATTTTTTAGACAATTTAAGATTTAAAAAAAAAATCAGATTTTCGAAATGTCTAAAAATGTCATTAATTTCCCATCTTCCATAATTATAGAACTACATTTTAATCATACCGATATCTGCGAGAACATTCGAGTAAACGTCATATCCCATCACATTCTCCATTTTGTCCTCCGCATCGATTGGTCCGAATATAAGGGGCAGAATCGGTTGCGGATTCGACAAATCAATCGAGTACGGCGTCTGCCCAAGTTTGTTCGGCCGATACAACAATCGAGAATCGGATGGATTCGCTGAAGTGCACAAATATTCGTTGATAATCACCGCAACATGATGATTCTTACACAAAAGCGCCTGCGTCAATCGTCGAGATCTCGCGCGAAGCGCCAAATGAAGTGCATTATCACCACAGTTGTCGACCGCCGACAATTTCGCGCCGGCGCTGATCAGATACGTGCACAAATGGACATGTCGGCATTTTGCGGCGCGAAGAAGAGCGGTCTCGCCGTCCTCAAATTTTTTTTTTGAAAATCACGAATAACAGATTGAAATGATTATTATTAGCCTCGTTTTCTCATGTTATTTATTTTTTATAAACAAAATTTTGGCAAAAAATTACGTTTTCCAAAAAGCACGTATATTTTTACGTGATACTTGAACATCTCGATAATGGCGCAAAATTGGCTAATTACCAAAAATTGTGAATGCCATTCATTTATTTTTTTTTGCTTAGATCGTAAATATACACTTTTTGTTTTGCTCCAAAAGCTCCCTAAAGTATTTAGCCAATCGTGTGACATTTTCAATAATGGAAATATTCGTGCAATACAAAATGTAAAAAAAATTACACATTTTTTCCAAAGCAGGGTCAAAAAATGCGCATTTAGTGAAATATTTTACATTTTTTTTGCTAAAATTATACACTTCATGAATAAAATTCAAGTCTATTTCTTGGCGCGAAAATAACACATTTTTCATGCGTCTTTGACTGTCTGTCTACTGTAATTTTTCATTTTCTTGTTCAAATCTTTCTCTCGGCATTTGCCTCTCTAAATCTTGATGATTTTTGAAAACCTAGTGAATCACGAATTTTTAATTTCTCATTTTTGTTTCATCGAAAAAAATCTTATTCGATGACGTCACACCAATTCACATGAATTTTTCAATAGGTTCCCATAGAAACTCGCAAAAAGGTGCGTGTGTGCGAAAAAAAAAACCTTGTTTTTCAGCTCCAAATTCGGTTTTTTCTCGAGTAAAATGTAGGCGATATCAGTGAATGATTTGTCGATCGCCAAATGCAATGGAGTTCGTTTTTCCTAGAAAATGTTCCAGTGTGTGGATTCGATTCTGAAGAAGGTAGACTTACAGAATCTTGACAGTTCACGTCAGCATGCTTTTCAAGGAGCATTCGGACAATCGATGCGTTTCCGCTTCTCACGGCAGACGTTAAAATCCAGTTTCCAAATCTGGAAATCAGTAGATTCCGAAGAGGGCAAAACGTTGAATCCTACCGATCACATTGATTCACAAATGCTCCGGAATTGATAAGCGATTCGCAAATCTCGGCGTAACCATCTCTAGCGGCCATTCCGAGAGCGGTAAGACCATTCTAAACGTTGTCGATGGTTTCGGACATTTCGAGAAAAACCGGTCTTACCGTATCGGCGACATTCACATTCGGCTCGCGCGTGAGCAGCAAATCAACGACAGGCAAGTAATTTCCACGAGTTGCCAGCATCAAAGCAGTGCACGAGTACATTCCAACTGCATCAACCTCAGCTCCAGCATTGAGAAGTTGCTGAACAACAGGAAGGTGCCCTTTTCGAGAAGCCCATATCAAGGCAGTGCTTCCAAATTTGTCGCAAGCATTCACCTAAACGCGAATTCAATTCGAGAATCACAGATCAGAAATCGGTATTACTTGACAATCAGCTTCTATTAATCGCTCGACGATGGCATAGAATCCTCGTCCAGACGCCAGGATCAAAGGTGTCAATCCGTCCTCATCGTCAATCACATTCACGTGCGCTTTGGCATTCAATAATACATCGACAATATCGGGATGATTCTTATAAACCGCCCACATCAAAGGCGTCCATCCCATCAGATCGGGCTGATCGACTGCTGCTCCGTTATCTAATAATATCCTAACAATGTCGGTGAAGCCACCATGGGCGGCATTCAGAAGGGAACTCCAGCCTTCCTGAATACACATTGTTGCGGATGATGATGATGGAATTGCGAGCAAACTCACATTATCGGTCTCATCAATCGAATCCTGGTCTAATGAGGCCAATAGCTTGGCGACCGGCGTGTTTCCGACGCGACACGCGACGATGAGAAGCGATTCGCCGCTCTGCAAATTAAGCGAGAAGGCAAATTGAAACTGATTAAAATTGACGAACCGCGTTTCGCAGCGCCGACATTTCGGCTGTGAGTGCACATTGTAATTCTGTAACGCCGCGTTCTATCTGAAAAAAAAACTGCCAATTTCGAGGATCGTAATTATGAGAAAAATATTGTTTATTGTCGATTTACGCGTGGGGATATTTACGTTGAGTGTGAGATTGTCCGTGCGGAGTACACACAAGCATCAAACATTTTCCTAATTTTTATCAATAACTCCGAAAGTTGAGCAAAAAAAAATTAATTTTAGAATATTTTATCCATAAAAAATTTAAAATTGATTTAAAAAACGCATTTTTAGCAAAAAAAGACAAATTCATTAAATGATTAAAGATTCATCAATTCCTTCGAGTTTTCCATTCTAAAATTACAACAAAACGCAATCAAAAATTGCCACAATTCTCCAAAAAAGGCAATAAATTTCACGTGAACGCGAATCCAATTGAGAATTCATCGTACCTCGCGAATGCACAACAATTTCCTGTCGGCGCGCGCTATTTCTTTTCAGAATAGCGAAAGCTCAAGAAGAAATATCGAAGAAAAATAGATAATATTTTTTATGTTATTTCTCTTTTGTGTTTTAGTTGCTCGGCGAGCACGCGTCTCCACACACACACACAGAGATCACTCGATTTTCACAAGTGATCAGTGTGTGCTCTCGAGAAAAAATTCTCGAGAAAAATCGAGAAAATTAACCGGTACCGAGAGAATTTCTCTCGACAATGTCTTCGAGACTCCCGAGACTTTCCAAAAAGTACCGAGACTTGCAAGAATTTCTCGAGACTTTCTCGGGAGTCTCGAGACTTGCGAGAATTTCTCGAGACTTTCTCGGGAGTCTCAAGACTTTCTCGAGAAAAATCTTCCGAGACTCCCGAGAAATTCTCGGGAGTCTCGAGACCTTCACGGGAATTTTTTTTAGTGAACAAAAAATTTATTTTTTCTCCTTTAAGTTCGTTTCAATACTAACAAATGCTAACAAGGGAGGTCTTTTTGCTGTCCGTCTTAAAAGTTGTCAATTTTTGCATACAGATTCTTTAGAAAATATCCAATCGAATGAACTAGGTCCCTTCCTACCTGCGAAAACTTCTAGTATGCAAAATTCAAGTGGGTGCGGCTAAAACTTTGATGGTCCATAACTCGATAACTGGAAGTTTTCGCAGGTAGGGACCTAGTTCATTCGATTGGAAATTTTCTAAAAAAAATCTGTAAAAAATTGCCAACTTTTAAAACGGACAACAAAAAGACCTCCCTTGTAAGTTAAAAGTGATTGATATGCCACCCAAACTAAATAGTCACATTACGCATCAGATAAAGAAAGAATTTAAACGAATGAAGATAATGCATACATATTTGTGAATATTTTCGAAACTAAAAAAATAGCTGTTCCGCTTTAACCGCGACGCATACGCGTCGCGTTTCGGTTGTTAATCGCGGTCGGCTAAACACGCCAACTTGAAATTTTGGTCTTGGTGAAACATATGGCACTAAAACCTTATGGTACGAAAACCTTAGACATAACTTTAATCGCAAACAATCGTATGCAAAAAAACGATTTATTTATGTATTAATCCCCTTTTTATACGGGCGAACATTTTCAAAATATGTTGACTATGCTGGTTTCAAAACACTACTAGTTATCTATTTAACTACTGAATTTCATCAATAAAAAAATCCCGAGAAAGTCTCGAGACTCCCGAGAAATTCTCGGGAGTCTCGGAAAAATTCCCGAGAAAGTCTCGAGACTCTCGGTTCCCGTACGCGCGACTACCCGTATAGTACCGAGACTAATAATTTCGAAAATTTCTCGGTGCTTCCGGGAGTCTCGAGAATTTTGTTTCTGGGTAGTTTAGGGAATTCTCGGGAAATTCTCTCCCGAGAGCACACACTGCAAGTGATCATCAAAATTTGTGTAAACTCAAAACTTTCACTTTTTAGTTAAAAATCATTCTTTATAATTTCCGAGTAGAATCAATATTATTTGATAGAATCAATGTTTCACCTAATTTTTCAATAAAATTTATATATTTTTTCATGTATGTTGAAGAAAGAAAAACAGAAATTCCCTAATTTTGTCTAATCCGCCGAAATTTCAGCTGTTTTACACTAAAATTCACCGCATTTCTCCGGATTTTCAAAAAAAAATCGATTTAACCCACTGAAAAATACGGCAAATTCCTTTGGGAGAAAAAAAAATGTTTCTCGTTTCTCAACCATCGGGAATTTATGCAAATCGAAACGAAAATGTATGTAAAATCGGTGAGCCATAAAAAAAAAAAGAATTAACGACACCTACCTGTTCGAATAGTTCGGCGATTTGCACGCTGCTCATACTAGCCGGTAGAGCGCTAGCGACTGCAAAAGCACTCGTCGCCGCTTCTGTCCAAGGCCTTCGCACATGCTGTTGGCCGACCATCGTCGTTGAGCAACGCGTCTCGTCGAGCGCTCTCCGCGATTCGCCCACTGTCTAGCCGCTGCCACGCACAGCTTCTTCGCTGCTGATGATGGCTCGTCTTCGTCTTCGAGCTGTCTTCGCTCACCGACTCCACCTCCTCAGGTCGCGCAATATCGCCGGTGTGTTTGTGTGGGTAGCGTCGCAACCGTGCGCCTCAAATATTGCTCATTTCATTTTTCAATAAAGTTTATTAACATTCTTTTTCAATCATAAAGACACACCGGAAACAGTTTTTTTATCAATCGGTAGTAGTTGTTGTTGATTATTTTAAAATTAATGAGAAATTTGTGCAGCGGACGCCTCACAGGGTCATCAGACTTTCAACTAAATATTTACATTCTTTTTTTGCCTTGTATTATCTATATGAGGGATCGAATTTCGAATATGTGCCGATTTTCGAGCAGATGTTGACACACATTCGGCGCAATTTATTTAGGTGGCCTCGAAAATCAAAATGTGAAAGAAAGGGCCTTAAGCATATAAGTGAAATGGAAAATGTGAAACTCAAAAGAATTCATTAATTACGCTGAATAATTGAGAATTTCTATTCGGATCTCCCGCAGAGAATCAATTTTACTCGTAAAAAATAGTGTTTTTTTTCCCAAGGCTATCGACAATAAAAGTGCATTTCTGGTGCCAACACAAAAAAATTTCAATAGCAAATCAAAAACAGATTTCGGATTTTAAAGGAAAATGAGGAATCCACCTGGAGATTCATGACTAACTTCGAAATTTCCAGTTTATACGAAATTAAATTTTGAGCATTTCAAATTCAACAAATTTGACAGAAACAAAACAGAAATTTTTAAAATTCCATTAATTCTACATAAATATGCGTGTTTCACTTTTAACGTGGAAAATTTAAACGAAAACTCGCATTTCTACACAGTTTAAATCAAGGTTTATTAAGAATTTAAAAACAAAAATGAGCATTTCGATAGAAAAGCATTGAAAAAAAATCAAAAATTTGAGAATCAGTAGGAGAATCGGCAGCGAAAAATGGCGCGTTCCAATCTCTTTTTAGGGCACCCATTTATTTCGATGGTCCCTATAATCATCAATTCGGCCCTAATTACTTTCCGGTATTGCATACGCAAATGGCAAAGAACAATTCCGATAGCAACGTACCTTATCGGAAAAACACTTAATTCAACATTACAAATCCTACATTTCATTTTTGGTGTCAAAGAAGAGGCGAAAAGCAGTGATTAATAGAAAAATAAATTTTGTGAACAAAAATTGAATATAGTTATGGATTGCAAATTAGAAAAAAAGTGTTCCAAATTTAGGTACCATCCACGTGAATTCCACGAATTGACCCAAACTGATAAAAAACCCTCATTTATTTTTACAAAAAAAAATCTTAAAAAAGAAACAATAAATGCGCAATTTTGCTACCCTACGATGGAAAATTTATATTTTAAATTGCATGAAACATTAAAAGGACCGGTAACATTTTCGTGCTTGCCTAATGAAGACCCATTTTTTGCCATCAATTCCTAATCAGTGCAACACGATTTTTTTAATGATAAAATCAAATAAAGAAATAGAGGAGATAAGAGCGAAAGTGATTTCTTTAAACAGCAACAACTACGCATAATACTAGAAGAGAGGGAAAACTCGAGCGTATTGCCACAATGAATGTGCGAACGAACATGTGTTTCGTTTGCCCATCAATTTTCGTATTTTGTTTCAGAATGGCGGAAGGGCACGCAGAAAAAATGGTGGGAATCGGGTCGGGTCGAATAAATTGGCTCGAGATCGGATTTGGGCATTGACAAATTTGAATTTCGCGCCACTCTATTTGAAAAGATTCCGTGTTTTTCAATAAGGCAATAATTTTTCCACACGAGACTCAAAGCGACAACTCAAATATTTCAGCAAGAACAACAAGCGAATACAATTCATTTTTTCTATTTTTGCAGATATTTAAAATTAAAATTAAAACTCAAAATATATTACGTAGTTTTTCTCGAAATCAGTATAGGGTTTGAAAGAATATTAATCGATTGTTAATTTTTTTTCTTTTTTTTTTAATCTGCATAGTACGAGTACGATATCGATCTACTAGAAACATACGCATTCTGGGAATAAAAACAAATATCGATATGGAAAAGCTGAATTTGAAAGCTAGGCTGTCAACTCGAATAAATTTTGTCGAATTTCTGCGCAAAACCCTATAATTTCGGGTAAAAAATGCGAGTTTCGCGCAAAGTACACACATTTTCAATGATCACAATGTATTATTATTGAAGATGCATTGTAAGGTGTCAAATGATGATATCATGTCGCGAAGATGTGTGATGTTGGTGAAGATACGATTTAAATCGGTGAAAATTAGGAAACAATTTCGAATTTCCGCGATTTGTCAAACATCACACCAATAAATATTGAGTCGAAGTTTTGGGTCGATAAAAAATGGCCAACACGACGAATGATTTGCATAACCGTATGCGAATCGACGGCAACACAGCACGAATTTGATAAATTTAAGCGGGTATGATCGTAGGCAATACACACGCCACACGGTTGAAGCATTTTTCAATCGAACAAACATTTGATAGTAAGAAGGCGGAGGGTGCAAGACTAGTCAAATACACGCACATGTACGAAGCGCAACTCTTCAATAGGTCATTTCGAATTGATACGCAAAAATTTGCGAATTGAATTGAAGGGTCCCGAGACGCGCGCGCTCTCGACGGAGCGAAGCATGAGGAGAAGCACAAATGAAGAAACGAAAGATGAGCTTTTAAATGAAGAAGAATACTCAATTTTCGCACATTGACACGAAATCGACCTCTTTTTTTTCGCTCTATCCAATTGTCTAGAAATTTTCTAAAAATAAAGATTTCCTTGAAAATGAACATACCTGGACATGCGAGATTTTGTCGGTGACACGGTGAAAATGATAACCGACTGCGGTTATTTTTTTTCGCAAGTGTGAAGTAGCGATGTTTCAGCTATGCTAATCAATCACTCGATTCAGAGATGAAAAACGAGTTCGCATTTTGTTCTTGACAAGGAAAATTTCGATATTCGAGTAGTAAAATATCCTTATTTGAGAATGACTAATCAAGTAGGAACAAATTTTAGCATGCAAAATTAATTGAGTCACGCGATATTTTCCAGAAAACAAGCAGAAAATAAAAGTGAAAAAATAAATGCGTTACTGTAGCTTTAAAGGTACGTAACAGATATCACATTGGCTCCTGTTTGGAAATGCTAGGCGATACTGTCGATTTTCAAAAAAATAGCATTTCCGCCAAAAGCTATAATTTTCAAGTGCCGCAATAATATATAAATGTCTCTCTTTCTGTCGAATGACGCATTTAAAATTCCACTAAATTGGTATTCTATTTTTAGACAAATAATTCTTATTTTCCATCATATTCTCTGCGTTTAAATGAATAAATATTCCCATAATAAATATTTATTATCATTATAATTAAGTTTCGTTTTTAAATATTAAACCCATACAGGCGAAAATCCGTAGAAATGATATCAATTTAGAGCTCATCTGGGTTGCGGTCAATCTTCATGAGCTCGACGTCGAACTTCAGAACAGCATTGGCTGGAATCTTTGGTGGAGCTCCGCGCTCGCCATATCCGAGATGTGGTGGAATGGTGAGAATTCTGCGTTCACCAACACACATGTTGAGCAAGCCCTGGTCCCATCCTTTGATCACCATTCCCTGTCCAAGGGTGAACGTGAACTCCTGATTTCTAGAGCGGCTTGAATCGAACTCGGTGCCATCAAGGAGGGTTCCAGTGTAATGCATGTGCAGAATGTCTCCCTTCCTAAACAAACGAATGAAATATACAATATTTCTTGTTAAGCTGCTCACTTCGATTTCATCTCGCATTCTTCAGCTCGTTTCTTGATTCCGATTTGAAGTTTGTCGATTTTCTTCTCATCGGCGGCGAACGCGACGACAGCAAGAAGGGCAAGTCCGAGGAAAACGGCGGTCTTCATCTCTACAAATAACGATTCGAATATATTTTTGAAACGATTATATAATGTTTAAAAAAAGCCGATGAGAAAACGACACGTCATCACTACAACAATGGTGCATCGAATGGCTCACACGAAACAGTGTTGGTGACCTGGCGACGAAAAGAAATGCGATAGTGTGTTTGCACAGCATTTGTGCCAAATTCGATAGAGTGCTGACGTCTTTTAAGAGATCGTTATCAAGAAAAATATGTATATTATATTTAAAAAAAAGGGGGAACCAATTAAGAAAATTGTGAGAATACTAATAGGACATTAAAAAAAATTAATCGTTCTTCACTTTCTCATTTTCATTATCCTTCATACCAAGTTCTCTAAAAAAAATTTTTTAATTGAAATATTTGAAACAAAAATTGAATACTCTTTAACAAACTTCCGGATTCGAAGCCAAACTTGTTTGCAATTCTCGAGATCGTTGTGGGTTCCGGTAGCCACCCATTCCGGAGTTACCTTAAAATATTAAAGTTTCGAGAATCTCCACAATCCAACCTTTGTAACAGCTTTCTCACATATTAATTTGCCATGAGCGATCGGAACTGTGCGATCCTTCTCGCCATGAATAATGAGCACTGGAACTTTAATATCGGCAATCTGAATGAACGATGTGAGCAGAATTTTTCTCGCAGAAGGTTTTCAACCTTATTAACCGTTGAGAACTTATCCAGACAACACGTCGTCTCTCCAACCCGCTTCAATCCAATCACATTGACAAGAACCCGAAAAATCGAAGCGGGCGGTGCCAATAAAATTATTCCGGCTGGAACATTTACCGATTGGGTTTTCACCAATTCCACAGTGGCTGCCGTCCCAATCGAATATCCCATCATCACAATTTTTGAAGCAGGAACATTCCGAACTTCAATTATGTGCTTAAAAAGAAATATTCTCAAAAAATATGCCGGAAAAAAGATTTTTACATTATAAACGGCTGATATATCAGCGTACATGTTTCTTTCGCTGCTCGACCCTCGGCTCATTCCATAACCAGTGTAATCGTAGGTGTAGACGTCACATCTATAGAATCTCGCCATATCTATAAGTGATGGCATACCGATTAGATGGTCGGAGATATCGGAACCTAGGCAAAACGAAAATTCAAAATAAAAAATTACGTATCAATCAAACCATTTGGATGTGAATATAACATAGTAAACCTTGGTTTATCGCCAGTTGGGCATTTAATATAAACGCAGGCGACATATTTCTTGCGGGAAGTGACGACGATGAATCCTTCCGCTTCTTCCACATCATTTGCGCAATGATGAAGAATTCCGACGCTGTATTTCTGCGCTGGATCACATCTCAAACATTTTTAGAAAAAAATCTAAAGATCTCGAAAATCTCACTTCCTAGCGGTTTTGAACTTTGTTAGTTTGTCCTTTCGCATTCGCATTTTAACCGCGTCATCGCGATTCCGAACATCAATCAACGAATCTCCAGGTGGAGGAATATAGAAGAAATACGCGCATTTTGGGGGCCAAAACGCTGCCTGAAAAAATTTTTTTCAATTTTATTATTTTTTTATCATTACCCTTCCCAGAATACAACAAAATGGTGGGAAACAAGCAACATAGAATACGTGACCAATTCTTCTCAAAAAATTCTGAACGATTGAAAGAAAATCGGATACTTTGTAGAATCTTGTTAAAGGGCATAGACACACTTGCTGAAGGCGATTGCCCCTGAGAAAATAATTTAATTCAAAAATAAAATTTAAAATTCAACCGAGTTCTCTCAATTTTATCCAGAAAACGGTGCTCGGATCGAATTGTTTTATCGACATCTTTTACTATTAAAAATGCATCATTTTCCGAAGATCTCCCTAAATTTTTAATCGTCAACAAATTCGACACTATCCACTCACGATATCTGACCCTTTTCGAGCAATCTGAGAAGAACTCAAACCTTCCATTTCCTTCATAAGTCTTTTCTTCCTGAGTTTTTTCAACTGTTAGCAACGAACCCAGCTGAAAATTTCAATTTTTCAAACAAAACCAAAAAAATTACCTGCGTGGAATTCACATTTCTCGAAATTTCACTTCTCTGGGCTGAAATAAAACAAAGTCTCTTAATAATTAATACATTAATTTTATACAATTCACTTCCTGATTAGGATTTAAATTAGTATTATTTGACTTTTTAAGTTTCATTACTTAGAAACTGGAGAATTGAGAGAGAAAATCAGACCGTCCGGTTTACCGGCAAAAAAACAAACGCGCTCTATTGCACTGTTAGCGATTCAATTTTTCTTTTTTGTTTTCAGAAATTTCGTTTGATACTGAAAATAACATGGTTGCATGCGATTTATTTATTCAATTTTAATCAAACGATTAAATAGTATGTATTAAATGTCGGCAAGTCGGTTAGCAACGGTTTCTTCGAATTTCTTCGACCTGAATTAAAAATAAATAAAATTTCATTAAATATTTTGAAAATGCCAACTTTTTCTCTAATCCTTTCAAATTGATAACTAAAATCCGGGTACAAGAACGGTCGATGATCATTGCGATGATCATCGGGACTATATACTTCAGCATGAACTGCTGGGGTCGAAACAGTAGCCTTGTGTCGATTTACGCGATATCTCCACCAGAATTTCCGAACTTTTTCCTCAATCTTTAATGAAATTTTAGTTTTTTTTTGTTCATAAATTACGAGTCCCAACCTGTTCCACAGTATATTTATGGCTCCAAATCTGCAGAAGCTTCAAGAACATCGCATAAGGTCCCATTCCACCAGGCTTTCGTAGGCGACCAATAACCGAAAGCTCCTCATAAGTCAGCCCAATTTCATCCTAAATTTTAGATTAAAATCAATTTGAAGAAAATGAGAAGCAAAACCTCGTCAGTTTGTGCAACTTTTCCGTCAACCAATGGTCGTAGCTCAGCGGTCGGAGTGGATTCGATAACACTAAAAAACGATAATAATTTTCACCGTTTCAGTTCAAATTTAAATAAAAAATTGCAACCTTTTCAAGGCAGTCATTCCATATTTGTCATGGGCCATTTGCAAAAAATTACGCAAATCAATCTTGCTAACCGATCCGATCGGGTTAATATCGGCCGACGAGCAGTCATATTTGGTGAGGTAGCCGACAAGGCTGAAAATTTCAAGTATTGTTTTTGATAAAAGGAAGAGATTGGGCTGTGTGGAACCTTTCATCGACATTGGCAGTTCCAAGCACCAAAAGTCCTCCAGGTCGTTTTTCCCTAACCAACGCCAATTGCGCGAAAAGGTAGGCTAGCACCATTCGGGTTCTCGCCTGGATGTTCTGAAGAGCCATGATTTCTCGATTATCGGTGCTCTGAAGTCAATAATTCGTTTTGCCTTTTTTTTCAAAATTCGAATTGTAGTACTCGGAACGACGGCACAAATCCATAGGCAAATTGGAACACTCCAAGAAGTGACGTGATCACCGAATCAATGAGAATACTAAAAATAATCAAATGATTCCAGCGGACATGTCAATTCGCATTACCCGCAATGATTACTGTTGATATTGGCGGCGAGACCATTGGCACAATTTCGCGTCTCATCCGACGAGTTCTCGCTTCCCATATAGCATGTGAAAAGAACCTGTAAATCTCAAATTTCTCTCTTTTTCGATTTTTCACGAAATTGAAACGTTTCACTTTCGATTCTGACCATTCCACGGAATGCCAACAAACTTCGTTTCACAGTAAAGTTGCAATGAAACACAATACGCAAGTTATCAATGCATGCTATCTCCGACCGCGCTACTTTTTTTTTCGGGAAACCGAAACTGCTTAAAGGGGTGTAACAAGTTCACCTACACAGTTGCTTCCCACTATAAAAGGCGTCTCGAATTACGGTAAAAGTCACACAACGGTGCCATGGACATCGATTCCAGGATCAAGGCCTACCGATTCGTCGGCTATGCCGCGTTGACCTTCTCCACCGTCGCCATACTCTCAGGTACTATCTCTAACCTCGTAATGATGGTTCCAACACGAAATTTACAGTGTGCGTGACCCTTCCAATGGTCTACAACTACATCCACCATGTCCGTCACAATGTCCACAATGAGCTCATCGAGTGCAAGGCCGAGGCTAAGCGTCTCTATCGCGACGTCACCATGATCCCTGACGTTCTCGGCGCCGCCCACAATCGTACCGCTCGTCAAGTTGACGGCAAATGCGAAGGCTGCTGCTTGCCGGGAGCACAAGGGCCACCAGGAGCTCTGGGATCCACCGGAAGACCTGGAAAGCCGGGAGCGCCAGGACTCAACGGAAATCCGGGACGCCCACCAAAGGAGCCGTGCGAGCCTGTCACCCCACCACCATGCAAGCCATGCCCAGAAGGACCACCAGGGCCAGCAGGACCCCCAGGACCTGCCGGAAACAAGGGACCATTGGGACCACCAGGACCACAAGGACCACCAGGACCCAACGGCGAGCCAGGAAACAAGGGAGGCGATGGACCACCAGGACCAGCCGGAAAGCCGGGACCAGCGGGACCACCGGGCGAGAATGGCAAGAACGGCGAGCCACAACCGGGAGCACCAGGAGAGCCAGGACGTCCAGGACAACCAGGACCACGCGGACCATCAGGCGAGCCCGGAAAGGACGGAACGCCAGGACCACAAGGAGAGAAGGGCGCTCCGGGAGAGCCGGGACAACCAGGACGCGACGGTCAGCCAGGACATCCAGGTCAGCCAGGAAAAGACGGAAAGCAAGGAGAAAAGGGAATCTGTCCAAAATACTGCGCTCTCGACGGCGGCGTCTTCTTCGAGAACGGCCAACGTCGTTAGACAGCCTTTTTCAATTTCGAATAAATGTTTTGGCATTAATGTACCTGTCGGCATAATTCATCGGGATCCTCGCCAACTCGTTTTCCGAGAAGGTAGTAAGCGGGATCATCACCGCCTGAAAAAGAAAAAAAAAACGAGATGAGGAGATTGAAAAAGACAATCAAACCATCAGTCAATCGGCGATGTCTCACAGCGCCGCAAACTTTCTCGCACATTAGTCGAACCATAGCTGCAACTGCCGATGAGTCCTGGCCACCGGAAAGCGGAATGAAGTAGCCTGCCTGAAATGAGCTCTTATAGGCCAAAAGAAAAATTATAGTCACAATTTATTCATTTACGACAAAATCTGCTATACTGCGCTATTCGTAAAACTCCTACCATTCCGCTTCTTCTCAAATATGTCCATAGATATGCTGGTGGTCCGTGACAGAGTTCAGCGGTCGGCGAAAGTTGAAGTTCCTCAAAGTCTAAAAATGGGTGAGTAGGTTCCAATTTTTTTTTGTCATACTAGTAATCGGCGGTGTACATTTTTCCAATGGACTCGCCACATTTCCAGTCATGTTTCCTTCAAAAAGAATCGGAACAATCGCCGGAATCGTGGAAGCCTAAACGTTTAAACATTTTCCGTCATAAAGTGCGAAAGCAAATTTCTACCGTAACCGTGCTGCTACTTTTTCCCTGTCTAAATGTGATATTCGCGCTGAGATCGACAAGAGCGCTTTTGACGCACTGAAATATAAACCGAAATGCCTAAATTTGCGAATTTCTCCTTACAGTATCTTCAATATCAAATTGATTAATTTGCGCCAGAAGCTCCCCGTTCTGAGCAATCGATGATGCTCCATCATAATAGACACGCTCACCATCGCAACCTCGATGATTCGCATAAATGTAAACTCCTCCAACCTTTAATTATTATCATATTAAGTAACATCAATCATTGCAAACCTTTCCCGACGATCCTAAGATCAGTTGATTGATGCGATAATTAGATTTTCCAAGGATATGATGACTACCGCTTCCGTTGCAGATAATATCAACACCCTGCTGCGAAAGGGCAATATGGGTCCTGCAGCAGATTTAAAAAAATGTTTCTGTTTATAATTAAAATTATTACGATTGTGCGTTCCACATCTCCTCGCAAATCTCGAATCCGATTTTGACATTGTCTTCTGATTGAAGGATGGCGTCGCCGAATGGGACGCTCGTCTGAAAAAACAAAACGAATTGCATTCAAAGATTGCCCGTCAAATGATATGAGTCACCTGCTCAAAATAAAATTCCTCTCGAATTCGCAGCTCATAATGAACGAATGGTTCGGTCCATTTCACGAAATATCGTGATTCTCGATAAATATTGTCATCGGCGAGGCCCAATTTCGCGCGGATGAACAGCAATTTTCTAAAATTATATGCATTTGTCTTCAAGAAACTAATGACAATTTCGCTTCTCACCCATTTTTCACCGCAGCCATGCAATTATAAAGCAATCCGCGGAATCGAACCGGCAATCCGGTGAGAATAAGCAGATTCGGCCACTGAAAAAAAAAACAACGACAATTAAAGGTTCAAGCGGACGACAAGCACCGTTTTGCTCTTCTCCGTCAATTTGCTCAACATTTCCCATGAATGGAGTTCGGTGTCGATCTCAAAGAAATGATCAGCGCAACCATATCCGCAAATCTCCAACTCTGGACCAAGACGAATGCGAGCACCCATTAAATAGGCATCATCACAAGCTTAAAAACAATCAAATAAATTAAAGCAGTTAAATTGCTGGAAATTCCCAACTTTTCACAATCCGCGCATAATTTCCTTTAAAGTCTAAAGCCCAATTGTTGACAGTGCATGTTGCCACACGAGTCCGCCGATCCCAATTCATCGATGTCTAAAAAAACAAATAGAAATTAGAATTTCGCAATGAAATTTCAAAAAAAAATTGATTTTCGGACGAGTGTATTTATACCGATAAAACATTGCTAACACGGTCAATATTAGCAATTTTCCATTTCGCAAACGCAATATTAATTTTTTTTCTTATTCATTAAATAAAAACCAAATATTTTCAAAGCTGTGATGTAAAAAATGCCGATTAAATGTGTTTCGTTAAACATTTTTTTTTTTAAATTCAAATTCTGTGATTTTTTTCTTCATATTATTTCGATATTAAATATTAAAAAAAATAAAAACACTAAATTTCTAATTATAAATATTTATACAGTATGGAAACACCAAAACAACTTTCTTCTTCATTTATTCATAAATTCGAAAACAATTTATTTCAATTTTTTTGTTTTTCGCGTGACCTAAAGAAAATCCACGTGGATTTACGAGCTTCTAATATTTTCGAAAAAGCGGTCGCAGTTTTCCCGTGCGCATATAAAATTATCTTAATTCGAGTCCGCTAGAATTTTTTCTTCAAGTCCTCTTTTCTTAAAGGCGCACGCGGATATACCACTAAATTCTTTAAAACTCGTATTGTCACCAAAAAACTGGAATAAATCTCAAATACTCCTTCTGCTCAAGAAAAAAAAATGCTGCAATCGCTTCGTTTTCCCAATTAGCTTTATAATTAACACGAAAAGACGAGTAAATCTACGTCTAAAAATTATATAAAAGGAGCGGGATGTGCAATAAATTGTAAGAAAAAAATCGATAAGAAAACTACATAAATATATAAAAGCGAGAAATCACAACAATAAATAGATCGACTTAGGGGGTTCTGAAGAGAAGAGAAAAAAAGGAAACATTTTAAAACCGAGTTCAAAGTAAATCGATGTCTAAGAAAGAAGAAGAATAGAATAGAAGACAGACACGTGGATTGGAAAATGCAGATATCATAGATGAGAGGATCCCGATAGAAACAAAATTAATCCTTTTAACTTCTGCATTAATTTTTTTTGTTTTATTGAAAATTCTTGAAAGATAGAAGGGGAAGGAGAAAAGCAAAATAAATAAATACATCAAAGAAGAAATTGATTTGGTCAATGTGAAAATGAAAAAATAAATAAAGTTGCGCAGCAACTCAATTCTTCTTCTTCGATGATTTCGCGTCGGTCGCGTTTCCGGCGTCGCTTTCCTGAAATTCGGCTCAGTTTTGCGTGTTGAAATCAGATTAAGCCAAAAAAAGGCAATTTTGAGCGAAATTCCATTTTTTTTTGTGAATATTTTCAAACAAACTGGCCAAACAATATAAACATATTAGATTTTTCGTGGGAAAAAAAATTAAAAAATTGTATAGCGGCTCACAAAATGCGAAAATTTGCCGATAAAATTCACGTGGCCTCAATAATTTTCTAGGTCATCTCTTTAAAAATTTCTCTTCCATACCGATTGCGAGTCCTCATTTCTCTTCTTCTTCAATGGCTGCTGCTGTTGTTGCTGCTGCTTCTGCGATCCCTTCTTCTTGCCCTTGCTTCCCGAGTCGCGATAACGATTCAAGTGGAACGAAGCGAATGTCCAAAATTGCACCAATTGCAAAAGGACGATCGAGAGGAGGAGATTGAGGCGAACGAACGAGGTGTTGAAGTTGCCGGTAGACGCGTCGACGTACGGCGCTTCGAATTGGCGAAGTCCGTACCAGAACGTCATCACAGCAATGACGACGGATCCAATGCGAACCAGCACAAACAGCACATTCCAGATTTTGAAGCTGAAAATTCGATTTTGTCGTTTCAAGGGCTCTCAACCGAAAAAGACGACAAAAAAAACTTACGTCGGCTTCGAGATATTCTTCTTCTCCAAGAAATGTGCAACTCGCGCAAAATGGAACACCGCCTGCGAGGTGTATTCAAGGAAAAGGAGTACAAGGGCGACTCGTGTGAAACTGGAAAAAAATCGCCCAATGAATACTACATGCCAATTTTGCGCCTACTTCATAAAATATGCAAGCGAGATGAACACCATGTAGATGATCGAAACGAGACTTTTCTGACGAATTTCATCTTTCTTCATCTTTTGGAAATAAAATTCCGGGAATTGATGAAGCCAGTAAGAGATCTTAAAACGGGGAAATCGACGTGATTTCTCGATAGTCTGAAATTGAAATTACCTGCAAAATGAAGAAAATCTTGTAGAGCGACGTCATCCAGCGGTGCTCTTCCGGATATCCCACCCAAATTCTAAAAAATTCGAATATTCAACTTCAGCCAAATCATAAATTCCCGTTTACGAACCTTTTGAAGTCGTTCGTGCCGGCAAAAATCTCCTGAATCAAATAACCGGCACTGATCGCCGAGCAAATCGCGAAAAAGAACATATGGCCGGATTCGGTGAATTTGAACGTGGAGATTTTCGACAAGTGCGCCTGAAATTATTCGCAATCGGCTGAGCTCCTCACAGAGGGATGCTAATTAACAAGAATTTTTCTGAAATTCGAAGCCTCCGCGAGCATAAATTGGCCATCGTCCTCCGCGTTTTTTGCGGGTTCGAAAAAAAAAAACCTCCATTCAGAAATGACATCATTTCCTTCGCACGGAAGGCAATTTTGGCCGCATGAATTTTGTTTTTGTGCACCACCTACTTTTCTTTGCAATTTGTCCAATCCGTACTCTTGGATGATGGCGTGAATGACGATCCAAGCGATCGAATAGAACGCAATCGTGGCGATGTCGAGAACTCCGCACTTGAAGCCGGTGACGTCGAACGCTAAAATTCTCATGGTTTAGACGTTTGAACTCAGCGCGACGTCAAACTACTCACTATTTCCTTCCACCGTCACCTTGCGGCTCTCATTGTATTGCGGTCCGACGAAGATGTGAGCAACGCTGGCCGTCAATGGGAACATCATGCCGACGATGACGATCATCAGAACGCAGCTCATTATGTCTCCATGATTCTGAATGACGAATTCATGCGAAAAAATTGGCGGTTGCGCCTTTTTCGCGCGCACGTTTCCGGCTCGACGATTCTCGACCATCGTTCTAATTACTGAAATGAAAAGCGTGATTGTGATGAAAATCTGCGAAGAGCGAAAGAATTAGCGAAAAAGTTGAAAACCAATTTATAGGGGCAAGGTCAACAATAAAGAGGGATGAGGTGGGGGTAAAGATCAAACAGATGGCATGTTCGTTTATTTCTACATTTTATTAAATATAAACAATCTGCGACTAAAGTTATTGATTTTTTGGCAAAATCAGGTGGATCGAAAAAAAACTTGGCTAGACGAAAATCAGAGCTACCAACAAAAAAGATCGCGATTAATGTTGCTGGGAGACGAAATGGGCGGAGCTTTTGATAAACCAGACCGACCGAGCAACGAGAGCTGGGACGCCGAGACACACACACACGCAGATGAAAAAAACTGGGAATGGAAAAACTGCAGTAAAGCAACACGCGAAATAGACAAGGAAAGCTCTCGGCCGGCGGCGCTTTTTCCCTCTTCGTGTGTTGCGCAATGTGAGTCACGTTGAATCGATAAGTAGTGAAGAGAGAAGAAGAAGAAGCATTCATTTTTTGCTACTACTGCTAAACAAAACAAGCTGAAAGATGAAGAAGAAGAAGCCGCGGTGAATTCATTTCGAATTTTCTTTTTTTTTATGAATATATAAATATTCATGCGGTAGAGAAATGGCCATATTTCATTGTGTTTCCGGCCTAGCCGCCCATATATTTTGATGCGATCTTGTCGATTTTCCGGATGCAGACATCCGAATGGAGATGATGTCGCAACTATTCAAGACATCTTGGAATTAAGATCACATACGAAATGATCTCGAACATAGTGCCGACGTGTCGATTTCTAGCAATGAGAAATTAAACGTAATCAACCGCAAACATTTCAAAGAAATTGAAAATCGTAAAATATGCACTTTATAAACTTCCTTCGTCGAATCATCTGCTTCTTGAACTCTAAAGCCAAGAGCACAGCGAATTCGCTGCCCGATAACATTTGAGAGATTCTCTCCAATTTCGCCTGCCCGGTGTTCCGTCCTTAATTGAGCTCTCAATCTCGCGTGACGATTCGTCGACGAGCCGTCACAACTCGATTTGCAACACATACGTCTTCGCATCAAAAAGCAATAGTTTTAACGGCAATTCCTCAACCCAAAAAAAAACTAAAACGAGAATAACAATAATTTTTAATGGGAGAGACTTGCATATAAAAGGAATGCAAAAATTAAAGACGAGATTGGCGAGTGGAGAGACAGAAAAGAAACATGCAGGCCAGCGCTGGAGTGGCCGAATTTGGAGCGAGTGAACAGCGATTCATCAAAAAGTTCCACGTTGCAATCTATCAACACGTCAGTATTTGACCGAAAATGGGCGGAGCGCCCGTCGCCAACGACGCGGAACGCCGAATTGTTGGCATATGAATATGCATATTCCATATTTGGCATATTCATACAGAAATGATCGAAACGGGGCGGAGAAGATTCGGTCTCGACACGAGCGCGCGTCGACCAGTCAGTATTTGCAGTCCGAATACGGTAGGGAAAGGGGAGCGCAGGGCAGGGGGACAGCAACGGGAAAAAAAACAACACCGACGAGAGCGATGGACGTGTTGCCTGGTTTATTTGTTAGGGGCCGAGATACACGCCGAGAGGCACATATACTCCTACTTTCGCCCAGGTCGACGATTGCAATTAATTTGACCAATAGTTTGGTAGTCTGAGGGCCTCCTGAACAACAACAACAACGTGGATTGGTTATGCGGTAATAAACGTATAAGTTTTCCAAAAGACTTTCCCTCCGCCTCCTCGTTTTCGGCCGACGCCGCCGACATCCGCCCTTTTTTCTAATTGCAACGAGGTCAAGGATATTTATCGGCTTTATGGAGATTGATGATCATGCTGAGGAGATGCGATCTTTATTGCAGACTAGTGGACGATTAGCTGACACGCATCAAGAGCAAATGCGCGAATTTTCAATTATTCACGAACCAATTTAACAAAAGCCAAATTGAATATTGGCGAGCGATATTAAAAAACGACGATGGAAAATTGGAAATCGCCCATTTATTTTTCGATTCAATGCCGCTTATAATCGAAATTCCGTTGAATTGAGCCTAAAAATGAAATAACAACAATGGAAATTGGGTGAAGAATAGAAACAAAGTTGAAATGGTTATGTGCAGTTTCGCGGAGTTCTGTATGCGGACCATGTCAACTTACCGTAACTGGATTGTCAAAAAATCCCAAAGCCTATTTATATTGTTTTTTAAAGAAAAAGCGGAATCTTCTTTTCTCTCAAAAACCGCAACTTTTATTATTAATTGCTGGTCCGCGGCAAAATCTCAGGAGGGATAAATGATAAATCATTGTGAAAAATAGAGTGTTGTCGGCGTTTTTAATTTTTCCGAGGAATGTACAAATTTCCGGCGTTTTTTTTTAAGAAAGAATAACTCTTGCCATTTGGTACGCTAAAAGTGTTTAAATTAGTCTAAGCAATCAAATTATTCATCAAACCCAATATTCTCATTCTCATTACAACGGTGCTGTCCAAACTAGGAGTTTCACAGAATGGCCTAGTTTTGTGTTGACAAAGTTTCGGCGGCCAGGCCAATTGGCGGAAGATTTCAAAAATTTTATTTTTTTTTTTAGAAATGTGGCTTATTTCGGATAATCTTTTTCTCTCAAATTATCAAACCGTATCTGACCATACAAATGACGAAATTTTCAAAAAATTCCAGGTAAATTAATGGAATTTCAAAATTTTTTAAAAATATTTCCAGATTCGCAAAGTTGTATCATTAATGGAGGAATGTATTCCGAATGTTTGTAAACTTCCAAATGTGGAATATGTTTTCTTCAAAGCTTTAGACGTTGAAGAACAGGTTTCTAGAAAAAAATATTTTTTTTTTTGAAAAAAACGAATATGTAGGAACTTCTCAGCAATGGAATTATGATGGAAGCAATTGAACAAATCGATGCTTCAACATCAAAAAACGAAAATGTGATTGTTCATTGGTAGTTTTTTTTTCTTCGCCACGAATTTTGTCAAAATGTCTTCCTTGTTTAGCGTCGCCGGTGTTTCGCGTAGCGTCGCCATATGCATGGGATATTTGATGTATAAGAGGAATCTGACAACAGCAGTTGCTCTAGATTTAATTAAAAATGTGCAACCAACAGCTTTGTAAGAATATGGCGAAGTGAGAAGCGCGGCGAAATTGATTTTAGGCCAAATTCCGGGTTCATGGCTCAATTGAAGATTTTTGAAAGAAGCGGTTGTTTATTGGAAGCCAAAAGGTACCAAAATATCCTATTGAAGGTGATAGGGAAAACAGGAGAAGCTCTTTCATTCTATCGACAGCCCGTAATAGGATCTAAAGGATCCAAATTTAGATTCAAGTATGTCGATAGGAACATCTGCGGACATTCTAAAATATATATTCCAGATGCAAAAAGTGTCGAAAACTCATATTCACTTCGGAAAACATTGTCCACCATGACAATATTACAGTAATCCAAAACTAATTTTTTTCTTTATTTTCTCCTTTTTAGGAAATTTCTCATCAATTTCTTATTGAGCCAATGGCTTGGTTTAATGTGGCGTCGCACACGTCAAATATAACTCATTCATGTGGAGCGAAACTTGGCAACTTTATAGCAACGGGATCGAAATGCCCGAATTGTTTCGAATTTGGTAGAAAACGAAAGAAAAAACCCCGAAATTCCGAATTGTTTGCAGTTTGTCCATGGATTTGCGCGGAAAAATCAAAAATTGATATCGAGCTGGTCAACTAGCAATTTTTTGTCGGCACAGCGAACAAACAAAAAATTACGTCTCCGTATGCGCACCTGCTCTATTATTGTGTCGTTTGTATATAAAGATGAGTTTGGCAATTTTCATGCCTTCTTCTCGAAACAATGCCGAACATCGACAAACTGCTCGTTGCTCTCGCCTATCTCATCACCGCAGCATTTGCGATTCAATCATGGGAAATCAACGAGAATTCGAAGTCGTCGTTTCCCCTATTTGGCGATATGAGTATCGAATTGATTCGAGAAATTCATTTCGATCGAGAATATTTCAGTTCTAACTCCTGCGCAGCTTAGTCGCTACCAGAATTCCAGTAAATCATCACCAGTGCGAAGTGTCAACCTTAAAGAGACTTCAATGAATCGATGGGCGAACAATATTATTCCGATTGTGATATCGCCACAGTACAGTCCAGCACAGTAAGGTTCTTCGTTAAATTTCCAAAGTAAAAAAAATTTTCTTTGTTTTTGATTTTTTTTTGCGATTTGATGCGCATTTAAAGGACTTATTCATGCAATTAAAAAAATGCACATTTTTTATATGTCTAAGCCCATAATTTAGCATGTTCATTTTTCCCTTGTCGATGAATCTCTTCGAAAACCTCAATTAAAAATGTATTGTCGAAAATTCACATAATTTATGGAATCCATTTTTTTGGAAAAAATGAGAAAAACAGGAAATATTTCTTAAGAATGAGATAATGACCTATTATGGGCTACAATGGGTAACGCAATACAGTCCTGTTTCTTTTTTGTCTAGAATTTTAATTAAAAGGGAAATTTTCTGGACGTGACTATTTGAATATTAAATAAAAATTCTTCAAGATTAAAAAATTTCTCGATTTTTTTGTAGAATCTCGATAATTCGCAACTCATTGAAAACGTTTGAAGAGATCTCGTGTTTCAAATTCGTCGATCGTGGGTCTCAACGCGATTATCTGTTTATTGTGCCGTTAGATGGGTGTTATTCGTACGTTGGAAAAATTGGTAAAGCAAAATGCAAAAATTTTCGACAAAAGAAAAACATTGAATTTGGTTTTTTTTCCAGGAGGCAAACAAACAATTTCACTCGCCGCCGACTGTATTGCCGATTATATTATTTGGCATGAGGTAGTTTAAGAATAAATTTCCGGATTACTGTAGCTCGAAATTACAGATGATGCACGCAATCGGATTCGAGCACGAGCATCAAAGGCCGGATCGCGATGACTACATCAAAGTGACTTATGAAAATGTCATACCAAGCCAAATCGGTGAGAATTTTAATATATTAATGGGAAAATGAGAATTTTTGAAGTGAATTTCGACAAAATCCAGCCGCATTTGGTGGATTATCCGGATCAGTACGATTATAGATCCATTATGCATTATGACGGCTCGGCTTTTGGCAAAATCGATTATACGAAGAGGGTTCGATTGGCGACGATGACACCATTGAAGGTGTGTCACCAAAAATTGTTCGCAAAAAAAACTGGAAATTTCAGAGAGGAATACAGCTATTGGACAATTTGAAGTTCACAACGACCGATATTCGAAAATTGAATCGTTTGGGGAAATGCTCGGGAGCTTCCGGAGCGGTTAGTCCCGACAAACGGACGAAATGTGTGGATATTGCCAACGATTGCGGTCAATCCAAAAAGGTATGTTTCGAAAATTTTATATTTTTTTAAATAAAAGTTTCATTTTAGAGAGGAATGTGCGATAATCCGTTCTATCGGCCGATGATGCGCCGAAACTGCCAACGGACTTGTGGAATGTGTTTGGTCTCGAGAGGAATGGTAAGTGAAAGATCAAAAGTCCACATTTTTGTTGGACTTTTATGTATCATTAAACCTTTATTCTTTAATTCTTTTTTTTCTTATTCAGGAAGGCGACAAAATCTGCGAAGACAAGCATCCCAATTGCGCCACCTACGTCATAAACGGAATATGTGAGAATGAGTTTTACGAGCGCTGGCGACAAGACCACTGCGCGAAATCTTGTGGACTTTGCACATCTACTTAATGAACGAACCCAATAAATAATTTATTAGTGAGTATTGAGCAATGCATAAGCAATGACAACTAAAACGCTTGAAATTGTGGTGAAAATTGTGCCGGAATTGCAGAACTGTTTGTTTTTGCAATAGCATTGGGTGAGTTGACTTTTGACTGGAACACCGCCGGGATTCGTGAGAACGTCGTAGGTCTGACAATGATTGTCCTGTCCGAAAATGTTGACGTCAGAGCACGTCTTCATCACCTGATAGCCTCCTAAAAATCGAAAGGTTTTTCTTTTTTTGGGATCCCTCGATTTTCTACCATCGAGCTGCACGAGCTGTTTCATGCAATACTTTTTGTTGCAGCTGCTCTCATGACAATTGTTGCCCTCACTGGGTCGACAGTCATAGCAATTTAAAGGCGCATTGTTGAGCACTGGAAAAATTTCGACATATTTGAAAAATATTTCAAAGCGTCTGCCAAAAATCCTAAACGTAAATATTGCAAATATGCGCAGCGTACGGCATTATTATTGCCCTTTACGGGACGATTTCTATTTAAGGAAAAATTTTCGAAAAAAAATATACCCAAAAATAAATTATTTTTGGTGGCCTAGATTTCGCAAAGCCACGGCCGTATAAACCTAGGCCATACTTACATCGATTTTGAGATTGCTGATTGCAAGTGGCTGCTGAGAAAGCGTTCGACACTGGCCGAGTGTTGCATCGATCCGAGTTTGAGCAGAACGCGACAAGCATTTTGACGGTGACAATGTTGCCACGCAAATCCGCCATTCGATAACGCTCGTCCATCTCGCAGAAGTTGTTCGTCGCACCGTTGCCATCGGAAGAAGCCGAGCGATCAGAGAGAGCCTTAAATGTGCATTTTGGAAAACTCATTAAATTGTTATTTGGATTTTTTTTTCGTCTGGTGGCCACAATTGCCGCGTGCTTTTTTTCGAAATTGTCCGCAGCTTCTTCACTTACATTTGTCAATGTCGTATGACATCCGCGCACCACCAACACCGATGTTAGTCCATTATTGACCTGTCCCAAATCGGGATCTTCGAACATTAATGTCATACATGGTCCGGCGCACGCGTCCATTGTTTGAGATTGCGGCTCGTCGCAGTTTGAGTTGAAAATCGAGTCGGAGACCGGCGCGAGACCCGTCAAATACCAGCGATTTTTAAGCGATGACGAGGCGCACTGAAATTTGGCTCGATTTTTTTTGGAGAACCCAAATCATCAAAGGAAATGCTTTAAGATAAATTTGAAATAAATCAAGTACAAATTTTAGCTTGCATTTTTTGCTTCCTTTCCAAATTTTCGAATAAATTAATTATTTTTAATCTCACCAGGATGCAAGTTCTGGAGCCAGTCTGAGCTGCTGCTAGCTCGGCGAGCATCAATATTGCTGAGAGTTGAACGGCGACGAGTAAACGATGCATTTGCGCAAATATGCGGTGCGGTATCAGAGCGCGTTTTTAAATATGGCAACATTTTTCAAACGAAGCCGAGGCGGTCCCGCGTTTGCTTATTGACTGATCCGCTGATTCAGTGCTCGATCATAAATGGACATGATCTCGGTGCCTGGTACACATATGCATCATTTCCGCTACAAATTTTTGCATATACAATTATGCCAGCTTTTGGTTGTCGTCAAGGCGAAATTGTGAAATCGAAAAATGAGTCGCTTGTGTTGAGAGGAGGAGAAAAAAAGGACAACGAAGCTTTATAGGAAGCATTTTTGCATTGCTCTCGAAGATCCATTCTAGAAGGTTTCCCATGCGAAATGCTATATGGTAAGTTAGTTTTTGAACAAGGTTCGCTTCAAGAACCCTACCCCTTCCCCAGGTTTTGATAACAAATTCGGAGCAAAAAATGTTGTGTATTTTTTTGCAAAAGAAAAATTCAAGAAAACCATAATTTGTGGCACAATACAACATTCCAAAATTTGAATTCAAATGCCTATATAGGATGAAGGTTCTGCATATCATTTTCAGAATATGTATAATATTGTTCTCTGTCTTTTTTCTTTTGCATATGTCTTCGTCATTTCTATCTAAATACGTTTCCTTTAAAAATCCAGCAGTTTGTTCGTTTCGTTTTCTGGATAACGACATCTGATGTTGACGGCAGTCCAATTATGCGCTTCCGCAGCATGTCACCTCGTCGTACCATCGAAGACACCGTTTCGACAGACTTAACCAAGATCGTCTCAGAAGGGATAGATCAGCAGTCACGAACAAGGTGCAAAGCAGCGTGCTCTTGGAAATCTATCGATGTTGTTGAATATCTCGAATAGGACCGTTTTAAGGATTGCCGCATGCAATTCAAGCTCTCGATGACTGGCTGGATCAGATGAGGGCAGCTTCATTGCAGCGGAGGGTTTCCCAGAAATGAAAACAACAAAGCCGGAAGAATAAAACTAATTCGTCTCATGTGAAAAACGGAAACGGAATTCCGTTTTGAAGCGGATATTTTGCTTATCGTTTTCATTTCTCTGATGCAAGTTGATCGAATAGGTCTATAACTATTGCCGAAGACTGTGGAAAATTGGCAACATGCCAAAAAAAACGGTGAGAGTGATCTTAGCGCAAAATTAAAAGTGTAGATTTACGGCCCTGACTATAAAAAGAAGGTTAATTTGCATAATTTTTTGGATTTTTTTTTTGGCATTTCCGCAGTCGATGGTATATGTTTCCGAAACGCTATCATCATTTGGACTTGGATCACCGAGACCCTTGGTTTTCGTCTGCCAGGAAGTAGAGTTGAGTTCTGAAGAGTACCTCAACAACGGCATACCGATGAAGCAATTTTCCCTTGTTGGTCACTTCGTTGAAGCTTTCCCACATGAGTAAGCTTCTTCCAACCATTGAAATATGCCCATTGACGGGTGAACACCATAAGTTGATCCCTCCGTGAATTTGTTGGTTCATTCTTGAGGGCGATGAGTGCGAGAGGTTCCACAATAACCTAGAGGGACTCAAACTCGGCCTACCACGTCATCTGCCATTCAAGCAACACCATGTTAGGAATAATTAGAAAAAAGGAATCTTCAAAATTTGAAAATACAGTTGTGTTGGTATTTTTTTTAAATCACGAATTACTAAAAAAAGATCTTATTGATTCGATTTGTTTGAGTTTTTATCAGACGAATTGTTATTTTCCACAGAAATTTTTGCCAAAATTAGGCGTGAGAAAATCATGATTAATAAAAAGAGAGAAATTTTATTTTAAAAAAGCGTCGATGTTCTTCAAAACACACTTTATAATATAATATGCAAATTTGGAAAAAAAAACCGGTTTAAAACCTTAAAAACCCTATGCAGATTGCGGGGGAAAAAAACGAAAATTCCGCAGAGTTTTTATTAAATCGCTGCAAGACTCATGAAATTTTCTCATGAACGCTATTAACCATAACGATTTTATTTAATTAAACCAAAATTGTTCTATCATTTTCGCTATTTTTAAATACGCATCTCTGGTAACTCAAAACCAATTGAATCCGACAAAACTCAATTTTATCCGATTGGTAATTTATCGAAATTTTTTCCGATTTTTTTCGGTTTTTTTTCCAATTCTGCGTAGTCCCAAAAATCCTTCTTAATTTTTGACGATTATTTAACTTCCTTAAACAACGTTCTTTATCAAAATGGGTTCAGCATATTTAGATAACGACAATACAATGCATAGTACTTTTCGGCAGTTTCTCGCGACAATTATAAAAATATTTAGTAGTTGACATTCATATTTCAGGAATCCACATGAAAAACCATTATGTGTACCTATTCTTCTTCATTCTTTTCATCATTTTTCTATTGAATAATCTGTTTAATCGCGATGACAACAGGAAATTGATGATAACCTACTATCAGGATAATTTAGGTTTGTTTGCAATAATTTTTTTAACAAAAAAATTATTTTTTAGATTTCCCTGGCCTTGAGGATGTTCCAGAATATTCCGATTTTTCTTTACTACCTCATCATGCAGAACATGAGCTGTGGATTAAGGAGAAAATTACACGAGAAGTAAATTATTTGTTATAATTTTGGTTGGAAAATTTTCGCCACGAATTTAACACAAAATATACTATGTGAAAGCCGGCGAGACCTATGAAACAAATTTTATTCGTAGTGGAATTTTTAGTAGTTGAAAAATGACAAATTTTGAAAGGGAAAAATACACCGCAAAATTGTTTTTTTTTATTTTTCGCGGACACGGAACCCAAAAAGGGAATTCTGTTTTACGACTAATTCAACAATAAATCTATACATTAAAGAAATCGCGGATCATAGAAAAACGACTTTTAGGCTTTAAAATTGTTTTCTAAATTGCATGACCATAAATGTTTTAAATGTTTAGTAAAATGGTGTAAAAGTTTCCGGATTGCATGCAAATCATTTTCCTTCGCTTTTTTTATCACACTGCTTGCACAGAAGCAACTGATGAGCGCGTTGTTGAGTGGAATGGAAGGGCACATGAAGGAGCAAGCGATAAATCATTGAAAAAGTTGAAATGCGTGCAAAATTGCGTCGGCGTGTAAGCAGGCAAACGCGCAACCCGTCCCGTTTAAAGATTTCTTCAAATTTAGGATATCTATATGAATTTACCTATTCATCAAAAGGTATTAGAAATATTAAAAAAAAAACTCCTGGGTGAATATGAAAAGAAGCAAAGAACACTTTTTTTATTTTTTTTCCGCGGAAACACGGAAATGGAATTCTAGGCGTTGTGAAAAATGCGTATTGTTCAACATTTATATTTTGTGCATTATTTGATTGCAAATAATAATATCGGAGTCAAACGAGCAGACGTAATAAAAAATAATTGGCTAGGTACCAATCATTGTGAGATCTTGATGAGCCATCGGCAAGATTTCTCGAGTCACAAAGCAAGATTCAAACAAGTGCAAGTCATTTCTTTTCTTGAGATATGCTTGGAGTTCAAAGCAGTATTGATACTCGATGCAACAAGTGGCTCGAGATATTGCCTTAAAGCAATGCGCTTTAAATTAAACCGTTTTGTACGCAAACACACTAGTGCTTTAATACAGATAAATTGTAATGCGTTGCGGATGTGAATGATAACATTGGTTTGGAGAGGTGGCGAGGCATGGAGGCAAGAGATGACTCTGGCCACAAGCCGACAAAGGCGCGGCCGCGGCCGTGTTTACGGAAATTCAATTTCAAGTCCCCCCCCCCATTGTGCCTTCAAGCGTCCAGCACTGTCAAGTCATAATACAAGGCAATACACATGACGAGCGTAGTACGCGAGACTGCGTACATTGCATTACATATATCGTACGTACATTTAATATATTCCCCGACATTTCAGGATTATGGAAAATTCAATTTGTATCTCCTTTCTGCCTACGAATATCCCGACCAAATTGCCCTTCACATAACATCGCAAAACGGTTTTGGGTACGTTTCTCAATGGTTGCTCTCAATCGAAAATTTGCATTTTTTTCCAGCAAAACCGTGTATTGTCGATATTTCGACAAAAATCGAATGGAGATCGGCGTTCCATTCGAGACCAAAATATTTCCGGAGACTGTCGCTTATTGTAGCCGAAGGAAAAACACGAAATTTGTGTCAATATCGGAAAAAATGAGCGACGAACCTCAACCTCCCATCAGACTGTTTGATCGAACCATGAAGAGTTGGACGATCAACCGAAATAATGGAATCATCGTAGTGATCATTTTTCAGCGCATCACCATAACCTCACCGTCTGCATGGCTCCGTTGTACGGCGATGAGCCGAAGTGGCTGCAAATTGCTGAATTCATGGAACATTACAAACTACAGGGTGCAACGATGGTGTACATTTGGGTGGCAAAAATCGATGAATATAGTCGGCGGATTCTAGAAGAGTACGTGAGAAGAGGAGAAGCTGAAGTGATTTGGATGTATGAACAATATGCGACGAATGATTTTTATTGGCATATGGTTGAAATTCATGTAAGCGTTTGATTGTTGCTAACAATTTTTATTAGTATTAGTATTATTAGAGAATTTAGGGTTGTATGTTACATTCGAAAAGGGTCTCGAAGTGGACGGCTGTTGTGGATTTAGACGAACGATTGATAACCTTTGGCACTCGATTGATTGATTATTTAAGGTATTGAGTGTGGATGTAGTGAAAATGAAAGAAAATAATACAGTGCGTTGCAGAATTATAAGGCCACCCCCAAATTTGAGCGCCGCGCAATGATTTCGATACCTTGAGACCAACCAGTGTTAAAATCGTGTTCAGCATGAAAAATAACCTATATGTACCAATTTTTATGTTAGTATTTTCAAAAGTAACCGCGCAGTGGTCCAAAACCGTTTTTTCAAGCGGTGCAGAACTATAAAGACACCTACATAAAACGGACTTTTTCGCATTTTTTTGAAACTTTGGCGGGACCAGTGTGCATAAAAATTGTTGTGTGGCTTTGAGAACCTACCGTGGTCCTTATTCTTCTCTTTTTGAATCATTTTGAAATGCCACGTGGTCGCTGTCTTAGTGTTTCTGAGCAATCTCAGATTCTTGCATTCAAAACAGCAGGATGGTCGAACCGTCGGGTTGCGAAGAATTTAAATGGACCGAAAACATTCGTAGACATCTTTGTGAAGGATCCAACTTGTGTCAACATGTCGCAAAAGGCAGGAAAACTGGACTATCGCGCTAATCGAGCATTGATTCGAGCAGCTTCGAGCAGTATGAAGTCTACAAATGACATCAAGAAGAAGCTAAACTTCGACAAAAGCAAGTGGACAGTTTGGGGAACCATCAAGAATAACCCCAACATCGCTAAAGAAAAAATGAAGCCGGCCCCGCGACCAACAGAGGACCATAAAATTCGACGCCTTGAGTTCGCATTCAAAAACATGAATACGGATAGGAACAAGGTGCTTATATTCGAGAATATTGTGAATAATAGCCATTCAAACTTCAACAGGTTATTTTTTCCGATGAAAAACAATTTAATTTGGATGGCCCAGACGGCTATAACAGTTGCTGGCACAATTTACGAAAGAATCGCCTCCTGCTTTTAAAACTCAATTTTAGAGGAGGAAGCGTGATAGTATGGGGAGTTTTTTCGGCGGCCTGGTTACTGGAAATTGCTTTTCTGACGAGTAAAGTGGACTCTTCGGACTATCAAAATGATCTTGAGAGTCATCTTCTTCCATTCCGACGTCACTATTGTCGTTTTTCAACAGAAAAATGCGGTCATTCATGTGAGTCGGTCTACTTTGGACTGGCTTCAGTCTCACAGTGTAGACGGTCTCGACTGGCCAGCATGTTCTCCTTTTTGGAGTAACATGGAAAACATTTGTGGAGAGTTAGTACGGCGTCTCTATGGCCAAGGAAGGAATTTCGGGGAGTTGGAGAGCTCAAAACCGAAATCGTAGTCGAGTGGAAGATGTTAGAGCAGAAATTCAAATCTAATTCGACCCAATATGTTTAAAACCTTCTCAAATCTATGCCAGACTGTGTTTTCGATGTTATAACCTCGAATGGAGGTGCCATCATACATTAGACTGTTGTTATCTTTGAGTTTATAACGTATTTCATGGGGGTGGCTTTATAATTCTGCACCGCTCGAAAAACGATTTTGGACCACTGCGCGGTTACTTTTTGAAATACCAACCTGAAATTTGGGACATATAGGTTATTTTTCATGCTGAACACGATTTTAACACTGGTTGGTCTCAAAATATCGAAATCATTGCGCGGCGCTCAAATTTGGGGGTGGCCCTATAATTCTGCAACGCACTGTAGTAGGGATGCAAGGAAATTTCATTTTTCCTTCCTTCAAACAACGGAAACAATACAATTTTTTTCGCAGTGTGGCAGAAACGGAATCGAAAAAAACCGGAAACAGAAAACTGAAAATTTTTCTCTAAACGGGAAACAGTTTTTCTTCGAACATTTAAGAACACACGTATTTTAGAAAAATATTTTTTCAGTAGATTAATTGGAAATCAATCGGGTTTTCTGCTTCCAAAAAAAATATTTTATGGAAACGGAACTTCTTTTTTTCCGATTTTCCGCAGAATTCCGTGCAACCCTGTTCTATAGATACCGAGGTCCGGCCAATATCCCGCATAGGCATACTTGCAATATTCCGGGACGGGGCGGGGCGAGTCAGTAAAAAAATCGCGCCCCGCAACGACACTCCAGGTTTACTACGAGGCCTTTGTTTAGCGTAATACGAGTTTTGAATTGCATCATTTTGAGCAGAATTAATTGTTTTTAGAACACAAATTTCCGATTTTCCGCGAAGTGCCGTACAACTCTGCCCTCTAGGTGCCGGAGTCGGGCCAACATCGCTCATAGGGTTCTCGCTAGTTAATTCAAAAAAATCAGGCAATTGCCGGTATATCCCGAAAATGTCCGCGGATGTGTCAAATGAGTTAGCTTTTTAGAAAAAGCGGGACCATGCACCTACAGCGGTCAGGTAGGGGACCCACGAAAAAATGCGAGGCTTCAAAAATGTAAAATGATAATTTTGTTCTTCACCACCCCTTTACCAAAATTAAAAAAAAAACGTATCCCAACTATCTTATCTTATTAATATGTAGTTTAGTAACACGGAGAATAAGGATCCGCAGGTGGCAACTGTCATATTCCGCCAACAATGGATAATGAAGCTCGAGCTTCTGCCACCAAAATATATCAACGAATCTGAGGTTGAAGCTTGAATATGATTAATTGTAACACAAGAAATTGTTTCAGACGATATCGCACATGCCCACCCAGCGATGGCACAATTCATCAGTCATTGGACCATCAGGGCATACAGTTAAATGCATTGTTCAAATGGATAAGGTCGGTTCGCTAAATATACGTATTATTGCCGAATAAGGAAGGATTATTTATAATTTTAGGTCGGCGCTTTATTTATTCACTACGTCCGCAGATACTATGAACCGGCAAAAACGTATGAGCTGAAGCCGTCTGAAGGAATCGTCAAGTATTTTGATTCTCGCGATTCCCATCGTTAAAAAAAAATAATTTCAGGCATTATCGGGATCTTTTCATTGACGGTTGGGGTAAAAGTTGGCTGAAAGAAATTGAGAAAATGGGGCCTTTCTCAAATACGAGTTTAGACGCGAATTATTCGAAAATTCTTGTTGAGAATACAGTGAAACGGGTGAAATTTGTTTACGGGCAAATTGCATAAATCGAATTTTAACATTATATATTTTACAGGTGGAAACGCTTTTATAAAACTTTTTAATTTATTCACCAAATTGTCAAAAAAAACAAGTACGAAAATGACTTATCGAACTTTTTTTTTGATAGAAAATCTTAGAAAAGTTTCAGTATTCAGGGTTGACAAAATAGGGTCCCGCTTGGCACAATCGTATGCCGAGTTCGCGCGACTGCGACAAATTAGCGAAATACCAGAAATGGTCTCGAGACGACGAGATGCGTCATGTGTATTCCACACGAACAATACATCAGTTAATAACGTGGCTTAAATATCCCCCTCCCCCGCGTAAATCGACACAAATGTTGCGAGACCCATGCAGTCGAAAAATTAAAAAAAAAAGCGACTCTTTGCATGAATGCCTGGCACGACTCGATGAGTGTTGTGTCCTTGAGTTCCGCGTTGGATAGCTTTATTATATCCTTAGATGAACACTACAATGTATGATGGCCGGGTATTTATACTAGTGGGGATGTGCTTCTAGAATGTTCTACAATGCACGTGTGGGGATGTTTACGTGAGGGACTGGGTTCTAGAATATTCCATAACCTACGAGATTACAATAGTTTACGTGCTCACAACAATGAGGAATGTAGGAATAATAGCAGACGTAAAATGTGCCATGGCCGAATAATTGGCGGCCGCGGGCCGAAGGTCGGCTCAATCCGCATGGATGTGTTGCCGTGTGGAAAACCTTGCTGGATCAATCACGGATTGATATACTCCGTTGGCAAACAACCTCGTCAGTTTGCCGAATGTTGGAGAGTTGTCGTTATTTCGAGAAAAGCCAATTGTCGGTTTCAATTGTACCGTCGTCAACTAATTTTGTTCAATGTTGGTTTTTAAGCCGGATTTTTTTTCTAGAGAGCCAATAAATAAAAACGCGGCTCATTAGCGCTTTGATATTTGAATGAGTTTTTCGAGGATGTGCGGCCTTCGGCAAAATTATGTGCCTGTAAATCTGTACAAGCTTTTGCTATCTTGCTCTCCAAATTTGTCGAAGAAATCACAAAACATAAAGGTAAGAATATTAATGAGATTTTTACCGGATTCTCAATACCCCTAAAATAATTCAAAAATGTAAAATATTTAATTTTTATTGAATCCGGCGGTGGTGAAAGTTTAAAAAAAAAATTAAAAATTTATTTGGCAAAAACATGTTTCAGGTATTTAACCTATGCGAGACTTGCCAAAAAAACTATTATTCTAGGCCTCACGTGACTGCGGCAAAATGCCGAAAAACAATGGCGGTAGTCTTGGCGCAAAACTAAGTGTAGATTTACGGCCTAATCATAAGAATAGGTTAAAGGCGCACCGAGACATCTCCAATTGTTTGGCATTTAGTCAATTATCCGAAGTAGCGCGGCTCTAGGCAATCAAGTTCTTCTAGTTCTTATTCATAGGATTGTTCAATTTCGTGTATAACCAAGGGGAACGAAAGTTTTGGCAAGGGATTAATGTTAACTTTCGCAATATCGTATATCGAAAACCTTAAACCAATGGGTGGAAAACCAAGGGTGGGGGTGCAAAAGTCAGGGTGGGCTAGTAAAACACCGCAATCGATTTGTATTTTTCTGAAGGGCTATTCCGTGGTATACAATTACAACTGCTCTGGTGTATAAATATTCTCCGTAAAGTTTAATGGATTATCTATTCAGTGTCAATGTTCATTTTCATTTTAAGCTTCTGCGGACGTGTTGCGGGATACACCACCGCCGGATTCAATAAAAATTAAATCTTTTACATTTTTGAATTATTTTAGGGGTATTGAAAATCCCAAAAAATCTCATTAATATTCTTACCTTTATGTTTTGTGATTTCTTCGACAAATTTGGAGGGCAAGATAGCAAAAGCTTGTGCAGATTTACGGGCACGTCATTTTGCCGAAGGCCGCACATCCTCGAAAAACTCATTCAAATATCAAAGCGCTAATGAGCCGCGTTTTTATTTATTGGATCTCTAGAAAAAAATCCGTCTTAAAAACCAACATTGAACAAAATTAATTGACGACGGTACAATTGAAACCGACAATTGGCTTTTCTCGAAATAACGACAACTCTCCAACATTCGGCAAACTGGTGAGGTTGTCTGCCAACGGAGTATATCAATCCGTAATTGATCCAGCAAGGTTTTCCACACGGCAACACATCCATGCGGATTGAGCCGACCTTCGGCCCCCCCCCCCCGGCATTTCCCCAGCCAATCTCCCCAAGGTTATTTCACCGATTTCCTTTAAAAAAATGCATTGAGCATGTTTAAAAAATATAATGAAAACACTTACACTTCTAGATGAAATAAAACAATCGCGAAGAATATCTTTCCTGACGAATGAATTTCCAGACGAGACCCAATGCGACGATACAAAAATTCCAAGAAAAACATAGTGTCAAACTCATTCGTCCGCAAAAATACTGTATTCAATTTTACCATGCGGTGGAAGAAGCGTGCGACGAAAGACGCTTACCACACGGCCGAAAATTTGACCGCCCGATTTTATAGTTAAAAAATTATAATTAAAAACACACAAATAAATGTTGGCTGACGTGTGATTCTTTTGTCGTTTTCATTTCCGAAATTTCCACGAGTCAGGCGGCCCCGTCGTCCTCATTTTCTCCGCTTCTGGAATTGGGCATTTAAATTTTTTTAAGTGAATTATGTTACTTAAACCTTTTCTGAAATCGTTTACGTCCGCTGTCATCGAGTTCGTGTCTTGCAGCCATGAAAAAAAAAAAGAAAAATTAGAATCGAATCATATAATTATTTCGATGGGTTCTTCACCATTTAAATGAGCAAAATCAAAAACCAAAATTGCGCCAATCGAATTATTTCAAAAATTGGTTTGGCCGAGTCCCAACAACGAGTTATTCCGGACGGCCACTCCACCGTGTGCGCCTAGACTTCACCAGGCATTTCCCTCCTGGCTCGGACCCTATGGGTCACCGATGCGGGGTGTTGGTCCGTGTCTCGTGGCGCGAGAAGCGCGGCACCCGTGCGGGCTCTCTCAAATCCGACTCAACGAATGTTCTCGAGACACGCATCACAGCGGTCCGAGAAGACACTCGTTGCGAGACTCGACCAACATTCAAAAATTCAATTTCGTTTTGAATTCAAACTAAAACAAATAAAAACTCACATCAATGTAAAAAAAAAGAAGACCAATTGATAAAATCGAATAAAAATGAATGGGAATTGGAAAATTGTGGCATGGAATTCTCAGGTCACGCCTGATCAAAAAAATTTTTTTTTGATTTTTCAAAAAATTAAAATTTCATTTTGAAAATGGTCGATTTCACGTGTGAAAACAAGGCAAAATTTTTTGATTAATTTCAAATGCACACAAATTTTCCTTCAGCTGAAAGCGGCTGAAATATAGCTGAAACTGAATGGTGGGTATCCTTATCAATTGTTCAAATACTTTCCCAATAAATTTGTGAATGAATAAACATACATTATTAAATGGTTTTGAAAGAAACGTTCAGAGTATTAGCCATCGAAATACTCTGGTAGATCAAAACCAATTTGATACGAATTGAACGAAATTTACAAGATTTGGGGACCGAATCCGATTGGTGATTTTTTGGATATGATTTACTGTGATAGGAATCATTAGACAAATTTTCGTGATTTCAGTCAACCGGAAAAATTTTGGTTGGATTCTCAGCGATTCGATCGGGACCCTTTTTGGTTTGGGATAACCGGCGGAGCATTTTGGGACGATTAGGGGAAACATTGAACTCGGTCAGTACAAAAGTCGTCGACGGTTTAGCCCGACACGCTAAATTGAGGGCGATGCGTAATTGGAGCGTCGTACTGTTAGGGTAAAAAAGTTTTGGGACAAACCGCGCAAGTTTTTGGGAACGCCCTATGTTTAAGAAAATAAAACCGACCACGGTTCGTCTTTTTCGAATCGTTGAGGAATTTGAATTTCAGGTAGATCAAATTTTCGCTGAAAAAAAATTTGGCTCATAAAATTTTACATTGAGCTCAAATTACGCCCTTCGTTACCCAATTAAAAATTAATGTACTTAATTAGTCTATTTGATCATCCTAAACTACAATTCCGAGGACAAAGAAATAAAAGACAACTGGAAAAGTTAGATTAGAGACGCAGAGAAAAAGACAAACAAATTGAATTTCAGGTAGGTCAAATTTGATGGAAATTCTCACAATTATTCATATTATTTTCTCAATTCTCGATTTTTTTTGGGGGGGGGATTTTCGCTATATTTCTCACAGAGAATTTCTTCTGAGCCTCCAGAATCTGGAATACAAGTTTTGAAGAGAAATATCTGAAAATGCAGTGAGACCAATAAAATTAGTCAGTGTTCGATTAGATTCCAAAGGGAGTATTCGCGGCGAGACCCAATGACCTATAGTAGTGGGTATATCTGATCTTTCGATCTTCTAGTGTTGCTAGCAATTTAAGAAAAACTGTGTCCGCAGATGGAATTTCATATTTCGCGAGACGAATCGAACTATGAAACTGTACTAAATGTCGAAAAAAAACTAGTGAAAACCGACCGCATAAATTAGCATAATTGGATGTGCATGACACCGTTTTTATAGTTGTTGTTGTTTGTTTGTTTTTTTCGGTCGATCGTTTTGGCATGCCAGAGTAGAACAGGTTTCGATGACGAATCCGGAAAAAAAAGGGGGATTATGCAAATTTTCCACTTTTACTTTTCTCGACCGCCGCAGCGTCGCCGCCCATATTTTTTGGTATAAAATCCCATCGTTTCGGGGGCCTACTGCCGCCTCGTCGAATTCAATTAATCGCGCGGAATTTCGATTCATCATAATTGAGCCTGTCGCAGCAGCCATCTGTTCGCTCGATTCGCCGCCCCCGTTATTCCCCATCACCCAATTCGGACGCGAATTTGCAACGATGCTCGTGTTGCACAAGCTCATCGTCGCCGTCGTGCTCATTTTCGCGCTCTGTAAGTTTTTGCGTCTCGTCCTAAAATAATATTTAATAATTTTCCTTAATTAACTGTGAATTTTTTGGCTTTCAAAGGCGTGGCCTAGAAATTCGAACAGCGCGGACTAACTTTCCTAAATCATTGGCATGTTGCCAAAATTTTTTGTCAGAAATTTTTACAGTCAGTTTCCCTACTAATAACCGCAAAAATAGATGGGTCTTGCAGCGAAAAATTCTAGTAGCTATTTTTGGTGAGAAAAGCGCTGCAGAGTGAATAGATTCATACACGGACACGCAAAATTGCACACAATTAAAAATCCCGTGTTTTAATTTCAATTTGCTGTGGTGAATTAAATATCCACAACTGCGGACAATGCGCGGGCAACCGCAACGCTGTCCGCAGCACGCAAACATTAATAATAAATAATAGATTGAACTACTTTAATTTTAATAACGTTGAAACAATATTTCATAGGACTGTTTCAAAGCGAAAATAATTATTCAGGCGCTTGTGCTCCATTATCGGACACCGTCAATGTGAGCGGCTCGTTCCGAGTTCTCGGCGAGAACGAACAGGTCTTGACGAATCAACAATTCCAGGAGATCGAGCGTATGTGCCTTTAAACGCGTTGACACGGCTCTCCCGATTGTTTTAGACCCGTTTTTCCAATTGGAATCCGTGAAATTGGCGCGCGCAATATTGGAGAAGCAGTACGCGGAGGAGAAGCGCCGAAAAGCTCAGCAACGCCAACTCCAATAGAATTTCACCAAAAATTTATATATTGCGCATTTTTAATCGCTACCTCATATGGATTTTTTGGACAACAAAATGTAAATAGTGTTCTTTTTTTTAAATAAATTGATGTTATGCTTCTTTGAATATTGCAAATCCTTGACCATTCACATCGAAAATGACAAACATTGAACTCCTGAAAATTGGAAAACTTAAATTTGATTTTGGGTCTCGACGAGAGAAAAAAAGCAAATCGAAACTACAGGCGCATGAAAGTCAATTTCGAATTGAAAAATAATAATATTCGCGGAATATACATAATTTCAGTTTGATTTTAGCATTTTTAGTTGATTATTTTAACTAAAAATCTAACGAAATTCAGATTTTCAAAGGCTATTTTTCGAATTCACCTTTAAAATCTACAGTAATAATATTTCCGGTTACTTTTCTTTAAAAATTTCCCTCTAAATCGAAATCTAAAGAGTTGGCAATTCACCACCGCCCCCCCCCCTTTAAAAGATGGATCTCGAGATAATAAAAATTGGCAAATCCGTTCAGGACCAATTGGAGATAGATTTTATTTATTGAATGAGACATTTTAAATCAATTTTTTATTCATCTTGTCCTAATTTTCTTATTTTTCTCTTAAAAATATCCTAATTTTCTCACAGCCTTTTCAGACAAATTTGTGGTTAATCGACAGCCGTGCCTACGATTTCTAGAGCACGCTCGGGCTTTTTAATATCGAATTCTCGAAGTTGGGGATATCCCAAAATGCGGGGCCGAATGCATTCTTTTACACAAAATTTCGGATGCGATTACTGTATTATTTGAATTGGGTCTCGTATGGAAAAATCTCTTAGAAGCGAGTTTTGATTAAATCTTAGCCATCATAATACATATGAAATAGCATAATCTTAAAAAATGTATTTAAGACATTTTGGATTTTTTTTTTGAGTGTCAAATTGCTAGGAAAAGCTTATTTAGGTACTAATTTGAACAAAAATTATTCACCCCATAGAATTGAAAATGTGAAGCTTTTCTTTGGAAATATTCATACCTTCTCACTGATGTTGTGTAGAAAAGATAAGGATCCTCGTGAACATGAATGCCCCAAAGACCGCCTAAATATGATTGCACGATCTGAAGCGAAAGCATGATCTCAATTGACAAGCACGATTACCTCCACGATGTTGCTGATCTCGTCGGTATTCCGAAACTCTCCTGAATAATTGGATTCAATCACTGATTCGATGAATCGGATTTGCTCATCCTCAAGCCCGAACGATAATGTGACCTCAATTGTGAATTTTGGATAAACTCTTATTCTGTAAAATTGAATAATTAAATATATAGAGCAATGTGGCATTGATTTTGAAATTACATATGATCTCCTTCGATTTTGGTCTCGGGATTAAATTTCGAAATATATTGTTGAAGTGGCGACGCTTTTTTCGACACCAGAAACGGCAAGAAGGCAACAATTAAAATCAAAGTTTTCATGATGTGGCGAAAAATATGAAATTTTTATCGTTTTTATACAATATGGACACCAACCAAAAACATGTTCCATTCATAATATAATAATAATAATAATTGTGTGAAGAAAGGTCAATTTCGAGTGTTTTCCTTTTTTGTTGGTCGCGAAATTGGACCAGTAATTATTGGGAATGATGTGTGGTTGGTTTGGAAATAATTGGAATTATACAATATGGGGGATTTATGTAGTGCAAAAATTGAAATTTTTTAGGCTTCAAATTATGGTTTTAAAATTACTGTAGAGATAGGGGTACGGTATTCTGAATGTGTGCATTACGGACATTCCATTGATTTTTTATTTTCTTAACATTTTCAACGTTTTTTTGCAGTATTTTAAATTTTAGATAAAAATTAAAATTTAAAATTATATTTACAAATTTAAATCACTTCTAAAACTTGGCAAATAATCGATTTTCACGACAAAATCGTCAATTTTCGAAATTCAAATTTATCTTCCCAAATTCAAATCTCATCAACGTGCCAACCTGTGCGAAAAAAAACGCATTTCGTTAGAAAAATTTCGGCGTTTGGGGACCAGATCAATGACGCGAGACTCGTTCATCGCTTTTGTCCCTCATCATGATGATCATGATGATCATCGCCGCTGTCGCCACCGCTCCCCAACCACAATCGCCACAAAATAAACGATTGCTTGACATAATTAGTATAATGTTAACTATAAATAACGCTTAATGGCAAGAAAATGCTGAAGCTTGTGGGTGTTTTTTATCGCTGCCATAATGCTTCTCCAACTCGTCCGTCGATCAGCACAGCTGTTTCGGAGCCAACTTGAATTCAAATTTCTTCGCCCCGGACATTATTATTGTTATTATTATTATTATCTCGCTTCTTTCGAGGGTCCTACTTCCCCACCAATCCTGCCATCCGCCAATCCGTCACCTGCCATTTTTCGCTCTTTATTTATTGCAGTTCGCGATGTAATATAAAAAATGGATCAGATTCCATCGAAATCTGATACGCGATTTCATTTTTTTTTATCTTCCACTGGTTCACGAAGGACATCCCCAACCAGAAAAAAAACGCAGTGCTTCGATTTGCTTTTTGAGTTTACCTCCTCGGTTTTTCGACTTTTTCTGTGAATTGATGCCACCGTATTGTTTGTATTGGCGTGTGAATTCTCTTGGCCAACTTTCCGCCGCGTGAGCTTCCAACTAGAATTCTACTTGCCAATGAGCGAAGATCTTTAAATAAATGTGAAAAGCGCGCATTCTAGGCATTTCTGGAACTTTGAATTAAATTTATTTTTTAAAAACTGATAGGTAACACCAATTTGAACCCGTGGGAACGTATTGTATATGCCATTTTACAGCTTATCGTAATATTTTCTGTATAAATTTTGTTTAGTGAGTCATCGCGTCAAAGTGTATCCATTTTTCTTCGAATAACAACCCATATTTTTGATTGTTGTTGATTTTTCGCTGATTATTTTTTTGCAGGGGGTTCTCGCAGTGAATATTAGTATTTTCAATTTCCTCTTTTTAAAAATGGGATTTCTAGAAAAAAGAAACACCCAGAAAATTTGCGGCGTACCGCGTTAAGATTCTCGTGTAATAATGCGTTATGTTCCTTTAATCTGGATACGGTAATTGAATTATTTAATTTTAGAGTGATTTGAGGAGTAAAATCCGAAATTTCGAATGAGTTGAAACAAATATTTAAAGGAACATTGCGTATTCCAGTATGAATGAGAAACTATCATCATAATGGCGATGATATTATGAAGAAATTTCAAAATGTAATTTCGAAATGCTTCATGGATGACCCCCGCACACCATGCGCACTACCGTAACCTTCCGAAATTTCTCATCGATGCCCGTTGTCAATGTCGTGGCAATGTTTGCTCATTTCGCATCTTCTTTGTGTTGTTTCGCCTAACACGCACGCGTCTCGTTACTGTTCGGCGGCAGCATCATCTTCCGCTCGACTCGAGCCCATCTGACTCATTGGCGAAATGAAAAATACAAAGAGCAACAGCGCCGACTAGTGATATGTAAATATTTCGAATGTGTTGAAATTGAAGACTTCTTCTTTCTTTTTCTTCGCCTTCCTTCTATTGTTTCATGCGAAATCGAACTGGTTGACCTTTTTGTCAGAGAATTCCGGTATTTGTGCAACTTGACACTTTCGACTTTCTCCTTTATTCATTTTTTGATGCTCGTCTTTGTATGAAATTCTTTTCCAGGTTTCGGTATTTGTCAGTTATCGTTTTCCGATCATTTATTTGCTTTTCCCTTGATTTTTGAGAGTCGGCCCTCACGGAAATATCGAAAACTGCTGTAAAATATGAGATTTTCTTTTTTTTTAATATATTCCACGATTTTCAAGTACGTCTGTCTATTTTTAATCGCAAGTTGAGAAATTTTTTTGTTAAAATTGAAGAAGCCTTTATTTTCTTTGCCGATTTCTGTAGGTCTCATCGCGTAATTTTATATCTAAGCCTTTAAAGAGACCCATTTTCCAACTATTGTGTCCAAAAATTGTGATTTTTGATAATTTTGAATAGAAACATTTCCGATTTAGAAGAAATCTCCTTTTCTAGATTATTTAAAGCAAAACGATTTTTCGGTAGAAATGAGTTGATATACCGTATCCCGATAGTACGAATTTCGATTAATATGATAATACAAGGTCAAAATGCTTAAAATATTCGATCTACGAGTTGCGGATGACATTCCCACCTTGTTTTCGTCGCGTTCTCGCACCTCGTTTGTTGTCTGTTTTTTTTTTTCGTCGTTTTTCTTCTTCGGTGCGCTTGTCTTCTCCCGTCGCGGAGAACACATTATTAGCGAATTTATACACACATATACACTTTTACTATACTGTTGATTAAGTTTTTTTTCTTTAAAAACTTTGTTTTTGAATTTTCAGAAGAAAGGCGTCGAATCCACACGAGAACCGTGAAATTATCATTCTTCACCTTGGTCCTCCTCTTTTTTTTGTTCGCGATTCTTATGGATCGACAAGAGGCTCATTTTGGAGATTTTCAAGTAAATTATTATTTTTTTTTTGCTTCTTTTGTAGATATTTCCTCTCGATATTTTTTAGAAAAATCAACGAAATGAAGTGCCTGTGGAGTTGTCAGCATGTTGTGGTGCTTCTACTCTACGCGATGTTCCTCATTTTGCCGCCGAGTACAGGTTGGTCCGAGAGAAAATTAGGAATATCAACATTTTTTCAAAATCCTCGATTTACGTGATCGAACAGTTTGAAGTCTTCTCGGTTTTTCGTTTTTTTTTTTTGAGTTGTGAAAAAAATCGTTTAATTTCTTGAAATGTACGAAAAATTATTAATAATTCGACATTTTTTTTTGAGAAGAACAGAAAATATCGAATTTTCAAAATTCATTCGAACATCTTAAAACGGCCCGCCTTTTTCTCCCAATGTACCGGATCATTTCCATAGATAGAATTTGCAATTCTCAGTCGAATGTTTCCCATCATGTTGATGCGTTCGGTTCGAATTCGCACAACATGTGCGGTCAGAAGTTGAAATGTGGGATTGGCTCACATTTGTACCACTCATACACACACAAATCAAATTGCCACAAACGAGCTGTCAAATGAGCGCACATGTGGACCGCCGGTGTCGTTTTTTATCTGCATTCAAAGAAAAAAACGACAAATTTGTGGTTAATCGACAGCCGTGCCTACGATTCTAGAGCACGCTCGAACTCTTTTATATCGAAAAGTTGTGGATATCCCAAAATGCGGGGCCGAATGCGTTCTATTATACCAAATTTCGGATGCGATTACTGTATTATTTGAATTGGGTCTCGTATGGAAAAATCTCCTAGAAGCGAGTTTTGATTAAATCTTAGCCATCATAATGTTAATGGAGCATTATTTTTATGAATTTAAAGTACTTTGACTATTTTTTTAAGTGTCGAGGAGTACAAATACATTTTATATTTGAACGATTTAGTTGAATGCCCGCGACAGACTATAAAATAGTCTCTGGAAGCCAATAACACAGTTTCCTTGATTTTTGGTTTATTTTCATCATTTATTGTCCGAATGCTGAAATTTTTAATTTAAAAAATTCACAGAAACGGGGAATTTTAATATTATCTGCTACGCAACTTAAAATGTCCAAATTGGTTTTTTTTGGAAAATTTTTTGACCAAAGGATTCCGATTTTGTGAAATTCTGCCTCTTTTAAAGGCAATCAAAAATTTAAAAAAATATTGGAATATTGGTCGCAAGATGTCTTTTTATAGGTTGTACACCCAGCACGATATGTTTTTTCAATCGTTAAAAAAATATTTTATAATCAAATAATGATTCGCGTAAAACTATGCAGTTTTCGATGACAAAGTTTATTTGCACAATCGGTAGTCGGGTGGCAATAAAAATGCAATTTATTCGCGTTGCGGTGTTCGATAAGCCATAAATAGTGGTTGGGTGTTCAAGTGGTGTAGGTGTGGGGTGTTCTCGGCCACATTCGTCGTTTTTACAACCCAATTGTTGTTGATAATATTCCATGTACGTTCCCGCGTTTTTTGTGCTTCGAACGAATTCGACAATAGGTAGGAGTTTTTGCGTGCGCGCACGCACAGGTGCTTCCACCCGCCCTCGTGGTTTTTTTGTCTTGAAATTCAAAGAAATCTTCGCATCGCCCATTTTGTACTTTTTTCGCGCCTGACATGCGTACTGCTACTATTCCAGAGCGAATTTTGAACTATTTTGGTAAGGATTGAGTCTCGGGGCCAATTGGACACACTTAATCGTGCCGGGACCCACTTGCTGTAGAATGGATTGATTTTGTCCGAATTGAAAATTCACCTTTTTTGCAATTTTTTTTAAACAAAAGAGTTGAAATTCAATAAGAATCAATTTCTCACTTTGTATTTTAATTACTCAATTTGGTTTTTTTCCAGAAAATTTTAAAGAAACTAAAGTCGAGCATTATATTTTTTTAAATCTAGAACGACTGACAATATTGCTATAATATGAATCATCGATAAAAAATTCTAGAAACCAAAAAGGAAAATTAGTGTCGAAAATGGGTTCACTTGTTTATAATAGTGTGCAAGAATTGAAAAAAAAAAGATTTTTGCATTTTCAACCAACGTGTATTCAGAATCTTGCCTTCCTTCGTGGTTCCGAAAAATTCGATCGGCGGATGCGCTCGAAGGCAATCAGATAATCGAAGAGACGAATGAGATTGGCGATCCGCCCGACGAGATTCCGCAAATACCGCCAGATGATCCCCTGTAAGCATTGTCATTTCTTGAAGTTTCATGTTTTTGTTTGATTTTCCAGAACACGAGACAATAATTATAATAATAGTCGAAGTTCGACGACATCGACGACGACGACAACTAGAACGACGACATCGACCACAGATAGTAATGAGATCAGCGAGCCTGTCGCCGAGCAGATTGGCGAAACACTTGCCGATTATGGGTATGAGTATGATGATGAGGAGAAAAATGAGCAAGAGGAGAGCACCGAGTCGATAAAGTATAATGAAGAAGCCGGCGAAGAAATCACGACGACATTGACACCGGAAGTCAAGAAGGAGATTGAGAAGTTGAAGAATAGCAAATGTAAAGGTGAGTTTCTTTTTGGTAAAATTTCTCGAGCAAGATATTTGGGAATATCGCCAGATTTCGAGTTTTTTTTGTTATTGGTTGCAGATTATTGCCATCACAATGCCACGTGTCATGTTGAAGTGATATTCCGCGATGATTCGGTGTCGGCTGTCGTCCCATCTTGCCAGTAAGTCACCGCAGTTCAAAATCTTGATTTCTCGTTTTCTTTGAAATTATTAACATTTTTCGGAAATTTGAAGGTTTTCATTAACTTTTTGGATTTTATAAAGAAATTTAGAACTGTAAAATTAGTACCTTAAGAAAAGGATTGGAAATAAATTTCTTCGATCTCATAGCGGCTATTTCTGAGAATTATGGATTTGTGGAAGCGTTTGCAAATTTTTTATTATTTGATTTTCCAGTTAAAAAAATAATTTTTGCAAGAATTAAAAAGTGTAAAAAATGCAAAAATTTTCGGAAATTTTTCTGTTAGATTTCCGATCAAAGCCCGAAAAGAAAATTAATTTGAGTTGAACGTATGCTTGTTTGCATGTGCTCCTTTAAATAATCTAAGCATTAAAAATTGCACCTATAGGGAATCTAGATTATTATGATCACAGCCTATGTATTTTTGAAGTCAATTCGTGACAAGACCACCTCGACAGTAATCATTGTTAATTGGTTTCAAATTTTTCAGTTGTCCAGTCGGCTGGGAAGGCGCTCGCTGCGACAAACAGTACGTACAGGCGTTCTACGCGCCTGTCGAAGGCAAATATAACGTACGTTTTGTAGTGGTTATGCCGACGAGTGCGTCGCCTCTAATTCAAGTAATTTTCTCGATTTCAAACTAAACCAAAACGTATTAATGGAGTTCTGCATGCCCTTTCTTTTTTCTTTCGTTTTTTTCTTTCACTCGGTTCGGAATTGCTGTGTTGTTGCACCCACACTCACTCCCACACGATTGCACCCATCCACCCACCAATCCACTTGTTTGCTTTCATTCTTGTGGTGGAAGAGAATTTGATGAACATTTTTTTAAGGATGGCGAACACTCAAAAATTAGAACCCGACCGATTTTGGTTGTGCCCAAAACGGTGGTTGTTGAGGGTAATGAGACCACGTTCGAGGAAGTGCAGCGAATTTTAATGGTAGGGCTGGGGGGATTTTGGTCGCATTTGGTCCCAATTGAGAAAAAAATTTAAAAAAAAAAAGTTTGGGCGTGCAGGTTGATTATGATCTGTTTTGAGCAAATGTTCGAAATGTAAAATCTCGGAGAAAAATTGAGGCGAAATTTGCAGAAAACGACAGCCTCTGCGATTCCGGCCATCACTTTTCTCATTATTATGCTCGCAATGTTCATTGGAATTGTGGTGTACGCTTATAGAAGGTTGGAATTGCCATAAAAAGGTCCCGATCATGATAGAGACTTTCCAGAATGTCCCGACGAATTGACGAAACCACTTATACGATGAGTCATATGTGCCCACCAGAAGCGTTTACTGTGCTAAAAGTGAGAGAAAAATGGAAGAGTTGGAAAAATGTCTCGATTTTCAGACGCCGAATGGTCGAAAGATTCCGATTCAGGAGGCGATGTCGTGTCCGCAGCGAATTCCGATGCGCGCCGCTGCCGTCCGACACACCGACTCGGTGCCGGGCAGCAATTTCTTCACGATTCTCCGCAATCAGGGCACGATTCCGTCGCGCAACATTAATGACGATGACACGCCGAAGCATTACAAATCGGTGCCGCGCGTCGAGGTGTCGGCGATCAACTACTCGGGACACATCGATTTCTCCAATATTTGCTATCAAGTTGTGAGTTTTGAAATACGAGAAAGAGAGAACCAAATTGGTTTGAATTGATAATTAATAGAGAATTGAGCAATTTTAAATTTTCGACCTGAGACCTTATCTAAAGGTATACGATTCTGAATTGTAGTGTGTTTAAGAAAATGTTCAATATTTTTGTCCATTTTTGAGTTTTAGATACATAAAGACAACGCTTAAACTATAATATAGATATAAATTATTCTGAAAATGTTGGACATGAAAAAAATGACCCATTAACACACTGTAGTCTTTTCGAGATTAATTATACATGTTTGAAATTATTCTGTTTGTAGAGACTCACTGTTTCTCATTTTCAGTTTAAACGAATCATGAAAAATTAATAGAACCGATTCATGAATTGTATTTTTACAAAAGAAAATTTTTCAAAGAAGTTACATTAAATTTATATTTCTTTTTGCAATCCTGAATTGAAAAATGCGTATTTTTAACAAATTTTCCATTATTTTTACTTATGCAACTTATGAAACTGGATGCCAAAAATAAGCAAATTTAATGACGGGCTATAAAAAGACCTCTTTTGTTTGAATTTCCTTCATTTTCATTTTTTTCACGTAATTATGACAAAATTGGCGCAACTTTTCGAACGATTGTCATATTTTCAGGATGAAAATCCGAGTCAACCGCACGAAACCATGCCCCCACATATATCAATACAAATTGACGATCCGGTAAGTTGAATCGCTTCCATTTTTTCCCTATAAATTGTTCGTTTCAAGGAAATTCGCTCAAATTCGCGAGCTCACGGCGAACCGTCGACGCCGACATCAAGTGAGCCGATATTGCCACCTAACCCCCCATGAATGTATATTGATCCCCCCGCCCCCTCGTCTTAAAATTTTTGTGTTCGTGAAATATTTTTAGCCCCTCCCGTTATTTTCTCGTCATTTTGTGCTATAATTCATATCAAATTTTGCGATAATTCAGGTGCATTGGCTTTTTCTTCTTTTTTTTGCTGACTTTAATGTATACGAGTACAAATTCCCCCGACCCCCCCTCCCTTTTCGATGTTCCCTTCTTGTGAATGATTGTTTTATTAATTTTCCACTTTTTATTATAATTATTATTATTCTTATGTATTTTTCTAAAACAATATATATATATTATTGCACGCGAATAATTTAGTAGTGGTTTTGGAGGAAAAAAAAAACAAATCTACAAATTTCCTGACAATTGAACGATTAATATCGGTGGGGGTTTCATTGTAATTGATATGGTTTGAGATCAACTAGATTTTTTTGGGAAAATTATATACATATAAGGTGGTGTTCGTTATTTATTACGCTTCGTCGTCATCGTCCTCTTTCGGTGAGAGTTGAGCTGGACTCGTTTTGTGGGTGGCCTGAATGAGCTCGTCGAACGCGATGATGTTGAATAGCGATGTCATTTGGACGTTCTCATTCATTAAATGTGTGAGACTCTGAAATAATGTCCGCAGATGAGTTTCGTGAAATGAATTATGGAGAATGTTTTTTCTTTATTTGTGTTGTATGTGGATGAACTTGTAAATTTTGAATTGCGCGGGCTGCCATTTAAGCGAAATGACCTCATACTCAGCTATTTAACTCATTTATAGTCAAATTCGTAAAAATTAGATTCTTTCACATTATGATGATTAAATGAACCAAAATTCTCCGCGAAAAAATGTTCAATGCGAGACCCAAGGCGGCAATTCAAATGACTGATCAAGCGCACACCAAATTCGTGCTTACCGTCACCGCTGAAAGCATGATCATGAATTTGGCGACGCGAAGTGTCGCCGCCGCACTCGTCGTCGTCTTCACGTGCCGCTCATAGTTGTACAACGCCTGAAGGTACTTCTCGCGAGCCGACGACACCACATTCTTGCCTTCCGGCGACAATCCGGACTCTAAATGCAAATTGCTTCGAATTGGATTGAATCAAATCCCCATACCTGTCGAGTAGAACATTATTGATTTGATCAACACCATCTCATAGTCGTCCATTTGGAATGTGTGCATCGGCGAGATCACATAGTTAAGGTATCTCGGCATACATTCTTTGTAGAACTCTTGGATACTGTAAGAATTGCACCATAGTGGTGTCATTCGAAATGACGCGGCTTACTCGGGATGTCCGCCTTCCGGCAAATGGGCGGCCCCGTTCGCAAAACAGATTCCATTCGTATTGTTCTTATATGAGTAGTAGGCGTGAACGAACCAGCCGTGAAGTATGATTTTCTTTTTTGCTAGCACAATTTGATCGTCGAATGAGAGAAGTTTGAACTCCTCCATGGCGTGACACCAATCGGAGTAGTAGGTGAAATGGCGACGCCAGCCTGAAAGAAAAAATTTGGTATTTTCGTTTTTTTTTTTGTTACTCGAAACCGGAAACTCTCAATTTTCGTTCCGATACGCTCTAGTTAATTTTTTTTGACGATTGATAAAACTGATAAGAAATACCGTTAATCAGATGATGCGGCTGTAAGACCCTCTCGTTTACGAATCGCATCGGGTAGCGCGGGCAGACGAGGAGCGGACGGCGGAAGGCTACCTGAACATTCAAAAATTTTCGGAATATTCTTTAACAAAAAATATACCTCAAATGGAATATTGATCTGATCTTTGTTGTTGATTTCGGTCTCGTCCAATTCCACTGGATTATAATAGAACACGTCGGTTTCGATATTGAGAAGTTGCACCGGAATACTCATATAGTCGGTGACGGCTGGAAGCTCGTCACCGACTATATGAGTAGTTTGGTGGAGTGGCGGCTCGCACTCATAATCATCAGGTAGCTCCTGCTTCACCTCGGTCTGCAAACACTATATCATTTATAATACGGTTGCTTTGGGAAAATTTCAAAACAACAGATTTTTCAATTTTACCGTACCTGGGTGGATACCTCACATACATCAGGCTTCGTGCGTTTTCGACGAATTGCAAAAGTGTGCATCATATCCAGATCGTTGGAGTTCGTCGTGTGGTGCGGTACTCCGGAAGTCGGCATGTTGCCGTTGCCATTCGGCATTCCGTTCTTCGCATTTCGATCGCGCTCGTTTTGGACAGCTTAAAATCCCAGAAAAAAAACAAATTATCGAAAAATCTAGCGAAGCATCGATTACAATCCGGATTCATTCCGACTTCGAAGCATTTTTTGAGGCGACACGAGCGGCACACGTTTCGATGCTCTTTGACGACGGGACAATCGCCTCCGAAACGACATGAATATTGACGGCGTGACCAGACGCTGAAATCCAAAAATTTACAGAAGCCTAAAAGATAAAAGTTTTTGCGAAAAATTCGCAAAAAAATGGGCGCACGAGAAACGCGCCTTCTCATCTTTATTGACGCATTTCTCGTGCGCCTTCAAATTAGAATTCCCGCTTCGAAAAATAATACGATGGTCCACAACTGCTTAAGGCGTTCTTTTTTTGCCGACGATAATAAAAATACAGTCTGTTTCAGAAAACAAAAATGGCTTTCAGTCGTTCGATAAGAGCTCAAAGATGCGAGCGCCTTGAATTACTGTTATTGATTCTTGTAGCCGCTTTTTTTTCGGAAACCGACTATATCTAATTGCATCATTCAAAAAATATAAATCGAATGTGAACATCAGCTAAGCAAATAATGTGCTACAAGAGGAGTTCGACGGAATGGAAAAAAAACAAAAAAAAGTGTTTTGTTATTTTTAGAAGTTCGGGGGGGGGCATGGTCTTCGTGTAAAACCAATGAACATATCGCCAAATTTTTATTGTAAAAAACCCCGAAACATGTCCGAAGCTGGGTTCAACCATTTCCCCCCAATTTTTAAATCGAAGAAATCATCGCACTCAAGGAATAGTGAGAGGTCATTTTGTAGTCCGTCTTGAAATTTGCTTATTTTTTGCATATAGATTCTTCAGAAAATTTCCAATCGAATGAACTAGGGGCTAGTTATCGAGATATGGATCTTCAAATTTTTATTTTGCATACAAATGTGCGGAACCTTGAAATGAAATAGGTCGTAATTGGTAGACATTGGGTCCCATCGCGAAAAAGAAACGTACCTCCTTCTAAAGAATCCCTTGCATCCATTGCACGCGTTAATTCCGTAATGTTTTCCGAACGCCACGTCACCGCACACATCGCAAATGAGGCGCCCGTTTGCACCGGCGCCGCCGCTGCCACCGACATCCAAATTCGACGACGTCCGAAGCGAAGTGGTCGGCGACGAGGAATCCACTAAACATTGAATTTGTTGGCAATCACATCGATTCAGCGCCACTTACTGTCATACTTGTAATCATCAACCGAATGCTCGTACTTCATGAGGAACGGCTCCAAGATCGGGTCAACGAGCATCTCTCGACTGCTCATTCACTGAAACAAATCGCGATGAATCGCTCGTTTCAAATGCGCAAAAGAACAACGTCATCGCGTTTTCAAGAAGTGCCATCGAATTTTCCAAATGGCTAATAATCAATGTTAGGAACATCAAGCATTCGTTCGCAATGTTTCCGCCGACAGGTGATTCTGATGTCAATCGACGTCAGAAATCGATATCAGACGGACTCTCACAATTTTCAGCATATCGCTGAATTTTTTTTCGAAATTGAAAAAATCCAGAATTATTGGTGCGTGGGGTGGAGACATGTGTGATTAATGTAAAGAATGGAATAGGGGTGTTGAATTGGAGGGGTGCAGAATAATCAAGTCAACGCCATTTCCATGGTGACCGCATACTTCTGCTTATTCATCACCCGCCGTCGCCATCGTTGTCTTCGTGTCGCAATCAGCGTCGAATTATTTACGCACACCACACATGACTAATATGTCTCTCAATTCTAAGTGGCTAAAGCAAGTTAGAGAGTGAGAGAGAGAGAGAGATTGTGATATGCATATTTCAATACCTAATATCTAATATCTAGGCGCCTCAAAAATTTTCGGAAAATATCTGACGCTTCAAAAATTGGGCAGACATTCGAAAAAATTTGGCCAATTGGACCCCTGCCAACAAAATAATTCGAATCTGATGACTACATTTTATTTCGACACTTTTTGAGCTCACGATATCACCTGGTACCACATTTTTAACATGGGGTGGTTTTTTTTTTGAATAAAAATAGACACATATGAAATTTCGGGATCAAAATCCATTAAAAATCTATTTTTGAACAAAAAAATATCGTGAAGGTTTCTTATCGAAAATTTAACTACGTGTTGCGCATAATTTAAAGGAGAAGAAAAAAAAGATGAAAGTGCGATTTGCAATTCAAGCGATTGGTTGGAATATTCGAAAACCCTTCGTACATGTTAAATCGAGATCAAAAAAGCATGGCATTTTGGTTTCGAAAAATGCCGAAAACCGAGATATCATTTTACAACGAAATACTAAACATTTGATTATTTAAAGGTTACTCAATAGGAATTTTTTGGAAAGATCAAATTTTTTGAGCAATTACCTCCAAACCCTCTGATTTTAAGATATCGTGGTGGGGAGAAAAAATTCTATTTATATTTTATTTGATTAATTTTGGCGGACGCTTAATACAATTTTCACTCCCATATTTATTATTATATCGAGACAAAACAATGCGTGCGTGACGAATGAAGCAACAAAACAGAAATTATTTAATTGTGCGCTCAAATGTGTCATAATTATGTGCCCTTTTAAGGCGTTTTCAGACGAGACAAAGAATGAATGAGTTGAGAGACGAATCGATGACTTTCGTGATTTGTCATTTTTCAATTTGGAGGGTTTTAATAAAATTTTCGATTATTTATTGATCTGCATTGACATCCAACATTTTTTTTTCATTGGCTATCAAAACCTATGCTCTTTTAAGTTAAAAATCAGGAAATTAAGGTATTCCCGTCGCAAAAAAGAGCATCTTGATTAGGGACCATCGAAATAATTGAAATTTTGATTTAAACAATGGGAATTTACTAAATCTGAGCAAGGTGCTCGTTGTTTTGGCGATTGTTATAATTTTTGAAAATTTTCGAAAATTTGAAGGAGACAGAGTAGATTGTCGAACAAAAAGCGGAATGTAACGATTTTCGAGTTTTCTTTTTTCCTTTCAACAAAAAGTGCAAAAAAATCCGACGAGGCGTACTTTTCAAGGTGAACAACGAGTGGTTTGAAGGAGTTGGGCTGGAGGGCAACACGAATAAATTAAAAATTGAAAAGGCGATTCATTGTTCAGCGAAAGAAAAAAAAACAACACAAAAAGGAAAAAGTTGACAAAATAGACAATTTTAGTCCAAAAAAATATGATATTCATCTTTAAAAAGTAAAAATGCGGGATTTAAATTGTCCACAGAACATTATTTTTTTTGCTCATTTTGTTTTTGACACTTAAAATCCGCCGACATTTCAATAGCGAGAAGCAAACAATTATTATTGGTTCTAATTCTTGGAATCACATAATAATAATAATAATAATAAGGGATTAAGAGGAAAAATAGAATTATGCTTCAATTGTTAGCGAAAAAAATGTGATTTCAAATAAAAACGAAGGATAATGTAGATTTGATTTTTTGGGTCTTGGCAAGAAAATGGGAAATTTCAACAATTTTTTTAAAATTTCAATATAAACACTTTTGTGTTTATACCGAAAAATGAGAAATACGGCTGATCGGCGCCGCTGATTCTTTTATCGTCGACGCGAATCTACATAGCGGGTCAAGGCGACTATGACATTTGTGTGAGTTGAAGGCGCATGCAAATTTTTCGAGTTGGGTCTCGACGCGACACACTACTATACATCAGAAACCAACTAGAGGCGATTATTTAAAATAAATAGAATAAAAACGAATTTTCTAAATACGTATTTAAAGGCGCATGACATCAAATCGTAACTTATTTTATTTTTAATTTTTGCCAAGTAACATGGCTGTGAGACCTAAAAAAATAATTTTCAAAAAATCTACAGTAACACTTTGGACAAAAAAAAGTCAATCATGTAATTTTGATGAATTATTCTAGATTTTGAGTCAATTTTTGCTGATGAGTCTCGCCGCGAAAATTTGGAAAAAAATTCCAAATTTTTTCCGTCGTCAAAAATGTCGCAAATCAAAAACGAAAAATTTTTTATTCAAAAAATTCGATTCGTCAAAAATTGGCGACAAATCGAGTCTAGTTTTGATTCGAATCAAGCTCATAATTTCCGGAAAATGTTCGTTCTTCAACCTTCGCTGGTTTCTAGAACTTCAAAAGCGGTGGGGGGGGGGCTCTAATTTTGGAGATCACAATTCCCAACGTTGGACGATCTTCAATCATTGCGATCAGTTTCGTTGTATCACATGACGACGACGACCTTATTTGGAAGTGATCATCCCCAAAATTCTGGGCGGAGCCTCTCATGTGTTTTTGCAACTTGATTTCTGTTAATTTGATCGCGCGATTCAAAAAAAAATGTCCGCAGATGGGAATTGAGAAAAAACATTCGAGCATCTCAGAAAGGTAGTGAAAACGGTAGATCAAAAATCATAATGTATCTATGATTTTAGAATCGGAGAGGGTCCCGGTCCGATTCTGTAGGGTCCCTGTTTGAGTAGCCGCCACAGCAACAAGTATCCCGCGAAATGTCCGCAGATAATTAAAATGAAATGTGTCTTGTTAGGATTAGAAAAAACATGACCTCTTTTCTAGCCAACCGTGCTAATATATTCCTGGGCATAAGATTAAATGTGCATACCGAAATTGGGGATTAGAAAAGAGGGTCGGCAGGGACCATGTGGACTAATGATTAAAATGAAAATGAATATAAATAAGGGACCATTGAAATGGGAATGATGGAATGGCTAAACGAATCCAAGATGGTTGACGATCAAAGTAAAACAATAAAGACGATCTACTTGACAAGCCATCGCAAACCAGCGTGCTAGCCATCGTACAGCCATGTGCGGGTGCGAGGCCGAAAAAGGAAGCAAGCAGCCTCGGGGGGGGGCTGATGGTGGCGATCAAATATAGAGAACAACGCGCGGGAGGGGAAGGCGATAGATGACTGATGAGAAGGTGAAGGAATGTGTCACGCGGTTCGCTTCGATATACTTCTAACGCATTTTGATACACAAAATGTCAAAGAATGTTCACACAGTTATTGTTGCCGGATTAATCGAATCTACTCGTCTTTTTTTTTTTTGGTTGTGTTTCCAAATGAGAGAGAGAGAGAGAAACGATGAGGCGCCTCATCGATGGCGGTATGCGAAGAGAATGAGAAAAATGTGATTGACACATGGACCAGTGTGTATGTACGGGTATTTGATAAGATGACAACGGTGAAAGGCATTCAAATTCTCTCATCTTTTTGTACTGTTCGATTCGTCTTTTCTCTCTCTCTCTCTTTAAATCAAAATTTGAGAGACAGAGGGAGAGGCGATTACTTTAAAATTCGTTGTGAGACCCACCACACCCCCCCCCCTCTTTGATTACGGTATATAAAAATATGGCTAGTCTAGAAATCCCAAACTCATAATTTTCCTGCAACAATTATCCGGTTTAATATTATAGTAATCAAAGGAACATGCTATGATCTACCAACTAAAAGTCTCGAAGTGAAAAAATCGTACCGTACTACCATACCTGAAACCTCTGGATTACGGTAGCTGTGGTTTTTATTGAAAAATTCGAAACCGAAATTCAAATTTTAAAATTTGAATATTCATTGTTGAAAAAAAAGTCCGTTTTTATAAATTTGATCGAGACTGAAAATTTTCCAACGAGTGTTTTCAAAAACAACCCGAAAACCGCGTGAATTCGACATCAATATATCTGTTAAAGGGCGATTGCAATCATCACAAATCACAAAATATTCGAAATATAATTTTCTTTTTCATTTTTACAACTAATTTTTCCAAAAAAAATGGGCTCTATGAAAATTGGATGGAAAAATGGGAGCACAAGAAAAGAAGAAATAGTTATCGATGAAGTTTTTCGAAGAGAAGTCCATCAATTATGATATGAAAAGAAGAATATTGCAAATTTATTAAAAAATCGTTCTATTTTATTAGATTCTGAAAAAAAAATTTAAAAAACGTGACGAAAAAAAAAATGTTCTTGGCTGCAAATAATTGACACATATTCAACGATATGTCAATTTTCAACTAATAGAGATTTTGAATAACATGATTAGTGGTTAGGAGGAAGCTTCTAAGAAATGAAAGAAAACATAAATTGCATATTTGAATGGTAGATTGAAACGGAGAAGTCTTTAATATGGAAAATAATTTCTTTTATAAATTGCATTAAAATTGTAGTTCCCACGGTAAAAATTGAAATTTGACATATTTTTATGGTTCGGATGCGATATTTCAAATTTAGATTCTTGTGAAAATTACGATTCAGATTAAATATTATTTTTGAATGTGTTTTTTTAAATAATTAATGTTAAAAAATTACTTAAAATTCTCAAATTCTATTTATTTTTATCAATTCAAAATAATCTTTTCCAAAAATTGAATTAATTGTGATGATTTTCTGAACATAGTTTAAAAAATTCAAAGAGCGATTATTCAAAAAAAAAAAAAATAAAAACGCTGTAGCGTATTCAAATTCTTTTTTTTTGCAAGTCTGTGTGTATCATTCCACAGAAAATTTGCAATAAAATATGCTGTAATTTACACAGTTTTTTTTTAACGATAGTATTGTCGTAAAAATTATTATTTTCTTTTTTTTACTGCATTCTTTTTTTTTGCACTCGATTGACTATTAATAGAAAAAATTTGCGTGCCAATTTATAAAAAAAATTAGGTTTTAAACATTCCTCAAATTCGAGCTAATTAAAAATTAATTGGGATTACAAATTTAAAAATAATAGAGATTTTATGTTTCCTTGTTCAGCCGGGTATTAAAAGCAAATCATTTTTCAAAGAAAAAAACGCGAGACGATTTAGACCGCAAAATTCCTTCGCAAATTTAATCCTTCTTGTTGCTTCTCAAAAACTCATTCCCGACAGTCTAAAAAATTGGCACCAATGTCGGCCGCTGCGAGACGCAACACAAAAAAACTGTGCGCGCCTTTAATTACCGTATCCAAAATGTCTTTCTGAAATTCGAAAACTTCTCAAATATTCAATTAAAAACATGTATATCTGGTTTCAGGCTTTTCTGCTCAATTTTTAATTGTTTCTCGACATTCGAATATAAAATAAATTTCGATACAAATTTTGAATTCAAAATATATCGATTAAAGGCGCATAATGAATGAATTGGGTTTTGTGGGCGGCTCTTTCTGGTAACCGCTTCTTTTAAAAACAAAATAAATCTTTAATAAATCTGTTGGTTTGAGAAAGAAAATGTTCGATGGATGTGTGCATACACTGACGCAAACTTGCACACATTAATTTTAATTAATTATTTGCGCGATTCGAAAAGCATATTTTGAGAAAGAGGAAGATGAAAATCTAAAAAAAAAACATTCGCCGACCTACTAATTAAAAAAACTCAATTTTTAAAAATAGGTGTGTTGTTAAAAAAAAACGAAGTGAAAATTTATTCGCATAATTCAGAATTGAGTGTCCCACACCAACACACACACAGATCGAGACAAAGTTCGAATAAAGGAGAACATAAAAAGGTGGCGATAGAGAGAGAGAGAGAGAGAAGGAGAGAGAGAGAGAGAGTAGGCAGAGACTCGTCGGAGGGAGGAAAAATAGACCCCCGTATACAAACAATTTCGAGATGATGATGAATAGAATTGTGCGGGTTCGACGACGAGAGACAAAGTGAGAAAGAGAGGGAAATTCTCCCTTATTTGTATAGGTCAAAGTACAATTTTTTGCTTTTTTGTTGCTGCTTCTGACGGCTTTTTTGTTGTGTCACTAATTTACACTCATCGAACACCCCAAACATCACGAATTTTTTGACACTTTCCTTCCGTGTTCCACTTTTCGGTTTTTGAACCGACAAATTGTTTGCGCGGCTTTATCCGATTGTATTCGGGTCTCGAGACGAATTAGCGGGCCTCGTGAACAAGAAGCATCATTTTTCAAAGAAACATTTCTTGATTGTCCGATTTTATTAAAATAGAAATACTGAAAAAAATTCAAAGCAGAAAAATGAAAGTAATAATTTTTTTTCTTTTTAATACTTTACATTGTTTAATAAAATAATGTAGCATTTATAAAATGTGGTGATTGTCGCCTAATTAGGATTGGTCGCTGAATCCAGATTAACAAGCGTTAAATTGATAAACAAAACCCTCCTCCGAACACCTTGAATATCATTCAATCAACACTGGCTTATTTCTCGTCGTGTCTGGATTACACCTATTTATGGCCAGAAGTGTTTTTTTTTGGTTTTCGAAACATGACAATTTTGCGAACAAAAAACTGTTTGTTATAAATCTTCTGCAAAACCGTACTTTAATTCTTTTCATAGCAGATTCCTTGATAAGATTCTCTGTACAGATAAGCGTTAACAACATCGTTAAAATTCAAGAAGAATGAAAGTCTAAAAAGGCTCCTTCAGTTGGACTAGGTTCTATCATTCTTGAGAGAAACAAATTTCCAATCACAGCTTCAATTTTTTCAACCAATGGTATTGCAGAGAAAACGAGCAGAAAATTGCTGGATTTTCACTTTAAGAATTTTCAATAAAAATTCTCCCTTGAAATTTATATAAAAACAGTAAACAACAACAACAACAACCAAGAAAGTGCCTGCGATTCATTTATTTCTGCCAACCGCTGTGTCAGCTCGACCCTTCACCATTTCTTCGTTTTTGTCGTTGATCACTTTGGTAACATGAGCAGCAACTTTCTCCTGAAATTCATTTTAGATTTGTCTCCTTTTCTCTTCCATTTTTTTCAGAACTAACAGCCTCAATAATGTGCGCTTTTTTGGGAGCGATGTGAAGAAATTTGCCCTTTTTTGGCCCCTCGTTTTTCTTGACCTTTTTCTGTTTTTTCTGGACACCCTTTGGAAGAGTCGCCTGCAAAAATTTAACGAAACTTCACAAAAAGTATTGAAGAATTTCCAACCTTTTGTTTCATTTTATGTTGTGCCATTTTATCGGATAAATATAATGTAGAATGCAGAAGCAAAGCAAGACAGTGCTACTACCGAGTGAAGGCGGACACCAATTACAGCGGCCTGAACAGGATTCTTAGGATTTTTTGTGAAAAAAAAGCCAAAAAACCTTATAAAAGACTCCGAAAAATCCCTTTTTCTCTGAAAGAAGCCAACTGCTGACCCTTGGCACACGCTTCAAATATGCACACGAGCAAATGAACAATAAGGCAGCGATGACAAGTCCGTCGAAGGAATAAGCTGCAAAAACATAAATTATTAATAATTGTTAACTTTTATAAAAATTCAAGAGTTTCGCGTAAACCTCGAATTTAATAAAGTTCGTTTTAGAAACAGAAAATTACTCTATGTGAACGAAACGCGTTTATTAAATGCAATTTTAACATAATGCTCTCTTAATAAAAAATTTTGCTACAGTTATTATTCATTATTGTCAGTCTTTGTTAGTTATTATTTTATTGTTAGTGAAAATTTGGATGTAATAAACACAACTGTGGCCAAAAATAAAGAAATAATAGCTAAAAATAAATTTAGGAGAAAAAAACGAAAACTCTCAGTGGCCTAGAATTTCCAAAAACCTCGTCCACGTCCAACTCACCGTTCATAAATTCCGGAAAATTTGCGACAAATTAGCCTGAAAAAATGGTGAATTCTAAGAGAAACCCTATATAATAAAATAACAAATATCAACATTCGCGAAATTGACGAAAGGGAAAAAATAAAAAGAAAAAGTAAAAAAAAATTATTTATGACTAGGTCGGAATGTTATGCAAGGAATGTCTAAAAGAAAATAACTGGGAGTTATGCTAACTATACACATAATACGATTAAATACATGTTTAAAGTTGATAGTTGCGGAATTTCGACGCGACATCTGATTGATATCTTCGGCCATCCGACCATTTCGAATTCTCGTCCACATCACGCCCGATCGATATCATCGCCTGCGATTTCGGCGTCGCCCAATGCGTCGACTGCAAATATTTGGGTCTCGGCGCGAACACATCATTGATGGAAGCAAATTTTGCATAGCTCGAAATTCATTGCACAAATGTGCACAACGAAATAGTTGGACAGCGAACCATTTTGATGGCGTCCGCATTTCGCGTGAACTCCTCAAAACTTCCTGGAATCGGCGAGTCTAGCCACGAATCGTATAATTTTCTTTTCGATTCGTTCGTCAGTGTGGCATACGCTTCCTAAAAGATTCAAGTTTATGTTTGAAATAAAAACCATTAATATTGCCACGAGGCAGTTTTGAAATTGAGCTCGGAGAAGTCACGCGAAAATTTATTTTGAAAATTCCAATTTTTTTGGAATGAAAATTCAGAATATGATAAAAATGTATTATTATCGAAGGCAGACTTCCCGTGGGCGGAGCTCAACAATTTAAATTGCCAAATTTGGACTAGAATTAATTAAAAATTTTGCGTACGAATGAAGCATATGTAAACAAAAATGCCGGGATTTTGCCAACTTCCCATCTGGAAGCCACTAATTTTTCATTTAGTAGGCGATTCGTTGAAAACTACAGTATGCATTCAAGACGCATGCAGAACATTTGTATTTTGAAAATCATCTTCAAGACCTGCAATTTCTGAAATTCGCATTTGCCTTCTTCATTCTTATCCGGATGAACACTACGGACTCTTGCCCGGAATTCCGCTTGAATTTGTGCAGTCTGAAATATGTTCGAGACTGACGTTTGGAATTCTCGAAACAAAAAAAAACAAACCGTACTGCTCCGATCACATCCAAGAATCTCATAAAACTCGGGCTTCTTTTTTTCCGACGCCAAAATCGCGTCAACAAACGACATCTGAAAGCTCAAAATATTATGATAATTCAAAAAAAAATAATAATAAATCACATCGGAATTCGGCAATGTCCAAAAATTGATACAAAAAAATGCCAACCAAAATTTCGTCCAGTTCTATCGAGTAACGATATTTGAAAGAAATGAGCCGGATATCAGAAAACCGGTAAAGTAACACAAAAAAAACAAATATATAAGGAAATTTTTTTAGTTTTTTTGAACAAAAAAGAAAAAGAATCAGGCTTGTCATTTCGATCAGCAAATTTCGAAAAGCCGGGACATTTTTCTCATATTAATCAAATATTAAATTTTTCCATATCGTACTATTCAATAATATTTGCTTCAAGAAAATTAGCGGCTAAAAAAACAAGCCTGAAAACAACAACAACAAAAAATCAACAAAATTCGTGCAACAATAACAAAATTGAGCGAAATCATTGGCCTATTGTCCCAGTCGATTTTCGTTTTCGATTTCCACTCCATGACATCTTCTCTTTTTCTATTTTCAGCGCATCTCTTCTCTGTTTTTTCCAAACCTGAAAATGATTGATTTTTGCGGTGTGTTTTTTTTTTCAGACAATATTTTATTTTCAACGTTTTCAGCAAATAACTTAGAATTTTCAATTAAAATTGTTTTATGCCATATTTCAAGCTGAAATTTAACAGAGATTTTTTTTAAAGAACTTTCCGAAAAATTGAATTCTCAAAAGAAATAGATAAGCTCAAATTCACCTTAAAAATGGCGTCCCTATGCGGTGTCCATCGATCAATAATCTTCTCGATCGATTGCGTTCGCCGAAAATTCATCGCCATACTCCGAATTTGCTCATCGGAAGCATCCACGAAGAATCTCGTCGATTTGACAGTACTCGTTGCCAAAAGCGGTTTTGTCACATCAATTTCTGATGGCTTCTCTTTGGGAATTTCAGGTCTAATCGTAGATTCCGCTTCTGCGTCCTCTTCGTCGTGTTTTCGACCAATCATTTCCAAAAACGAGAAGCCATTTTCCGATTTTTTGCCTTCCGATAGTTCTTTAAGCTGAAAAAACAACCGAGAAATTATTATGAAAAGTAAGTTTTCACAAAAAAAGAAATCTGAAAGTCCCGAGCTCATTTAAAGTAGCCATGTGGGAAAATGAGGTTGTTTTTTTTTTATTTCAAAAGAAAAAAATTACGTGGAAATGTTTTCAAATTGACGGAACCAATGAGTAACAGAAACATGCGCCTTTAAAAAAAACAATCCCCATTCGAAAATAAATTTTTAAAATTCTCATCATCAATCTTTATATGTTCCTTTGAAATAGAATAGCGAACCTCTGTGGAAAACTTCTCATCGAGCTCATAAAAAATCTCCTTCTTTTCGCATTCCTCTTCCCCAGATCGTTCCTCTTCTTCCTCTTGCTCTTCCTCATCAGCATCCTCATCGTTTTGACCCGCATCTTCCTCTTTCTTCTTCTTTTTCTCCTGTTTTTCTCCAAATTGCTTCATCCAAGCAACATGTTCCTCATTCAAAGGGTCAAATCTACACAAAAAAAACATTTGGTGATGAACAAAATGCAAAAATTTTCATTAGAAACCTTGTAAAGGGTCTCGCAACGCTTCCATCTATTTTTTTCTTCGATTTGCTATCATCGCCAATCGATTTGCCGAGAATTTTCGATAACAATTCTCTATTCTTCTCTTTTTCCATGCGAATTTCCTGGAAAAAAATGATGAAAACTCGAGAAAATTTCCGAATTTACATTTCGCTCATCATCAACGGCTTCATCCGCCTCTGATTCATCAGATTCCGCAAATTTATCGTCCATTTTGAATCGTGGATCATTATTAAATCGAGTTTCAAGCTTCATCAGCTTCTCGCCTGAAACGGTTTCTCATCGAAATGATTTCAAGCCAAACATTTCCAACCTTTGACACCCGAATGCCGATTTTTTATCAACAATTCCTCCTCCTCCTTCCCTTCCTCTCCTTCCTCATCATCGCTATCGAATAACTTCGGCTTCTTCGGTGCTTTCTCAACCGCCTCCTGCTCCTCATCGCTATCGTCGTCAAAAACGATCCGCTTCGACGATTTCTTATCGACATTTGCAATATCTTCAGCAATCTGTTTCTCTCTCAATTTTTGGCGTTCAATTCGCTCGCGAATTGCTGCCCGCCGAGCCGCCTCCGATTTCCGACGGCGTTCTTCATCCTCTACAGAATTCGTTTCCATACTGAAACTATAAAACATTGTATACGGCTAAAATGAATTTCGACTTTCGATTACATGAGATCAATGAATATTAAAAATTTATGATTGACTGAATATTATACACTACAATTCTCATTGCCTCAAAACGCATGGGGCAAAAGCCAATAATTTCTCAAATTTAGTTCAGTCGTTTGAAGCCGACAACATACTCCCTTTTAGGAGTCAATAAATAATTTTTCCTAGAAAGTACATAGCAATTGGGGGAATCTAATTCAATATCAACATCATTTCATCTCTTTTAAAGTGGTTTTAAGTTTTTTTTTTTCACAAAATCCATCTGCGGACAATTTCTGCCGTAAAATACATACAAAAAACCTCCAATTTGTTATTCTTTAATGAATGTTTTTTTCCAAAAAAATATTTAAAAGCGCTCAAAAACGCATAAAAACATGAATAAACACCAAAAATCTCGGCGAGATCATTTATTCATTCCAAAGAGAAATGTGAAACAATCGAAGAAAAAAGGAAAGAAAGAGAGAAAGAAAGAAAGGAAAATGGGGGGAAACAATCATAAAACAATGCAATGTTGGAGGAAGGGGAAATAAAAACTCAACAATACAAATAATTGGCATAATAAAAAAATAAAAATAAAGTAAATAGTCAATAATAAAAAATAAAAATAAAATAAAATTGCTTATTAGTTTATTATTCTCCAAGCAACGTCCGTTTGATCGTTTCCAAATCCTCCATCTGAATCTGATTCGTTTCCACAAGCCGCTCGCCAATATAAAGAATCTCCGTCAGGAATGTTCTAGCATACTTCTGATCATCTTCAGACATGTCGTACGCCTTTTCAGCGCCCTCGCGCAATTTTCCGCTATTCTTCTCCAAAACCTCGTAGAATTTCGCAATCCAACTCTAAAAATCGAAATTCACTCAAATATTGATCGATGTTTCGCTTTAATACTAACCTGAATCTGATTATGCCGATTAAGCTGTGCGAGAAGCGTATCGCATCGCGCCTCAATCTGATCCTCATCAGTGTCGATTTGCCTCGAAAACTTCTGAGTTATCCATTGCGCCAACATTATCCGTACGAGTCTATACGACAATTGCTTGTGTCGGCATCGAATCGCCTCCATCTCAACTTGAGCGCGAGCGTGATCACTCTCGACCTTCTCGATGCGATTGAACAACGAGGTCAGCGCGTCCTTGACAACCTTCTGCTCGGCATTCTGAGCCTTCTGCCGCTCAAGAAGCTCCTCCCATCCGCGCACAACCACCGGAAGCATTTTGTTCGGCGACGGATTCTCAGCGATCGCCTGCCTCCACACCTTCTCGTCAACTCCTCTCGGCACCGTCTCAAGATATCGCTCTTTCTGCGCTTTCGACATTCCCACTTTCGGTAGAACGCGCTTCTTATCAACTCTCAACTGTGTTTCGAGTTGCGCCAATTTTGGACCGTCATTCAAAACCTGCGCCAATTTTAGAGCCTCCACAACGAAGCCTCCCTCCTTCACGATAATTGCAATCTGAACAATGGATTGGTTACTAATTACACATGCTAATTATTTAATCACCTCGGTAAATCCTCCCGGAAGTGATCGTAATGTTGTTCCCGGCGCATACTGCACCTGAATATTCGGCTGATTACCAAGAATATTTGCAATCGCTTCAAGAATTTTCGCCTTTCGCTCTTCAGTGTTTATCCTAGAAAAAATCATTTCAAATACGGTCGATGTTTCAACAATTGTCTTACTCATGAAGCTCATATTTAATCGCCAATGTCACAATTCCTTCATCGTTCGTGTGCTCAGAAATCTTGTTATATCCGATTCCAACGAATTTCTCAAAGAAATTATCGGTCATGTCGAACGTCTGAATCTGATTGTTCTCCTTGTATGGTGCTTTTCCAACACCGAGAGCCGCTGCAGCCTAGAATCAAATCAATTTAAATCTGGGTTTTCATCAATGTATCCGACAAACCTGATTCAATTTTGCGATAAACTTGTCATTATCAGTTCCGGTGATTTGCGGATGAGCAACAGCTTTCACAAATGGATGATAGTTCTGGAAAAGAAAAATTAAATTCAAGAATTTTTCGGGAATAATCAATTACCGTAACAACTTGCTGCTGGGATGAGACCTGTTGTTGTTGTTGTTGCTGCTGCTGGGTCGAACCAAACAATCCGCCACCGGTCGCTGGCTTTGAGAATAGCGATCCAGTAGCCGTCGAGGTAGATCCGAACAGCGAAGTGCCTCCAGTAGTAGATGATGCTGAAAATAGTCAAAACTATAATAAGAGTCAAAATCATCAAATATAATATACAAAATGTCATCCCAGTTAATTGAGAGGGTCGTTGGGTGGGTGTTGGGGGTGGGGCGGACACAATCACAGTCGGAATCGGCCCTCCATTTCCATGCATTACGAGAGTGTGGACTTGCTGTTGCTGAACCTGAGGAGCAGGTTGCGACTGAATCTGGATCGCCGGCGGAATCGGCTTTTGAATCACAGGAGCCGCAAATGGATTGGACACGTCCGGAACCGAATGCTTGTTGGGCAAACACTCCGCTGACGACGCCTTTTTCGGCGCCGGCGGTTCCGGTGTCGGTTCAACGACAACTGCGCGAATTCCGCTTCCCGGATCGCCAGCAGCCATCGACGTGATCGGCGGTGGCGAGAATTGAAGTGCTTTCGCGATATCCGCATCTGCTTCGACGGCGTTGTTGAAACTTTTGGCTAAGAACGCCGACATTTCGGGTGTGAATGACGAGAAGCCGAACGAATCATCGATGGGCATCAGCGTCGGATGAACAGCGTCACGTCGGCGAAGTGCCACTTTGGCAGGTGGTCGCGGAGATCCGCCTCGTGCCGTTGATTCGCTCGGCGGAATTTTGTCGCTCTGTCCGCTCATTCTTGATGTTTGGGGTCGTTGAACGGCGTCGTCTTCGTGGAGCGAGGCGTGCGTGGACTGATGAAAATCCTCTTCCATGCATTTATTGAAAATTTCAACGAAGCGCCGAGTGTTAGATCAAATAGTCCAAGGATTGTGAACGGTAGATCAAATACAATATATTTAGTGGGACTTTCGAATATACAATAGAAACAACCCCAATTTCTGTCATTTTTATGTTTTTTTTTGCAAACTTACTAGTTGACGTTCCAAAAAGCGATCCACCAGGGGTGGTGCTCGTTGTAGTCGTCGTACCGAACAAACTCGGAGTCGCTGTGCTTGTCCCCGCGCGTTTTGTAAGAAGCGACGAGCCTGCTGGAGATCCTCCGAACAGCGTTCCGGTAGCGGCTTTCGTCGTTGTCGAGCCAAACAACGACGGAGTTGAGGCTTGTGTCGTCGTCGTCGTTCCGAACAACGATGGAGTTGAAGATGCTTGGGTTGTGGAGCCAAACAGCGGTTTCGATGGTGTTCTGAAATTGACTTTTAGTTGAAATTTGTTAGCCTTCTAATGATCAACTCACGAGGAACCAAATAACGATGGACTTGTAGTCGATGTGGTCGCCGCTGAAGTAGTAGATGGAAACGTGAATCCACTAGTACCAGTAGTTGACCCGAAAAGACTCATTTTCTGCAATAAACGTTCTTTGAAGGATTATAAAGAACCAGAGTAGAAAACTGAGCAACACGGAATGCGTCTGAGACACATTATGATATAATTGGTGGGCTGAGCATGGCGATGCGGCAGGTGCGAACCATTTCGCACCGCCCACTGCTCATAGGAAGTTTCTGCATGTCTAAAACTCTTTGAGAATTGTGTTTTTTCGCACCTCTTGTTATTCGAGACGACCGAAAAAATGTGTTGACAGAAATTACTTATGGGATTATGGGAAAATCGCAGATTCTTGACGATTGAATGTGTTAGACTTTGAAGAGAATAATGAGAAAATGAAGGTTTTAGAATAATGCGATACACTTCAACACATTCTATGAAGCTTGAGAGTCATAAGAAAATAATAAAATTCGAAATGTTGAATTAAAAACTAAAATGAGCAAAACTTCGATGAATTTTTAATTCAAAATACTAATGAAATTTATTATTTTCGTTTATTGCTATATATTCCACCAGCTATTCCGTTTCTCAATGAAGGAAGTTGTCAAAAATTTTAAAATTCAATCAAAAAAATGAAAAAGAAAAAATTGCTCGTCGATGGGGCGCGTTTGCTGCATGGCCGCGAATTCCAAGGCCATACCGGAATAACAACGCGCTATCAATTCAAACGTTTCTTGGCGCGCAATTAGCTGTTCGCTAGCAGATGGCAAACACCCGCTCGAAAATGGCCGTAAGTTTGATTTTTGATTTTTTTTTTCATTCAACAGGAATATCTCAGACTCAAGCCAACGAAGCTGCACAGTCGGTGCCATCGCCGGTCAGACATATTCGACCTAGCCGAATGGTTAAAGCTCCAAGAGCCAAAAATGAGCAGAATTCGAATAAAGACACAATGGAAATCGTCGAGAATTGTCTCCATGATAAACGAGAGACGATAGTTGAAAACGATTTGTACCCAATTGAATTAATACGAGATATTAGTCTGGAAATCCGGCGGAATTATATAGATGTCTCTAAACAACTCAACGAGAGTATTAAAGAAGAACTTCAGGTTTGGCAATTGAAAGAAAATATCGTTCAAATTTTTTCTTATTCAGAGTGACGTCACGGCACTTATAAACCAGAAACCCGAGTTCTTCAAAGGCCCCCCTCGACCACCATTCACAATTTACCGAAAAAAAGGACGTCAGTCCGATTCAGACCATTATGTGACGCCTGTGTGTCTTCCGTCTACCGACGGCTTCCCAGTCATGTCCTATTGGGTTCACGTCGAGAGCAATATACGAGGAGAGGAAAGCTTGCGACTAACCCATATGCCTTATTTGGACGAAGATCAGAATGATGATGATATATGCGAATCCATATTTAAATTATTTGAAGAGGTTTTTTTTAAACTACCTTTAAAAAATTATTAATCGACTTTTGTTTCAAGGGAATTCACGGATACTCCGAAAACTGGCGATATATGAATGATTGGCTTTTGTACGAAGTGTTCAATCGCGTTTTTCAAAAATACCAAAAAGATCGACGCGATGAATTCCTCTTCGCCTTTTATCAATTATTCCCTAACAAATACTCAAAATCTCAGCTTCCATTTGCGTTCGTTTGTTCTTTTTTCTTTCATTGAATTTTTCTCTTCAATTTCAGGTATGAAGAACTAATAGAAAAATGGAGAACTGGTGTGAAGAAGGTCATAACCGAGGTAAAATTTTCGAAAATTTGATTTGTTTTTAAAAAATATTCCTTTCACAGTTTGTTTTTTTTTTGTTATTTTTCAAAGTTTTGAAAATTTTAGTATTTCAATACAACACAAAAACTTTAAACCTACTGAAATTTGATTATGAATTAGTTTAAACAAAAGAAAAAACTAATCCGAGATGTTCATAGGAATTTTAGTTTTTTTAAACGAAATCTGCACACTTAAAAGGTTCATTGATTTCCAAAAATATATATATACAGTAATTCAAGGCGCATACATTCCTACCATGCTTTGTATGAATTTTTTAGGGACTCCAGTTGAACAAGTTTTCATACCCGCCATTGGCGGCTCTTGATCCAAACTCCATCGAAGAGATGAACTGCTTACAATGCATCACATTCGATTGTCCAGCTCATGGTGAACACTTCTAACGATTCCGTAAATAATTTCATTTTTTTTCAGGATTCAATCCGTTGGCTCCGGAAAGATTCCAATCTGGCGCATGGATTCGCGCGATACTCCCACTTCCCTCGAGCAATTCTAAAAATGCTGCAAAATGTGGCGACAAGTGCTATAAGACACTTGAGCGAAAGGTAGACGCTTAAAAAAAAAAACAAATTATTATTGTGTGATTTTTAGAAAGTTTTCGAAATTCTCGGCATTGGCGATAAGCCCGGCGAAAAGCTGGACGTCCATTTCGAGAAGCATGAATTGGTTAGATGTTCGGAGGAACGCGGAAGCACATTTATTACCACATTTTCGTATACGGGAGAGGTGTGAATCTCAAAAATTCTCAACATTCCTTTCATTTTGTTGTTCGTCAGACCGCCGTCGATTTTTGTGAATTCGTGAAGGCGTTCAACAGCGGCGAAAAGCTCTACACATGCTTACAAGCTTATGAGCTGGTTCTGGGCTTCTGCCGATTCCCGTCCGAGCAGAGACTATTTGCAGACAAACCCAAGATAAAAGTGTAAGATGCTTTTTTTTTTCGATAATTCCCAAAAATGTGATGTTTAGGCCCGCCACACAAATGCAAAGAATGTTTCGTCATCAGACGTGGTCGAATGGTATTGGAAAGGTTTGTTGTCAGTATCCGATGTGACATCCTGATTGTAGTCGTTTCAGATCGAAAATGTCCATCGGCTGATTCCATGCGATCACGAGGGGCCATGCGATAAGCGAAACGTAAAATGCACATGTCGCAGGAATAAAGTTTGCACGAAATTCTGTGGTTGCGAAGATACGTGTCGAATGAAGTTCCCAGGATGTCGATGCGCACCAGGTAATGAATTTATTGTTGAAAAAGTAGTGCGAACTCAGAGATGTGCGGGAAAGTGCTTTCGGGCAAAAAAAAAAACATTTTTTTCGGTTGAAAAATCCGGAAAATCTGTTATCGATTAATTCAGCCAATTTTTTTGTCACAAAGATGATTAAAAAAACACATTAGTCCCTGAAGTTGGTAATTGTAAAAAAAACGAATGAACCTCTTAATTCAAAAATTTAAAAAAAAATCTTGATCGCTGCTTAATATTGGCAAGTTTCCCGCAAATCTCTGCTGTGAATATAGACGATACCAAAATTTAATGGCACTATGCGGGTTTTGGAAAGAAAATTCGAAAAAATTTAAAAAAAAATCAGTTTTTCTTTGCAAGTTTCTTTTTGGTTTGATTTTGTGCCTTCAATTTTGATTGTTTAAAGGCGCCCGCTTTACTTTCAATTAAAACCAAATTTTCAGGACAATGTCGTACCAAACAATGCCAATGCTTTTTTGCCAAATGGGAATGTGATCCAGCAATTTGTAAAACTTGTAGATGCGGTAAGAAATTTATTATCATCACAAGAAAAAAAAACGAGAACCCAGACTAATTTTGGACCATTGTATTATTTCGGGCGCTAATTCAAATTTCGATTGATTCAGTGGGAATTTGGGTACTGTACTTTGGATAACCTAAACTTGCAGATTCTGTGAATATCAATGATAAATCGGTGTGTCGCAACATGTCGATAACTCGCGGAGCCCAAAAGAAAATCAAGGTGATGACGTCACAAGTCGCCGGTTGGGGTGCGTTCATCATGGAAAACGCCGAGAAGGTAGTTTTGTTGGGAACTCATCGTAGCTTAATATCTTATTCTATTAGGGCGACTTCATATCGGAATACACGGGTGAATTGGTGTCGTCGCAAGAATGCGAGCGACGCGGAAATATATACGACAAATTCAAAACGAGCTACATATTTGGTGAGTTTTGATGCGATTTGCCTTCAAAATTGAGCAATCGCTTTTAGCACTCAATCGCGAGCAGGGAATCGACGCGAACAATATGGGAAATATGATTCGATTCGCGAATCACTCTGATAAGGACAGCAATTGTTATGCGAAGGTGGCGTTTTTTTTTTAACAACGCGTTGAGACCTTATTTCAAGGCGCATTTCGTTTCAGATTATTCTTGTGAATGGCGAGCATCGCATTGGAATTTTCGCGCGCAAAGATTTGAAGTACGGCGATGAGCTCTTGTTCGATTACAGCTACAACATGAAGCAGAAAATGATGTATGTTTCGAACGATCGATTCGGCAAGAAGATGAAGTCAAACGGGAAGAGGAGTGCGAAGAAGGAAAATGAAAGTGATGAAGGCTCCGATGAGGAAAATGACGAAGATGAAGAAGAAGAGGAGGAGGAGGAAGAGGAGGAATTGGAAGAGGATGAGCTTGAGGATGAAGAAGAGGAGGAAGATGATGAAGAGGAGAAGGATGTCGACAAGACAACAAAAACATTATCCGGTGAGCTCGATTCTGTGGTTGAATTTCAATCGAAAAGTGTAGAAATTTCTGTTAAAGGAACGGCGAAGCGGCGAAAAATTGAAGAGACGAAAAGCAGGAGGGCGCGTAATTGAAGACATTTTCTCACATATTGGAAAAAACAACGAAACTGATCTCGACATTACCATACATTTTACTAATTCATATAAATTCTTGAAAAGTTCATTTCGGTTTCAATAGTAGGTTTCCTTGTAAATATAACCGTTGGGGAATTCGCGAACGCAGTATCGCCGAAGCTCGTCGTAGAGCACAATAATGAAAGCGAATGGAAGAGCAAGGAAACCGACTTCGATTCTGCAATGTTGCGATCGATGGAAGGATTCGACGAGAAGCGTACCTGAATGGCTGGACTCCCAACACAGTGTTAACCAGTGGAGTGTTGAGGACAAATGTGCACAAGAAGCAAGTGAAGATGACTGAAGTGTTGAGCACTTGATTCCTGCAATGCATTTTGTCTCGATTTGTTTTAAAACGCATGAGTATTTTTTATTCAAAAAATTGGGCCCCTTTCAAAAGAATTTATTGAAAGTTGTTGTCATTGGGCAGACTTTCGAATGGACGTTCAAAAACTGTCCAACTTGACAATTTTTTGCATATAACAATTCAAAATTTTCAATTTTCTTCATTTTAAAATCATTTTTGGGTTCAATATGCTCCATTTTAAAATTGCAAACATATTTTCAATATTTTCGTGGAACCTTAACAAAATGAAAACCAGTGGTTCTGTTATCTACAGTTACCAAATAATGGGTATCAATTATTAATCTATTCTATGCAACGGGGAATTTCGATTTTTGTGAGAGAAACGAAGATTTGCAAAAAAGGCATCACGTACTCAACTCCTTGCATGATAAGCGAATTTTTGCGAGTTTTCGACGCGAACAAATCCGCCCATTGTGTGACGACAATTGTGAAGAAGAACGTTCCGTAGCAACACGATTCCAATGCCTTTCGATCCTCATAACTCTGCAAAAATCGATATTAGCAATATTTGGGCAGACAATAACGAGTTGCCCATTGCTGGCCAAAACTGTCTTCGAGGTCGTTGATGTGCCGATTCTCCCACATCTCGCTGATTCCGAGAAGATCCCACGGCAGCCATCCATATGACATCATGAGAACTGAAACAAAACGAAAACGCATTGATCCGATGGCAATAATCGCATACCAAAGTATGTTGTGAATCCCGCGCACGCCTGAATCGTTCCAATTTGCATATACGAGAACATGACGAGTCGCTTATTGACGAGTTTGTCGTGTTGCGGATTTCTTGGAGCTCGCTGCATAATATCGCTCTCCGGCACTTCATAAGCATAAGAAATCGCCGGCCACTAGAAATATTTTAAAGGGATTGTTCCCGAAAAAAAAAATAAAGTCAATTACCAAATCCGTTCCCAAGTCAATCATCAAAATGGCAACGATCGACATTGGAAGTGGAAGACCCAGAAGAACGTAGGACATGAATGGAGTAATCTCTTTAATTTGCATCAATTTTGATAAAATTGCAATTAAAAAAAAACCTGGAATATTGCTTGTCAATGTATACGCTATCGATTTCTTCAAATTATCAAAGATCAGTCGTCCTTCTTCCACACCAGTCACAATTGAGGCGAAATTGTCATTGAGTAGAATCATGTCGGCCGCTTGTTTCGACACATCCGTTCCCGCGATTCCCATAGCGATTCCGATGTCGGCCTTGCGAAGAGCCGGAGCATCATTGACACCGTCGCCGGTTACACCGACAACGTTGTTCGCATTCTGGAACGCTTCGACGATCTGGAGCTTCTGAGCCGGCGACGTTCGTGCGAAGACGATCTGAATACAAGCATTAGAGAAATTCTTAAAATTATTTGTAAGGACCTTTTCATGAAATGCAATTGTTTACTATTTTTAAAACATTTTTTATTGCATGAATAGGTCCTTTAAGAAATTACTTGATGATAATTGGTGACAATCGTGTGAAGAGTTCTCGCCGACATTGTGCTCAACTGCTCCCCATGAACAACAATGGCATTTGTCTTCTTCAGACGGCCCTTCCCGTACACTTCGTCATTGGCAGGATCACAATTAGGATCTTCTTTGATAACTTCCGTAACCTTGATCAAAAACTTATACGAGAAATTTTGCTAACTCCTACGTCTTCTCCAACTTCGATGATGTGAACTTGTTGAGCAATCGCTTTCGCGGTGATCGGGTGATCGCCGGTGACCATGACAACTCGAATTCCAGCATTCTGACAAACGCGAACCGCTTGCGGAACTCCCGGACGAGGTGGGTCAATCATGGAAATCAAACCGAGGAAACGAAGATCTGGAGACAAAAACAAATTATTTCGAAAAATCGATAATGAAAATCGCACTTTTCAAAGGGAAATTAATATTTTCAGTGTCAAATTGAAATCCGATTGGATACTTGTTCAAATTGAGCTCAAGATCGCAAAATCCGAGTACACGCTCGCCGTAGGATCCAAGTTTTTCATAAGCCCGCTGAAATTGGCGTTCGAACCGCTTCGAGACGTTAAGCGTTTCGCCGTTGCTATAATACATTGTGCACAATTTGAGAATCTTCTCTGGTGCTCCTTTCATCACAAGAACATTTTTGCCGTCAATCGGATGAATCGAAACTTGGAATTTGGTGCTCGAATTGAATGGAATCTCGGCAAGCTTCGGACGAGTTTTGCGGTAGTCGTCAACGCCGCCATCGCCTCGAATCATCTCGCAGTAGCGCATTATAGCAACTTCAGATGCATCTCCATTTACCGTTCGTTTTGCAATTGGAACATCAAATTCGGGTGTCTAAAATGTATTTATTTCAGAAAAAAATTGAAAAACCCACCCGGAAATGAGCCCGACTGCATAATGTGGCACATCGCATCAAAGTTTCATAACCAGGCTTTCCCACATATTTCTTTTCGCCTCTATAGGTCTCGTTTGGCGGCAGTAACTCAGCATCGTAAATATTTCCATCAAACCTGAAAATAATCTTCTAAAATTTATATTTCGAAAGGAAAAAGAAAATTCAAAAAAAGAAGAAGAGGGTGAATTTTTTCGTCGCGTGTTCACACAGTTAGTACTACAGTACCAGTGTATAAAAAACAATTTGAAACAATTTTTCGAAAATATTAAACAGTTTTCTACCATAAATGTGTAACTGTCATTCGGTTCTGCGTCAAAGTTCCAGTTTTGTCCGAGCAGATTGTTGATGTCGATCCAAGCGTCTCAACAGCTTCCAAATTTTTGACAAGACAAAACTTTTTGCGCATTTTCACCGCAGTAAGTGTGAGGCTGACCTGAAATTGAAAATTTTCAATAATTGGTATTTTTGAATATATTTTCGTACCGTAACAGTCGGCACAATTCCTTCAGGCACATTCGCAACGACAATTCCCATAAAGAAGACAATCGCTTTCAAAAGCGGATACTCGTAAACGATGGCCAAAACGAAAAAGGCGATTCCAACCGTAAACGCGACGATCGAAATAATTTTGATGAAATGCGAAATTTCCTTTGCTAGTGGTGTTGGTCCCGAGTCGACTTGTGTCGTGAGGGCCGCAATTCGACCAACGACGGTTCGGTCGCCAGTCAGCACCACAATCCCTTCGCCGGACCCTTCCAGAACATTCGTGCTGTAATTGCAGCAATTTTAGGCATGAGTTCAATCGAATTTTACCTGAAAAGGCACAAATTTTTGGTTTCCAACGGGTTTTTGCTTGTGAAGTTCGTGTTCCTCGTTTGCGGCTCCGATTCTCCGGTCAGCGACGAGTTGTCGACTTTGAGGCCGCGCGCGAGGGTGACGCGCAAATCCGCCGGCACCTTGTCGCCGCCACGAAATCGCACCAAATCGCCAACCACCAAATCTTTGACTTCAATCTCTTTGGTGACGCCGCCACGCACCACCAATGTTTTTGGTGGGATCATATTGGCGAACGAGTCCATCAGATTTCCACTCTTCCGGTCTTGATAGAAATCGAAAAGTCCGGTGATTGTGACGACGCACGCCAATATGATGGCCATATACATCTGAAAAATGGTGAATTTCAGATTTTATTTTATTTAGTGTGGGGGAAAAAAGAGTTTACATTATCTTTTGGAATTTCTTCGTCCTTTTCGCTCATCGACATATCCATTCCATAGCCGATGGCCGACGCAATTGCGGCGCACCATAAAAGGAAATTGAAGCCGCCGAATACCGATTTGCACAATTTCAGCCATTTTGGCGTCGTTTTTGGCGGTGTCAGCGCGTTCGGCCCATCGCGCTTCAATCGATTCGCCGCTTCGGCTTCAGATATGCCCTGCAAAAAGGTGAACTCAAGTGGGGGAATTGAACTCGCGACCATCTGCGCGCAAAATTTATCCATCCGCTTCTACTTCTATTATCATCGTGTGGTAAGTGTGGGATGCCATTGGGACCCATACGACCTGTTGCTGGTGAGGTTCTATGAGGACCCCCATGGATGTACAGGGTGCGAAAATACACCCTACGGGTGCATCACTTTGGCGCAAGCTCATAGTGCACTGTCGCATTTTTTTTAATACAAAATTTGGAAAAAGGGTAATTAAAACACGCTGAAAAATAAAAAAATAAAATTGGCTCATGAAAAATACGTCGGCGTCTTCCAGAAGGCTTCAAACTTGTGTTTCCATAATTATGGACCACCTTGTATTTGGCTCGCTATGAGCCATTGCTTCTTCTATTAGTGTATTTATTTTTATTGTATCAAATTAAAGGTTTAATTACCCAAATTTGAGGTGTCAAATTAGAACACTCAAGGGGAACCCAAAGTCAACTTTATCATAAGATTTTAAAATTTTCGAATCCGATTTATTCTAATTTTTCAATTCAGAAACAATCAGGGCGGATTCTTTATCTAGTAAGTCACAAGAAATATTCAGAGTTCAATCGAAATTTTGCGAATTCCAATCAGCCCTTAATAGGGTCATCATTTATATTGGTTTTATTTTTAATAAAGATTTTTTTTCCAACAAGTCTTTTGAATAAAATCATAGATCAACACAGCTGGTTTTCAATATTACCTGTGTTTCTGAAGTTTTATAACGATTCAATAGTACATTCAATGGTATTTCATGATCATCCTGAACCGTATTATTAGTATAATTCACCGCAAACGACTACCATACAATAACTATATCCTTTTTGAGATCATTCAGCGATTTATTGGGTTTTTTCTTGCAAAATCCCATCGCCGCACACGATTTTATACAAGTACAGTCGTCCGAAATGAGTCAACACAAGGCGCAATGTTTCACGCGCGATTTCGTGATGATAAAATGATTGACGAATCCAACTCGAAACACGATCAAATGTCAATTTGCTCATTTCCTTGGGTTGATTTTTAAAAGTGAGTTGGTTTTTTTTTATTAATGAATTTGAAACTTTATTTAAAATAATTAAAAATTGTGCAGTTTGGTGGCAGAGCCTCACAATTCCCAAAGTTATATGGCGCTAGTGAGTTGATCAGCGTCGGCCTAATGGTGCAGTGGGGTGGTGCGCGGTTTCGGCGTTTCACTGATTAAGCGCGACGCAAGCATAATGGAAGTATTGTGGGAAATCTGTGGAACGGAAGCATAATGCTTCCATATAGGAAGCATAATGTAATTCTTAGTGGCTGTGGAAGAAATATGGGACGAATATGGATGGAATGAAAACGGGATGAATATGCTTCCGGTGTTTGCGAGCCGTGGAACGAATATGGATGAAATATGGATAAAATAATCATATATCATTACACATTATACAATTGGCGTCTGGACGGCAGACCAAGACAATTTCTAGAAAAATCAATACAAAAAACTTATGCTATCATATAAACAATGAAAATTTGAAAATTACATGATACACAACATACGAAATTTAGCTTCTACCATTTAATGACTTATGCTACTCAGATTTATGTTAATTCAGTCAACTGTTCCTTACTTTGTTTAAAGATTGCCAACTACAATTTAGTCGTATTAATATATTTTTGCCGGTTTTTCCGAAATTGGCATCGCAAACTACTCACAATTTGCTCCAAACTGGTAGCAGACGCGCGTAGAAGAGGCGTGCCGCAGCATTGCAAAACCGTGCGCCGCTTTGCACAATGCGGCCACGCCTCACATTTTCGAAATTCGTTTTCAAAATTTTTGTCCTTTTGCTTTTTCTCAATGAATTTTCAAGATTTTTTGTGTTTTTTTTGTCAAAAATTAAAGAATTTTTTTCAAAATTAAAGGAAAAATGTTTTTAAAAAATAAAGGAAAAATTTTCATGTTTATCATCAAAATCGAAACCAAAAATAAATTGATAGCATTCGAAAATTTTAAAATCGATACGATGTTTTCAAATCGTTTCCGACACTTTTAAAATCGAATTTAAATATTTTCTCAATCGAATTGTGTTTAATTTCTCATCGAATCCGTTTTATTTTTATTTACTTTAACATATTTTTTATTATCGCTCGCTTTTTTCTTTTAATAAAACATAATGTTTTGAAATTTTTTACAGATGAAGACAAGATCGAGAGTGTTGTCAGATATAACTGAAACTGCTCTAGAAGTCAATAACAAAGAACCAGAAGTCCCTAACATGGAACCAAGTTCGCTCGACACTTCAGATCCAGATAGTCCAATTTACTCGCCAACTCAGCAAAAAAATTTTTCTCCACAGTCCTCACAAACAACAAAATCAACGCCAATTCCTAAACCTTCGTACGCCCAATTTGTAAGTTGTTATCATCAAAAATTGGCCTGTTCGACTCCAGAAATGGTTTCAATTATAAAAATATGCGCAATGAAGTCTTTATAAAGTACTTCCTAAGTTTAAAGCTTGTTGATTATTTGGTTCCAATCAGGGCTGTGCGGCAATGGAATTGCCGATTGCCGAAATTGCCGGTTTTTCAAATTGCCGAAGAAAATTTCGATCGGTAATTTGCCATTAGCCGAATCGCCGAAATTTCCGATTGCCGTACAGCCTTCGTACCAATATCATTCAGTGGCATTTATCTTTTTAAGTGGGGCTCTAGTACAGAAGTCGCCAGACGCCGACTATATAAAGATCCTATACTTTATTGCAAATATCTATATTACAGATGTTCTTATCCATGGCTTTGGGCAACAACCGACAAATGACTTCAAAGCGAAAGCATTACGCATGGTTCGAGAAGTCATGGATAATCTTCTGTAAGATTTTGAACTATGACTATTAATTTATTTACTTGATTAAGCGATAGAATGCGCCAACGACTTCAAAGGAAATTTGGTGTAGCGCCGGAAGCGCTCGCGGCGCAATTAAGGAAGCTGCTTGATTCTACCAGCAACCCTCAGATGTGAGTATTCATATGTCTTTGAAATTTTAACCAAAATGCCTTTTTGCTTCAAATTTTGGAGTTGTTCTTTCTTCCGCCAATTCACTTTTTATTTTGTGCACTAAAGGGTTTCCAAAAATGCAATAAAAATAAATTATTTTTATTTTTAAGAAAATTATTGATGTAAAAAGACTGATTGTATTTTCTCGAAAAAATTAGTTTACGTAACAATGGTTTACAAGTTTTTCAAATTAATAGGCCCATTATAATAGAAGTGTAGCGACTAGGAAAAGTGGAGAAAAGGTAAAAATTCGATAACGGTTTCTTTCTACAAGCGTATATTTGCGAAAAAAGGATAGGTTAAATGTGCATTAGGACTTTTGCCTAATTTCTTAGCAATAGTTGTTGTTTTTAAAAATATCATAACACGGCTTTTTAACCAAGTGTGAACGATATGAATTCTACTTATTACAGCGTCCCGCTCGATGTCAGTACTGACAATGATTCGAATAGTTCGGCAGTTGCCAGTAACTAATGGTTTGATTATATCTTAATTGAAATTCATTTCATTGTTGTTTTTTTTTTATTTTAAATTAAATAAATGTGTTAATATGAAATAAATTTTGAATACAGCAATCAAATTGTTTTCTTATTTTCCCATATGGAAGGCATACGGCTCATTCCATATACGAAACACGCGGTTCCGCAAAAAAAATGCTTCCATTATGCTTCCATATAACTTGCATATAAGATTCCTATGATATCCACAGCCGTTCCATTATGCTTCCATTGTGCCTATGCCGCCGTTTATCTGTGTTATGAGTTCTTGATCGAGCCCTCATTTCATAATATGGCGGTTTTGCAGAAAAATTTTTCATTTTCAGCATTCATGTTAAGCATGTCAAATGAGAAAAAACAGGCCACTTTGTCTGAATCGGATTATAGCGATGAGAGCGTAAAATCACAAATTCCGAAAAATTTTCAATGAAAATTTCAGCAAAACACAGAAAATGACAATAATAAAGTGAGGAAGTCGTCGAAGAAAATCGAGGTTTGCCACCAAAAATATTTGAAATTGCATTTTTTGAATTTGGCGATTTTTAGCTAGTTTTCGGCGAACAACTCGAAGATGATTATATTAATATGTTTTGCGATAAACTTCAAGCGGTTTGTCCGAAAAAAATCGACGGATTTTTGGCAATTCAATTTATAATGGTACGCTGTTTCTCGAAAAGCAAAAATTGGCGAATTTCGAATTCATATTACAGTGTGAGCCGGAAAACGTCAAAACTCACATTTCTGGAAAGAACGAAGCGCTTCAAGTGCTCTATGATCGAGGAAGAGCCCACTATCTGTTGACCCAGTAATTGATGGTCCCTAACATTTCCAACCAGTGACGCGCGGCATTTCAGTTACAATCCAACTCATGGCCGCGTCGAAATATTCGATAGTCTTCAATCATGGCATGATGATGAAACTCCAACGGTGCGAATCATTTATCAATTTCATCTGCCGACCAATTTGCGGGTTTCAGCTTCCCAATGAGATATGCGTGAACATTCGAACCTTATATGGGCACCTCTACACCGATTCGATCGGTTTGCTGTTCGACAAACGCTATGAGAGGCAGGTAGTGGCGAAACCCGCGAAATGTCGGTGACACGAGACACCCTTCAGCACGACGACTTCTCATGCGGCTATCGGTGCATCGGCGCGATAGTGGACTTGGCGCGCGGCGAGAATCCGGCCGGCAAACTCTACAGCCGCCATTACATCCATTCGTTCATTCAGCGGATCCTCAACGATCCGCGACCGTGCTGGTCGACGTTCGTCGACGCGAAATTGACATTTGGGTACGCCTATCGTCTCGCATTATTTTTTCGTTTTGCGTTCAGAGAGAAGCCCACAACGAGCGCGGTTGGCGGCGCGATTCGAATGGAGCTTGTGCTCCATTCGACGCCTTCAACGACGTCGTCATCGTCGGCGTCGACATCGTCGATTGTGGTGTAAGTTGATTCGCGCGTGCCATCAATATCATCTGCGGACAATTTTCGAGTTTTTGTTTAAGGTCTTCCGATGGCGCGTCGACGGCAAAATCGTTGTCATCTGTCGACGAGAACAACAATGAAGACGAAAGGGTATTCTGAATAGGCGGTTGACTCAAGAATCTTGAATTTCAGAACGACGCTGGCCGAGAAGCTGAAATTGATGGTTCGGAAGATGTCGAAGAGAAGCCGACGCCGATTGAAGATGGATATTTGTGGCCCCGTCGCGAAATGTTCGCGTTGAATTCGCTGAAACGCGTCTTTAATACCGTATGCCTTGCAAGAAAACCCGGTAGATCAAAAATTGGCGAAACTTCTATAATTGGCGATGTTGCAGAAAGTCCAAACGAGGAGATCATCAGAATTGCCGACTAATACTTGTTTCGTTTTTGGAAATTTTCGCAGCGATAAATTATTGCAATAGAGCAGATTTTCCCCCTAAATCAGAAAAAGTTTCCTCGATTTTTCTATTTTTTTACATGAATTGGCAAGGCAAAAAAGCAGCGATATTCTGCATTTCTAGGAAATTTCAAAGAAAATCATATTAAATTGATAGGTGTTAAATGAAATGTGTGCAAAATTGCGTCGGCGTGTCGACAGACGAAAACGGGAAAAAGCGGAACTCTCCCTGTTTTCGCCTTCGAGCTTCAACTTCAAATTTATTTTGTCGAATTAAATTTTACCAAAAACTAAGTTTATCAAAAATTGGTTCCATCGTTTGCCTATTATTTACAAAATCATTTTAGACTTAAAGCGAATGGAATTTGAAGGTGGCGTCCGGCAGCCAGAGTCCCTTTTTTTTTCTTTGAATATCCTCTGTTACTGGAGGTTTAAATGGAAAAAAATAGAAATCAATAAAATTAAATTAAAAGAACAAAAATTCTTGGTGGATTTGTCGCCAAGAACAACCATCTGTGCAGTGTCGTCAAATTGAATGCACAAGTCCGCAATGATTTCAATATCGCTTATTTTCGATATTTCTGTAAAATTTTCCACCATTGGTACTAATTTCTAAGACATCGAAACACCAAAAATTTGAAAAATTCTCAACGACGTTAAAATTGCACGTTTAAATATTGTCGTCAAATAAAATGTATTGGGTGTAAACACGCGATATTTGAAATTCGTATTTTTATTTTCGATTTTTTTCGCCTCAAAAAATGACACAAAAAAGAAGACGTTAATAGAAGAATAGAAGCTGAAAATGACATTGCGGACTTGTGCATTTTATTTGACGACAATCTACACATGTTGTCTACTTCTCATTTTTCTCCGCGATGAAGTCGAGTAAAATTTTCGTTATTTTCTTTTTATTTTTTTGATTTCTTATCAATTCCATCAAAAAATTATTGTTTTCCTTCTTTTAAAGGTTACCCCCATCCTTTTCAAAAAAAAATAAATAAATAAAAGAGATATGAATTTTGAAAAGTCATAAACGGCAAAAATTCCAAAGAAAACTAGAGGAAGTTCTGAAACTGAAATTGATTTATCTATCGATTTTTGAGTGTTTCCTTTTTTGGAGTAATCACTGATGATCGCCGATGATGAGGAAATTGCGGATTTTGTGTGTACATGTTTGCTTTTGCGACCCGCTTCCACATATGATTTTGACATTTTGATAGGCTTCGTTGGCGCATTTTTGAGCTGCTCATCACTCGCGGTAAGGGAAATGCTCTACTATTCGGAAGCATCGATTCCCAATCTTCGATTCTGTTATGAAAGCGACGAGTTGGTAAGTGTCGCCATTTTATTTTTACTACTGTATACATTAAAGGCGCATGCAATAATTTTGATAATTTCGTGTCAGCCATCGCGTCGAGACCTCTTTGATACTCTAGATTTCTAAGTTCTCATCCATCCGAATCATTCTAGCATTCATTTTCACACAAGCCCAGCGGGCAGTGTTTGTTTGCTCATCAAATGTGCATTATGCGATTAATTTTAAAATTGTGCACATCAAATCGAGCCCAAATGAATCGGTGTGAATCGTGCTCAAGAAATTTTCGATTATGATTATAATCGGCGTCTGGCCACCAATATTTCAAGCGGGTGTCGATTTACGGGATGCGCCTTTCGAAATGGTCTCGTCACGCGTGAATAGTTTGCTATTTTCACGTGGACTATTCAATTTTTGTTATCGGATTTGTAAATTCTTCGTGTTTTTGAAAATTTGAACATCAAAAATTGAACTGAAATAACCGGATTGTCCTCGTAAATCTACCCCACGATACTCCAGTCGACTATATTTTTTAAAGATGATTTTTGAAAAGCTTCTGAAACACTTCCAGTTGGGTGCAATTGGAAGTGCGCGACAATTTTTTTTTCAAATTTTTTTACTCGCCATCCAATTTGGGTAGATTTACGGGGTGCGTCTTTCGAAATGGTCTCGCCACGTGTGAATGCGAATTTCGAAATTTGAATTATTCAAATTAAAATTTGTCGAATCGTCCCTTAAAATGCGAAATAACCAGTTGTTCTGTTCGAGACCATAACAAAGGCGCATCCCCGTAAATCTACCCGCTTATAATCGATTTTGATTTCTTTATCAAGCTTTACCTTTTTTTTTGCCAAAATAATTTCTTCTAAAAGTGGCCAATATGAAAAATCAACTGATTATATTTCTTTAAAGAGTTTCAAATTTTCTGATATTTTCCTTTAAAAAAAAAATTTCAAAAAAAATCGTGTTTGCGGACTTCAATTTTTAAAAATTTTCATTTTAAAATTCCTCAAAATAATGAAAATAAAGAAGAAGATGAAGAAGAGTTGTTGGAAAATCAAATTTCACATTTTTTTAATACACCGAATTTTAAGCAAAGAGATCCTAGCAAATTTGGATGAAATTGTCGGCAGCACGAAATTCGTAAATCTCATTTCGGCGGGGGTTCAAACCAGGGCTGTGCGGCAATGGAATTGCCGATTGCCGAAATTGCCGAAATTGCCGATGAGAACGTTCGATCGGCAAATTGCCGATTTGCCGAAATTTTGATTTTCGGCAATTTGCCGAATTGCCGAATTGCCGAAATTTCCGATTTCCGCACAGCCCTGGTGCAAACGACGAATCAATTCGTGGCGACGAAATTGTGTCGAAAACAAAAAAAGCGACGAGCATGACTGTTTGCATTGTATCTTTGAAAACTAATGTTTGCCACTCTCGAATCGGGTATTGTTCTTCGATTAAGAAGATTCACACGTTTTGCGGTCAAATACAAAAATGGGCGGGATCTCAATCGCGATCCACAAAACACACAGTCGGTTGTGCTGCGTTCTCTATTTTTCCGGCTCGCTCGACCGACCAGTTGCGGCTCGAACCGACGGGGACCGTGTGCTAATAAGTGGACAGCGCACACATCTTGATGATACTGCTCTTGTTGATCTTTCTTTTTTCTCGAATTCGTTACATTAATCTCAAAACGGTCAATAGGGAAAAAAACTATTGTTACCGTAATCTTCGCTACAAGAGCTTGAAGGAATTACATTCTATGTATTTCGATTCGATCTCTCATGTATTTGAATATAATTTCCCAATTTCGGTTTTTAATTATTCAAAATTGAGTTATTTGTAAATATAAACACGAAAATTGAACCTAAAATTTTCAATGAATGGGCGGAGTCCTATTTTGCAATTAGCGCACAGATTTTAGCATATGTGCGGCACATATTTTACAAATCTCAATGAACGCGCTTTTCACAAACATTTCGGAGACTTTGATATACAATTTGCACTAGGTTTTGATTAATACGTGCTGTGGACAATTTGCAGGTTTCGAAATCGCTTTTTTTACATTTAACGATCCTTGATTTCACATTTTTTGGAAGAATTTCCTGATGGAAATTGTATGATAAGTGGCAATTCAGTTTTTTTTCGAAAAATTTTGTCCACTTTTGAATATTTTACGCAAAAAAAGACAGATCGGAAATTGACGAGACATGATTCAAAAGATGAGAAACGAAAATGGTGTGCCACAGATTTTTCATGCATTTTCCAATGTTCGGTAGAATTTGAAAAAAATAAAAAATCATTTTAAAATTCACAGAAATAAATTTTTCCAAAAATGTCAATTAACGCTTATTCTCATCATCATAGCGGGAAATTTCTCTCAAACATTTTATATTTTTACGCGGTCCGCCTTTCGAAATGGTCTCGCATGGACAAACCGAGTATTTTGCATTTTATTGGTCAATCCGCTAAATTCTATTTTCAGTATTATTAAGAATTCAAGGAAATGATATTCTCACCAGGAAAAATTAAACAGAAAATTTCAAAATAATTATTCATATGTGGCGAGACCCATTTCGAAAGGCGCATCATTAAATCTACCCTGTCGGATGTCGACTATAGTATTCTTGAATAAATTTATATTTCTCATCGATTACTTATTCTCGATTTCCGATTTTTTTTTCGTGCTATCTACACTACAGTAGGCATTAAAGGCGCATCGCAAAATATGCTAATTCAATATCAAAATATGCGTTTGATTGTTTAAATTCATCGCATCCTTGATAATTTGTTTTGCGTAAATTTTTATAAAAGAAAAATTGCGAATTTTGAAGTGTTAAAACAATTTTCACAGAATCGCTCCTTTAAAGAAACCCCGCCCACAAATTCGATGTGCCTTTAAAACTATAGCATAAATTATGGGTATAATAGTTGTGAGAAACTAGATAAAAAAGTATTTTTTTTAATTCCATTTTGCCCGCAAAAAAAACTAATTCAAATCGGATGGGTGATGATGTGCGTCACGGTGTTTGCACACATTTTCGCGTGCTACTATTTACTTCAATTTTTCTAATTTTTAAGCTTCAAAATTTGAGTAAATCAAGAGCAAAAACTGAAAAATCAATGATCATTGCGAGAAAATGCAGAAATTAGCGCAAACACAAAAAATCGGCTTACTTCGTCATTTAGGCGGTTCGTCCTTCGCCTCACAACATTCCAAGCTTTTTGGTCCTTAGCTTGAATGGACCATGGAATGATTACGGCATAATTAACTTGACAGTAGTTTATGGACCTATTCATGCAATAAAAAAATGCAAACACATTTGATGTCTTTTTTAAAACATTTTTGAAAAAATTGAATTTCATGAAGAGGTCTATTAGTAAAAATTTTTTCCGTCTCAATGATTTGGAATAACTTTTTTAAATACTAAATATTTTCCAGAAAACTAGCCAATTTTTTACACTTTTTGTCGGCGAAATAAAAATAGAAAAATTCCAAATCCGCTAGGTCAGCGCATTTAAAGGCGCACTGATATGACTCGAGAAATGGTTTCATCGCGATCGCCTACAGTAGCCACTAATTCCAAACTGTTTTTTTGATGTCTCGCGACATTGTTGATTGCTCTTGTAGTTGTTCCGATTAAATCGTCTAGGCACGATATCGTGTCGTCGGCGCTTTGCGGCACAAAAAAAAACCATCGAGGAAGAGGAGGAGGAAGAGGAGGAAGAGGCGGTTGAAATGGCTCGCCGCCAGATCCACTTGTCCACCCACTTTATCAAGATTTGTTTTTTTTTGTCTCGCCTCGTTTTGTGTTCGATGAGATCCAGCTTGTATTTAGTCAGATTCGACCGCCCGTGTGGCGGCTCTTCAAAATTGCACTTCTGCCGCGCGCCGCCGCCGCCCATATCCCAAATTTCTCATATCAAACAACTTTTTTTTCTCATCTACAGAACCCAATGTCCGACGAGGCTGCTGCTTCTGCGGTTTCAAGCAGCACAACCACCACCAGCAGTGGCGCTTTGACTGCTGATTCATCGGAACCGGCTAAAAGCAAACGCCGACGATATTTTACGAATGGACGCAGTCGGACCATTGAGCTTTCGACGCTCGCCGAAATTGATGAGGAGGATCCCGGCGAGGAGAATGTGTATCGTGAGTTTGGACCTCGAAATTTGTCGGCAGCATCAAATTGATTTGTCTTTTGTTCTTTTTAACATAGTTTCAATCGAACAAAACTAGAATCAATATGGGACCACTTTTGAAAACCCGCAAATCGAATTCAGATAGTTCAAATGTGTCCAAATTCACGCGTTCCGCTTTTCCAGAAACTTCCATTTTTGGCGATGAGTCTCGGCCGAAATCGACGCAGGACGACATGTTCATCAACTCGGCTCCGAATCGCTCGATTAAACGCGGCTCGGTGAAATCGCAGGCGTTGAAATTGAGCGAGAAACTCGCGCAGAGAAGTAATCGCGCAACGAACTTGCTGGAAAATTTCATGTTGCTCTTTTGTTTTTAGCCGAAAGTAGACTGAACACGGAAAAAGACGAGGAAATGATGAGCCAACAGAGTTGCAGTAATCGGCATTCTTTCTCACAGCCGCCACCGCCTGGAGCGGCGTTCGCAGAGGTCAAAGTGCAGCGTAATTTTTCGGATTGTAGAAAGGAAGCAAGAAGTTGTGAGGTATTAAACATTTTGAAAAGTTACATAAATATGTGCCGCACATATATGATGAAACTGTGCGCCGTCTGCAATATAGACCACGCCCACAAAATTTTAATTTCAAAATAATTCGCTTTTTTTCTCAATTTTTGCTTCAATTTCAGTTTTTTATTAGTGAATGACAATATTTAAAGAATTATATATTTTTTTAAATTTCGAACATATATTTATGTTGGAGCCGTGGCCTCGACACGTCACGTGATACACCACGTGACACACGTTTCATAGGAGCGATATAAAAACCCCTTTTTACGCTCAATAATGAGTTATTATTATTGTGCTTAATAAATGTATACTCTACGTTGGCTCGTTCACAAGGACACAACAATTTAACATAGATTTCATCATCTATCTTGCTTTTTCAATATAATTTTCTTCTCAGTGATTTTTTGTGAGAATACTTTGTGTCATTCACATATCCCTTACATAGTTGTTGAATAGTTAAGACCTTGACACTCACTCGATCGGTGATTCGCCAAAAGCCATGCTAATCAAAACTCAATGAAGTGTGTATTTGCATTGCGAGGTCGTCGTCGTTGATGACAGTTTGGTTCCAAGTCGCCGCCACCTACTACAGCCGACTCGGTTCATTCCGCAAATAAATCGAGCTCGTCGAGTCTGGCCGCACATTATAATACTAATCATCACCTAATATGGCTACTTATTCATATTCGGATTTCAATCGAATGTTTAATGAGCAAAATGCTGCCGAGGTGTCGCTTACACAAACGGTTAGCAAGGCATTGACGAGGCACAATGTGATTTTTTTTTGCGTTTTTATATTTAGCCAAATTTTCTCTCAAAATATTTCCGCAAATGGATTAATTGAAATCTCAAACATAATTTAATATATGGTTGAAAATTAAAACTAATATCTTGTCAGTTCCATTGAAAAAAAAACAAAATAAACAAATACGAAAAATATTTAATTTTTTTTGTTTTCAGACAAATGATTTTGCTTCTCGCGAATGGCCTCAACCGGACATGTTTCAGCCGAATTTTCAGTATCCAATGCATTCCAGGTGAGATTTGAATCGATTTAATTTTAGAATAAGTTTTATTCGAGAATCGAAATCATCCGTCTTTAATTGTGACAGTTTTACGACATTTTATATATGTTTTTATTTGTTCTTGCACAAGACACGATTGTATAATTATTTTCCAATTTTTTTCGCTACGAGACAAATCGCAAACATTTCGAGAGCAAACATTCGTCAAATTTTGCGCAAAAACATCAAAAATCTCATAATGGGATAGGTCGGACACTTTTTGACCTTTCGCAAAAAGACTATCGAGGATTTATTTATTAATTTGTATAGTCGGCGTCTTCCAGCATCATTCGATTAGAAAATTATCAAACCGGTTATCATAAAATTTGAAATAACTTGTTAGTCCGTGCGAGACCAAGAGAATAACGCATCCCCGTATATCTACCAGCGTACAATAGTCGCCGGACGCCGACTATACTAAAACTTTATATTTTAGATAAGAAATATGAAAAATTCCATTTTTGGGATGATTCGTGATTTGTTTTTCTGAAATTTTTTGAAAATCTCGGAACCTTCGGGAATTTCAGTTCTCATTTCAATATAATATCGGTTTTTTAAGTGAAAATCTTGATACCTTGCAAATATTCAAAAGGCCATGATTTAAAGGCACATACCATTCGAATTAAATATCTCATGCTCTTTGAAACAATTGTTGAAAATATAAATTTTTGAGGGATTCTATTTCGAAGTTAAATGAGAAAAAGAGGTACAATGAGTAATGAGTTTCCAGACGTCCAATATCACGATCAGCCTCATTCGTAACGCCGACGCCATTGCTCATCTATCCAATGGTCGACAATCGTTGCGAGAGTCGAATCGGCGAGTACGCGATGCCGATCTACTACGCGATGCCGCCACCGCAACCGCCGCCCATGTTTCTACCATTCGGCGCGACACCGGCGTCGACGTCGAAAGCCGTCGAGGCGCCGATGATGATGATGCACTCGTTCGAGGTGCCGCCGCCGCCGCAGAAGCTCATGCGACGCAAAATGGCGACGTCGCGCAAAAAGTCGTGGTGCTCGCGCATCTGCTGCGCCGGTCTTGCTCAACTCCTATGGACTATCGTGTGCATCATTTCGTTCGGAATAATCGCTTCCTTAATTCTCGCCCTCTGCTATATGTGAACCATTAAATTGTAAAAATGCATCTTTAAACGCACAAATCTACCGTTCTGCTTTTTTTCAGCGAACTACGGGTTTCATTATTCATTTTCTTTTTAAATTATTTGATTTTTCCTTGATTTTTGCACATTCCCTTCATTTTTGCAGACGAATAAATTTCTTTCTGCGATTGATCGCGTTTTGCATTGTGTTAGAAGGATTTATGTTTCTTTCGAATTTTGCAGAAATTCGGCGGTCAGGTTGTTGGTAGCTTATTATTATACAATTTCTAGTAAGTCGAGAGAGTGTGCGGTGGTAGGAGACGCAGGCAGAATAAATATGAAAGTATTTAATTTTGTGAAATGTTCACCACAAAATGGATGATCAAAATTGAAAAAAAATATATTTGGCAATGTTCTAACGTTTGTCGAGGCTCAAATTTTGTAGATAGATGGCGACATGATGGTGTGCGTCTCTTCGTTTTGCACTCTCTCTCGTCCGCCACCTCATCTTCTCGCCCACTCTCTCATTTCGACATTATCTCTACGTTACTCTAGTTCTTTAGATAGCTCTTCTTTATTGTTATTCTGAAGACACAACTCAGGCAAATCAAATAAAATATTTTGAGAATCAAATATTCAATAATAAACTCTAAAATATTTTGAGAAAATCTAAAGTTAATTGATGTTTTCTAAAACTTATTGAGAATCGCTAAACTTAAAAATTTTTTTTATCTTTTAATATTTTCTAAAATATTGAAAGCAAATTCAAAATTATCTCAATAAATTCTAAAATCTTATAATAATTTCTAAAGTTGATTGAGAAAATTCTAAAATATTATAGAGAGACGTTAGTTTCTCAATGAATCTCAAAATATTTTATTCGATTTACCTGAGAAAATCTTTACAAAAATTAATTATTCACATTTAGTTGTTCCTTACTCACCTTTAGTAGTTTGTTAAATGTTCTTCTCGTTAAACATAATAAAATATCAGGTCAATGAACACATCTTTGACTGTTCGAAGAGATTCACCGATAGAGATTCAAGATCCAGAGTTCATTTTCTTCTGCAGTTCACATTGATTTCGTGATTTCCAAAAAAACGATAAATATAAATTATTAACCTGTTTCGATTGAAAAATAATTCAAATTTGATTAAGAAAACGCTTAAATTCGATTTGAAATGTTGGTTTTTTTTATTCAAACATCTTCGAAATCGATTGATTTATTTCTCATTCTCAATTTTGAAATCGTATTCGATTGAAATTTTGGAATAATTCGAAACAGATTCATTTACATTCAATTCAGATTGAAAACGAAATTTATTTTCGAATCCGATTGATTTTCATTTACCTGTGTTCTTTCTTTCTCTATTATGTAAAACTCTAATCATTTTTCTTATAAGTTGAATAATACATGTGCTTATAATAATCCTTATAATTTACTAATAAATGCCCATTCAGGTAAATGGAGGAGCAGAGTGCGTTGATGCTTGAGAAAATGCTTTTTACTTCGTCGAAACCGGATGAGAATGTGCATCTATGCGTCGTGGCGATCGATGACACACACGCGGCGTCGTTCCGCCATGGGCAGCATTCTAGGCTGCAAATGAATGAGACGGTGATGCTGTACAACGTCTTGAATCCTGTGATACGATACGAGGTTTTTTTTTTTCAATGATGTGAACTAGTTTTGTTAGTTGTGGAGCGACTTGTTTTGAGTGCATCGTGTGGATTATTGTTAGGTAGAAGAGATCTTCTTGGTAGGACCATTTTTAATTTGTGAGTCTTGCACACTATTTTAATGTTTTTATCCGACGCTTCGATCTTTAGATCATCATCAGGGAAGGGAAATATATTTTTTTACGATTTTTTCTGGCTGTGGGAAGTTATGCCTTTTAGGTCTAAATCTATTTCTAATGCTTTAACCATTAGAGGCCAAAACTTCTTTAGCCAAATTTTTTGAGGATTTGTATTCCGGAGAAGAAAGTTTTTCGGCAGTTTTTAGGGTAGAAATGACCGTATTTCTTTTTTGTTGATAAGAATTGTTGGAATCAAACCGAAAGAGAATGTTTTTGTAAGAAGGTTTTCTGTACCATCTGGTGACGAAAATATTGTTCTTATAGGAAATCTCACAGTTAAGAAAAATAGTGTGCAAGTCTGACAAATTAAAAAGGGTTCTAACAAGAAGATCTCTTCTTCCTAACAATGATGTGAATCAGTTGCTGAATTTAAGCTTTTTCAGTCGACGGTAGCGGCAGTGTCGGAAAGTTACGACATCATTGTATTCAAGCTGAAGAAAGACAAATTCAAGAGCTTTCCCCGCGGTACTGTTTTTCTATCTATCACTTTTTTCTCATTTTTAGCTCATTTAGCTTTTAAATTAAGTTTATAGCTATACAGTGCGTTGCAGAATTATAAGGCCACCCCCAAATTTAAGCGCCGCGCAATGATTTCGATATTTTGAGACCAACCAGTGTGAAAATCGTGTTTAGCATGACAAATAACCTATATGTACCAATTTTTATGTTAGTATCTTCAAAAGTAACCGCGCAGTTGTCCAAAACCATTTTTTGAGCGGTGCAGAATTATAAAGCCACCCCCATAAAACAAGTTATAAACTCAAAAATAACAACAGTCTAATGTATGATGGCATCTCCATTCGAGGTTATAACATTGAAAACACAGTCTGGCATAGATTTGAGAAGGTTTTAAACATATTGGGTCGATTTAGATTTGAATTTTGCTCTAACATCTTCCACTCGGCTACGATTTCGGTTTTGAGCTCTCCAACTCCCCAAATTTTCTTCCTTGGCCATAGAGACGCCGTACTAACTCTCCCCAGACGTTCTACATGGGACTCCAGCCAGTCCAAAGTAGACCGACTCACATGAATGACAGCATTGTCCTGTTGAAAAAGGACAATAATGACGTCGGAATGGAAGAAGATGGCTCTCAAGAACATTCTGATCCGAAGAGTCAACCCTACTCGTCAGAAAAGTCAATTCCAGAAATCCGGCCTACGAAAACGCTTCCCCCATAATATCACGCTTCCTTCTCTAAAATTGAGTTTTGAAAGCAGGAGGCGATTCTTTCATAACTCGGGCCAGAAACTGTTATAGCCGTCTGGGCCATCCAAATTAAATTGTTTTTCATCGGAAAAAATAACCTGTTGAAGTTTGAATGGTTATTATTCACAACATTCTCGAATGTGAACACCTTGTTCCAATCCGTATTCATGTTTTTGAATGCGAACTCAAGGTGTCGAATTTTATGGTCCTCTGTGAGTCGCGGGGCCGGCTTCATTTTTTCTCTAGAGATGTTGGGGTTATTCTTGATGGTTCCCCAAACTGTCCACTTGCTTTTGTCGAAGTTTAGCTTCTTCTTGATGTCATTTGTAGACTTCATACTGCTCGAAGCTGCTCGAATCAATGCTCGATTAGCGAGATAGTCCAGTTTTCCTCTGCCGCCTGACTTTTGCGACATGTTGACACAAGTTGGATCCTTCACAAAGATGTCTACGAATGTTTTCGGACCATTTAAATTCTTCGCAACCTGACAGTTCGACCATCCTGCCGTTTTGAATGTGATAATCTGAGATTGCTCAGAAGCACTAAGACAGCGACCACGTGGCATTTCAAAATGATTCAAAAAGTGAAAAATAAGGACCACTGTAGGTTCTCAAAGCCACACAACAATTTTTATGCACACTGGTCCCGCCAAAGTTTCAAAAAAATGCGAAAAAGTTCGTTTCATGGGGGTGGCTTTATAATTCTGCACCGCTTGAAAAAACGGTTTTGGACCACAGCGCGGTTACTTTTTGAAATACTAACACGAAATTTGGTACATATAGGTTATTTTTCATGCTGAACACGATTTTCACACTGGTTGGTCTCAAAATATCGAAATCATTGCGCGGCGCTTAAATTTGGGGGTGGCCTTATAATTCTGCAATGCACTATATATGACTAGATGATTTTCCGAATTTTTGCGCTGTAGAATAAATAATGAATAATAGGTTAACAAAATTTTTATAAAAATAAAATAGGTGTGGGAAGGCTCTTCCGCGGAAGGGAGTATCTGCAACTGGGAGTGGACTCATACCGAGAGCCGAATTGGAAGCATGGGATCATTTCGCATGAGAAAAGTATGTCTAATTTCTTCACTTTACAAATGTTAATTTTTGATTCAGGGGGTTTTTACGTCGGAACGTCACATGGACAAGTGGGAGACTCGGGATCTGGCATTTTTGACTCTTCTGGACTCTTCCTTGGAATATCTGTTGGCAAGAAGTGTTTCTCTTTCTGCGATTGGAAGAATATGCCGGTTGGAGAAATCGCGGACCATCATCCAGACACTCAGATCATCAGTTCTGAAGTTATCTTTGCGTTCTCGGGAATTATAGATGACGAAGTAAGTTGTTTTATTTTTAGTTAAATAATTGGTTTAATTGTTATGTTTCAGTTCGAGCCAAACATGAAAAGTGCGCTTGTCACCTGAAGATCTCCACGGATTTTCTCTAAAAAAATGGGTTATATTTTTCTTTGAAATTCGTTTCAATTTCACTTTTTCTTCATTTACATGATGAATTCACAACAGTGCCTTTAGTTCACTTTTCAAACATTCTTTTGTGGTCTTCGAAACATTCGCAATTTCGTCTTTTATTGCTTCATTTTTGCGAGAATCGTCCATTCTTCTAAAAATATTTATTAATGTTAAATCAAAGAAAAAACAATAAAAATGCTTAAGAACGAGAGAAAAAACAACGAAAAACAGGATAAATATTTTTGAAACCAAAAATAAAAAAACGACACTCCGTTGTTTACGGCCGCACGGCCGAAGCGGGAATTCAAAAAAAAAGCCGTGCCGGCCGGCCGGCTTTCGGCCCCGGTTTCAGTTTAACAACCCTGAAAAAGAATATCCAAGAAGAAGTGTGTCCCCATTTATTCCCCTTACAGTGCGTTGCAGAATTATAAGAACACCCCCAAATTTGAGCGCCGCGCAATGATTTCGATACCTTGAGACCAACCAGTGTTAAAATCGTGTTCAGCATGAAAAATAACCTATATGTCCCAAATTTCAGGTTGGTATTTAAAAAAGTAACCGCGCAGTGGTCCAAAATCGTTTTTCGAGCGGTGCAGAATTATAAAGCCACCCCCATGAAATACGTTATAAACTCAAAGATAACAACAGTCCAATGTATGATGACACCTCCATTCGAGGATATAACATCGAAAACACAGTCTGGCATAGATTTGAGAAGGTTTTAAACATATTGGGTTGATTTAGATTTGAATTTCTGCTCTGACATCTTCCACTCGACTACGATTTCGGTTTGAGCCCTCCAACTCCCCGAAATTCCTTCCTTGGCCATAGAGACGCCGTACTAACTCTCCACAAATGTTCTCCATGTTACTCCAAAAAGGAGAACACGCTGGCCAGTCGAGAACGTCTACACTGTGAGAATGAAGCCAGTCCAAAGTAGACCGACTCACATGAATGACCGCATTTTTCTGTTGAAAAACGACAATAGTGACGTCGGAATGGAAGAAAATGGCTCTCAAGATCATTTTGATAGTCCGAAGAGTCCACCTTACTCGTCAGAAAAGCCATTAGCAGAAACCAGGCTGCCGAAAATTACTGTATTACTGCAGGTTAATTGTTCGACTCAAGCAACGCTCCCGTTGGTCTTAATTCTCGTTTTTTGGAAAAGGGTTAGAGTTGGACCAATCAGTTGACTATCCGACTCACTCTTTGGCAAATATTGAGAATATTTTTTAATTCAAAATTTTTATCGCTTTCAGATAGTTCAAATGTGTCCAAATTCACGCGTTCCGCTTTTCCAGAAACTTCCATTTTTGGCGATGAGACTCGGCCGAAATCGACGCAGGACGACATGTTCATCAACTCGGCTCCGAATCGCTCGATTAAACGCGGCTCGGTGAAATCGCAGGCGTTGAAATTGAGCGAGAAACTCGCGCAGAGAAGTAATCGCGCAACGAACTTGCTGGAAATTTTCATGTTGCTCTTTTGTTTTTAGCCGAAAGTAGACTGAACACGGAAAAAGACGAGGAAATGATGAGCCAACAGAGTTGCAGTAATCGGCATTCTTTCTCACAGCCGCCACCGCCTGGAGCGGCGTTCGCAGAGGTCAAAGTGCAGCGTAATTTTTCGGATTGTAGAAAGGAAGCAAGAAGTTGTGAGGTATTAAACATTTTGAAAAGTTACATAAATATGTGCCGCACATATATGATGAAACTGTGCGCTGACTGCAATATAGACCACGCCCACAAAATTTAATTTTAAAATAATACGCTTTTTTTTCTCAATTTTTGTTTTAATTTCAATTTTTATCAATGAAAGACAATATTAGAATAATTATATATATATATTTTTTTTAAATTTCGAACTTATATTTAACATAGATTTCATCATCAATCTTGCTTTTTCAATATCATTCTCTTCTCAGTGATTTTTTGTGAGAATACTACTTTGTGTCATTCACATATCCCCTACATAGTTGTTGAATAGTTATGACCTTGACACTCACTCGATCGGTGATTCGCCAAAAGCCATGCTAATCAAAACTCAATGAAGTGTGTATTTGCATTGCGAGGTCGTCGTCGTTGATGACAGTTTGGTTCCAAGTCGCCGCCACCTACTACAGCCGACTCGGTTCATTCCGCAAATAAATCGAGCTCGTCGAGTCTGGCCGCACATTATAATACTAATCATCACCTAATATGGCTACTTATTCATATTCGGATTTCAATCGAATGTTTAATGAGCAAAATGCTGCCGAAGTGTCGCTTACACAAACGGTTAGCAAGGCATTGACGAGGCACAATGTGATTTTTTTTTGCGTTTTTATTTTTAGCCAAATTTTCTCCCGAAATATTTCCACAAATGGATTAATTGAAATCTCAAACATAATTTAATATATGGTTGAGTATTAAAACTAATATCTTGTCAGTTCCATTGAAAAAAAAAACAAAATAAACAAATACGAAAAATATTTAATTTTTTTTTGTTTTCAGACAAATGATTTTGCTTCTCGCGAATGGCCTTAACCGGACATGTTTCAGCCGAATTTTCAGTATCCAATGCATTCCAGGTGAGATTTGAATCGATTTAATTTTAGAATAAGTTTTATTCGAGAATCGAAATCATCCGTCTTTAATTGTGACAGTTTTACTACATTTTATATATATTTTTATTCTGTTCTTGCACAAGACACGATTGTATAATTATTTTTCAATTTTTTTCGCTACGAGACAAATCGCAAACATTTCGAAAGCAAACATTCATCGATTTTTGCGCAAAAACATCAAAAATCTCATAATGGGATAGGTCGGACACTTTTTGACCTTTCGCAAAAAGACTATCGAAAATTTATTTATTAATTTGTATAGTCGGGGTCTTCCAACATCATTCGACTAAAAAAATTATCGAACCGGTTCATAAAATTTGAAATAACTTGTTAGTCCGTGCGAGACCAAGAGAATAACGCATCCCCGTATATCTACCAGCGTACAGTAGTCGCCGGACGCCGACTATACTAAAACTTTATATTTTAGACAAGAAATATGAAAAATTCCATTTTTGGGATGATTCGTGATTTGTTTTTCTGAAATTTCTTGAAAATCTCGGAACCTTCGGGAATTTGTTCATTTCTCGTTTCATTTTAGTATTGGTTTTTTAAGTGAAAATCTTGATACCTTATCAATATTCAAAAGGCCATGATTTAAAGGCACATACCATTCGAATTAAATATCTGATGCTCTTTGAAACAATTGTTGAAAATTGAAATTATTGAGGGATTCGATTTCGACGTTAAATGAGAAAAAGAGGTATAATGAGTAATGAGTTTCCAGACGTCCGATATCACGATCAGCCTCATTCGTAACGCCGACGCCATTGCTCATCTATCCAATGGTCGACAATCGTTGCGAGAGTCGAATCGGCGAGTACGCGATGCCGATCTACTACGCGATGCCGCCACCGCAACCGCCGCCCATGTTTCTACCATTCGGCGCGACACCGGCGTCGACGTCGAAAGCCGTCGAGGCGCCGATGATGATGATGCATTCGTTCGAGGTGCCGCCGCCGCCGCAGAAGCTCATGCGACGCAAAATGGCGACGTCGCGCAAAAAGTCGTGGTGCTCGCGCATCTGCTGCGCCGGTCTTGCTCAACTCCTATGGACTATCGTGTGCATCATTTCGTTCGGAATAATCGCTTCCTTAATTCTCGCCCTCTGCTATATGTGAACCATTAAATTGTAAAAATGCATCTTTAAACGCACAAATCTACCGTTCTGCTTTTTTTTTCAGCGAACTACGGGTTTCATTTTTCATTTTCTTTTTAAATTATTTGATTTTTCCTTGATTTTTGCACATTCCCCCACATTTTTGCAGACGAATAAATTTCTTTCTGCGATTTTTTTGCATTGTGTTAGAAGGATTTTCTTTTCTAAATTTATGTTTCTTTCGAATTTTGCAGAAAAAAAAAATTCCGGCGGTCAGGTTGTTGGTAGCTTATTATTATACAATTTCTAGTAGGAGACGCAGTCAGAATAATATGTGTTACGCCCTAGCCCTTGGCGTGACTTGTGCCAAGGGTAGTTCGTACTTCTTGCCCGAGGTACGATGGGAATAGACAGAATGTGGGATGCGAATATAATATAATAGTTTATTATGAATATAAGAGGAGGAGTATGGGTACCCGACTCTGAACCCGGCTGCCGAAGCAGCCGACCCGAAGTCGGGGAGCGTGCCCAACTGACTTGTTGGTGGGCGGCGCTTATCGCCGTCGCCGAATACTCTCCGAAAGAGGGGGAAAAGATGCAAAGAATGCGCCTGGTTTAAATGGCGCATCACATATGAAAGTATTTAATTTTATGAAATCTTCCGCACAAAATGGATGATCGAAATTGAAAAAAAATATATTTGGCAATGTTCTAACGTTTGTCGAGGCCCAAATTTTGTAGATAGATGGCGACACACGGCGTTCACACTAGTGGGATTTACCTGAAATGAAAACTCAAACTGTGTCAGTGATCGATTGTTGGCGTCTTTGTCGCGCAGACGAATTTTTTTAAAATCGCCAGGTTTTGACTCTTTTTTCAAGTTTTTTGAATTTTTCTCAAATTTTAACAAAAAAGTGCAGCGACCACGTTTTTCGCAAGACTTTTTTCTATCGAAAAAGCTTTACTATAATTCAATCGAATAAGTATTCAGAGATCCGTAGTTTTTTAAAGATTGAATTGTAGAAATATTAAAATTTCTTTTCTCTTATTATATTATATGGTTTAATTTATACGATTATGTTTGTTAATACTTGGAAAAACATTTCATAGTTGTTTATTTTTTATTTGTTTTTTGCAAATTTTAAATGTAAATTGTGTGTCATTTCGGCGGAGAAGTTGCAAGAGATTCTCTATAATTTTTTTGTTGTTTTTTTTTTAATTTCGTTAGTTCTTACGTTAATTTAGCGTTTTCAGCTTATTTTTTCGCTGTTTATCTCTCTCGCGTCTTTATCTACTCGCATTGAATTCATTTATTGAATTCAGATAAGCACTCCATCTCGAAAATCAAAAGCTGGCGGAGTGATGAAACGATATCACGGACAATTCGCTTTTCGAGATTTTTTTTAAACTTCCGAATTACTCCAAAAGACCAATGGAAAGACGTCCTCAACTCAAAAATGTCTTTTTTTAGTCATTTGTGTTGTATAGCAGCAAATTTTTTTTCAAGCTGCCTAATGAAATCGGTTAAGAGCATCTCGTTAAATGTATTTGTTGATTATCCATTTGTTTCCAAATTGATAAGTGTATTTTGTTCCTATTAGTTTTGCAATTTTCCAAATGTTCATTTATATCCTTATATCCTCTTTTCCGTATTCAATGCTACATATCATCAATTTTTATATCATAATTCAATTGTGTAGTATTTCTTTCGTTTAATTGATGGTTTTATCAATGATTTATGTATATGTTCAAAAAAAAAGATCCGATATAAATTTAAATAACTTATTTAATTTATAACTAAATAGACCATAAATTGCGGTGAATCTGATCCACCCGAAGAAATATAAAAACTAATAGTTCTCATTGAAAAAACGCTCCATTTTGAGAAAATTTCTAATTTATTTTACAAATTTAATTTGTTGAATTTATGCACCGCAATAGCGCTAAGCTACAAGTGCGCTCCATTGAGACAAATCTTTTTTTCATGTAAATCCCACTAGTGTGAACGCCGTGAGATGGCGACATGATGGTGTGCGTCTCTTCGTTTTGCACTCTCTCTCGTCCACCACCTCATCTTCTCGCCCACTCTCTCATTTCGACATTATCTCTACGTTACTCTAGTTCTTTAGATAGCTCTTCTTTATTGTTATTCTGAAGACACAACTCAGGCAAATCAAATAAAATATTTTGAGAATCAAATATTCAATAATAAACTCTAAAATATTTTGAGAAAATCTAAAGTTTATTGATGTTTTCTAAAACTTATTGAGAATCGCTAAACTTAAAAATATTTTTTTAAAAATCTTTTAATATTTTCTAAAATTTATTGAGCAAATTCAAAATTATCTCAATAAATTCTAAAATCTTATAATAATTACTAAAGTTGATTGAGAAAATTCTAAAATATTATAGAGACACGTTAGTTTCTCAATGAATCTCAAAATATTTTATTCGATTTACCTGAGAAAATCTTTACAAAAATTAATTATTCACATTTAGTTGTTCATTACTCACCTTTAGTAGTTTGTTAAATGTTCTTCTCGTTAAACATAATAAAATATCAGGTCAATGAACACATCTTTGACTGTTCGAAGAGATTCACCGATAGAGATTCAAGATACAGAGTTCATTTTCTTCTGTAGTTCACATTGATTTCGTGATTTCCAAAAAAACGATAAATATAAATTATTAACCTGTTTCGATTGAAAAATAATTCAAATTTGATTAAGAAAACGCTTAAATTCGATTTGAAATGTTGGTTTTTTTTATTCAAACATCTTCGAAATCGATTGATTTATTTCTCATTCTCAATTTTGAAATCGTATTCGATTGAAATTTTGGAATAATTCGAAACAGATTCATTTACATTCAATTCAGATTGAAAACGAAATTTATTTTCGAATCCGATTGATTTTCATTTACCTGTGTTCTTTCTTTCTCTATTATGTAAAACTCTAATCATTTTTCTTATAAGTTGAATAATACATGTGCTTATAATAATCCTTATAATTTACTAATAAATGCCCATTCAGGTAAATGGAGGAGCAGAGTGCGTTGATGCTTGAGAAAATGCTTTTTACTTCGTCGAAACCGGATGAGAATGTGCATCTATGCGTCGTGGCGATCGATGACACACACGCGGCGTCGTTCCGCCATGGGCAGCATTCTAGGCTGCAAATGAATGAGACGGTGATGCTGTACAACGTCTTGAATCCTGTGATACGATACGAGGTTTTTTTTTTCAATGATGTGAACTAGTTTTGTTAGTTGTGGAGCGACTTGTTTTGAGTGCATCGTGTGGATTATTGTTAGGTAGAAGAGATCTTCTTGGTAGGACCATTTTTAATTTGTGAGTCTTGCACACTATTTTAATGTTTTTATCCGACGCTTCGATCTTTAGATCATCATCAGGGAAGGGAAATATATTTTTTTACGATTTTTTCTGGCTGTGGGAAGTTATGCCTTTTAGGTCTAAATCTATTTCTAATGCTTTAACCATTAGAGGCCAAAACTTCTTTAGCCAAATTTTTTGAGGATTTGTATTCCGGAGAAGAAAGTTTTTCGGCAGTTTTTAGGGTAGAAATGACCGTATTTCTTTTTTGTTGATAAGAATTGTTGGAATCAAACCGAAAGAGAATGTTTTTGTAAGAAGGTTTTCTGTACCATCTGGTGACGAAAATATTGTTCTTATAGGAAATCTCACAGTTAAGAAAAATAGTGTGCAAGTCTGACAAATTAAAAAGGGTTCTAACAAGAAGATCTCTTCTTCCTAACAATGATGTGAATCAGTTGCTGAATTTAAGCTTTTTCAGTCGACGGTAGCGGCAGTGTCGGAAAGTTACGACATCATTGTATTCAAGCTGAAGAAAGACAAATTCAAGAGCTTTCCCCGCGGTACTGTTTTTCTATCTATCACTTTTTTCTCATTTTTAGCTCATTTAGCTTTTAAATTAAGTTTATAGCTATATATGACTAGATGATTTTCCGAATTTTTGCGCTGTAGAATAAATAATGAATAATAGGTTAACAAAATTTTTATAAAAATAAAATAGGTGTGGGAAGGCTCTTCCGCGGAAGGGAGTATCTGCAACTGGGAGTGGACTCATACCGAGAGCCGAATTGGAAGCATGGGATCATTTCGCATGAGAAAAGTATGTCTAATTTCTTCACTTTACAAATGTTAATTTTTGATTCAGGGGGTTTTTACGTCGGAACGTCACATGGACAAGTGGGAGACTCGGGATCTGGCATTTTTGACTCTTCTGGACTCTTCCTTGGAATATCTGTTGGCAAGAAGTGTTTCTCTTTCTGCGATTGGAAGGATATGCCGGTTGGAGAAATCGCGGACCATCATCCAGACACTCAGATCATCAGTTCTGAAGTTATCTTTGCGTTCTCGGGAATTATAGATGACGAAGTAAGTTGTTTTATTTTTAGTTAAATAATTGGTTTAATTGTTATGTTTCAGTTCGAGCCAAACATGAAAAGTGCGCTTGTCACCTGAAGATCTCCACGGATTTTCTCTAAAAAAATGGGTTATATTTTTCTTTGAAATTCGTTTCAATTTCACTTTTTCTTCATTTACATGATGAATTCACAACAGTGCCTTTAGTTCACTTTTCAAACATTCTTTTGTGGTCTTCGAAACATTCGCAATTTCGTCTTTTATTGCTTCATTTTTGCGAGAATCGTCCATTCTTCTAAAAATATTTATTAATGTTAAATCAAAGAAAAAACAATAAAAATGCTTAAGAACGAGAGAAAAAACAACGAAAAACAGGATAAATATTTTTGAAACCAAAAATAAAAAAACGACACTCCGTTGTTTACGGCCGCACGGCCGAAGCGGGAATTCAAAAAAAAAGCCGTGCCGGCCGGCCGGCTTTCGGCCCCGGTTTCAGTTTAACAACCCTGAAAAAGAATATCCAAGAAGAAGTGTGTCCCCATTTATTCCCCTTACAGTGCGTTGCAGAATTATAAGAACACCCCCAAATTTGAGCGCCGCGCAATGATTTCGATACC